TTATATACAATATTGAATATAATGATTAAGTTGTGGTGAAACGTTTTGTTTTACACTTCTATATATAATATTTAGTATATTTATAGATCGTTCCATAGACGTAAGAAGATATATAGCTTGTAGAACAGTTTCAGTTTCATCAGTAGACAGACTCGAGTTATTATTTTGAAGAAAATATTCACAGCTGATATTATACGACCAAAATATTCAATGCTATATACCCACCGTGCATACTATAATTGCTTATCTACGCGTATATGGTGGGTGGTAAAAACAGCCAATATGATACAGTGAGAATTTGTGGTGAGAATTTGATAAAAGTTTCCATTTTTTAATTCCATAAAGTTCTGGCCATATCATAAAACAAATATACCATATGTGATAACCATGGCTGATAGCGAACTAGGCTTTGCCTCGAGACTCGAGCTGATGCAGCTATAATTGTTGATACCCAAAGTAGATTATTTTTGGCTATAGACATATCTTTTTTCAGACGTTGTCAAGGACAGAGGATGCTTTAACGGCTCTGTAAGAGTGCAAAAATATATCCGTCACTCAGTATAAAGAGACTGCGAAAACGTGTAACACATTGTGACTATAATGTCGTAAAATAAAAAACAGGAAAAGTTTCGAAACGGATGAGCGAGAAATATAGACGCGCCTTTTTTCTGTGAAAATGATTGCTGGCAAACCGTATACAAAGACAAAGTTGTGGTTGTCTACCAATATATCTTTCATTTCCGGTAACTAGTGTTTACCGGTTCACAAAACTGAGAACCCTTTGCGGGGACTCTTCCGCGTAACCTCAAAATATTGATTAACAAAAAGCGATCTTTCTTCGACAAAGATGTGTTTGGTAATTGGATGAAACGCCTCGCTTCCTAGACTTCCTACAATTGAAGAAAGTCGTATCAGGTAGAACTTGTTTAGATTTCGATTTTAGCGGCAACTCTCTGCAGATTGACGCTCGGTTTATGATAAATGTCGCTTGGTTTTCATTTTATCAACGTGATTGTCGTACTTCGGATGCTAATTTGTCTCACTTTTTGTATTCAAATTGTCATACGCATGACCGTATACACGTAGCAAAGAATCTATTACATCAGCACATTGACATGCATGTTCACAACCACAGTTAATAGTAACAACAGTTGCGACTGTAGACCCCGTTTACACTAGAACGAAAGTTTCCGGATTTGTAAAGTTATCCGGATTCATTGTTACACACATGTATCGGATTCGTCAGGTGTTTACACCACACTTTAGTTGTCTTTGTATGCGGATTTGTCCGTTTACACTCGCGTTACTTGTTCTTGGAGAATTGTTTGGTCGTCACGTTTGAATTTCTTCGGATTCGTCGTGCTAAGCGTTTACACAAGAAAATTTTCCGGATTCAAATGTTTCTGGATACGAAGTTTCCACAAACTTTTACGGATTCAAAGTTTCCGGATACCGCTTAAAACCGAGTACATTTTCTATCGGATTCGTTGCTGCGTGTGTAAACAGCAACATGAATCCGGTACTAAAACATTCCGCTTTCGTGATGAATCCGAAAACTTTCGATCTAGTGTAAACGGGGTCTTAATGGCAACATGGCTTACTCTATATTCAAGGTCAGGAAGCAATTAAGTTCCACCTACGTCGCCTACGCTTTGTGGTCTTGTTAACATTGCGTGCAGCGAGGAAGACGATGAGAGGAACGTGAGGAGAAACAAAAGACTAATATAGCAAGCGACTTAAGAATAAGTCTTGAAAAACAATCAAACATGTCGTCTGCGTAAGAGACTGTGGGCGGTTTCCCACTGTCGCGTTTTTGCACGTATACGTATAATTATGTAAAGCTTAATTAAACTTATGAAAATTAACGATTGAATAGACGCACAGGGTTGGGTTCTGTTGATGATTTGGTGTGCTTTTTCTGGCATAAAATCAATTATTCAACAACTTAGAAGCTAGTTTTAAGGTAATGTTACACGAAACGACTTTCAATATCAACTCGCAACGCAACAATAAGCAAAAATCTAAACAATAATGTTGTGTGGAATAAAACAGTTCTTAAACTCTCAACTTGTTTCCAGTACAATTTCTGTGTTACAAACTAGCTCATGCATATATCATATTCGACGCGTAAACCTTTTTCAAAACATTCTTGCGTTGCGAGTTGATGTTGAAAGTTGTTTCGTGTATAAAATTATCTTTAAGCTTTTACTTAAAAAAAACGCGACAGTGGAAGACAGTCCTTGCACAAGGATGTATGTATATGCATGCATGACGGCGACGCGACGGAAGATTCTATAGTAATTAAGACTGAGTTTTAACCCTTAAAAGAGTTGTTCTACAGGGTGTCTCAAAAAAACGAAAACTATTGAAATTACCCATAATAATGTAATTGTTAGAGTTTGAATGACTAAGCAATCTGTTGGAGGTTTTTTTGAGACACCCTGTCTAACTCTCATCGTATGAATTTACGTAATGCGGTATAAGACGTTGAAAACATTGGGTTTATGTTTGGGAGAAATTCTATGGAGCCCGATTTTAAATATAGTGCTCGCCGCTCTCTGCATCTTCAGATGCAAACGTTCTATATACACATGCACGGCGTAAAACCTGAGATATATGGTTTTATAGACCAATTGCGAAACTTAGTAACCGCGCCTTCGCATAACATGAAAGCGAGGCTTATTATGCAAAAAACAATATTTGTATTTTTTGCCGTACAAAGCTATCCGCCGAGTTATATCCCGGTTTTCGCCTTTGGTTTACATATTTTTCGATACCTTTAAAGCTCGGTTTCATCGTTGTTATCATAGTTTTAAGGTGAGGGAGTTTTGCCTTTCATTTGAGGCGTTTTTGTGATGTTTTCATTAATTTTTTCGGCTGCTTTCGTCGGGGAAATATGGAAAAGACCGACACAAACTCAGGTAAAAATTCAGTTTTTTCCAAGCTATTTCGTCTCAAGTCTTGAAAATTTATTTCATTTTTCTTCCTTTTATTTGTGCAAAATTTGGCGATATATATTTGGTGCAAAATCTATGTTTTTGTGACAAAAATTGTTGAAAAGTCACGGTCGAACCACCACCATGTTTACATTTCTCATTTAAAATTATTTTACACCAATTTTATCGATCGATAAGCTGTAATTTCACAGCAATTTTACAGCTCAGGAAAAATTAGAAGAACTCTGTTGACAGAAACAATCGGAGATAAAATATACAACGGAGTTTTTTGGTTTATTTTCCCTGTGTATATAGACTACAGTACATGTGATGTCATGCCGACTCAAAGCAAAACAACTCTTCAAATTGGCACACATGCATGACATGGATAGTAAAATACTTATTACCAAGACATAATATCATTCTCTATTTTGAATTACCATTTAATATTTCTTTTCCCACAATATCATACTATAAAGGTAGCCACAATGCGAGCAGCAGCGTTTTTTAAGATATGCCTTTACATGATGGCAAAGCCGAAGGCGAAAAAAATATACAACCCCGAAGTTCGGAAGTGTTTTCCGTTTTATAATGCGATGGTGAACGGAATCCTTTCCTTTTAAAGTATTCCTGGTTAACCCTTATTTAAAACATCTATTGCATGGTAGTAGATAGAAAGAATAGTGTTTTGTAGTGACACAAAATATACAGAACGTCAGATGCGTTCGAATTCGACTTTTAAATAAAATTCGGCCTTCATGTCGGTATGCAAGCCATGCATCGTCTGTACTTTTTTAAAACGAAATAAACAAAAACATTTCAGTTAGTTACTTTTTGCCATTTTCACAGTATTACTCTGGTATAAAGATAAAAAATATAGTGATATTTGTGAATAAATTTGAACCATTTCAGTCATTAGGTGTGAAATTATAAAATCTGACTGTCACTTTTCATTTAGTTTTCAACAATTTTTGTCACAAAAACATAGATTTTGCACCAAATATATATCGCCAAATTTTGCACAAATAAAAGGAAGAAAAATGAAATAAATTTTCAAGACTTGAGACGAAATAGTTTGGAAAAAACTGAATTTTTACCTGAGTTTGTGTCGGCCTTTTCCATATTTCCCCGACGAAAGCAGCCGAAAAAATTAATGAAAACATCACAAAAACGCCTCAAATGAAAGGCAAAACTCCCTCACCTTAAAACTATGATAACAACGATGAAACCGAGCTTTAAAGGTATCGAAAAATATGTAAACCAAAGGCGAAAACCGGGATATAACTCGGCGGATAGCTTTGTACGGCAAAAAATACAAATATTGTTTTTTGCATAATAAGCCTCGCTTCCATGTTATGCGAAGGCGCGGTTACTAAGTTTCGCAATTGGTCTATGGGTCTTTATTTAATGATTAATTTCGTATAGGTAAATTCTCATTTAATTATCCAGCGAAGTCCCGGCATGCAAAGATTGTCGTATCTGTTGCATGTATATAACTCGGTGACTGAATTTTGATTTCAGACCATTGTTTAAAATGAAGCCTATTTTTGAAATTATTTGCCATAGCTTCGCGAGACACTTATAGCTCCGCACTGAGACTGCGTGATTCTGCATAGCTACACAGCCATCTAAGCGTGGGACGCGCCTGTTTCTAGGGATATCCCCACTCACGGTATACCGACACACGTACAAACCCGGTCTCAATCTTCCTGTCGTAGTCATATATCAAAGGTTCTCTGTATCAATAGTTATACTGGATGAAACTGAGTCATCGCCCGGCCGATCAGTGTCATACAAAAAAATATTAAGCTGGATTCTTCAGAGCTGATCATTTTAGGTTTTAAAACTATCTATTTTCAATTAGAACTGTGCATTCGGAAAATGGGAAGTCTTAGGACGCGCCTGTTTATCTAGGTCGGCGACGAACTCAGTGGTGGTCACTGCATCACGCACGCCCAACAACAAATCATCGAGAATTATCTCATGAATATTTAAATTCATTCTCTGCCGTTCAAATAGCCGCGATTCAACTGAGCAGAGTGCATTTTCGTCTGGAATCCTGAAGCGGGAACAAGCAACGAACTTCGGTAAAGCAGTTCTTTAAATTTAATCGGAACTCCAAGCAAGCTTATACCGATTTTCGTCGTCTGAATCTAACTCAAAAGAACTTTATTTTCCGTGAGGCGTTTGGTGTGAAAATCCAAAGTAATCTTGCAGGTGAGTTGTTGCAAACTGAACCGTTTCTATGAATAACAGACTATAAGCGAAATCTTTTCGGTATACGTACCAATATACGGCATGTGTCTTCACACTGCATGATACCTATATATATATATACATATTTATATTATAAGTCGTATATTTAGTTTTTATAGGAAATTCAAGTGATTCTGTGCAGGCGGTTTAATGAAACAAGTAAAATTTTAGCTACTGCTGGTCGAAGTACAGACTTTAGCGAAAAGTGTTTCGCAAATTAATATAGCCATATAGTTTTCATGTAAACGGTTCCTGGTTCGAGGTTTTAAAAAATTTACCAGCATAAAATAGCTATTTGTGCATGTAACTAGGCATTGGACGTCTAGAAGGAAGAAGTCTCATGTCTGGTAGATTTAACTGAGAAATAAAAGCGTTTTGGAAAAACAGCAGCAATGCAGAATAGCCTACTTGTGACGAGTCGGTTGTATGAAGCATACAGTCGTAACACGTCTTATCTGTTTGTGTGAAATAATTAAGCTATAGCGTATGGTTTAGGTTATATAAACTATATGACGTGAATTCATCGTTTTACAGGCTTTAATTTAGTATTTTTAACCCCACATATATACTGTCTCAATGACACTAGCCAACTATCGATCGATGCCTGCATGGGTGTCGTAGCTATAGCAAAACGTATATGGATGCATGGAACATCCTGTTACACGTTGCTGAACATTCTGAACAGTGAACATCCTGATACAGCTGAGGGCGACGGAATGGGGGCTATGGTTTGAAAATGAATTCGAGATGGATATTTCGGTTCTGACGTCCTCTTGTGTGTTATGACTAAATGTAGAGGAATGACCAAAAATTATATAAAATATATCATGAAATTTTTGTGAGTACAAAGCCTTCAGCGTTTTGATGTATTGCTATAACTCTTGCAACAGCTATTAATAGTAATTTACGCCAGCTTATGACATAATTGGACTTTGACTCTCTAAGTTTTCACTTTTCAGATATATTTGTTCAGCTCTGTCGTATTTCTATATTTGCATGCTTAATCTGAATTAACTAGAGTAGTGTGGCAAATATATAATTATCTTTATGAATCAATGGCTATTCAGTAATTTCAAGGCTATTTCAGAAATAAATAACCAGCTTTGCTACGAAATAACAGCTTGTTCAACTTGCAGACTCTCAATAAATTGTTTGTACAGACTACGATTAAAATTAGAAATATCGCGTTTTAAGCGTGTATTATCGTGATAATTTGACAGCATAATTGGTCGATTAAAAATTGTGTAATTGTCATATAAGGTGATTATAACGTTATATAACCCCGTGCGGAAATTTGTCACGATATATATTTGTCATTGTTATATAATCTATATTTTTATTGAGGTAATGGTTTAGATCTGATAGAGTTTTGAAAAGATTGCAACTCCATGTTGCCAGAGAACTTTAATGGTTCATATATGAACAATAATCATTACGAACTATACATACAATCGACATGCTAGTATATTTATACATAGCCCAAAGTTTGGCGCTATATAGGAAAGCCAATATATATAATTATTCATATTGTATTTCCCTATGCAGATCGGAACTAAATTAAACTACCGAATTTGACGCCAAATCACGCCATGTGTGCATGTCTATAGATCACGCTAAGTGCATGGGAAACCAACCTTATAGAGCTTTAGGTTTTGCAAATGCATGTGCTTTGCCCAGTCTCTCTCGGCTGTACGAATGATGCAATTTATTTTAAGCTGGAAATAGTAACGAACTCAAGCACCGGATGGGTGTAAACCTTCCCGATTATAGTAATGTTGCGTCAGTCATGTAAATATTGTTTCTTGGAACTGAAATACCAGCTCAAAGTATAGCCAGAAAAACTTTTTATAGACTTGATTATCACTATTATCACTATGTATGATTGGTTTCGAGATAGAATGATATAGTGTGGACTTTGGACAATTATCATATATGTGGCGTGGGTGTGTGGATGAAAGTAAACTCAGTTGCCCTGATACTCTTGTAAGAAACAAAAATGAGACCTTTCTTTTCACAGATTCAAATTTTGAAAAGCTTGTAAGTCTTTTAAAACAAGCTACTATACATGAAAATGCCAGTCATATAGGGAGCTATTCTTTACACAGTAAAAACTGTTAGACCGTTCCACTGGTGTTTTACAGTCAGTGTTTCAAGAGCTCTGCATTCAAGTATATCGTTATTTACGTCTGCCTAACTCGGGAAATGCAGTTTCACCGCTATATATTCTTAACGCGGTTTGGGCATTATTGCCGCTTATATAATCAAGGAAAAGCGTCCCTCGATATTCTTTGAATTTTTGAGGTCACCACTGTAAAGATTCACCTCACTTTTTCTCATTCCTTCACTTCATTTCTATGTATTTCATTATTGTGTTTTAGAAAGAAAATTTTAAAAAGCAACATGGTAGCACATTTTGAACATATGTTCCACCTTGGGCGACCGAAATTTCTCATGTATAGCAACGTCATCTACACCGTTGGGGTCGCGGCAGCGTACAAGTCCAATCCGAATTTGCCTTTTAATCTTTGGTCATACATTTGGATTTGTCTCCTGGTCCACGCTATCCACGCGATGACTCATTATTTCAACGAATATTACGACTACGAGGCTGATTGCGCTAACAAGAACCCAAGCCCCTGGACTGGCGGTTCGCGCGTGTTGGTCGAGGGAAAAGTCAAACCCAAAGTCTCGTTACTGATAGGAAGATTAATCTGTGCGATAGTGTTGTCAAACGCGGTCATTTACTATGGGGTATCTGGGAATGTTCCTGCAACGGTCACTATAGTACTTGGTGTAATTTTTGGTCATGGATACAGCGCTTGGCCGCTCAGAACCTCACGTATCGGATTAGGAGAAGCGACCGTGTGCCTCGTTCTGAATATCCTAGTACCATTGGTTGGTTACCAGTCACATGACCCTAGTTCACCGTTCGGTAATAGGTTGCTATGGCCAATATTACTCCCGCTGTTGCCAATACAATATGTTCGAATGATGGTTATGAACATGGCTGACCTGGAACCTGACAAAATTACTGGTAAGCTGTAGATTCCTTTTAGATATACTAACATTCTGAGGCCGGTTGTGTCAAACCCGTTTACCTCAAATCAGAACTCAAGTCTATCGTTTTATTCAACAAGCGAATCTAATATAATCCTACTGTTTACAACTACATATTCAGTGCAATGGGTTTGTCGGTAGTGTTTAAACACACGTGGGTGTTCACACACACACAGTGTGTAAAAACGTAGGTGTTTGCACACGCCCCCAGTTGAGATAGTTGCGTCACGCCCTGTCTACACGTTTAGACCTTCATCAAAAGAATTGATTGCAGGAATATATTAAACCAAATGCTTATCTTTAGCCAATTTTTGACAAATTATCACGGTTCTGGCCGGGAGACGAATGCGAGGGGAATATGGGAAAATCTCCGCAATGATAGCCAAACCTTATCCACAAAATCACGTCCGTACCCTTCACGCCTGACTTAAGCACACAATTATCACAGCTTGAGGAGTTAACAAGCCAATTATATTCAAGCAGAACAAGGAATATCAACATTCTTAAACCAAGGTTATCGTCTTCCTCATAACATACACCTTCAATTATCGACCTACGAACATGTCGAAGAGATTCGAAGGTCTCAAACTTCGTATACAAAAACTATGTCAAAACGCACTGTATACGGTGTATTCATATGTTTTTCAAAACATTCTTGGACTGATGTCAAACCATTTCATGCTATAGGGAAACTCACGCTGGTCGCGAGGATTGGAATGCAACTATCGTGTGTAATTCATGGGATTGGTATCGTGTTTGCATACATCTTACATGTCTGGTTGTATATTTATGGATATCTTTCTACAGTCGTATTTCTTCTCATGCTTTTACCTGCCCCGATTGGACTACGACAGGTAAGAATAAAGACAGTTTGATTCCTGTGTGATTTCCTGATCAGGTTTGCAAAGAACGCGAACAGCTTGCGACAGAAATAGTTAATCAGCTAACATAATGCATGGTTATATTTATTTCTGATTGTTTGTATTATAGATTCGTAACGTTTGTATTCGCCCCTGGAAATTCGACAATCCATTTTGGAGCAGTCAGCATAACATTTTGTCAATGGCCATGGCGCTCGCGGGCATCTTACTTTCCGGAGGGAGACCGCTGAGTGGAACATCGTGGGCTCTTATTTTTCCTTTAGTTCTTATCTCTATCTCGGTTCCAGTTCTCTTCAAGAAGATCGTGGAAGCGGCCAAGGCGCACGATTCTCTCAAGCGTAATATAGTGAAATTTGCAAGAGAGGAATAATGGAAAAGCCGAATATTTAGAAAGGTGTACAAAAAATTGTAAATGTTGTAATGATAGTTGTTATGCATTCTTATTTACTTATATTTTATTTAAATCGTCGTATATTTTAAAACTGAATTCTACAATCCTCTACAATCCTGTCATAAAAGGAAGGAACGGAATTGAGAACAGTGTTATACTTGATAAAAGTTGATAAAAACTTGAAATTTCTCATGGAAAGGAATTTTAATGACCAGGAGATAGGTGCGAAATAGTATAATTTATATATATTATTTGTTTAAAAAAAAAATCAGCTTGAACTTTGGACGATTGAAGTTCTTATGCGCTCGCATTTACAGCACTCTTTATATCGAAACAGCCGTAAACAACACTGAGACTTTTCTGTGTTGAACTCGAGTGCTTGAAATGACTTCTTGAATGATCAGAAATTATGCATGATTAAATACCACGCCAACAACTATTTGATTTTAAAGCGATTGAAAAACACACTATCCGGTGGATAGCGCTATCCGGCTTTCATACCCCTGTTTTTTTACATGCAATAAATTTGCCAGAAGGTGGATCCAGGTATTTCACATTGAAGCTAGGTTTTACCAAAAACAATTAACCTAAGGCAATTAACCTTAAAATATATCAATCTTCATGATCTGATCTGTCTTAATGAGCATACTTAACCCATGGAACGCGCATTAACACCATATTAATGCAGGTTTGAATAAAAAGTCTTTTAAAAAAATAATGCGTCACAAAGTCACTCTTGTTTACAGTTCATATTTGACTAAAGTTTTAGTTAAGCTGTGTAAACAGCAGCTTATTTTGCCCGCTGAGTTCAACTGCACCTGTTTTTCTTGCGCAGCGCGGACTTGCCTTATAACCGGGCAATCAAAGAGCTTCGGTTGTCGTGTATTTTACTCGAAGACTGGCTCGCACGCAACGACACTTGAACTTCGTAAACGAACGGTACGTAAGCGAATATTAGTGAACAATCATCAGTAAATTGCTGTGGAAGTTCCTGTGTTTCAGTGTACTTCAATCGACTTTTTATTGTTCTTCATAGCGAATCAGTAGTTCAAATTGCATTATGTCACCTCCGATAAAAGATATGTTCTACTTGGGACGGCCGAAATATCTGATGTACAGTAACGTCATCTACACCGTGGGTGTAGCAGCTTCGTATCAATCAAATCCCACCTTGCCTTTTCATCTTTGGTCATACATTTGGATTTGTCTCCTGGTCCACGCTATCCACGCGATGACTCATTATTTCAACGAATATTACGACTACGAGGCTGATTGCGCTAACAAGAACCCAAGCCCCTGGACGGGCGGTTCGCGCGTGTTGGTCGAGGGAAAAGTCAAATTGGAAGTCTCGTTGGTGATAGGAAGACTATTCGCTTTGATAGTGCTTTTAAACGCGGTAATTTATTATGGAATATCTGGAAACATCACAGCAACGATCACTATAGTACTTGGTGTCATTTTTGGTCATGGCTACAGCGCTTGGCCACTCAAAACTTCGCGCAGAGGTCTGGGAGAAGCAAGCGTATGCCTCGTTCTGAATATTCTATCACCATTGGTTGGTTACCACTCACATGACCCAAGTTCACCATTCGGTAATAGGTTGCTGTTGCCAATACTACTCACGCTGTTGCCAATACAATATGTTCGAATGATGGTCATGAACATGGCTGACATAGAACCTGATAAAATTTCAGGCAAGATGACGGCCGGGATTTTGATTCTAAATCAGCTTAATTGTGTATCAATTCTATGTACAGTATCCATGTACAGTAAACAAAATGTTCCATGTACAGTCAAAAAAATGTACTCCATTTAAAATGAGTCTTTATCCGAATCAAACAGCGGACGTTGTGGAAAATGCGATCCAGGTTCTCCGGGAGAAATCGAACCTACAGTCTGTATTCCTTCCTTCAGCTAAATCAGTGTAAAGTATAAACTTTTGATTTTCGCTCGAATACAAGTTATGAGTTCCAGCCAAGACGCATACTTTGTTTTTGAACTTTGTCTAAAGCCGACCAGTTTTTCAACCTTTTCATATCATAGGTAAACGTACTCTGGTTGTGAGGATCGGAATGCAACTATCGTGTGTGATTCATGGTACTGGTATAGTGTTTGCTTACATCTTACACGTCTGGTTGTATATTTATGGATATCTTTCTACAGTCGTATTCCTTCTCATGCTTTTACCGGCCCCAATTGGACTACGACAGGTATGAATCATGAATGCATAAAGCTATGGCATTTCAGAATCTGCTGAGGCTGAGCGCATGCATGGCCCGGTAGCTAGACGTAATTGACGTTCAATTTACGCCTTAGACTTCATGGGCCGGTTAATTGTTCGCAGCTGCGCCGGTTAGTTTTAACCCTGGGTTAGTGCATATCTTTCAATCAATCTTTATTTTTTAAAGTTGAATGTTTTTTCACCAATATTTTTCTGCATCAATCATACTCTTAAATCAGTGCGAAAGTAAGAACAATACTGTAATAAACGGTCGGCTTTCTTGCTTTTATTTGTCGGGAAAATATTTGAAGTTTCATCCTTCCTGCATAGCTTAGCACCCCCCAGACCAGTTGAAGCCTAGGAAAGCGCCCTGTTAAAAATTCAGGTTCGTGCATGCCGATAAATTCACCTAATTCTTAGAGGGCAGTATAGGCTAACATGATGATTAAGTTAATTATACCTAGGTACGCAACGTCTTCATTCGCCCTTGGAAATTCGACAATCCATTTTGGAGCAGTCAGCATAATATTTTGTCAATGGCCATGGCGCTTGCCGGCATCGTACTTTCCGAGGGAAGACCGCTGAGTGGAACATCGTGGGCTCTTATTTTCCCTCTAGTTCTTATATCTATCTCAGTACCAGTTTCCTTCAAGATCGTAAAAGCGGCCAAGACTCACGATTCAAAAACAAATTAATGAATTTTGCCAGGGAAGAATATAATGAACACAGTTAAGGCGATTAAATTAGCTCTACGGTAGACACCATATCTTTAGAAACCAACAGTGCATTCGTCAGCTTGAAAAAAGCTATACCTTTCTGGCTGTGTGCGGTATGTGTGGGATGAATAATTCATACATTCAAAACTTCCGTTGAAAATTTGGTTGCGCAGTTTTTTGCTTTAAGCGACAGTAGGCAATACAATGAGATCTTAGACCATGCCTGCGTGCAAAAAGCGATGTTTCAAAAATGTATATCGCTTAACTGTATCTTAAAATCTTCGTTTCAAATCATTGTTGAAAATTGTAAGGTGAGGAGGGCCCCCAATTAAGGAGTCTAGCTAGTTTTTTTGTCTTCTGGGTACGCAATGTCTTCATTCGCCCTTGGAAATTCGACAATTCGTTTTGGAGCAGTCAGTAGTATTTAGTGTCTTTTTAAATTTCTATTTTTATTCCCTCAGGGCTCTCCGGAAGAGCATTTTGTAAAAACGAGTTACGGGATTTTCATCAGATCACACGAATAAATTTTTCCTTGTGGAAATAGTCCATGGAGTTTGCACATGGTCGAAACATATCTTCAATTAAAGTTGCGCATAATCTACTCCTCCGTAATTCTAAACTAAAATGAAAGCTCATTTTAATATCTGCAATCCTGGTCAAAACATTGACGACACTCCGTGTTAATTGACACTACAGTCAGCAGTCGCGGGATTTATTTCAAAATTCTCCCCCCTTTCCCTCACAAATCAATGTTGAGTGATGTGTCAGAACTCATTCAAGCATTTAGCATAGATTCAACATTGATTAGGGGGGCGAGGGGGGGAAACGAAACAGAAATATTAATGTTTTGCGTAAAAAAAGTACAAATCATTCAGAGTGTAGTCAATGGTTTTGGCCAGGATTGTGGATAGACCAATATGAAGGTAAGGCTGACTAGAGTGACAATTCATTGGGATGAACATTCATATATATTTTGTTCTGCCCGACGGATTTCTCTTGGAAACGCATGTAGCTACGTTCCGTGAATCTGTGGATCGGACAGAGCGAATAATTATATGAATATTAATGACGAATTAGACAAGATATCTATTCGATACAACTTCTATTCTAAGTTGACGGTGGTTGAAACCGTTTTGATATGAAAATTTCCTGCCTCATTTTCACCCGCCAATGCTAACAATCGAAGGGAAACGCGATCATGCAATCCTGACCATGTGACGTTGGCGACAACACGGTTGCGACTACCACTTTCCAGAAGTAATACTTTAACAAATGTATCACCAGAATTGTGCATGGAGTACCGCCACATGTACTACAGGAGCAGACAGGCAATAACAATTACCTTAAATTATTTGTGACGACCTACTGCATGTTTTATAAATAAATAAAATTACTAAATAAACTCGAAAAAAAAGAATGGTAAACGTACATAATTTTATGTTCTGTAAAATACCACTGATAAATACAACCGAATATAACCGACCAGTTTTTTCCATTGTAGTGTAGTATTTTCAGGAAATATGCTATATACGGACTTGGAAAAGTCTTCTTTCAATGGTAATTATAAGTGCGACGATATTTATCTTTAAAAAACGGCTGGATTCTGTTTATAACCCACTTAACAAGATTTTATTGTTCTCCTGTGCTACAAGTATATTTAAGGATTAAAGCACTCTATGAGTGCCTCACTTGTTGCTCGATTCTTGATATTTTTATCTCTTCCAATTTCAGGTAGTTGTTTGGTTCATTAAAAACCAAGTTTATGTACCTGAGTTGCTCATGCAGGCTATCAAATGATATTGAAACTAACCCATGCAGGGCCAAATGCATGTGTATGACATTGCTGATGCTACTAATACTGTCTGTGCTGGTTTCAGCCAAGCATATAAAGTCAGATTTGGACAAAATGCTGGGAAGCAATGTGTTGCTATGTCCTTGAGAGCAATAGTTTGCAGTGAAATACAGGGTATAATGGGTGGAACTCATCAGTATTGGATACCATTCGGTAATTCTACTATCTACTGCGTGGAGATAGCCTTTATACCAGTTAAGTAATTCAGTTAATAAATATTAAGACTTACTACAGTTAACTATAACGTACAGTACCTCAATTGGTTAATTTTCGTGATGAAGTAATATACCGTTTACAATATAGTCAGTCATTTGATGGTGATGTATTTATGATGTATTTATAATGTATTTATTTCTTCAGCTATAACGCTATAATATAGAACAACGGACACCAACAGAGATTTAATTTTTGTTAGTTCAATTATGCATTTCAATTTGTATTTACAGTTTTTCACATCACGTTGAACTGATGTTAGTTCAAGCCTCTGCTTAGGTTGACCCAGCCAAATTGTGGACAGCGGGCGCATGTCCGCGGCCTCACGGACTTATTTTTAATGCAACATGCAGTTCTGTTTGATATTATTAATAGAATTTTAATGAAATTTTGTATGAAAAAATTTCTCACTCAAATTTTAACCACACACGAAGCAATTATTTTTCTCCCGTCGGAATAGTAAAGATAATTTATGATAATGTACCTTTTGTCCTTTTCTCTCAGATTTGATAATGGATTTCCATTTCAATGAGAAATCAGCACGTTTACATAATTATTATACCTCCTCTGCAAGAATTGAATCGCCTTTATGGGAGACATGCATTGCTGATAAAAAGACAGTTTCTCATGTACGCAAAGTCAGTCTCAAAGCCTTAGTTCTTCAATACAGGCCATTGTAGCCAACATTGATGGTAAGTAAGAAAGGTTATGAAAATTAATACTCACGATACAGTACTATCCAGAAATAACCTAACACTGCGGTTCCGGTCGACCGATAGAAACCTAGGTCGAACCGTTGTTGGTTGTTAGGTTATTTCTGGACTGTATTGAGTATAGATTTACATGCAGGCAGGACTACAAAATACCTATAGACCACTTGCACATGCAGCTAAGGTATATATAGCTAGAACTATTTCTGTTTGATATTTGCTCATCAGTAAAAGGACTATTGCCATTACAGTTTCAAAAATTTTGTTTTCAAGTTCTACTTCTTTGAGGCGCATGGAAGTTTCTTCTAGGCGGAATTCTTCGAACTCAAACGAAATTTTTTGCATGAGTTTTTTTATAATTAAATAATCAAATCGAAGCGGATTCACGTTATGGATCATTATGGATGTTGTCTAAAACGGGGAAAGCTTTTTTAAAAAGAGGATAAAATTAAAGATTTAGCGATAAAAGAAGTGATAATCTATATAATCTACCAAGTGTTTTAAACGGATATATATAGGTGTCTATTTTGTTTATTCCGTATTTACTGTTTTAATAAAGATATTTTAACATTTTCCTATTATTGGAGATGCATACACTTTAAGCATTTAAACGAGGCTTTAACGTAAAATTAATTGCAAGCCAAATTAGACTGCTAAAACAGGCAAAATTGAACTATATATAGTTATTTCTCAATGAAAAGTATTCATTGCAATAACGATGGTAGCTAAACAGGTGGCTAGATAGATTGTAGCTACGCGTATGTTCACTAATTTTGATTGACAATTCATATGTAGTTGCTTTTATTTACATCCATATTTAAGCATATTGAATCTCGGTCAACACTGATCTTCCTTTATACAGTCTTGAGAAAACCTACAGTGCGAATCATAGATTCTTCTGTTCAGTTTTCTATTCAGAGCTATCCTAGATTTTTAGCATAAATATATAAGCGGTAAATGGTAAGTGCATTATATAATGGCACGCGCATACGGTTAACGTTAAGCCGGCTTGGCTCTAATTATTCGACATTGTCGTGAACAATATAGTCATTTTCATAATGTCATTAGTCATTTAGCCAGTTTTTGTATAAACTCTGTATTTCTTAGGCTACTATTGTTTTCTTTCACTTGACAGAAATGATGGTACGAAAGTCTTAATTGTTCGTGATACGGTCGTGATAAGTTGAATATGGATACCAATCCCGAGGATTTGAAAAAACAACTCGACAAATACGAGAAAGAGTTAGCTGAAGTTAGTCAAAAATGGAAACGCGAGCGAAGGAAACTAATATCTCTTCTGAGAGAAATTGCTAATGTGATACACAAGCATGAAAAAAATAGCCGAATTGCGAAGATAACGGGCGCATCAACTTCGATTGTTGGTACAGGTCTAGCCATCGGAGGTGGAATTGCTGCAATTTTCACATTTGGCGCCTCTCTGGTCTTAACCGGTGTTGGAATTGCTGTTGCTGTTGCTGGTGGGACGACGGTCGCTGGTGCAGAAATTGCAAATCATTTGTTGCGTTCTACTAACGTGAAAATGGTTAACAAAGTATTAGAAGTCGACAGGGAAGAGACCCAAAACCTACAGGATCTGTTAAAAAAAATTGACGAATTTGCAGAGAAATTTAAATTCTCGGGAAAGGATTTCGCTAAGCCATGTGTAAAAATGGGATTCCAAACTGGCAGAGTGATTGGTGCAACGGTACAGTTGACTAAATCAATTGTGAGTGAGGCAGGAGAAACTTTGTTTAAGACATTGGGCACTGCATCAAGAGTACTTCATGTTGCCGGCCTCGTTACCAGCTTTATAACGTTACCAATTGATATTCATACAATCGTTGCAACGGCTCTTGAGGTTCACAAAGGATCGATTCCGGACGCGGTTAAACATATTCAAAACCTGGTACAACAATTAGAAGATGAAATGGATAATGTACCAGACATTCCAGACAAAAAGTAGCAACCATTATGGTGACAAATATAGTAATTTAGTATTTGCATGTGGAATATAGTTGAATGCAGACTCCATATATTAGTGTACATGCAGTTGCCTGATCTATATTTTAGGCGCTGAATAGCGTAATTTTCCATAATATAAAATCATTGTTTATAGTGCGCATAGATACTGTTAGAGATTCCTTCCAGCTATGTTATTCAGCTGGGAAACCATTGATCTTTGCTCATCTTCGCTCAGCAGTTCCGGACATCATTGTCATTTACGACGCGACGAGAAATTGTATTTGGAGAAAAAGCAGCTCGTCGAACGCAGGAGACCGATGTAGGAAAACTTGATACAGCCATTCACCTGCATGATGGCAATTTTATCAACTTAAAGGCTATATAAAAAGCTATGTGCATGTATCAACTTCTCAATTGCTAACGAAGAGCTAACAAAAAAATACACATGTTCCTAATCAGCATTCGCTGATGTACTTTTAAAAAAAATTTGCGAATTTGTTTTTTCATCATGTTTTCATTCCTTTAGTTTAGTACTTGTACTCGTACAAGGAGATCCACTAGGCTACAGTTTACCTACTAGTACAAGGCGATCGTCTAGGCTACAGTTTACAGACTATCATGCACTCAAAAATTGTTGAGCCTTAATTTAAAGGCATTCACATTTACAAATATTTCTTTCATTCGCAATGCAGCATTGCTTCATATAAAATTTTAATGAAATTTTGCATAAAAAATATTCCCCCCTTAAAAGTTAATTTAACGACACACGCAGAAATTATTTCTTTCGTTTCGGAATGCCTGTGAACTATTGTAGTGAAGATATAGTTTGTCATATTTGTTTTCTGGCAGATCTGATAATAGATTTTTCATTTCAATAAGAATTTAGCAGGGCTTATACCTCCCGCAGTAGCATTGAATAGCTTCACTGGAGTCGACATTGCAAAATATTTCTATGTGAAATTTCATTAAATTTAGCAAGAAATATGCAATTTATAAAATATATGGATGAAAATGTGAAACTGAAAAAACAATTTTCACACTTAGCGCCTTTCTGATCATGACTCGTGTTGGTATTGCATTTGCATGCTGTTGCTGGTAGGACGACAGTCGCAGGTACGCAAATTGTATTTCTAAATTGTCAATAAAGCATTGGAAATCGACAGAAATTAGACCCAAAACTGGAAAGATCAATTGAAAAAAGAGAGAAATGTCAATTCGCTTCATGAACGATCGTGTGTAATTCATAGTACTGGTATAGTGTTTGCATACATCTTACATGTCTGGTTGTATATTTGTAGATACTTTCAATAGTCGTATTCCTTCTCATGCCTTTACCTGCCCCAATTGGACTACGACAGGTATGAATGCATAAGGCTATTTGATTCATTCATTATTTCCTGCATGATCAGGTTCGCAAAGAACGCGAACCGTAAGCTTGCGACAGAAATAGTCAATCAGCTAACATAATGGTTATATTTATTTCTGATTGTTTGTATATAGATTCGTAACGTTTTTATTCGCCCTTGTAAATTCAACAACCATTTTGAAGCAGTCAGCATAACATTTTGTCAATGGCCATGACGCTCGCGGGCATCTTACTTTCCGGAGGGAGACCGCTGAGTGGAACATCGTGGGCTCTTATTTTCCCTTTAGTTCTTATCTCTACCTCGGTACCAGTTCTCTTCAAGAAGATCGTAAAAGCGGCAAAGACTCACGATTCAAAAACAAATTAATGAATTTCGTCAGGGAGGAATATAATGGAACAGTTTAAGGCGATTAAATTAGCTCTACCGTAGACATCTTGCATCTCTTTAAAAAAAACAGTGCATTCGTCAGCTTGAAAAAAGCTATACCTTTTCGGCTGCGTCAAATGCGTCGTTTTTAGTCATTGTACAATTACAAGAATCTTATAAAAAACGTTTACTTGTGTGAGTCCATGTTTTATCAGATGCAAATCTGTGTTATGACGTATATGTTGACAAAGAATGATTCTGATTGGACAACGCGCTTGCCAAATTAGGAGCACGACCCAGACTTGTTTTAAAGGTTGTACCAGTAGTTTTACGGAGTTCAAAGTCTTAATGTAATAAATAAAAGAAAATCTGAAGAAATCCTAAACTTCCTGTCCATATCTGATAACACAAGATGAGTTTCCACTGTAAAATATATAGTTCATTATTGCGAAAAGCAGCCTTTTATATTGTTTGAAAAGTGTATAGCGTATCAATATCGTAAGATAGCAGGATAATCATATGCAAACGCTGAGCATTCTTATAGTTTTGACTAACTTGTCGAACATAATTATATCTTTTTATAAGCACTGTGTTATAAACGTGTATATTCCCGGCGTATCTGTTGAAAGAACGTCTGCTTGCCGTCAGTCGCTTGTTCAAATTATCACTGACTCATACACGAGCAAATACGAATGCTAGTTCAATAAGACGATCGAGACGTCGGTGCCATGACTGGGGTGGACCATCGTAACTCAATACACTCATCGAACATAAACAAGTCAAACAACAAAGACGTGGAACAAAAAACTGATCTGGTTGATAAAAAACCTAACCGTAGGAACAAAGACTTGCCAAGTATAATTTTTTTTTCAGAGCGAGGAATTCGATTTGCATCATGGTACCTTCTTTAAAAGATATGTTCTACTTGGGACGGCCGAAATTTTTGATGTACAGTAACGTCATCTACACCGTGGGTGTAGCAGCGTCGTATAAATCAAATCCCACCTTGCCTTTTCATCTTTGGTCATACATTTGGATTTGTCTCCTGGTCCACGCTGTCCACGCGATGACTCACTATTTCAACGAATATTACGACTACGAGGCTGATTGCGCTAACAAGAACCCAAGCCCCTGGACTGGCGGTTCGCGCGTGTTGGTCGAGACAAAAGTCAAACCGGAAGTCTCGTTGGTGATAGGAAGACTACTGGCATTGATAGTGTTGTTAAACGCGATCATTTATCATGGAATCTTTGGAAATATCCCAGCAACGATCATTATAGTACTTGGTGTCATTCTTGGTCATGGTTACAGCGCCTGGCCACTTAAAACCTCGCGTAGAGGTCTGGGAGAAGCAACCGTATGCCTCGTTCTGAATATTCTAGTACCGTTGGCTGGTTACCATTCACATGATCCAAGTTCACCATTCGGTAATAGGTTGCTATGGCCAATATTACTCCCGCTGTTGCCAATACAATATGTTCGAATAATGGTCATGAACATGGCTGACCTGGAACCTGACAAAATTACAGGTAAGTTGTCGACTTCCTATTGCTAATGAACTAAGATCTTTCAGTTGGAATTTGACCAGGCTTGCACCTATACGCTTTCATAAACTTCTATCAACAAAACTTATTTTCGCGTACAACCATTTCATGCTATAGGGAAACTTACGCTGGTCGCGAGGATTGGAATGAAACTATCGTGTGTGATTCATGGCATTGGTATCGTGTTTGCTTACATCTTACATGTCTGGTTGTATATTTATGGATATCTTTCTACAGTCGTATTTCTTCTCATGCTTTTACCTGCCCTGATTGGACTACGACAGGTATGAATAAGGGCCAGTTTGATACTTTGATTCACGTTTTCAATTTTTAAAAAAATGCCAGAGAAAATTTGATATTTGGTCTCCCAAGAGTGCAAACTTGCAGATGTATAATCCATACATTCAAAACGTCCGTCGAAGAGTTGGTTGCGGATTTTTTTGCTTTAAGCGACAGTAGGCAACATAATGAGATTTTAGACCATGCCTGCATGCAAAAAGCGATGTTTCAAAAATGTATATCGCATGACTGTATCTAAAAAATCTTCGTTTCAAATCACTGTTGAAAATTGACTTGAGGGCTGTGGCTAGAAGCTTATGCTCGACTGATTTCTTTTGTACGCTATTGTTCCTACGGTATATAAACATGAATATATGAATATAAATTATGTAATATTTTAGTTTTTGTTTTCCAGGTACGCAACGTCTTCATTCGCCCTTGGAAATTCGACAATCCGTTTTGGAGCAGTCAGCATAATATTCTATCAATGGCCATGGCGCTCGCGGGCATCTTACTTTCCGGAGGAAGACCGCTGAGTGGAACATCGTGGGCTCTTATTTTCCCTCTAGTTCTTATATCTATCTTAGTACCAGTTTCCTTTAAAAAGATGGTACAAGCGGCCAAGACTCACGATTCAAAAACAGATTAATGAACGCCGCCAGAAAGAGATATAATAACACAGTTAAGGCGATTAAAATAAGCTCAACGGTAGACACCATCTCTTTATAAATAAACAGTGCATTCGTCAGCTTGAAAGGACTTACTCTTTGGGGGGAGGGTGTTATTTTTCATGACCTCTTATAAAATTTGCGTTATCACGTAGTTTGTTGACAAAGAATGTTCAGATTGGACCACGTGGCCAATTTAGCCAATCAGCAGCACGATCCAGATTTGTTGTACCAGTTGTCTTACAAAGTTCAATGGAGAGTTTAAGTTCGACTTCCGATACCAATACCAACAAGTCTTGCGCATGCGCTGTGCTCGCAAAAAGCCCGAGGACAATTGTATTGGAAGTCGTCACTACCGTAGTCAAATATCGATTGGACAATGAAGCTCACGTGGTGCAAATGAAGTGCTCAGCAATTAATTTTGCGAAACCGCTCTAATAGCAAAGAAGGCTGCCCACCACAAGTTTCTTCGACCTGTGTGTATTGACGGAAAATGACTTGAATTCGTTAACTTTTATCTATCACTTGTTACACAATGCAATCTTCTTTGCAACACAATTATAATTTTTAGAGATGTTTATTTGTAAAAAGTGTTCGAAATGCTATGAAAACGTCAGCCGATCGTAAGAAACGTTCGTCTTTGATAACCGTAAGCCAGGTGCACACGACGCGACTTTTTCAGTCGAAAGATTTTTGTACTGACCGAGTGAAAGGGTACCATCAATCCAGCATGTTTGAAGCTAATCCTAACGGTCAGTATACACATAAAATCGGACGCGTTTTAGACCAGCCTCTGAAGTTTCTAAATACAAAGTTAATTAGGCAGAATGCCGAGTTTTGATGACAGCAAGACACAAATATTCAAATCGTGACCGCGTATCACAGAGCTAGGGATAAATAATAAACCTCGGTAACAAATATCAGGGGCCGGTGGTATGAAAGCCGGATAGCGCTATCCACCGAATAGTGTTTTTATAATCGCTGTAAAATCGCCCGTTGTTTGCTATAACTTTGAATAAATCTTAGTATTCCTAAATCGAGGACCTCTTTAATAATTGTTGGTTCCAAAGATGAAATTTTATCGCTTTTCGAGCATTTTAGAACGGTTGAAAAATCACTATCCGGTAGCTAGCGCTATCCAGCGTTCGTACAACCCCAAGTGCTTAAAGAATCGTTTATTTAGCACTAACCTGTTGAGATGACCATGACCATGTTCTGTTAAATTTAGCCAGGTTCATTTGGGTAAAGTTTCACACCAAAAAGTTTTAAAAGTTACCCGAAAACTGCTGGAATGATAGCCGAATACGTGCAAGATTTCATCTCGAACTTGCTGGCAGCATGCATCTAGAATTTGCAAGTAATTTGCATACCAATCACATGCATATTATATAAAATTGAATCATTAGGCAGACTTTGACGTTCTGGTTGGTTATTTCAAAGAAGCTTTATCCTGTGACTGGCTTTTGTTAAAATATTTATTGGTTCAAATCCCACAGGCAGGGGTTGATGAAGAAAACAAGAATGCAGCGTGAATATGCAATGCATAAATTTCCTTTCCCTTCGTTATTTCTCGGGTAAGCGGGATTAAGGCGTTCTCCATTTGTTTGAATTCCCCAGTGCGCAAAATGCTTTGTCTATCGGAAAATAACACAATGCATCACCGATTCTTAAGAGCTAGGATTCACACTTATCGTAAGAATCTGGAATTCCCTTTGTCTGAGGACACTGGTGCGCAAGATCCTTTGTCTATCAGATAATAACACAATGGGTCCCCGACTCCCCGATTCTTAGGAGCTGGCGTGAACCAGGCTTTAGGCCTGTTTCAGACGACGAACTTTTCATGTGCCGAACCTGATGTTATAATGAGCTAAAGTCTTCGGCACGTAAAAAGTTCAACGTCTGAAACAGGCCTAAAGCCTGGCTCACACTGGCTCCGGGAATCCATTGTATTATTTTCCAACAGCCTGACAAAGCATTTTGCGCACCAGCGACCTCAGACAAAGAAAATCACAGATTCTTAGGATAAGTATGGACCAGGCTTAAGGCTGGTTTAAACAAGCCCTAAGAATCTGGGATTTGCTTTGTCCACAGTTCTTTGTCCGAGGCTCCGAGCACACTAGTGAGCAAAATGTTTTGAATGTGATACAATGAAACCAGTATGAACCACTCTAATGTAAACAGCCCCTAAAATGCTAGTAAAATAAACTCCGCTGTGCTTCGAGAACAAAGCGCATTACTTGAAAAATTATTGCAAATAGCGGCTGAATACACGGTAAATTATGGTTTGAAACAGTAATATATATATTGTTATGTACATAAATACAATAGCTTGCTAGAAAACTCGTTTCTAGTCCCTTTACTGTTATGACGTTGGAAACACGAGAGAGAAGGTAACATAGACAGGCGATGGAAGATCACGTAAAGTTATCACCTTCAAAGAAAGATTAAAATGAAAAAATACACTGATAACATACTACACCGAAGGGGGGGGGGGACACCGCAGAAATTGGTGTTTAAGACGTTTCAACCCGAAAATCTAATCGCTGGTTCACAATTGTGCATTTCTGTATCGCCCTATCAAAGAGAAACCTTTTGAATATCTTAAAAAAGTTCAATTTTTCTTCTGAATACGCATTCTGCAATCTTTTGACAGCTCATCATACACATCTGACCGCTGTGAAATGGCCATTTTGAGGCTTAAAGTATACACAAGGTTATTAATTCAGACGATTCGTTTTTACCGTGAGCAAGCTTCAAATCTTTTGTGCAAGACATATTTTCTTGAATATTTATAAATCTTTTTCCTCACCAAGTTTGAAGTCTAAGTATCGAGAATTGCGGCTAAGCCTATACCAATTTCCGCGGTGTCGGGGGGGGGGGAGGTGTAGGCCATTGGCTGCAGGCAACAAAAAAGGTTGTTGACGGATATCTTTGTTTTATCATATTAAATATTAGTATTTTTCCAATCACAAATAAAATCATCTTGTATTAAACGGAGTAAAATTCTATTAGATTACACGAAGTAAATTGACCGGGGAGTTCTCTATCAGTGACTAAAATCACTGAAAACCATTGAAGAAGACGGGGTTTTTTCCGGTGAACGTTTCGAGACGGCAAATGTCATTGAAAATAAAAATTTAGCCGAAAATTACGCTTTGTACTATCACTTTAGGCGCTATTTCGTTCTAAATATTCACCATACCTCACTCCTATTTGTTTTTGCATCAAAACCGAACGCCTGGCTGAGTATTCCTAAGGTAAAAGAAGAATACAATAAGTTCAAGAGCATGTTACCAACAAAATACATAAAAAACACATTCAAAATCTACGAGAACTTAATCGTACCGCTGGAATAAACTTGCGTTGCATTGTCCTCTTCCCATTGGACGCGAATACTGTAACGAACCTAAACATAAGACGTTGACCTGAAAACACTGGATGCATGCAGCAGCCGTGGTCTCCCTCATAACTGAAGTTAATAGCGGCCATATTGGTTGACCATCATAGGTAAGCGATAGTGTTAGTACGATTTTCTATAGGTCTCTAGTTACTGTTTGGGAAATATCGACTTCGCCTGTAGATAAGAGTTTATTGAGGAAGTTGTCTTTCATAACTTTGAAGGTAGGTATTTATCCATCGTTATTTAACTAAAAATATTCCGGACGCAGGATGTTTTGCCATAAGAGAGTTCAAACATAGTCTTCTACCACTGACCGAATGATAAGCATGAACTAAAACGCTTTTCAACTCACCTCCCTGTCTTGTCTTAGCGAGAACGTATGACGCGCGGTTGTACTGTAGGACATCGGATCATCGGGACGTAACCTCTAAAAATTCACAGGAAAACATTTCGCGCCAAAATTATCGTAGGTAAATAATATTATATCGATTCAGTTTGAACATAAACGACCACAAAGTACCAGAAAACGATTGCAGGCGAGGTAAACTCGACTAATAACTCGTTTTCTGGCATATTTTTCGCTTAATATGTCAGTAGTGAAGATTTGTCGTCCTGACCTGTAGATAAAACAAATGTCGGCCATCTTCCTCTTGGGTTGCCTTTAGTTCAAAGTGAAAACCGTGGAGGGACAACATACTTGAATGATAATGAATGTGCTGCAATTGCAATAATACATTTCGATTTTATTCGTTTCGTTACGTTTGGCAGGAATTCGTAGCGCATGTAGAGAATATAAGCAAACTTTGTAAACTTTGGTTTTACGCGCGAGAAGTTGCTACATTTTACAGAGGGATCAATTTCCGCGCGTAATTATACAAAAGAGTTTAGAGGTCTATGTTGGCATTATTTCGCCCCAAACTTTGCGAGTAACTGAATTTGAAAGTTAACTGAATTTGAAATATCACAGACCTGGTCTAAAATGAACCCAGCTCGAACAGCACCTTGATCGAATTTTGTCAACAAAGACATATCACCACCACCGCCTTGGAGCTTATGAGAAAAGAAAAGGTTATCGTAACCTACGACGTTCACATCAGTCAAAAGAGGAAAATCGCACCTGAAAAAACGGGGCAAAAATTGCGAATGAAATTGGCTTGTATAAAACTACAAGTGTACAACTTACAGCGTGGTAATTTTGACTGTAAATATGGAGAAGCCAGGCATGAGGTATGATGTTCATCTTGTAAATTTCGTCAAGATGTATACCTGCATGTAAACAACATTTTAAAACGATTCGAAAACGTCATAATAAAGGTGGGGTACAGTGTGTAATATAAACAAACGCTTAGTTTATATTTTGAATCCGTATATTTCCTAAAATATCACGAACTTTTAAAATATTTGACACGTTTTTACTCCGCTATACTTTCAAATGAATATGAGAGAACATATGAGTTTACGTTCAGAGATATACGAAACATGCAAAATTTGAGCAATTTTGAAACAAGAGACTATCCAGTGTTATGGGCAGAACTGATGCGCATAAACGACTGTAACCCCCTCTTAAAATGGCAATCATTAAAACGAATATACATGGCCCAAGATGCAATGCGCACTCCAGACTTGAGATTCGAAATTTTAACTTTTCCCGTGTAACCTCTCTTAAACTGGCATCATGCAATATATTTAACGCCTCTTGTTAGCACTTACTATCAGTGATAGATATTAGTCTTAGAGACCGCAGTAAGCCAGTGTATCCCTGACCCTAAAATGGCATAAAAATATGCTTTATATATCATTAAAATTTACCAACTCCACATAGAACGGTTTGAATTGTAATAAACAGTATAGAATTGTAAACGTTGCTAGGATATTGCAGTTACCTCAGCTCGATCAAGAAATGCACTGGTCTTCGAAAGACTGAAAGACAGTAAAAACATTTCGTTTATTTGAAGTGTATTTCTGCCCGGTGCGATTGGTGCAAAGGGAATTGAATTTTATGGGCTTTGGAAAGACTAAGACTTCATTCCGCCTAAAAGGTCTATCCAATTGAGTTTTTTGTTTTAAAGTTTTTGACTAATATACTGAGACAGGATTCTAGTCTCGTAGCGGCCTTTCCTTTAACTGAAAATTTCCCAAAGGATCGCGGCAAACGGGCTACCGCTTACCGCTCTGAACCATATCGACGAGTTTAAAAAAAATAAATACAATATTAAAAAGAAAAATTCGAGGTATTTGAAATTTCAAGCACCTAATATTTATATACACAATCAAGGACCAGGATCTATACTAGTCAATTCGAGGACTCTCAAGGACTTTTCAGTTTCTTCGTTTCACAGTCGTTTTAACTTACCTCATAAACCAAGTTACTACGCTGCCCCAGGATGGCATAACCTTGAATAAAAGAATTACATTATGAATATTTCTGTCGACCGAGCTTGCCATTCAGAATGCAGTTTGTCCATTTATTGAAATAATTTTTCTGCAGATCAATTCGTTTTATTTACTTACGCGTAATTTTGGATGTTGGTGAAGAAAGATCCAAAAAGCAAGAACTTTGTACAGCGAATACTCATTCCAAGTGAACAACCTTTTGAGGAGTAAAAACGAAACGCTCATGACATCTAAAAACCCTTAGAAATTTCCTGTGCACACAGACAGCGACAACTACATGCAGAGGGCATTTATAGGTCGAAGATTCTATTCCTTCAAGAGGATCTATAGTTAAAATTTCCGTCGCTGCTCTTAGTTTATAATTTTAACATAAATATGGAATCATACAAGTCCCTGTATACGCGATTCAAAAACCCTTTAACAGCATTTTAAATAACTTCACAGCGCACCTGCTTGATTTCAACAGCTTCTCGAGGACTTCCTGACGAAGATGACTGAGATAGATTTGCAGGGAGAGCTGTAGAGGAAAATATATAAGGTTTTCGGGACATGTTTATAGTTTCATTTCAACCAATCACACGCGACCCATACAAGGATGATCCGTTTTATTCTAATAATGTAGGGGGCTGTTTACATGAGCCCGGTTACCCAAGATTCAACGAAGTGTGAGAGGACTTTGAGGTATTGAAATAAGTCTTTATGACACCAAAAAAGAACATGCTATTGTTGTGGTGATTATACGACTGCCATGATCATGTTATCTGCTCATTTCAATACCTCAAAATCATCTCATGCTTCGTTGAATCTCGGGTAACCGGGCTCATGTAAACAGCCCCTTAGTCTTATAATTAAACGTATTGCAGAGCCATGCTGAGATATGAAATATGGAATTCGTATTGATCTAGTCCCACCTGTGGTACAAGATTTAGCTCCAGCCATCTTTCACAAGCATCGATCACCGTGAGCTGTTTGTACTAAAAAGATGAAAGCTAATTCATAAATGGCAATTCAGGAAAGACTGGTTTCTGAACTGATGAAACATAATCCTATACAATACCTTTGTGGCGACGCTGTGGTAGGCACAAACAGTCGAGGCCGAAATCGTTTTCAGCATTGCGTCGACACAACTAAATAAAGTTGAAAAGATAGTTAAAAAACTTTTCTTGCACAGTTAGTTGGGAATTGTTTACACTTTGCAAAGTTTGCATATTCCTGAAACTTCATGAATTAGGATCTGCATGGAAATTGAATTCCTATACTAGGACACATTGAAATGTACATATAAGGTTTCCAAAGTGCATCTTATATATTGTAGTTTGAAGGATTTGAACTCGGACTTTACCAGGATTTTGAAGTCATGCAGCATGCTCGCGGCTCGCCTATATTTAACTGAGCACTCGGAATCACGGAAAATCTCGGTGATCACGGAAAGGTACTTTCGCAAGAAATCTTACGTTTTCTTCAGTTCTCCAAATTCCAAGAGATTAGCTGCGGCAAGCACTCCAACAACATCTGTGTCGTCCATTTTCACGTGATCCACGTATAACGAGCCGAGCGCCAAAGCAAAAGCTATAACGTTGACGTTTTAATACACGTTAAAATAAACCACAAACAATCATTTACTAATTCAGACAACTTTTCACAACGAAACTTCATTTATTTGACTCCTATGAATATGCGAATAAACTGCTGGAAGTCCTGGAAATGCGTAACCACTCCAGTTCATAAACTACTTTCAGTTAAATATGCATTCAGAGAATTTTAGACTCGAGTTCAGTTTGTAGCAAAGATTCTCCGCAAGACAAAATGTTGAAAAGCGCGACTAGTTGTGACTACCTTGTTTCGTCAACAGCGGGTCTTTCACCTTCAGTTTAAGAACCATCGCATGTCCAAACGATGGTGTACGTACAAGTTTTAACGCCGAGGCCTTTTCTTCCGTGGGTATGGACACCCCCACGGCACTCTTGACCGCATGAAGATCAACTGCTGAGCGACTTGGTGCTAGGCAGGCATGATAACAATGATGAAAATGCTAATTATGAAATTTTCCGAGATTACGCTATCCCTAAGACAAAGAGGGCTACCCCTGCCTCAGAGTCATCACTCCAGTCAACATTAGTGCACACGTCAACTGGGAGACACCCTCAGAGTTATCACTCCAGTCAACATTAGTGCACATGTCGCAGCACTGTCAGTGAAATATACCTTGTTTTTCCAATGTCTCGTTGTCGCTGTCTGACATCATTTCCGCAACCAAAGATTGTTCATTTGCCTCCTTTACCATTCTCTTTAGCAAACCGGACTTTTGAAAATATGGCTTGTGCAGTTCCCATGCAGTGCCCAGCGCGTACAGAATCACATCTAAAAACAGTCACCAGTGATGAAATTTGAGAAAGATTGAACGTTGCGAGAGAACCAATCCCGGGACAAACCGTTTAAAGTCGGTAATGGACTGGAGTGCTGGTAAAATTCTACATTTGAATAAATATTATAGCTCATGAATAAAGCCATTGCCTCCTTTTGGAGTTGCCGAAAGGATAGACGGGGGTTTTTACGGGGGTCCATTGGATCGCAGCCTGATACTGATTGATACAATCATCGCGTGGTGTTTAGGAAGCGATATTAGACAGACTTAAGCCGGTTTTCCACTAGCGATATTTTTCGCGCGAAGCGACATTTTACTATTGTTCCAGAGCTCTCAACTGCAACCATCTGGAACAAATTGCTCAAATACAAAGGAATAATGTCGCTTCGCGCGAAAAATATCGCTAGTGGAAAACCGGCTTTAGATCGAGGACGTGAACGTCAAGAGGACGTCAGTTCGATGCGCGAAGTCTGGATCGACTCACCTGCACCTCGTGCACACGTCGTGGCCTGTGAGTGATAGAGGAACAGTTCCATTGGAGTGGGTTCGTGAGCCGCTAAGGGAGGAACACTTTTGTTGAAACGAACTTGTTGAACTTGAGTCTTGAGATCTGAACTCCTCCCCTGGCTTCGCGACACACGATTGTTTGCCTGCCAACTGAAAATAAATCGTGGATTGAGGCTATGTGCACACGAGCGTCGTTTTCGAGCGTTTTCAAAATCGTTTTTGTCCATTTTATTGTTTTGACGCCCTGTCCACACGTTCCAAGGAAAAATATGCTTTATCTTATAAGTTAGCTTCAACTTCTATTGTAAATTGACGGTGTTTCGAACCGTTTTGGCATGAAAACGAAAATGAAAACGCTCGAAAACGTTACCGTGTGCACATAGTCTCAATGGTTCAGTGTGGTTTTGTAAGGGGGGAGGGGCATAGAAGTTGAGAAGAAAAGTGATGCTACTTAGTCACAAAACTTTTAGTAATTGGACGTACCACATTCTATTAACAAGTCCTTCAAATTTGAATTGCTAGCATAATTTGTACCCATGCTCCTAAACCTAAACTGGAGAGTGGACCCCTTATTTTTACCCCCCCTCCTGGTCCCCCAGTAAATCCATTCCTGTGCACATCAAATTTTTCTAAAGCAAACAAACTTTATGGGCAGAGAATACCAACCGAGAATTTCGATGTTCACAGTTTAACATGTCAGCTGGTGCCGTTCGTAGATGGTCCCTGCTTCCAATGGCGGGAACGTCGGTCATCGCCACGTCTTTGTGTGAAGATCGCGACAGTTGTGGTGCCGTGTGGTTAAAAGAAGTTCTCGTGTAATCCGCTGAGCGATGAGAAAGAATAGAATATCAAACGATTCATCGCTATTTTTTACGTTGAGATATGGAAAAAAGGGAATGAAAAAAGATTGATGCGATTCCAAACACGAATATTTGACGTCATGATAAAAACGTTTTAGTCATCTCTACGATGAATGATTATTTCAAAACAGGTTGGATGACATAAACGAGTCTCGTTTATTTCAGATTCAATTTAAAATTAGCCGGAAAGTTTTTACTAGTAAGGGCAAGCGTTTGCAGAAACGCCAAGTGCTACATGTAACTCCAATCTCTCATGACTGTACCGGAAAGTATCGACTCTGAACTCTCATTGTAAGGCACAAACACAGACTTCATAGCTTGTGAAGAGCCGAGTAAATCGGAAGCAACATTCTCGGGTATTCGCCAACGATTGGTCAGACCAACTAGAGCCCGTTTTTGACACTTTGGAATAGACGGGGCCTGGAAAAGATGTAAAATATATATTTTGCAGGCTTCATTAACAAGATGACAAATATTTCAGGGGGGCTTAACATCATAAGTTGATAGAAAACAACAGTGGAGTACAATGGATTAAAAAATCGTTTGCTTGAAACTGAATCAAAGGCATTGTTTGCTTTGGATTGGGAAGCACAGGAAGTTTAGGTTGTCTTTATTGTGCTGTCTATGACTGAGATATGCATTGAAACCTTTTCGGGTGTGAATTTTGGGCAATTTATTCTAAATCTAGGATTTAAAACGCAATGCCTTCATTGATCCAATTCACCCTGAATTAGCCATACCTAATGCATTTGACATACTGTACCTTAGGGGGAGGTTTAGTGTCATATTTTGTCCCAGATAAAGCCAGCCAAGGTGCTTCATGTATAAACCTTGTAAAAACCAAGCAATCAAAATACAAAGCAGTTAATTGTTAAATGAATTAATGCATTAATGCTCATATTTTTGTGGATTGAATAACTATTTTGAGGGGATGTTATTACAGTTTTACTGCCTTTGGCAACGCTATAGCACAAATTAATCCAGCGGTCTTGGGGTAAGAGTTTGGCAATGATTGAGCTACAAGCAATGTCAGCTGGAAGTGAATCAAGCAGTTATAAGTGGTTGTATAATGGCAACAGCTATTTCAGTTTGAAGTGAAGAATTGACAGTTAGTGTACTTTCATTTTACAAAGAGCCATGTCACCACATGCTGCTCTATATATAATGGCTTAATTCTGTACTGTCAGCTGGCATCCATGTTACAGGCTTTAATTAAAATAATTAATATACATTATTTGCATGCGTTGCAAGCTGATTTGAGAATGAGTTCAATCAAGCCTATATATTTGTAGAAAATCTGGTAATATAAACTGCAGCCTCGCAAATAAGGCACGAGAGAGCGATATTGAAAGACTGTCTCTAATATATTCTTACTCGCACAATCATGTATTATAAATACACATAATTCGGTGATAAAACATTCATTATTTTTTTAAAAAACTCCATGTTTTTAGAACAAATTGTAATATGGAAACCGGGAACATTAGGTCTGTTCGGAATTGATTTGATTCGAATCAAATCTTTATTTATTATTAAAATAATCGGTGCTCAGTGCTTGAATTTAAAAACACCAAGGCACAAGCCATACATACCTGCTGTAAGACTTTTTCTGCGTTTTTGCAGGCGGTATTGAAGGTAAGTAAGGCTTTGGAAGCGGCGTAATCGAACCGTCTTGAAGAAACATGTTCGAATTATCGTAAACACACCTCAGAGCGGCCGCCATATTTGTTTTCATCTCCAAAGCGTTGGTAACCATAGCAACAACCACATCTCTGGTCAGTGGTCACGTTAGCAAGGACATTGGCACCCAAGAAAAGGCACAAAAATACTTTATCGACTCACATTTACTCATGGCATTTACTAACCTTTTATTTCAATTTCTTAATTCATTTTACTATGTAACAGCTCGAATAATTTTTTAGCACATAGTGCTTTCTTCAAGTCGAGGTGTCAGGTGAAATTCACGAGCTTTTTACAACGAATGGTTATCGACTTCCCCAGCCGAAAATGGGGATGTATATCCCAGGTATTCAGTACAGTAAAGATGGCCGATATACACAAGTCATTTTGGTGATTTAGTGCCTAGTTAACTAAATTTCGGACGACTCACGTTTTGGAAAAAGGTCCACTTACCATCTTTTCCGTATATACTTCCGGGTTTTCAAATTACTTTACATTTTACTAAACAATTTCTTTACTATTTCGTTCTGAAAACTGGAAGTTGACTGCCATTCGATGCATGATATCAAGATTCATACTTATTAACCCATCCATACAAGGTGTCCCAGAAAAGGCATTTGAAATCAATCTATTGACTATTGCCAGTTATCGCACTAAATATGCAATACTGCAGTGGTAATGCAAAATGTTTCACGGAATTTTGTGTCCAAGCTTAGCGGAGCGACTAATAAAATGATAACATTAGAAAGATTCACGAAATTTTAGTCCTTTTTTAGAACACCGTGTATAGCTACATTTCTTATCATAAAAGTATTTGCAAGTAAAATTACAATACATCTCTCTCATAGGATTACGCCACAGATTTCATACAACTAGGGGTTTTGATAAGAATGAGGCTCGTGGCGTAAAGACTAAAGTACATGGACCAGAGGCAGAGTATTGCTGTACAGCCATATCGAGTAAATAATTATCATCTTAAATTAAAACTGGGCCCGGTACGGGTCCGTATGTATAGAACGACTAAACTATTCAATTTAGAAATAAACATAAAATTTACAATTCTTTGGGGAACCAGGAACGTCAAAGAGCTTGGCAAGACATTTCTCATCAGAATATCGGTACATCTTGTTTTAGATTGTTGGGACAGTGTGGTTTTTTTGACTTTCTGCATCGACTTGGTCGTTCTGCAACAACGATTCCTTGTCTTCTTTCACCGACTCCTTTCTTTCCATAGTCTTATCTACAATCTCTTTATTTTCATTGTTTTCTGATTGCTCAATGACAATGTCTGATTGCCTTTTCGCCCGCTCTGTGGCTAATTCTATCAACCTCGCTTTCTCATTGGGAAAGCTTTTTCTTTTAAATCTAAGTTCATCTCGCTCGCTTTCCCTCGGCCAACTTTTCCTCTCGACCTCCGCATCTTTGCTTACTTTTCCCGCCAAACTTTTACCGTTGATTCCAGGGATCTCCGGCGCTTGGCTTTCAGACAAACATTCTCCCTTAACCTTAGTCTCTTCACTCACCTTTTCGGGATCTTTTACATCAGCAACCAGCTTCATCTCATCTTCATGACATGAACTTTTCTCCTCTAGAAAATTTGTTTGTGCTTTTTCTTTCGTGCCTACTCCATTTTGCAACTCCACCGTCTCCACAGTTTCACTTTCCTCCGGAATTTTGTCATCGTCAAAATTATGTAAATTCCTTTGTTCCTTGATATGTTTCTCTCTATACATGCAAACACAGCCGTTTAAAATAAGGCAACAGAGACTATCCGCCTGCATGGACTATATTAAGCACATTCAGTTTCTCTTGCCTCATTCAAAATAGCCGGGAGTACAAATCGCCGGTATGAACAATACATTAATTAGAATCCAACCTACCTTTCACGGTTATATGGTATAAACTTTCGGTTCAGAGTTTCCAATTTCATCTGCATCGGAGTTAACACGACATTACCAGTACACTGAAAATGTGAAATTACGTCACATCAATCAAGCGATGTGGTTTCTTAGAGCGCGACGAATGATTTCACTCCACTGAACTATATAGATAAACTGGAGGGCTAACCCAGAGGAGACCTTGTACCTAGGCGGCGAGAGAGAGTGAAACTACTGCTATTTAGTTCCACTGAATTACAAGCAGAAATACTTAAGACTAACGCTTTACAAAAGCTAATGAAAACTCTATTTTAGTGTTGAAATTTTAAGACTTTAGCGGGAAGAGGGAAGTAAAAAATAATTAGCAACTTTTGACAAATTGGAGTTGTTTTTTAATTCCAATATATTGTAAGTATTCAGCTCATAAATTGGAAAAACTTTGTCTTTAGGCAAATATAGGAATTTTTATCACTATCCATCACTGCTTCAGCTATAGATAAACAGTCGAAAGTTTTTACTCTGGTAAGAACGAAATTCAGTCAACAGCCACACTGGGCTGCCCAGTAGCGTAGCCAGCCTAAAAATTTAATCCAAACATGCAAATTTTAGGTTACCTATCATAATATCATAAGTCATGTTTTTAGAAATTCATTGTTCCCACAGTCAGCGAACACCAAAATATTAGCATAGCGGGACAAATCGTCAGGCTGGCTATACACTGCGGCGCAGTCGCTACACGAAAGCAATTTTCGCTGCGAAATATTGTAAAATTTGGAAAATATAGGCTTTGGAATTTAAACTTATTCAGGATCAAAAACCGGCAATTTTACCTCATTGAACGAGAATCATGAAAAATTTGAGTTATTTTACAATATTTCGCAACTCTTTCTCTCGTTGTGATGTTGGATTTCGTTTTTACCAGGATAAAACTTTACTCTGAAGCTGAAATAATCAAATGACCTTTTGCATAATAGACCTACTTTTGCTTTTGGCAACAAAAAGGGAATTTCCGAAAAGTGCATACTAAATTTACAAAGTTTGGCCGCGAATTATTGTAAAGTCGGAAAATATAACCATGCGAAGTCAAACTTGGCAATTATACAATTTCGGTATGCTCTTTTATGTGATTTATTTCCTTCTTGTTACCTAGATCTAGAAGTTGGTCTATTATGCAGGTCCATTAATAGGAGACTTCAGAGCATCGATTCGACTTACAACTTTATTGCTGTTTTGTTTCGCCAGCCTTTTCTTTTTCTTGTGAAGTGGATTCGGCTCGATGATCATCTCCTCGAGCTCATAGGTCGGATCACAGTTTAAATGGTCTTTCTGTTTTTGAGAAAATGTTGAATCATAGAAAACGAATGAGAAAAATCACAGCAATGCACAGGTCCTAGCCAGGCTGCCGTTAAACCTAGACCAACAGGCGGTCGGTACAGACAGAAGTCTTTGGACGAGGAGTATCACTCAAAATTGCTAAAGGGCTTTTAGAAAATCCGTATAAATATTGTTAATTAAGAAAAAATGCAGATTTGTGCTGTTCCTGCCCTTTGGCAGTCTGAGGGTTCAGTGTTGCGTTTTTATATACGATTTCCTACTTTTGATAAATTTGGGGGAGTCTTAGGGTCTCTGATGTATCCACTCGTTTACATCTTTCAAATCTCACCGAAAACCGCAGCAATAATTACTATACAAAAGAGTCTTCGAGAGTATTTCAAGCCTATTCCATTCCAATATGAAAACTTTTCTTAAAATTATTCGATATACTATTGTTCTTAATTTCTTTTTTATTGTAACGCAAAAGGAGTTAGAAAACGTTTTTCCCATTAACTCAGTTATATCCAATTCACCGGCCTTTCATCCCTCCCCCATTGCCATTCCTCCCCCATTGCCCTAAAGTTCTCCCTTATTGCCCCAAAGTTCTCCCCCATTGCCTTTTTTCCCCCCATCACCCTTTCCTCCCCACTCAACTGCTGAAGCATTCACTTACAGAGGGTATAAACGGAACGCTGATTTCTTTTCTGGACAATGATTCCCAATCAAGCGACCGCATTAATTCACATTCCTTGAGTTGCTCGACAGTGTTCAGCCTTATCTTAGGATCGATGTGTAGAAGCTAGAGAAAGCAAAAACACAATAACTCAAAAATTACTGTAAATTCTCCTGTAGTCCTTTCTCTACACATTCTATAGACACTTGCGATTTTCTTTTTCTGATAGATGTGAACGAGTGAATTGGTTACGGATGTTCAAATAAGAGCTTTTATACATCAGAGCATTCGTAACTAACCACTCGTTCACATCTACCAAAAGAAGATAATCGGGCCTTATCCAAAATACTCCAATGGAAGTCATATTGATCAAGATGCTCTGATAATTGAACAAGATTTGATTCTTGAAGCTTTTACCTTTTGAATAAGATTTTTGAAGTTTTTTGTCCAAGAAGAAGGGCACATCAGACAAGACGACTCAAACATCTGAATGACGTCGGATAAATTTGTATTCGAATTGATGTGATAAGGTCTCTAAATAAATAGACGCAGATTTGCCGAAATTTCTTGACATAAAAAAAACATTGTTAATAAACAGAGACATATAAATTCCGAACTGAATAAAGCCATCTTCCAATTCAAGGTGTGAGTGAAGTCAAGAAATGCGAATCTATGTTTGGCAACTTTTTGACCGACAGTCTTTTGACTTGAAGTCGAAAAATTGTACATAAAATGAGAAAATTCACTTTTCTCTCTTTAAAGATGGCCTTTTTTTCGAAGTCTGCTTCTTTTCAAAGTCTTCCTCTTTCATTTTTTTAATCAGAGACATCTCACCTTTCCTCTCAAGATCTCAAAAATTGAGATCCCGAGACTCCACCAATCAACTTCATAGGAATATCCACGTTGTTTACCAAGCGAGGTTTTAAAAATCTCAGGAGCTTCAAGCATGAATTTGGGTGGAAAAAAGAAATTTACTTTAATTACGTAAATTCTTACTAAAAACCTGTATATTCTAGTATATCCCCTACAAACCATGCATGGCCCCATCACCCCATAGCCAGGGGGTGGCCCATATCCCTCCCTCTTACAAATCCAAATTAGATCCATCCTTGCCTGCAGCTTTTTCTATTTATAAAAAACACACTTAAAATAAAACCACCACTTCAACATACCCATATATGGCTTTGTTCCAGACATTGATGTTGCCAGAGTGTTGTCATCTTCCATCACCGTAGCAACATTAAAATCTGTAAGATGTACATGACCTAAAACACAAGCATATCTTCATTGTTAGATTTTGCTACCACAGAATAGTCTGTGTTGATAAACTATAATGTACATACCCTTCACATCAAGCAGCAAATTGTCTGGTTTGATGTCCCTAACATATGTCCATGCAAAAACAGAAATATTATAGTTTGAACAAGTTTAGTTTGGACATAATTTACACAACATTTAACTTCCTATATTGTTTAACAGGAAATTTGTTTGACAATAGAGTTTTCTATGTCAACATTAAAGGCTTCTGTTTAATACAATTTCTTATGAAAATGGTTTTCATAGTTCGTACATTGCGAGTCTACACAGCCTTGTTTTTAAAACTCGCAGACAGCAATTGTTAATTGCTATTGTTGGTGCTTATTGATGCATAAAATGCTTTGCGTATTGAAAAAAAACTCTACTTCATTTGTCATTGATAATGGATCACAGAGCATCGCTGATGATCAAGTGATGAAGACCAGGCATAACTGCATAAATATTTTAATTCAAACCATTAGAGAGATGTCAATTTAAACCAAGATGAGATATAAACTGTACCTGTGGATTATCCTGTGACTTCTCAAGTACTCCAACGCCAATGCAATCTCCCCTATGTAAAACCTCACAACATCCTCGCTAAATTTGATTCCCTGTTGAAGATGGTACCTAAAGTCCCCTCCAAGCAGTAAGTCGACAACAACAAAGAGATCTTCCTCATCTTGGAAGGTGAACCACAAATTTACAAGAAAACTATGGTCCAACTTCATCAAGATGTCCATTTCTCGAAGCACATTTCGAACAGCATCTTTCTCGATGCAGACTGCCTTGCTCATGTATTTCATTGCATACATTTGCTTTGTATCTTTCTTTTCCACGATACATACCTAGGATTTATGAAAGAAAGGTTTAATATTAATGAACCAAAATATTCATTCATCCTGTGTAAAGGATGTACTTCAAACACCAAATCAATGATTTAGGGCATTACTACCACCTTCACCTATTTTATCAGAAACAGGCTAGGCATTTTAATTGAAAAAATGTTTAGAACTTCCCCCAAAGCCTTTCTAGAATAAAACCATGATTGTTCCACTGCCACATTCTAATTCGCTGAGCAACAGTTATTTCTATATAGTTGTATTTCATAACAACGGTTGTCACAAAATCACTGTCCACTCTGGACCACTTCAAATTAAATAATTTTCCAAGGGGTTTGTCACTTGCTAGTATTGTTCAGTGGCAGAATTGCTGCCATCAAAGAAGCTGGCTTTGTTCCCACACTAATTTATGTGCTTTTAGATAAGATTTATACAGTAGGTTCATTTCATGCTCCTTCCTTAATAAGAAACCACTTTTTTAAAAAAAATATCACTTGTGCCACAACAAAGGAATGCCATTAATTTTTATAATTCTTTCTTGGCATCCAGTGAAAAGAGACTAACAGTAGGAGGTGCTGTGAATGAGATACTCAAACAATAATGTTATGTCATGCTGCCTCCTTCATAAGACAGACAGCTAATATGGACATTCTTTATGACACTCCAATATACCTATGGATATTAGAATGTCAAAAACATGTTGTCATATTTATTGAAACAGTAAACACATATTGAATGGACAATTTGCATTATAAACTATTTATCTCTTTGGCTAGGAAGCTGCAAATCAATAGGAAAACAGCTGGAATTAGCATACTAAAATTATTAAAACTGCAAAGACTGCTGTGATATATGTTTTTAAAATTGGGAAAATATAGACTTGCAAGGTCTACACACTTCGGTATTGCATACAGAAATTGCAACCATTTATGGCACAAATGTGTTAACAATTTTTTGTGCGTAATACCAAAGTATACAATATTCAGAAATTTTACAAACCAATATTTTCACATCTCACAACCAAGGCATGTAATTTCAATAACATTAGTTATAAGGCTTTTTAAATAGAAATGTTATTTTATTACCAAGATAAAAAATAGCCTGTAATGTACATTGTTTATGTAAAAATACTAAAATATTTTGAATTAGATAGGTTAGCCTAATCCAACAGGCCGAATTGCCTCAAAACTTGCAAAACCGACTTTGGTTTAATTGTTAACATTATGGTTTCTGTTAAGGGTAAATTAGTCCAGATTGTTAGGACAAACTGTAGTCAGTACATGGGTCAAAAATAAAAGAAATGTATGTTCATTGAGCAGCTGGATAACATTTTTTTAAATATTGCATTTTTTATTCCTGCCCAGCCAGACAGGCTTTGAGCAACCTCTCCTTGTCAAGAAACAATTTGAGCATTATTTTTAGCTAGACATGTCTGAAATGAACAGCATTTATTACACATACACTAAAAGTACACTTAACACTAAGAGTGCAACACAGCAATTGCATGCTGATGAATAATAGATGCCCCACCATGAATTCTATAGTTAATGTTTTGGGTACAATATTTAAAAGTAATCACAGAGTGACCAATCTTGTGTGTGTGGCTGTGTGCAGTGTGCAGACGTTTAGAAGACAGTCTTAAGTGGGCAAAAAAAATATCAATCACAATAACTTATGCAAGAGGGAGATAAGAGATGGAACTGAAATTAGTAGTACTTCAAAATAATTGACAGCCAACTTACTTTCCCAAATGCGCCCCGTCCGATCGCTCTGAGTACCCTAAAGTCATCAAACCCGACTAAAAGGAAAGAAATTAAGACATGTTATGAAATATTTAAGGTTAGGGACAACATCTCACTTGTCGGAACCGCGCTGCCCCCCTTACTATTGTAAAATGTAACAATCTGGGCACATCTGACATTTCTCAGCTACGTTAGGATGCGATGAAGTAAAAGTCGTATGATATTGTATATATTATTTTCACTATCCTATTTCGTTGAAAAATAATGAATCTCTCCTTGGCAAATCCCATTTGCATGAAGAAATTATTACACGGCCGGCTGGCGGCTGTGCACACGGCAATTCCCTTCCCCTAATCAAAGAGGTAAAAAGGTGTTATTATAAGCCTGCATTAGCTATCACGATCAATATACTGTCGTTTTTGAACGAAGGTAAGAAGACAGGCTCCCCAGGTCTTTAACTATGCACATAGTTAATCATTCGGTGCTCCATTGTAAGCATGACCTTCGTGTAATACAAAAAACAGCCGATGTTAGTGTACTGTATGTCGACCGATGGCCTTACCTTCAGCGTCCGCTGTTTCGTTCAACAGGTTATGGACAGAGGGCGTGCGTTCGCTGACACTATTAAGACAGCCTATTTTGGCTCCTGTTTAAGCCGCTCGCGGCTTCCATGTAAGTCACAACGAGAGAAGAAATGGAAAATATCGCACGACTTCGAACACAAATCTATTACACCCGTTTGTCTTTGCGATATTGAAGAAGAGCAGAAGGAAACAAGTGCCGGAAGCCGGGACTGGACGGTGTATACGATATCCGAGGCGCGGGCACGATGTGCCGGGGCTTCGAAGCACATCCGTCTTCAATTTGGATGGATGAAAACAATACGGTTCGCATAACAAGGAAACAAATTATGAAAGATATTGTACAAAAATGGCAATGAAATAAAAACAGAAAGGAGAAAGAAAACCCACCTGGATATATTAGACAATTCTCGTTTATTTAAGAATTGTTTCTCTCAAATATTAAAGGATATTTTTACGTACAATAATGGAACAATAGCATCTGTCAACTGTATCGAAATTATTGGAGATTTTATATCGCGTTTTATATTATCGTATTTGATCGTATTTGTTGTTGTGAGTGCCGTTAGTCGTAGTTTTGATGTCCGATACTGGCGTATATACATACTGTTTTTTAAGTGAATTCGATTTGAAGTAATCTTACAAGAGATCTATGGATGAAAGAGAGTCAAATTCCTTGCCTATGCAAGACAGAACAGAACCAGATGGGGCTACTGACCATAGCCTTGATATAGAGCCTCACTCATCATCTGCCCAACTGCAGGAAAAATGCTATAATTCAGTAATGAATGAACATAAACCTCAGGATATAGCCGTGGATCACCAAGGGGTGATGACCAATGGGCTATCCCCACCGCCATTGTTTTACGATGCGGCAGGGGATGCAGAAAATTGTACCACGAGCTCAGTGGCTAGCTGTTCCGACAGCGGCATTTGCTCGACTCCTCATAACGAGGAGGATCTAAATGGATTTGAAGATATACCTTTGAATGCTGGTATAGATGTCAGCGATGAGGTGGATGCTGCTAATTTTGGTGATTCTTTAAGTGAGAAATTAAGGCGGATGGATGGCGACAGTGGGTCAAATTTTGAAGGAAAGAAGACACGTGGAAAGTTAAGGTAGTAATGATGATCATATAGTCATTTTGGTAAATATTGGACTGCGTCAGCCATCGTTGATGGATGGGTTTATTAATAGATCTGACAAATAGTCTTTTTGGTCAACCCATTAACCACAGTTTGCCAATGGCCCCTGTCAATTCATTTGCTCTTAATCCACCGTATTTTTAGTTTTTTATCCTGCGTAAACCCTTAAGTAAACGTTAATTTTAATTCTGTATTTTTCATTAAAAGTAGATCCCATTAAATTACAATATATTTAATATGGATTATGGCACAGATAAAATTGGTACCATACCACCTTCACCCGGGCCTAAACTTGGTATAATAGTCTGACCATGGAAGATATAAATACTTCATCCATGCTAAGTGGTAGCCAAAAGTTTTAGTACATGGTATTGAACATGGTGCTAAATGCTGGACAACTTTACTTGTGAAGAGCTGTTTATCAAATACACTCAATGGTTTTACATTTTATAGAAATTTATTCAGTCGTTCAAATGCACCAAAGGCAATGTCCAACAATGGTTCACAAACATCATTAGATAGTCAAGGTTGGTCACATTATACTATACCTGCTATCAATGCCATTCCTAACAGAGTAATTTCCTAGACAGACTACTTATTAAGTTTAGCAAGTGAACATGTATTACAGTGACTAAACAAATGAAAAGGCAGGCTAGTTTTATCACCTAAAGAAAGCTTTTTCATATGAATTCAAAAGTTCAAAAGTTGGTGACAAGTGAGAATGCTTTCAACATTTTCATCTCAGTTCATTTCATATCATAAATCTTTTTAACACAGGGCCATACCCACCCCCAGTGACTATAGAAAGGAGCTCAACCTTACCCAGAGTATCAAGTACAAGGCCAAGAGGTGTTGCGCCTGTTTTATCAACAACTGGTCTGATATTCGAAAACAGACCAAGGTGCGTAAAGTCCTCTTGGTGTAAAGATATTTAATTGACCACTTCAGACAATTCAAGTGCATTTCACTCACTATCTTGTACCCAACATGCGATAAATAGACAAATATAGTTCTTTCCATATATTGCTACTTTTTAAACCACGACCTAATGTCTAGCTAACACCTTTCTCAAGTACCGAACTCTTTTCTTTTTATATATTTTAGTGCCCTCAGTTTATGGACTAACATGCAGTATTCCTTTTAGAATTATCTACTCCTTTCAATATGTTTGAAGCAGATCCTCCACCCCCCCTCAATATAATGTATGCTCTACACTTTGCCTAAAGTACATAGGCAAAACAATTCAGTTTTGTAAAGAGTGACCAAGTAGATGTTTGCAAACTTCAGGATTACATATGAAAAGCGTAAAAAATATGATATAAATATCATCTACTACAAACAGCAGGCTATGCAATCTCAAAAGCATTAGAGCATTGGATTAGCAAGTCAAATTGTTTTTTATCCTAATTGCTCTGGCAAAAAAAAATGTTCACTTGGCACAATATGTCTAATATCATGAAATTAGGGTCTGCTGATTCTTAGAGACAAAAAATGCTCTTCTCTGAATGTATTTTCACAGAAATCTCCCTGCAAAAGACCCAAAAGAGGAAAAACGACACAGACAACTTTACCAACAAATGATTGAGGTTGCAAAAAAGAAGGGTAAGCTTTAAATATATTGGCTCCAATACTGAATAATTAAAACTAGAAGAACATGGAGTTTTGTGGGCTGAAAGAGCTTTACAAATTGCCCTCTTTACAACGCAGAACTTCGCGACCTTCAAGAACAACAAAAGAAACAAGAAGATCAAAGTCATCATGAAACTCTTGTTGTGAATGCCTTGGCAACGTGGAATAAAGAAATATTACCTAACTGGGATAATATGTATGTTTACATAATAGTATTGTAACTTGGTACAATATTCTCACCTTGACCTTGTTATTTGTATATTTATATCTCGGTGCAACAACTTCAATATATAATACACATGGAAATCACGCCAACTGCTTGATATAGTTTGACCTGTTGTGTGGGCACGCGTCTTTTTACTAACATCCAAGGTTCTTTATCTCTCTTTTGTTTCTTTCACTCGAACGCTTTCAATTGTAGGAAAAACGCCAAGAAAGTCCAGGAGTTGTGGTGGTTGGGTTTACCGCCAAGCGTCCGAGGCAGAGTGTGGAAGCTAGCTTTTGGAAATGATCTACATATAACACAAGGTGTGTTTATATCTCGATATTCAGAGATTGAATTATTCCCACAATACTCTGGGTACTATAGAAATGCTAAGTGGGGCACGCACTCTTACAAAAAATTCTCGTGACCTTTTGGCCGGTGGCATCACGTCCTGTAGTGTGACCAGCCTGATGACTGCATGATGTATCAATTCGGGGCCGCTTAGGGGCCGGTTGTATCGAGCCTGTTTAGCTTGAACTGTGGTTAAAAAGCGAGTCTATATCGCTTTATTCAAAAAGTGAACTAAATGTTTTAATCTTAATACAAAGATACTGTTCACAGCTACATATTCAGTGCATAATATTCAAGTTGACTCATTCAACAGAGATGTAAGCGTGTTATTTAAATTTGACTTATCCACCGTTTAAGCTTAACGGGCTTGATACAACCGGCCCCAGTTCTAAAGTTCGATAGAGTGATTTTTCGACCAGTGCAAAAACGCTGAAACAAGAGATCATTTGAAAACCATTCATTTTTGTGAATATGCGTGCAATTTTGAAGGGAAATTTATAAAGTGTATATCATATTTTTACCATATTAGAGTTGTTCGAAATATTTCGTTGTCACGCCGAACAGAAGCTGTTGAATAATGAAAACAGCAAGTCGAAGATGCGGTCTGAAGATCTGGCAGCGAAGTCGCAAAATTTTGTCACGGATTCTGTCGTGGACCTTATCACCATGGACGTTTCGAGAACGTTTCCTTCGCTTGGAATCTTTCAAAAAGTAATAGAAATTGATTTCAGCTGCATGTATAAATATAGGCTTCTCATCAAACGTGGCTGAATAGATGTAGTAGAACTGCCTATAATAGACCAAAATACATGTCGACATTTCGACCGAATGGCCTTCCTAGGGAGTAAAGTTTTTAACTTCAAAATAACTTTCCTGACGAGGGCCTTCAGTTATGGGTCGAAACGTCTAGGAGTCTATTTTTGCAATTGAAATGCTGTGTTTGATGAGAATTTATTCGAAGACACTGCGACATTGCTCCTTGGTTTATAATTTGGAACATTCCAGCTATAGACTGCATTTTACCTTGGCCAGATTGAAGACTAACATCACAACCTAAGAAGGCCAACATTGAAAGATTATAAAGTCTCGTTTTGCAATTTTTATTGCGATTTTCTTCCTTTGATAGATGTGAACGAGTGCACAGTTATGAATGCTGTGATGTTGTTTAATGCCTTTCTTGCACATCCGTTACTTATCCACTCGTTCATATCGATCAAAAGAAGAAAATAGAAAATGAAGTCGCGCACGTATAAATTAGCTTTGAAACTATATACATAGTATAGTTGCGAAATGTGAAAAAAATGCAGCCCTATATTGGCTATAATGTTCGCAAAGTTTGCATTACGCGTGGTGGAATTTCCACTCATTCTATCACTTGTTTTGTTTTAGGGTGGTCCTTATCACAACGTCTTATATAAAGTACTCGGAGCCTACTCGTGCTACAGACCTGACATTGGCTATGTAAGTAAGGAGGCGGTGCACTTTGCCAATGATCTTGTTGTATTTACTCGTATTGAATTTCTATCATGATCACTTCTGATTTAAAAAAGCTCCCAATTAAAGCGAATATTATTAATACAACATAGATTAACTGGAGAATATGGTCAGCACACAGCCATGTTATAACTTCTTAGACAAACAGCAATATCATTATTACGCAATACTATGAAACATTTGTATTCAAGGCCACACTCCACCCTACTTAAGAGTTAAGACCAAACTTTTAAGGAGTATAAAACGACTTATATATAGACGGTATTCCTTGCCAGGGGGGCGCACACAGGCATTATTAAGTATACATAGTTGGTAGAGTAAATATCCCCCCCCCGTCTACTACCTTGAGTGGAGACATAGTCTGACTCATCTTTATCTGCAGGTACAAGGAATGGCTTTTTTAGCTGCGGTTCTCTTGCTCAACATGGAGGAAATCGACGCTTTCATATGTTTTGCGAATCTAATAAACAGGCCAATGCAAATGGCGTTTTTTAGCGTTGATCAACCAATGGTAATGAACATGTTCCGTTTATGGAGTAGGGAGTTTTGACCGCGCAGAGTGTAGAGTAGGAAGTTTTTTTTCCGAAATATTGTTCCGCCCAGACTTTTAACCGTATTTTTTAAAGATTGGGAATTCGCCAAAACAAGATTTCAGGAATGTAAAAACGTTTCAGGAATGTAAAAATGCAAAGAAGAGGTTTTTGGATGCGTTTGGAATTATCATCCATCATTAATATATTCGTTGTATGAAATACCCGTTGGTCTTCAAAAAGACTCTTTAACTAAGGCCATTTTCAGACGTCGACTTTTCATGTGCGGAAACTAATGCGGTTAATGAGCTAAAGTCTTTGTATAAGTTCGTTTACATTGGATTTGGCTCATGAAAATGTCGATGCAGACTGAAGCGGGTATTAATGACAAAATATTTGACCTACTTTATTTTGGTGTAAATCACTTGTTCAGGGCGAAGCTCCTCATAAACGTCTTTCCTTTTTTTCATCAGATGCGGGCGTATTTTCTTGCGTTTGAAGTCCATCTACAAGATCATCTTCCCAAACTTCAATCCCATTTCAGTGAACAAGGCCTGACGCCTGATCTTTACCTTACTGATTGGTATGTACGATAACTGGGGGCGCCGGAACCACGGGGACAGCTGCCCCCGCTGCCCTTTGCTTACGGTGGCGAGCGGGAACAGCCCTGTGCCCTTTGCTACCATACATGTAAAAGCATCATAATTTCACCATTTAATCATGATGCCTACTTTTCGCACAAAAACTAACCGGTAATATGATTGAAAATGCGTTCTCCCGTGGATTTGCAAGTTCGCATGTACTTGTAAATTTGAGTTTCCCCTTCGTGTAGTTGCTAAGGTGAAATGAATGTGCCCTTTTCTAAAACTCTGCCGCCGTCGCCTTAAACTGCTTCCGGCGCCCCTGGTCGAGACACCATCTTGTGGGTCTGGGAATGAATGGGTTCCAACGAATGGCCCTTACAAGTCTTACAAAAATTCGAGGTCTTAAGGCTAATCGTTATTCCATGATGATCCAATTCACGCCATTTTTTTGCAGGATTTTCACGCTGTATAGTAAGTCGTTACCTTTGGACGTAGCAAGCAGAGTGTGGGATCTTTTTTGCAGAGATGGGGACGAATTTTTGTTTAGGACTGCGCTAGGTAAATATGTTTGTAGCATTTGTAGTTTTTGCCTAACCACAGACTTTAAGTCCTTGACCTTCCTCCTCCTCCGGGGAAATTATAAAAACTATATGAAGATATTCCTTAAAACCAGCCATTGCTATCTTGAATTTTTTAAATATAGTTTAAGATGTCTTACTTTAAGATTTTTAGACTTTAAGATTTTCCTTGCATACCGATCTGACTTAAAAATACAAAGTTAAAAGATGTTAAATTCATGGTTTCTGTATTTCCTTTGCAGGAATTCTTCAAATGTATTCATCCGAGATGATGAAAATGGAGTTCATTACATTAGCACAATTTCTTACGAAACTACCCGAAAATATCTCGGAAGAAAACCTGTTTCAAAGCATTTCAAATATAACCATCTCTAGAGAGAAATTCAGTGAGACTCTCATGGAACAGACACAGAAAGTCTTACAACTTTACCCAGCAGATAAGCTGAAACAACATCCAACGCTTCGTAAATAACGTCCTTAAGAATGTAGATAGATTTATGCAGAAATTTTTGTACGCCTATTAAAGGGCCTTAATTGATGACATTCGTATATAGCATGAATTCACGGACAATGCATTTTATAGAATTTATGAATTCGTTTTTAGAGCCGTGCGATCAAATTTTGTGTAAAATAAGAGTGATTTACTAACATTAAAACAAATTGAATTGCGTTTTTGTGGAAATTTTATGCATAGTTGCGAAGATGCTTGCAGCTTACATCTATAATTCACACAAGTTGTAAGAACAGGTGCGGAGCACGAAGAAAATGCAACACAACCGGCCTACCAAAAAAACACTGGGTATATACATATCCTTATACGACGGCAATGTATATTTTTTTTTATAACATCCAAACTCATTTAAGGCCAGCATACACTTGCAACATTCGCTTCGATTTTTGCTTGATTTTGTAGGCGAATGAAAAAGATACGGATGTTAACGTTCAAAAAGGCATTCTATAACTCATTCAACATTCGCTCGTTCACATTCTTCAGGAGACGAAAACTAAGACCGCAGAGAGAAAAATACAAGTGTAAAATAGGTTAACTTTTCCTTTATAAATAATGAGCATTTCAACATAACACAATACAATATAACGTCATATTACAGCAAGCTATTTACGATAGCAAAATGCGATTGGGATGCAATCGAAACGTCAATAATGATACAATATATAAACCTAACCCTCGCTATATTCGTGCGATGTGCATTTGCAAACTACAGTCTAATTACATAAAGCAGAAACCTTAGCTACAATGCTAGGATTCGACCATGTTAATGTTTCACCCCAGGCTGAACCAGTAACTGGGACTAACCGGGCCTTGAATAATACAGATAAAATATACATTTAAACAGGGGTGTATTGGTAAAATTTAAACAAAAACCCTAATATATGTCACATGCAGGGCAAATAATGCCATATTGTTGCGAATTAAAAATCGCATTCAATAATCAGATTCAGAAAACTTATCTATCTTGATTTATGCAGGCGGGGGTCACCTCCCTTTGGGCTACCTCCTCCACCTGGACATGCCTGACCCTCTTTCCAATACACCCCCGCAGTTACACACACACCCAAATTCTAGTATTCGTGGCTAACCAATTTAATAGTTTCCGGCCACCACCACAATAATACTTAAGTTCCTTACCAAAATAAGGTAATTTTAACTGGCCTGGAATAATCAGGCCTTATCCACAAAATAACCAACTATGTTACATAGCATCGTAATGTATTATTTTCCTCTCTATATTCTTTTCAACTAGTTAAGAGGCATAGACATAAATACGCATGCGTATTGTATACTTGACTTAAGGTGTATATATAGAGAGAGCTCCGTTTACACTACACTTGATTTATATGCACGGCAAGACTGAAATGATTATGGTACTAAGTTGTGTTCAGCTTTTGTACACTGGTAGCCTGAGGATGGATAAAATTGAGCTAGGGTACCAATTTTATCTGTGCTCTGTCAATATTAAGTGTAGTGTAAACGAGGCATTGTACTTATGAGAAATAACCATGATTGAAATTACGAAAACAAACAGGTTTTATCACAAGTTATGGTAAAACTATGCACACAAAATTCGAGTTTGGCTCTTGTTTTCTTTGCAGCCGAAAACTCAAATTGCGAAATATATTATGAATTCTATAACGAATGTGTCCTGGACATATGTTTTAAAACATACACATTACTTTCACAGTCGAAATACAAGGACCTTTTTAACTTCGCTTTTGTGACATGGACAGATTCTTTGGACGGGCTTGCGCAGGGGGGTGAGCGAAATTTCTTTCGATTTACCAGTCATTTGTTTCGCGTTATTTTATCGAATTTACGAGTAACTACCGCCATAAATATCCTTGTTGATAGACGGATAAAAAAACAAAATGAAGTACAGCGAATCGCAGAAAGGTGGCATAAGCCGAAAGGATCTTGTATTTTGACCGTGATATCTCTTTTTTTGCTCATAAACATGAGCACTGTATATTTTCCTGATAGAAATTATTAAACGCCAAATCCATAATACATTACAAATATAATACGTACCAAATAAAATATTAGCGCTTCTGCAATGGGGGGGGGGGATGATGTCAATCGTGTGCATTTTGTGAATGTGGAGAGATTCCAGCTCTCGTAGTTCGAGGGCCATATCAGGGTGGTATATTCTTTTATATTATGATCTATTTAAATTCCTAGTCAATAAATATATATGCTTTTATATTATCATATAGAGTTCAAACTTAGTTCAAACACAACTACACTACTACCTTTGGTAGAACTTTGATGTTCGTCCCGCCCAAGTGAATGTTGGTGGGGACCATAACAAGAAATTTCTTAAACGCTATTCACAACGTCCACCACTTTAGAGGGTCACCCCCGGTCAGTCATCGAATGATATAGAGTAGAGTTATATATCCTCACATATGTTAGGGGGGGGGACTCTTTTTAGAAACTCTCTTTTTGAACACGAATCACAAACTTTTCGATTGAAGATTGGTCTCTCGTAAAGGTGATTCTAATAATCTTGTGTCATCGAAGTATTTGCATTTACAAATTCGCACAATTGGGACCAATTTGGCCTAATTTCGAATTGAGGTTTCAGGCAGGAGTCAACTGACGTTTTCTTCTCGAAAGTATCGAACCACGTGACTTTGCAAAAATTCACACACCAAAACAGTGGGTTAAAATTTAACCCAGGCTTCGCGCTCAACATTTCTGAAAAGCCAAGCAGCATTTGGTGTCTATGGACGTGGTTAGACTTTCGCGTGATGCAAATAGAGAGAGACCGTGTAGTTGCAAGCTGTGAATTGGGTTACGTAACGGTCAAATTCCACATCTTCCTTTGATTAAAAGCGGATGCTACATGAAGTTCTTTATCACCTTGCCGATTTTCTTCCTACACACTGGACATGGTTTATTGTCATCTTTAAGTTTTTGCGCACACACAAGGCAGCATACCTGGTGTCCAGTCCTTCCGTGAACGATACAGCCATCAGGTGGTGCCTTACGGCAAAGCATACACTTCAACCGACCATAACTATCCTTCGTCTCCGATGCAGTTGAGTCCGTAGCATCGTTTGCCGCTGGTACAACAGGAGTAACGCGGCTCTGGCTGGTAGATGCCGAGTCAGATACTAAAAACAGCGGTATGTTTGGAATATTTTCATCGAATTTTTCATTCGTGTAGAAAAGACTATATATTTTTCCAAGTTCAAAAACCATTCAGCTATGTTATTCTTAGAGATAATTTAGTAAGTTTGTTGTCGTGATTGTGCATATAATATAACTATAAATTATATAAGGTGTATGAATAAACACTACATGTGATGGTGCTATCCTGAGTTACCAACCGGGCAAGTTGAAAAACTAGCCTGATCACGGTAGGAATCGAACCCGTGACCGTTGGTTTGTCAGCAATCACAATACTAAGGAATGATAAATTGTAAACTATTACGCCCCATTTAACTAGAATTTGCCTTTGATTGTGTGAAAAACTAACTTACCGGTTACTGGGTCTATCTGGGGCTGCGAGGTCTCAGTTTGAATTCGGCCTGGATCCGACGATGTTCTGTTAAGAGAAAGTATAATTTGTTACGACTGAGCAATTAGACCTTTCTCATAAAGTCAAGTTAAACTTTGGGATTGGTTGAGTTTTAAGACCACGTAGGTCCAGGCATTCAGACAGGACGAAGCATTCACCATTTAAGCTAGCTGGTAACCTCACAACGTACCTATTCAAAGTAGGAGGAAACCAATCTTGTCTGATAGACCAACAACGGACACATCGTCTCGTCATAGGATGATTTCGTTCTTCACATAATTCACATTGCCATTTATCATCTTCCTCAATCTCCGAGTCCGAACTATCCCCATTCCCCAGCTCATCACCCCCATCCTCACCCTCGTCCACCTCCGTATCCATGGAGTCGCTTGTTCCTTCTGAAACGACAGCAGGGATGTGGTTACGCCCATTCTACGCTACGCGCGTAAAAATATCTTGTAACAAGTCTCAAAACACGCTGTCAAAAAGTTCTGTTCGTGTTTGCCAAGTATGGTTAAAAGTTGTAACAAACTTCCTGAATCATCAAACTTGTTACAAGGCGGTTACAACAAGTTTGGTAGAAACATGATCTAACAATATTGCTACAATCCTGTGTTGCCAAGTTTGTAGGTAGCAACACACTACTCGATTCGGACAACAAGCTTGCAACCCGTGATTTGTGTTTTTGCTATTTTGTATAGAGAATTTTCACAGTAGATAAGTGAATAATACTGACCTGTGTCAAAGCCATGTACTGCTACCAGTCTTTCTTCCTCGCTGTATGAGATCGGTTCATATTCCACGGCAAACCTTCCTCCATCGCTTTCAATTCGTCTCACAATATTCTCATCATCAGTATCAGCGGTCAAACTAACTTCGCTTTCGCTCACAAATTGTCTCACGACACGCTCTTCGTCCGTTTCTAAATAATATTGCAGGAAAAATTATCAGTGAAGGTAACAATGTAAAAACCTTAGTCGAATACTATCGCAAATGCTCTGTTCTGTTCTAAATGGCTACGTTGTCGAATGGCGATCAGCCAATAGCGAGTTGAAAAAATCGTCTCTGGCATAATGCATCCATATTCTATCACATCAGCCACCTTGACATGTTCACGATACTCACGACTAAATGGAATGCAATGTCAGTTATTAAAGCAACGTACCATTTAAAAAGAACAGATCGTCCGAAGTATCTGTTACAACGTCTGTTGCATTCTCGGAAATTGCCTTGTAGTGTTGCATGTATATTGTCAAGCTCTCTGTTGTTTCCACACAAGAGGTACTTGGCAGACAAGGCGATGTACTGCCGGTTCCTGGAATAAACGATAAAGATATAATATGAAACATAAGAGACCCCTTTTTCAGACTTTGGCTCCACCCCCCGTGATGTTGCCAAAGTCCCCACTAGTGCATGGTTAAATCGAATCTCACCTGAAAAGGAACTTTCAACATTTCGCTTGACACCGGGGGGCCGGAATACTGATATGGCTGAGAGCGGGAAATCACCGGTCGACTGCTGGTCGCTTTCACTGCAGGAGCACGTATCAGTGGTAGACACGGATGTCAGCGGCCTGGGTGGACAAGGGTAGTTGCCTCTTGCCCGTTTTGAGGAATGGGACTCCGTACTGTTTGTTGCCGCGGAAACGTTCTCGAGGTTTTGCAAAAGCAGGTCACTGGAGGAGAACACATTCACAGTATTAGTGTCATATACATTACAAAATAACATGTATATAACACGTGTTCTGATTGGTCGAAGCCCATGTTTGGATCAGGCCATCCAAACACGGAAATTTAAAGTTTTAAAATTGCCTTTGGCTCGTGTTTCGCGCGCTTTTCTTAACTCTCGCAACATTCCCGCTTGTTTGGATCAGGCCATCCAAACACGAAAACCATTAAGTAATTGTATATTCCTTAAGGGCCTTGTTGTAAGCTTGATAGCAATATCCATCGGATAGTGTTTTTTCAATCGCTATTTAACTTCTCGTTGTTAGGTATAAATTAGATTAAACCTTAGTACAGTATTCTTAAATTAGGGATCTTCTTTCATAACTTTTAGTTCTAAATCTATAATTTCAATGCTTTTCAAGCATGTGAACAAAGGTTGAAAAAATCACTATCCGATGCCGTTAGATTGCGCTATCCAGCCTTCACACAACCGGTCCCAGAGCCTTACACACTTCAGGGTGACGGTTGCCAGATTGTCAGGGGGTATTCCTGTTGTTGCTTACATTTTCCACATCATTCGAGCAGAGCCATAGACAGGTGGTGGTGGGGCGGCTGGGTAGTTGCACCCCCAACCCAAAGACAAAATTTTTATATGTCACTTTTTATATGTTCACTGTATTAATTAAATACTCTAGTAGCGAGTGCCGTACATAACAGGGGTACTAATTTGCCCAGGTAATTACACCCGTGTCTTGTGACAGAACAGAGCGGAATCCAAAGAATTGGATCCAAAAAAATTTGATCGTGTGAACGGACCTTTAAAGTTGTAGTACGTAAATAAAACACACAAAGCTTACCATGCATTAGCAGTTGAGAATTCTTTGCATCCAAATATATCTCCAAGTTGATCATTATCACAATACACCTTTCTTGGGTCAACAGGATCGTATAATGACTTCTTTTTTATATAGTCAGTGAGGTGACCCATTATCTGGAGAAGGTTTTTGACAATTTCATATTAGAGTAATTTAAGGAAAATTGTCTTGCAAACTAGCAACTACCACACTGGGAAGATATAACTGCAAGATCTGAGCCATATAGAATATGCCCACAATGTTGGATATCAAACAGGAAAAATTTGTTTTGCTTCTCAATTTGTAATGAATATTGATGTTAGGAAAATCAGACAACATTTGTATGAAGATCCTTTATGTCTGTGTAAGCCTTTATTAGGCTTTAATTTAATAGGCATTTATATAATAAAAAGTCTCTCTGAAAACATTTATCTTAGATGTAAATGGATTAGGGCTTTATCTAAAGTGAAATGCATTAACATCGATCAAATTGGGATGGATGTTTTGTGTAGAACCTCTCATTATAACAATGTTTTTAAAGTGCAAAACCAATGGACCACAAAATGTAATTGCCTATATAAATCAGACAGTAATTGTGATAAGATTTATGAGACCCTAAATAGCTAAAGCAAGTCAATCTTGATGATACTATGATGGGTTTTTTACATATTTTGATACCTAGCGATGCATACTGCTTGGGAAAAATACCTTATAAATATTCAATTTCATCTTTCCGTACGGCCTTATTGTGATTAACATTTAATTATCTTGAGTTATGAGGCATTAAGTTATTTAAGTGGCTTAATTATCGGTTGCCTCGGCAAAGGTTCTTTGGTTAGGTACTCGGAACATCACTTGAGACAGCCACCTGTGAGGTTAAGGTTTGACTCAAAAGATTGACCCAACCTTGTTCAAAGCTTTCAAATGTCCATCACAAATTCAGTCCCAATCCAATGTGAACTTGCCAAGGTTACTGAGTTGTTGTTTGTCAATTATAGCAGAAAGAATTATTATAATATAATGCTTTTGAAGCCATTTAATATGGAAATAGTAATTTTTATGAGCTTTTTGCTTAAAATATCAATTTTAATGAGGTGATTATGGCCCATTTATTGCAAACTGATGAATAATTGACATTTCGTATGGAGCACTTGAAAATGTCATAAAAGGCCATGTGAATTTATGAACACTTTTATTATTTTAATATTGCCGATTATTTCCAAATAACTATAACCAGGAATTTCCCCCGATTATTTTTGCACTTTATGCAGTCAAATTAAGAACTAACAAATACTAGGTTATATGAATGGTATAATATTATAGTGAATATGGTGTATATTGAACATATCCTAATAGAGCAAAGCGTATTTATTTATTACAAGAAGAATTTGAAAAATTTATTAAGGATAATATGCAGAATATTTCAGATATTCATGCCACAAATTTACCTCCTCAAAACCTGATAGTTAAGAGATAAAATCATGCAGTGCCTGCCCTTGTGTTTAACCCTTAATATGCCAGTTACATTCATGCCTTATAGTCTAAATATACTAAAATATTTAGCAGGCAATGAGTTAATGCAGCAAAGGTATGATACACCCAGTATAAGTCAATTATTATACATAAAATATTTCAACATTTCACAGACATGCAGTAAGACAGGCCCAGGCATGCCAACTAAGATATGAAAACAAAAATTTTTGTAGACAAAACAAAACTGTGAACTGTAGACAGAGATTGTTCCAGAGTACTGCAAGCCCAGGCACGATTGTGAAACTGAATTCCGCATACAGAAATCTGAAACTGGCTCTAATTTCCTGATTAAGAAGGTCAAATAGCGGCGAATTCTAAGTGATTAATCTAATATGCTTCTTAATTAGTGAGATGAAATATGTAAGGGGATTTCCCTCATTTGAAGACATATTCGAGTAAGGGCATTATCTGTAACATTATAGGCAAAACATACATTATTGTCATCACATGACAATAGGTACTTTACTACAATATCACATCTATGAACATTGACCGTTCAAATGAAAACAATTATGCTGTCTAATTATGAATAATGATAAGATAACAACTTTGTTTGCTTCCCAATGTACACAAAAGAAGATCAGCTCAACCATACAAGGTCCTTCCATAACAGAAGCTGAATAGTGAAAATGTTTTTAGGATTCTTTAGGGAACATGTTTGTGCTTGAACACTTGAAATGTTAATCTACTTCCTGTTTGACACGCTTTTGTGCACAGGTTCCATCGCAACGCACAGCAAATTCTAGCATTTGCTTGGACCGAACATTTATTTTGCTGGAAAACTTTGGTTGGTATTAACTATTGAATACTAGTATTACAGGGTATATAGGTTCACCTCCAGTCCTTACTAAGCAAAACATGCTCAATATGTAGTATTAGCTAATGGCTTGTCATTACGTGCATGAAGCATGCACTGTCAGGCGGGATTTTAAAAGAGAAAGCAGCATTTCTGTCAACATGGACATGGAATTAAAGCCGTTTTTAACCACAACTGCAAATGTGATTCCCAACAGATTGCTAGGCTTCACGCTACCAATGGATTTCAATTACCACAAAAAACCGGCTAATACAGCATGTTCTTACAATGTCTGTGATGACAAAAATGTGACAGAATTAAACGTCACTAGGTGACTTTGCCGGCAAATTTGTGAATAAGCCGGCCAGCTATGGTAAATCCTAGAGGATGAAAATACGTTTTTCAAGGCATGGTTTGCAGTCTTACCTGAGCTCTTGTGAATGTGTCACCCTTGACTTCAAGAAAATCGAGAACAGGTTTTAATTGTGGTAATATTCTTACCTAATAATAGAAAATAAATCATATTTATTTGGTGAAGTTAGTTATCGAGTGTTCACATAGTGAACCTACGCTGTTTGACATCTAATCAAGATTCATAAATCATCACACAGCTCAAGGAGTTGGGGGTTTTTTTGGTAATTGTGGTTAAACCTGTAACTGAGTATATGGTGTAGCTCGACCAAGTTCAACTATTTTGGGGGTACTTAGAAACCACACCTAACCCACAAGCATGCACAGGTAAATATAATGAACCACAGCCACACTTTAATTCAAGCATAACATGTCATACAGAAAGATTAAGTTCTGTTCACAATTTTGTCAAGCAATGTAAAATTTATACTACAGTGGCTATATCATGTAATCACGTTGGTTCTTCTGTGGAAATAAAAAAATAAACCCCTTATTGTTTGAGCAAAACCGACTAAACTACAATAGGTAAATATACTTTAAACATTCCCAAACTTCTCACGTTAATCATTCCTGTGAAACTAACAACTGTAATTTTATACAATCGTTAATTTGGTTCATGTATGTCGGACAGTTCTAACGATAGCATGCAACGATTTCGATATTTCAACTTTTTCGCACTGCTCAGCCGAGAAACAACCGAAAAAACTAACATGTATCGGTTAAAAATTCAGAGAAACAAAGAATAAATTACCAATGCTGGGCCGTTTGTGACAGCACTAGCGCTGGCTTTCTGTCCACGACAAGTCGGTGAATGTGGCCCTTCTTGGGGGTGCCTTTTGCATCGCCGTCTGCGCTTTCTTTTCCTCTTTCGCACGGGTTCTACGTCTTGTCTGCATTGCAATGGTTGCTCCATTTAATAGGAATTTAAAAACAACGCGATATACTTAACACTAAAGAACTTACTAGGAGACGAAAGTTCAATTCTTTGCCTTTTGTAAGTAAGCGTGTTGAGTACTCACTCATATACAAATGACAACGTGAGGAGAATTTCGCTCCCGACCGTATTTCAATGTAGAGTAAATACAATTTCTACAAAACCCTTCGTCTTGTTTAAAGACAAAAATGTTACTTCAAAGCCTGTATAAGAAAGATATTATACGTATGATATTTCGTAAATTGCTCTTGAAAGCATTAAAAAAGTGCATCAACAGTCACGGGTTGATGATCAGCAACAATATTCTCTCTAGTCTTCTTTACAGATGCTAATCTTCGTATGAACATGTCTCGACAGATCAATGAAAACGTGGCCAGGCATGTTTCTCATTGGTTAAACGTGTTTGTAAATCAGTGTGGGGTGCTTAAAAAAGTCGCTTCTTTCCCGCTAAAAATCAGCATATAATCCTCAATGGTTCATTGTTCAAACTGTACGCGGCATGATTTACAACCCAAAACAAACATCGCCGTAGCTTGAAACTTAGACGCAAGTCACGGCACGCTACGTTCTAGCGTCATAAATCCTCTACGTTGTTTGTTCGGTAATATTGACAAAACGCAGTCATGAGATACACGCTTTAAGTGGTCGTGTGCAAGAAACGTGAAATTTATACCGTGGAGGCCCGTTCGCGTTCAGCTTTATTCAAGGTCGCACGTAAATAGTGACAGCATGTCGGAAACTGAAAGCGTCCTCGTGGAAAACGGAACTTTTTGCAGCACGCTGTAATACTCAGATTTCCCCCCATCGTTTCAGCAGTTAATAGCCAGTTATCGATAAATGTTCACCGAATCTGGTGACGAAAGAGAGTTACCAACTGGGGACGGTTGTTCAAAAGCTGTTTAGCTAAACCTAGCCTGTCCACAGCCTGTATTACGCACAGACTGACAGGCCAAGCTTAACCCTGGGTTAAAGCGAATTTTTACATCATTTTTTTTAATCGCTTGTTTACAAAGTTGAATATCTTTTTAAAAAATTTTGGACCGACAGAAGACATATTTGGTAAAGGTTCTAAAACGAACAGCGCTTCAAAAGCAGTTAAACCGAAACAGTGGATTGAAATTTAACCCTGCATGGGTTAGCGCTAACCCAGGTTTGAACAACTGAACTGGCCCCTGGAGAGTAATCTTGGAGAATTTAGAACTTCGGAGAGTTATGTTCGGACCACGCCCAAACCTCGTCCATGTCCCTTAACGACCACGCCCAGACGCAACTCTCTCTCATTATGAAGATGTTAGGAAGTTTTTTGAACTCGTCATGTTCACGATATGATTATGAGAAGAGCTACGTCAGTTTTTGGGAGAAAACCTCTATAGTAGAAAGTCTAGTTTTATTAAAATCGAAGCGCGCAGCAGCTCAAAATCGAAGCTTAATGAGTTATAACTTATCAAGTATTTTAATCTTTGAATGTATATAATGTGTAATTTGCACCTCAAAAAGCGGGATGAAATGAATAAAATATAGTTAAAATTCGTTTTATGAAACATTCTGTGCAACATCACTGACGTATCCACGGGCTCAGCCCCTGAACAGATTGCGAAGGAAATCTTATTGCACAACAATAATTGCCCTGTACGTTTTGCTCTAAACATTTAGTATATTTATTACATTAGTGCGTGAAAACGTCTTTATGGAGAGATTACATAACCAACCAAACGCACGCGATACCAGTTATAGTTTCCACCAGTGAGGGTGGAATACGTCACCCTGAAGATCAACTCATTGGGAAGAGTGGTGTTCCAAGGAATCATTTGCTCATACAGGAATGTGTTGGCGTAGACGTTGTAATGAGTGTTGTAACCTTCCGCTTTGGCAGCCGCGTTGTCGTTGTCTTTTTGGTAGGTGACGTAATTCAAATATGCGTGACCATTGCCGTTTCCGAATTTACAAAATATCGAAATGAGAATGGCTTTGGTGTTCTTGGGAAGGAGTATTGGTAATTTTTGCGTGTATGTCGGTGTTTGTCCGCTTAATTGCAACTTCTCGAGTTGATTAAGGATCTGCAAAAAAAAACAAACTGAAAGGGTTTTTTTGCACCATTGACCGGTGGACGCTTTGCGAAATAGATGAACTGCGTGCATGTATGGTACAGGGCCGGCTGCTGGTTAGGCTTTGAAGAATATAATATCAAATTTTCTTCGCCTTGCATCTAGCTGAAACCAGAATACATGCATAAAGCTTTTACAACAGTTGATCGTAGATTCGTATAGATACAATCTCATTTTTGAAAAAAATTGTTTTAATGTTTCCATGCATATATTATTTCTTATACATCGTCACAAAGGATATACGTTTGTCATCACCGAAGACAAATTTTCAGTACACGAAATTAGCGTATAATAGAGAATATAGACAAAGCAGCCACCGAGCCAAGACTTACACAATAGACATCATTGTCTACAAACCTCATTTGCACGATAAAGTTGCCAAGATCGAGATTGTAGATTCTTGATTTGTTGTTCACTTTGCTGCAGTCTCGTGGTCAGCTTTGAATATGAAAGATCAGAAAATATAAACGCAAATCTCAATGTGTTCTGCATTAAATTTTAAGAAGACGCCTAGCAGGTGTATATTGTGAAAGAATCGCTTAATTATACTGATGCCTAACCTATTCTAGTTGACACCGTTATAATTTGCTGTCCTAAGGCTAAGAAAACATTTTTTCGTTCGTTTGTTTAGTTTGTCGCTCATATCAGCTCTCCGTAGTTCTTTAATTCTAGTAACTCTCGATCCGCCATTTTCGGACAATTTAGGATCAGGCGAGCGTGAATGGAAACAGCGTTATTGAAAACCTTTTTTTATGTAATCAGATGAGCTATCTTGCAAGCAATCATTTTGAATGGGACATGCAATTCCCTGTCCAAACTGACCAGTTATACTCTTACACAAAAAATAGCTGTGAGCTGTGGAAAGTAAACTAGATTTTTTCGATGATAAAGAAAGGATTCCTATATATGGTCACTTTTTTATAAGAAAACTTCTTGTGCTCAAAACAGGAAAATTTAACCCCCAGAGAACAAGATCATTGTCAGTTTTTTTATGTTACTCCTGTAATTCACTTTAATTAGATATAATCGTGGCATGCAAGACTTGTCCAAACATATCCTTAATGCAAAGAAGTGTCGCTTCAATATGTGACCCCAAACTTACCTGTTGAATCGTTTCCTCAAGTTTGACAAATCTTTTTTCAGTTAAATATTTCGTTTTACATAAATCACCGGAGTATCCTGGCGGGCAGACACACTCGAAGCCAGTTTGTGTAGTTTTGCAAACACCGCGATTGAGGCAGGGACACTTAAACTCGCATCTCGGGCCATAAAATCCAGATTTAGGATCGCAAACGCAGGAAAAACAACGATATCCATCTTGACAGATGCCCTTGTTCTGACATCTTGTGCTGCCGCAATCGTCAGGGTCTTTCGAGAAGAAATTGAAGATTTTCAGACGATCTCCGAGCGCTGTAATTCCGATGTCTTCAAGCTGTTGTAATGTCAGACTGCCAAGCACAGTTTGATCGATTTTGTGTTGTTTCAACTTTGCGGCATAAGACTGTGCGCTTGCTTCGTTAACCCTGGCTAACTTGAGAAGATCTTTCACTGTGACTCCATAAATGCAGTGAGAAACCTGACCAGTCGACTCGCAGATTTGCACGACGGCAAAGATTAATAAATTGAGGAATGATACGACTAAACGTTTCTCCATCACGATTAGTGTGAAATAAAAAGAAAGTTGCGTTAGAACACATTATATATACTAGCTATCATCTGACTTGCCACTGAGCTGGTTTATATAGCCTGGAGTAACAAAAGGAAAAGATCCATTTCACACCACAGGGATCTTGATGGCATTGCGTGTAGAAAGGTTCAACTGAAAAATCCTCAAAAACTCCTCGATATCTCATCAATATTCCACTCTGAAATCGTGGTTTGAGATTTGCTCCACAGAATTGCTATATCTACAACAAACTAATAACTCCAATATATCAGCAGGTTTGGTGATATGGATCTACGAAAACCAGCTCGAAAGAAAAGAATAGAAATCATCATTCACATGCAATGGCATGGCTTTATTATGAAACATTCAAAACCAAGTTCTTCGTGCGAAAAAACGTTGTCATGGAATCGTTACGAGGTGAATGAAATTATACTCAATGAGTGAGAGTGAGTGAGCTTCTATTCGTAGTATTAGTTCGTTAACTATGGAACGAATTTTACATGCAAATTCCTTAATGAGCTATACTCCTCAATTATACCAACATACATTAAGTGATTTTGTTTCAAAGTATTTCATTTTATGGAGAAGTTATGTAACCAACCAAACGCATGCGATACCAGTTTCCGTCAGCAGAAATGACTGACCTCCAGCTTTTGAAGACCAATTCATTGGGAAAAGAGGTGTTCCAAGGAATCATTTGCTCGTACAGGAATGAGTTACCATGGATGTTGTGATGGTAATTTTCGGCTCGTGCTCTGGTTGTCGGACTGTCGTTGTCTCTTTGGTGGATGATGTAATTCAAATCGTTGTAACCTCTGCCATTGAAGAAATACGAAAATACCGAAATGATGATGGCTCTGGTGTTCACGGGAAGGTCAATTGGTAACCTTTGGATATAGGTCGGTCTTGGTATATGTGGTTGAATCTTATCGAGTGGGCCAAGGTTCTGCATAAGAAGAGTATAATAAGAACTTCAGATCAATCATATATAAAGCATGCATTTTACACCACAGTTCAATATAGATGTTTTAGACTGATAAAAAAGCTTCACTATAGAATCATGCACAAGACCGCATGTCCGATTTCTTTTCAACTCATCTCAAAAACCATGCACTCACAAGCTCACTGCATTTTAATGAAAATCAAAACAAAGACATTTTGATAGGATGAAGAAAACACTCAAACGAATTGCATGTTTTTTGTGATAGGAAAAATAACTCTTCCAGAAGATCCTTTAATATCATTCGCAGCTAACAAGTTTCCCCAAAAAAACCTTGTTTTTACTGCGTTATATGCGTTTTGAACAATGCATTTGTAAGCGTTGACCGTACGGCCTCGTCTTAAATTTTGTTTAGTTCGAAGAGAAACGCTGCCTTTGTCCAAAAAAGTATGCATTGCAGACGGCACCAGCTTGCTTATAGTTTGCGCAATAGATTTGTTTTAACACGTATAATCATTACCCCATCTGCACGATAAAATTTCCAAGATCCAGTTGGACGGGATTGTAGTTCCTTTATCTGAGCATCCTGATTCTTGATTCGTTGTTCGCTTTCTGTTAGTCTTGTTTGTAGCTTTCAAAATTAAAGTAAATCGGAAAATAATCGGGTAATGAAGGTGTGACACCCGCATCAAAACTATATAGAGATAACTATAGCAAATGCATCACGATATCTTGTAATTCATTCTGATTGTTTACAATAATTTGTTGATCTCCACGCCCAAAGAAAAGAGAAAAGAGAAGACATCTTTATCGTTCATTTTATCGTTTTCCTGCTTTTCCGATCTGTTTAGACAGCTTACTGTAAAGTTTAGCCATCCCATGCCATGCAAAAATGTTGAAAATGCTTCTTTGACCGCGTTAGGAAGTACGTGTTACTGAGACAAGCAGACTATTAATAGTGACCCCAAAGTCCAAACGAAGAATATTTGTGACCTGTGGGAATATACCTTGCTCGATCGTAAAGAATGCGTTCCTATAATTGCTATGGTCTGTTTCTTGAACTTAGTTATATGCTCAGAAAATAGTTGCTTAACAGTCAGCAAAAATAAAATTCTGGAGAACTAGATTGCTAAGTGGTATGACGCAGGTATTGTGCGGGTAATTGCTTGCCTAAGCATGTAAAATACACATGCACTTATAATGCGCAAAAAAACACACATTTACCTGTTGTAATGTTTCCTCAAGTTTTAAGAATTTTTCCGCAGTCAAATACTTCGTGTTACATAAATCACCGGAGTAGCCTGGCGGGCAAACGCACTCAAAACCGCCACTTTGGCTTGTCTTGCAAACACCGCGGTTAAGGCAGGGGCACTTTAACTCACAACTCAGGCCATAATATCCACCATTGGGGTCGCAAGTGCACGAAAAGCAACGATGGCCGTCTCGACACAAGCCCTTGTTCTGACATGGCGAGCTGGCGCAATCGTCAGTATCTTTCGAGAAGAAATTGAAGATCTTCAGACGATCTCCGAGCGCTGTAATTCCGATGTATTGAAGCTGTTGTAATGTCAGACTGCCGAGAACAGTTTGATCGATTTTGTGTTGTTTCAACTTTGCAGCATAAGATTGTGCGCTTGCTTCGTGAACCCTGGCTAACTTGAGAAGATCTTTCACTGTGACTCCAGAATTACAGTGAGAAACTTCACCAATCGTCGCGCAAATATGCACGACGGCAAAGATTAAGCTGGGATAAAACACGATTGAACGTTTCTCCATCGCGATGGGCGTAAAATGAGAGGTGAGTTTACGTCAGAACGCGTAATATACTACCCACTGAGCTATTTTATATACTCTGGAGTAACAAAACAAAAAGATTCGTTTCAATTTTCTCACTGATATTACCGAGATGAAAACGAACTAGTCATTCATTATTGGCTGAAGATCTTCAAAACGGATTTCATATATCGCAAATTATGCAGGGTCAGCTTCAAACATCTCGGCTTAATAATAATTGCTTGATGATGTTGCGAATATCAGGAGTTTGGTTTGATAAATGAGAAGATCCTGGTTTTCACAGCTATTTCCGATTCAGTCAAATAAAAATCACATTTCATTGTCACATTTAATGCAAATTCTTCTTTGCCAAAATAGCCTATACTGTATAGTATATTTCTTTCTGCGATCTTATGTGCGACTTTGTTCTTTTGATAGATGTGAACGAGTGAATTAGTTACTGACGTTCAAATATGAGTTCTTCTACATCAGAGCATTCGTAGACAATTAGTCATTCACATCTACCAAAAGAAGAAAATTGCACAAAAAAACGCAGCAAAAATCGCAAGTGTAAACGGGCCTATAGCAATGTATCGTATAAAATCTCTAGTGAGCGTTAATCCTCAAATATTAAATCTGTGTTTCAAATTCTGCTTCAAACTTCAGTCATCAAATATTTGTTTCATTTCACGGCGCAGTGACGTAACCAACCAAACGCACGCGATACCAGTTACGTCTGCCACCAGTGAGGGAGGAATATGTCACCCTGAAGACCAACTCTTTGGGAAGGGTGGTGTTCCAAGGAATCATTTGTTCGTAATAAAATGTGTTGGCGTAGACATCGTAATGAGTGTTGTAACCTTCTGCTGTGCCACGTGCGTTGTCGTTGTTCTTCTGGTAAGCGACGTAATTCAAATATGCGTGACCCTGGTGGTTGTAGAAATGGCAATATATTGAAATGAGAATGGCTTTGGTGTTTGTGGGAAGGTCAATTCGCAGCCTTTGTGTGTATGTTGGTGTTTGTGCATTTAATTGCATCTTCTCGAGTTGATTAAGAACCTGCATAAAAAAAGCAAAAAAGTAAGAACTCACACACATATGAAAGAATACTGCGCTGAGATCGCAAGGTCGCGTGTTTAAATCCCCACTGCGGAATGTGAGTGGCTGTTTAATTGATGTTCTTGACTGCTTTTTGTTAGGTCTACCCCCCCCCCTACCCCCTTTGGGTCCTGAATATTGAATAGGAGAAGAACCGGGAAATATATCTGTTGAGAAATGTTGGTGTTTCCATCTTATACAAGTAATAAGTTGAGGAGAAGCTTTAATTTTCTTTGTCCGAAAGCTTTGCCTTTGTCTCATGCAGTACATGAAACAAACATTGAAAATATGGATAAAGAGCCAAGCATAAAAATTGTCACTACATTACTTCATTTGCACGATAGAATTTCCAAGATCCTGTGGGACGGGATTGTAGCTCCCTTATCTGAACATCCTGATTCTTGATCTGGGCATCCTGATTCTTAATCTGAGAATCCTGATTCTTGTTCTGGGCATCCTGATTCTTGATCTGAGCATCTTGATTCTTAATCTGAGCATCCTGATTCTTATTCTGAGCATCCAGATTCTTAATCTGGGCATCCTGATTCTTGATCTGAGAATCCTGATTCTTAATCTGAGCATCCTGATTCTTGTTCTGAGCATCCTGGGTCTTGATCTGAGCCTCGTGATTCTTGAACTGAGCATCTAGATTCTTGATCTGAGCCTTGTGATTCTTGATCTGAGCACCCTGCGCCTTGATCTGAGTATCTTGACGTGTTATCTGAGCCTCCTGATTTTTGAACTGAATATCTAGATTCTTGATCTGAGCATCTTGATCCTTGATTTCGGCATCCTGAGTCTTGATCTTAGCATCCCGAGCCTTTATCAAAGCCTCCTGATTCTTGATTTGAACTCCCTGATTCCTAATTTGTTCTTCACTTTGTTCTAGTCTTGTTGTCAGCTTGCATATGAGAAGGTCAGAAAATAGAAACGCAAATGTCAGTATTGTGTTCCACATCAAATTTTAAGACTACTAGGCAACTATATCTAGTTAAAATTGTTTCATTTTTACTCATCTCTACCCTATTTTCAGCAAACACGCGTGGCGATCTTTTGCAGTGAGAGTACTGAAAAGATTGCTTTTTCATTGTTTAAATCCGTTTAAGAAAATTGAAGGTACCAATTTTTTGAAAAAAGTACAAAAACGTACAAGTTATAAAATTCGTTTTGCCCACAATTAAGCGAAGTTTCTGGATAGAGCGCCGATGGACCGAATTCTCTGGTAACATTTGTAATCTGTAATTCTCAAACAGCATTTCCTACTATATATAAAATTATGGATTGTCCCACATGAAATAACTGATTATCGGCAACTGTAGAACTAACCAGCCTAGCCATCTCATGCAACGCAAGAATTTGAAATATGTATTTTTGAGTGCGCGATATACTGTACAAACATATTTTTATATCATCCTATTACGAGGAACATATGTGTCTGTGAGCTGCGCAAATATATTTTGTTCGATCGTAAAGAATGCGTTCCTTTGGTCTTTTTTCGTTTCATTAATAGTTTTAGTTGTGCTCAACGGTTCCTTACTGAAACAGGCAGGAAAATGAAATTCTCGGAAACGAGACTGTTGATTGGCGTGCAACTACGTGCCAAAACGTTTCCCAATACAAGAAGGAATACACATTTACCTGTTGCAATGTTTCCTCAAGTTTCACCAATCTTTCTTCAGTTAAATACTGCGTGTTACATAAATCACCGGAGTAGCCTGCCGGGCAGACGCACTCGAAGTTTGTGTAGTTTTGCAAACACCGCGGTTAAGACAGGGACACTTTAGGTCACAACTTAGGCCATAATATCCACTGTTGGGGTCGCAAGTGCACGAAAAGCAACGATGGCCGTCTCGACACAAGCCCTCGTTCTGACATGGCGAGCTGGCGCAATCGTCAGTATCTTTCGAAAAGAAATTGAAGATTCTCAGACGATCCCCAAGCGCTGTAATTCCGATGTCTTGAAGCTGTTGTAATGTCAGACTGCCGAGCACAGTTTGGTCGATTTTGTGTTGTTTCAACTTTGCGGCATAAGTTTCTACGCTTGCTTCGTTAATTCTGGCTAACTTGAGAAGATCTTTAACTGCAACTCCAGAATTACAGTGAGAAACCTCACCAGTCGTCGCGCAAATATGCACGACGGCAAAGACTAAGCGGAGAAAAAATGCGATTGAAGGTTTCTCCATCACGATGAGCGAAATGAGAGGTGAGTTTACGTATAAGAATGTGTCATGTATACTACCTGGTGACGTGCGTGCCACTGAACTATTTCATATGTTCTGGAGTAACGAATAAAAAATATCGTTTCATTTCCTAAACTGGTATAACCGAGATGAAAACGAAGCTACTGGCTACAGATCTTTAAAACAGATTTCATGAAATTAAAACACATTTCAATTTCATTTCATTGCGTTAAACTGTCAAATGAGCACAGCACATTTCACTTTCTATTGTGTTTCTCTTTTGATAAAGACATAAAGTGCATGCATGTGATGTAAATTCGTGTTGATGAATGATGATGTGCTGAATTTGTTAGGTTGGGAGTCTCTAGACGTGAGACGTCATTTACATGTATAAAATAATTAATCATCATATACTGCTCTAAATTTAAAACATTTATTTCGACGATGTAATAAGGGCGATTCCCCCTATGATCTTCGAAATCGTGAAACGGATTTAGTATTATTAAAACCTAAGAAAGAATTTCTGAAAAGAACTTTCAAATACAATGGAGCTTTCCATTGGAATAATTTTACCTTTTGAAGCAAAAACTACCGATTTTATATTCGAGTCAATCATTTAAACGGATAATAAAATCTATTTTGAGGTGAAGCTGACCTGTCCTCATTCTCATATCGTTCTTTGTCTATTGCCTGCATGTTTGTTGTATAATCTGTTTGTTATCCCTGTACAGTATGTTCAATTTAAATACGCCTCTCATCAAAAATAGCAATCGGCTGTATATGAGGCTAGCGTGTTTAAATAAAGTATTATGTATGTATATTTGTATTCGTCTTGGCAAAATGGCCTATACGGCTATACTAGTAGAATTGCTTTACATACAGTAATTTCTTTCATTGCAATATATCGAAATCTCTTGTGAGCATTACTATACTACTGAGCCTTCTGGCTCTGCTCTGCCACCCGCGTTTTCGTTGCCTTCTACGCTATAAGTAAATAGCAACCAAAATAGCAAACACTGGGATTTGGGAAACTGTCAAGTGTCAATATGACCTTCGTAGAAAATTCCCTAAACAGCCTTCGTAGAGAATTCCCGTGGGAACGAAAATGGCAACCAGAACACTGACCGGCATGCTTTCAACCAGCATTCTACTCATGGGAAACCTAGTCTTATACCAACAAAGAAGCTAAACTCTCCATTTTACTTTTACCATCATGCATTTCGGCCTGACATTTTAATATCGGATATACCATGATGATTTCGTGCATTTGCGTGGTGTGTGTTCAGGCGAAAGGTTTTTATTCATATCGTTGATCGAAGGTAAGTTTTATTGCAGATCCTAATTGCTGTCGCAGCGGGTGAGTCTTTTCCAAACATGAAACCTGAAGTACGAATGTAGTAAATACAGTCTATACTCTCGGTTTGACACACAGAGAACATACGATTTAGTGAAAGAAAATCAATTTACATTTGTGGGCGAGCAGGAATTTGATGACTTCGTTGTTAATACATGTTTATATAAGTTTTAAGTTTAAACTGGAGAGTTTAGCTTGGTATGCGCGCTAAATATTCCAACAAATCTATTATTCCTGAAGAGATTCGTAGCGTTGCAAACGCGAGAAATGTAGCTACTTCAGGATAACCTAACGAATTGACCATGCATTATAATAATATCAGCGACTTACTCAACGTACGAATGCGCTTACGTTGGCGGGCTGACATTTGAATTTGGCCACATTTTTCCCATCAAACCACTTTAATGTAGTATCGAAATGTTCGTCAGAACGAAGCAATGGTGCTTAATTCATGGCCACGTGGCTATTTCGCGTCACAACACAATAATATACAATAATAATTACAAGGTTTCAATGCCGAATACCAAAATGTTGTCCAACTTCGTGCGTTCATTTATTATAACGATGGGGAGGATGAAGTATGTCTTAAAAACAGTCCGAGATCTTAATCGCAACGTACTAGATCTCCTGCACTATTGGGGGTCATATACTATTCCACATTCACTATACTTATTGTGGAGAAAAGCTGTTGTATGCAGTAGTTGAGAAAAAAAAAAATATGATGAAACCTACATTTTGCTTTTCCCATGAATGTTATTTCCATGTGGTTTAATTCCTCCTTGCATGTAGTTAGGCAACTGATACGGAAGACGGGAATCGTGACGGTGATACGAAACCAATGAATAATAAATTACTTTACATTCAATTTGCAGTTGTTCACTACCCCGCCACAGAGTAATCGTTAAGCTGTGCTACCGTAAACAAAGCTTGACATCATGGCAGTGAATATAACAGAGTGGGAAAAAAGTGCAATAGCAAATATAGATAATCTGATTAACAAGTGCAAGTTACGAATGTTCGCTTTCGAGAGAGAACATCTCATGTTAACTCAAAACGCCGGTGTCGATCCATTGGCATTGATGATCCAAGATCGTGCACCGCAAAGATTGCGATATTTCGCGACAGACCTTTATTCAGCTCTAGACTATTTATGTTACCTTTGTCATTGCCATTACCAGAACGAAGGTCGACCTAGTTATTCCCAGGAAGCAAGAAATGTGAACTTTCCTTATAAAATCCTCCGGGAAACTACTGCGGGGGGGCAGAGAGAGGTTTGCGAGAAAAAAGCAAACAACTTTGCAAAGAAAAGGTTCGAGACAATATTCGGTCCCTTGGATGGAGCAGAGGCAGGAGGTCCAGCGCCTGGAGCAGAGGCAGGAGGTCCAGCGCCTGGAGCAGAGGCAGGAGGTCCAGCGCCTGGAGCAGAGGCAGGAGGTCCAGCGCCTAATCAAAATATGTTAAATGAATTTAAACAAATAATCCTACGCTGTCAAATAAAGACAAAGATTGATGGTAGTGGATCACTATGCGATCAACAAGGCACTCCAAATGATGCAGCGAGGGATTTCAACACGCTCCATATTCTACGCAACACTGCAGTTCACCGTAATTTGGTTTTTGTGAATGTCAAACCCGGTAAGTTATATTTCAACCGTCGGGAAGGATACCACGAAGTTAAGCCAGGCGAAATACCCGAAAGAGAGAATAATCCGGAACTTTGGCAAAGTTTTCCGAGTAATCCCGGTTGTTGGATTACAGTTCCTCCTCTTGGTCCGAGAAGAGATTACACTCAAGAAAAGATTCTTGAAGTTGCCATACGCCTTGTCGATTTTGTGAAGGATACCCGAGATGACCTGCTACAACTGGCTTTCCCTCATCACTATGGTACAGGGGAAAACTTCTCTGTTCGTCCATTTGATAACGGTAAAGTAAGACGCGGGATGGATGATGGCGTGTACATCGGGAATAATCCGCATTACAGCTGGGATAAATTTGATCAAGCCTGTTTTATTAACCAAAATAATTTCGATTTATATGCTGTTTAGAAGCTATAAACAAATTCAACATTGTGTGCGATTTCTCACAACTTTAAAAACATTAGTTGCATGCATAACTAAAAGCTAGCTAACATTATACGAGTATCGACCTAGTCATGTTACTACTACCATATCAGTAAATAAATTAATTGTATTGTATTGTATTGTAAGGTCTGTTCACACGATTTAATTTTGTCGGTTTATTCATCTCTGATGGATGTTTTATAGTCTTCGAACTTGCAATGTACATGTCATGGGCGCGGCAGCAATTCAACAAAAGCTACTGCGGTCTGCTTCATCAGTAACACATTCCATTCCATACGTCAGAGGTGAATTAGATCCAACAAAATCGGGTCGTGTGAACAGGCCAAATGCTCACTATAGCTTTTTGGAGCCATTGTCATCAGTTGGATTTTCCGGAAAAGCAAATTGTGCGATTTTAGCCACCGGTGTGTTTTAGTTGTAGTCCATGTGAACTATAATAATTTGATTTTTCAGATCAAGAATGTTAATTAAACTATATTAAGAATATTTACAATCAATATATTAAAATGTTCGAGAACATAGTGTGAAATAATTTACTTTATCGATGATACCATTTGGCAAGGAATTCCATAAAGATACTGAAAATTAATTTTTTTCAAGTCAAGGTTGATGAGCTTAGCAAGACGAATGCCATTGGTACGCTTGGCTAAAATACAATAGACACGTGACGAGAAAGGAACCATTTTTTGCGTAAACCTGGACAATAACATAGTTAACGAGTTGTATTGTACTTTTATTTAGTCTCCAAACCATGTATATTCTATTAACGGTGAGTTAACCTATAGCTTTAAAATTAGAGTTCTGCAATTCAACCCAAAACTTCACGAAATTTAACCCAAATCTTCACAACAACATTTGTACCAAATAGCATACTAACTTCACTGCTGTAACAAAAGTCTCTAGTATAGTCGAAATGGGGAAAATCTTATTTCCCCAATATCATGGTCACCGTGAAGACGACAACTCCCTTTTTTTGAGCAGTTACAAAATAGCGATAGCGAAATTAGGCCTTGGGTTTGTAAGCAATGCGTGATTTATGCTACAGATTACTTCGCCCAGCGATGCGCAGAAACATAATCCGCAGAAACCTAGTACCACGGTTGCTCGATTCACCACCCAACCTCGTTCCCAGGACCTCACACAAAATCCTCAACTCGTTAATTTAAAATATTTAATTAATATTATATATACTACAGTGCTAAGTCGAATAATACTACACGACAACCCACTAACAAGGCAATTTGTTAGATATTCATAAATTTTATGTTAACTATCAGAAGACGGCCTTGCCGATGGATTAGTAACCCAATAAGAAAAAAAAATCATTCAAAAGATACGCCGACGTCATAACGACTACCTGTACGTTTTGCAAAAAAAAACAAAAAAGCACTTCAGTTTGTTGAAGGTGATTTATAGACTTTTTAACTCAAGATGGCGCATATTAAACGGCACTTCTATTAAGAGAAAAGAAGTAAGAGAAAAAAATTACTTCAAAAAATTAATTTTGCAACCTCATTGTAATCGGTTTTACTTGTGTAGTATTATTTATCCCCATAGAGAAAACTATTTTCTGTTGAACCAAAAAATACTAAAAATAAAGTGGTAAATAAAGTGACATATTGCAACCGAATTGAAATTATAAAGTACACTAACAATCTTCGTACTGCTTTTCTTACTGGAAGATGAATTTCGTCTTAAACAAACTGAAGTTTTACCAAAAATACTAATGATACATGTACACAGATCGCACGATCTGTAAAATCAGTTTGCCAACTTACGGGATTCGTTTTTCGTAAGCAAATTGAAAAACGGTTCGTATACAGTATGCACTTCCCTATATCACAGAGGTAACCAATAAACGCACAGGCATGCAGGTCAATTAAAGGCAGTTACACATGCCACCTCACAAAAGTATTGCATTGGTCAGTCGCTTCTCTAGAGTTCAAGATTTGCCAAGAATTGCTATGCAGCAAAATACAATTAAGTTCATTTCTTGTCGTCATCGTCTTTCTCGGATTTGCTTTTTCTATTCATAATTCCTTGGAAGGATTTCTTAAAGCTTCTCTTCTTCTTCACTTTCTGTCGTGCTTTGCCTCCGGACCCTTCACCCTCGTCTTTGTCACCTTCACCCTTGTCTCCTAAAAAAAAAAGTTTTTCAACGGAACGAGCGAGAACACACTACACGCTTAGGAAACGTTAAGTGTTTCCCAGAGGAAAGAAACAGGACAATGCTGGGTAAAATTATAAAATACAGACCCAATAGTACATTATGTTAAAGTTCTGTTAGAGGATCAATTAAAATGTAAAGAGCTGCCCCGTTCTTTACAAATAGTGTTTATTCTTGTTCTGTAAAAGTCCGATTCATGCATCAAGTAAGATAAAACAAGGTAGTTCTATATGGCATTCACTGTTAAGAGTTGGGTTGGCCAGATATTCTATAATGGCTCCCAATGCTGTACTGCACCCGATGAACAATGTTATTATATCAAGTTTGGGGCAAATTGAAGCCTAACAAGTTTCTTTAACTAATACCAGTCGCCACGACAATGACGACATAGCAACGTAACCTACCTTCTTCGCTGACATCTTCTTTCTCCTCAACCTCAACCTCGACGGGAGGTGGGCTGAGCAAATTACTATCCACGGGCTGCTCTTCGCCGTTCACAATCAACTTCTTCTCGATGGTCGTGACGGGAGCGCCACCATCACTCTTCACCACAGTACGACTGGTGGTCACAACCCTGGTACTCGTGGATGTCACCACGTTTGTCGCATCACCATCATCAGAAAGCTTCATTTCCTTCGTCTCGCCACCATTCGACCCTTTCTCGATAAACACTTCGTTTGTTGGCTCCTCGTTGAAAATGCTCTCAAGAGGTATTTCGCTCATCACCTGTTCCGCTGGTTTGCTGGACGTGATCGTCTCCTGGACATAGTTCTCCTTTAGCGCCGGCCCCTTGGATTCCTTTTCGAAGCCAGAATAAAAGCGCAAATCAACAATTATTGAATACGGGTTGAAAACGACAAACTAAGGCTTGATTCTTTTTCATATTATGAAAAACGTCTCATCCCGAGTTATGGCGTAACTGGTTGAACATGACCATTGTACACACAGCTATAACTTAATCAGAGACTCTAAATTCTTTGTGATAAGTTATAATTCTATTTGTATACCTGTTAAAGTGATTATTTCAGAACTCATCTCTTGAAAAAATACTTTTTTAAACATTAACGAATGTCTCGACAATTGCACGTTTAATTTCTAAGAAATTTATTTTTCTAAAGAATTCTAAGAAATTTACCTCCAAGATTTTCACGACTGTTTCTTTCTCAGGCTTGCTGTCCTTCAGGATGGCAGGCTCAGTGTGGCTATCGTGGATAAATTCTTTTCTGTACTCCGTGGCCTTTACCGGGGAGTTCAACCACTTGGCGCGGTTCTTGTAGGTGTTGCCCTTGCCCTGGGACCTGGCGCGCCGCGATGCCGGCGTGGTCTGGTTATCCCCGTGCAGCATCTCGTAACGGTATGACGTCATCGTTGCAGGAGACCTCGCCTCGCATTTCGGCTGCTGGACCGTCCTGTTGTAAATGTCAGGTTGACGGTACACGTAACCTGTTCGGTAACCCTAAGTAACGAGGATGCGAAATCAAACGAAACGAATTTGAAGACGTAATACAGTGTACTTCGTTAATTAAGTTAAGTTGAGTTAAGTTAAATATGTCATTAATAATTTAATTGCAAAAGAGCTATTAAACTCTTTTACAAGTCACTCACTTGTATTCAACTAGTTATCTGACTGGAGCTGTTATGATTTAGTAGTTCAAATTTATACAGCTGCTACCATTTTACACTAGAGCTTCCATTAATGTAATGAAATTTGTCTGAGAGGGGTACCCGATTTTGCCGCTCTTTTGTGGCTGTGATAAAGAGCTGCATCGTCTTGAATCTTCCATCACATTACCTGTGCATCAAGCATCCTCATCCAGGCTTCAAATTCATGCATTCCTGGTGTAATATTTTCCCTCTTCTTAGTGTCCAAATCTTCACATTCGTAAACTTGCTTGAGCACATCATCGTCAAGCAAAACCAGATTATCAACACCGGCCGCCATGGCTTTTATCTGAATTAAATGGTAGTGAAGACAACTTTAGCTTAGGTTTCGGAGCGTATCAGCGCATATTCTGAAGCACAATCTAAAATGAGGCTGAAGCTTATCCAAAAGTCCATTCCGACTTGCCCAACAATGGTGCCCTCCACTTACGTATCTATTTCAATTCTTAATTTTAACACAACAAATGAAATGACAACAAATGAACTTCACAAGAAATGAACACAACAAATGAACTTCAAATGAAATTTGGCAGAGTCTAAGAGCATTTTAGACATGATCTTATAAGTTTTTATTCTTTAATGTTCACTTGATCAAAAAGATACGTGAACATGAAGAGGTAATATCTCCCCTTCCCTTCAGTCACAAAGCACTAGCTTTTAAAATTAGCATCTTTAAAAAATACTTAATGAAAAGCAAATTAACTTCTTGCCTTTAAAAAGATCTTTATCATCAAAGCCCCAACAAGTTAAAATGAAAAGGGCATACCTGAATGTCGCAGGCCTTTGTTGCATAGAACGTAAGAAGGAAAGCTTCCTCAACAGTCTCCCCAACACAAAGTATTCCATGATTACGCAGAAACAAAACCTGGAAGAAATTGAGACAGAAAATACTGTAAATGAAGAGATTATGTGGTACGTAACAAATCTTTGATGTTAAATGTTGGCATTAATTAAGATCAACCACGCATGTGTACATTTGAACTGGGAACCTGGGATGTTAGGTTTTGTCATACCTTGGATGGTGCAGGAAAATGAGCAGCTAATCTCTCTCTCTCCTCAAGGTTAACAGAGATCCCCTCAAAGTCATGGTATGAGACTGGACCAAGCTACAATGAATAGTCAATGCTTTAAATGTGAAATACTGTCAAACAATGCTTATTTTCTTTATTAACAACACAACATTTATGTCGCAGAATTCAAGAAAAAGTAGCTGATAGCTTTATCTTTAGTACAAGCAATAGCAAAATGATTTTTCAACAACTCATCTTACATTTAGGGGCTGATTACACAGACCAGGCTGGCCTATTTCCCATAGTAATTATAGTCAATTTTAACATTTGGATTACATGCAAACCCAGGTTAGCTTGGCTAGCTGGGGCAGAAATTTGCATGACTGAAAAAGCACAAACATGTATTAAATACTATTAAACCCAAGAAGGACTAAAATTGTTACAGCTAAAGGATAAATTTGCTCATTACATGGTAACATTAATTGTTACAGCTAAATGATAAATTTTCTTTAAAAATTTGTACTGAAATACTTCATACTGAAATCACTCATGTAATAGTTTGCTAGTTCCAGCCTCGAAAACTGGCCGGTCCATGTCATCAGCCCCTTTAATAGCTTTTCATAAATGTTGATGATAATCAATAAGCATTAAAACCTACCAAAGCAGACGCCATTGAAAGAGGCAAAAGACCTTGTTTCATTGACGCAACCTAACAGGATAGAAAAATAAGTGATGATCAGTAGTTTGTGATAAATTACATATAGGATAAATGTATACAAATATATTACAGGATAATGCAAAATATTGATATGATGATGACACCATGGAGTCTAAAGATACTTTTCCTTAAAGCAGCCAAAATGGTCAAATTAGATTGTCAGAATATTTTGTTTTGAAATTCAACTGGACTAGTCTAGCCATTTCTACTGTATAAAAGGAAAGCATCCTAACTCCTAAGTATTTGCTTTGCTTCAACTGCATTCCCTATAAATAGTTTTGCATGTGTACAGTATAAATTGGCATAATCTTTCAAACAAGTTATTATCCTAATGAAAATTAAAATATTTGAAATCAGAGAAGTGTCCAATTAATAGTAGCAATTCTAACAACAAGATTTTACACTTATATTGCTTTGTCTGGCCAAATTGCCAAAAAACATTGTCAATGAAGTACTCTCCTTAAAAAGTGGTTTAAAACTGAAGTATTTGTTGATTGCAATTCATGAAAACAAACAAAAACTATTTGCCCCAATCCAAATAGCTTAGATATTATATTGCAAAATGTAAAAAACAATACAACATCAGAATTTGTTTTAGGCAATGATATTTTACACCCAATTTAACAAACATATCAAGTGCATCATTAGTCTCCATTTATATAGATGCTAGGCTCCATGGATGAGACCTCCGTGAAACTGACATGATCTATTTTGCAGGTATTAATATATTCTCAGCTGTCAAGATGCTATATTGTGGAGAGCTGTCATCAAAACACTTCAAAAAAGGATTGTGCTAGAAATTGAGAGCAAATGTTCTCACCGCAAATTTATACAAAGGCCAATTCATTCCACACTCCTGCCTGTGAGCATTTAGCAAACTTGGTCAGGTCTACCCATATAAACATCTCCTAACACAGGCAGGAAGTCACAGTAATGATGTTTAAATAGGTAAATTTTTAATGAGCTTTATGGATCAAACTGCATAAATGTCATAAATATTTAATACTAATATCACTTAATGGAAAGCAGAAAACTAGAAAAATATGTATAGACTAGCTGGCTATGACTATGTGCCTAAATCCTGCTGGATTGTTTACAAAAATTACATTTTACCATTACCATTCATATCAAAGCAATTATAAATATGAAGATATGCAGCCTAAACGTTTAAAAGTGATATTATGTCAGCTTGGATTAAACCATCTTATGGGTGATTCCAGAAGAACTCCTAATAGCATTACTGTGTAATATAGTCCCCCAACAAACAAACAGGAATTGTTATCAACAGAGCAGCCATATGACACCTAGAACGACTCTAAATCGACAGGGTTTTTTAATTTTATAGACAGCCTATAATTATGTCGAAATATTCATATTTCTTAAGTTCTTACATAACCACGTCTCGTAATAGCACATTTATAGCAAACAAATGTAAACACGAACCTTTCTCGGACCATCGAGACGGTGGCATCACAAAATGCTGGCTGTTTTCCGGACAAAACGAAAAACTTTAAAAGCGAGGGATCATATCAGGCATATTCTCAACGCCATAGGAGATAATTGTTGCCTTGCGATGTGGCAGACAATTCGCGATTATAATACAATAGCAACAGCAGCGGCTAGATGCTAACCACGCGCTCGCCAAAAAAATACGACGAGACGTTGAGAAATAAACATACTTTACAGAGAGTACTTAGTTTATTGTATTGAAACAAAACGAAATTGATTTTTTTCTGAAGAGGATGAAAGTATATAATATCATGTTACATTTCGCTGTCTCTGGAACATTTTTTGATGTAGCCAAACTCGGAAATGTAACGTAATTTGTTAGCGTTTGCAGCTTTTGAACAAGAAAATTTCTAAGTTCATTGGAGCATTAACGTCCGAGAAATACTTCTCACACACACTAAGATTTGCATGAAGACTTGGATAGATGTAAGCCATGCAAAATTAATGAGCGATCGCAAAAACTTACGGCTACTGTTGCTGGATCATGGATGTGGATGACGCACTTGGCATCTTTTCGACTCTGATGGATGGCAGAGTGTATGACAAATCCAGATTTATTTATGCCGCAATTTGTACTGCCGGGGTCCAAAACCTCTCCTTCGCTGTCGATTTTCACCAAGCCAGAAGCGGTGATCTCGTGATAGAGCAATCCAAAAGGATTGATCAAAAAACTCTCGCCCTGCCCGCGTTCACCAGAACACCGAACCTACAAAAATTGGAGTAGTTTTGTTTGTTATTTTTACGTTCTAAAATCCCGAAGCTCTCATCCAATTTCTACCAGAATATCTTAACATGAAAGCCATAGCTTCATATATGGAGATTTCGTTGTTTACTGTGCTTAAAAATTCGATACAACGCTCTAAAACCGAGCCAATATTTAGGCAGACATGTTGTTGACCTAGTTTCGTCGCGCGTATAAACAAGCTCTTCACGTTTGTAAAAGTAGATCACAAATCAGACGATCAACTGGTGCTTACCGTGCTGTGATTCCAAACGCTCTCTGTCCAGCCAAAATGATCGATAAGACGGTAAACAGAAGCTAATTTGCAGCGAAGAATGCGTTCGCTTTTTGTATAATTCAGCATGTCTGTCCCTCGTATATCATTGATAGGATGCACAGCCGATAAGCCCGAAGCAGCGCCGTAATAATTGCTCGTAGGGACAAGAAAATCTTGATAGGTTCGCACTGAAGCAAGCTCTTCGCCTTCCTCGCCGTGTTTCCTAACAGTATCTTCCAGCTCATGTCGAAGGTACTCGTCTTTCAAGACCAAAGAGACTCGCTGGCGAAGCTTCAAGCCACGAACATCGCGTTGTATATCTTCCGGGCGACGTACACTTCGTCTCCCCATAGCCGGCTCAGAGTATCTTCTCGCCTTCATTTCGGTCAAATGTTGTCCACCGGTCCTCGTAGGCTCAGGCATATTCTCTTTCGCTTTCAAACTGCTCGAAAACAGGGAGTAAAAAGTGTTTACTTCGCAAACTGAATCGCAGCGACACCGTTTCCAACGCCCCACAAGCAGTCTGTGCAAATTAGAATGCGTTGTGTTCGATGCGCATGAGCGGGTTTTACTGAGGTTTTGATTCCTGCAACGTGATTGGTTCACAGCGATGACGATAATAAGCTTCTGAGATTTCTATCTTCGCTTTTTCGAGGGATCCAAATTACCTGGGATTTATCTATATTTTTTAGGCATTTTGGACGTCAAATTCGGCTAGGAAGCAAAACTTTATAATCGGTAATCCTTGCGTGACTCCCACTTGGGGCAATTCTCGCTTCCGGCTTATATTTTTCCCACAAAAAATGAACCGCGCCGAGACGATTAGGAACCAGCTTTGTGCAAGGTTTCTGTTCTGATTGGTGTGCTTGAAAACGTACTCACGCATGAAGAGGGGAAATCGTGGTCGAGTATTTGGTTTGCCTGGTTGTGAGCAATATCAATGACAAACAACTCGACTCTTTATTCGTTTACGATATTAGCGGCGCTAGTGCAAGATAATATTTATCTACCTGATCACCTCCAATATCTACCTATCACCGCCCGCCATATTTGCCTGAAAAGGGCCTGCGGAGGAGGTAGATATTTACCAGAATAAGAATAATACCAGATCACATCACCTTGCTATTTAGCAGCGATTCCACGCGTTTCTTTTTTTGCAGAATTAGGGTAAATCTAAAGCACTAAAAGCAGTCCCCTTTGGAGCGATTTAGGCTACACCCACGACGAACCCGACAATTTATGATGATGCTTCAATTGAAATCGTTCGGTTCAGGTGTTTACACGGCAGAAATGGATCGAGTTATTTGACAGTTTTTCATGTTCACACGAGGAAACCGGGCGATTCGAGCACGATACCAAATTCGTCAGGTCCCGTGTGAACAACTAAACGTAGACTTAAACCGGGTCCACAGGACAAACTTTCTTTGAGAAACTTGATGAGTTTATGTAAGGAAATATATTTTCTCCGTGTGAATGAAGAATCTGTGAGAAATTTGTTATGGCAAAAGATCGGATTTTTTTCATATCAAAGAAAATTTGCTCGCAGTGTGTAAAAAGTTTATTCCGTTCTTATCAGCTTATAAGAACGTTATTCTTAGCATGCTAAGTTCTTGTCGAAAACGCGCCTGTTCCAGAAATTGTTGAAACTACAAGTCAAGTCAGACATTGTGAAAACTCCTTAAACCATTGTGAAAATCTCTAATCATCATTTGACCTACTTCCTATGGAATCAAAAACGAGAAGTCTTGTAAGGAAATTGACGCTGTCTGAATTTCTATGAACTAATCTCAAAGTAAACAAAAAGTTCTTAGAAGATCCGAAAATTAATCCAAACTGCTCTTCAGAGCACAACCTAAGCTTCATCGTATTAAATGCAATTAAAATGGCTAAAATGTGTGTTGGTAAATATACTTGATTCAAGTATAATCAAGTATCCCACGGGGAAGCTGAAAAAAAAGGTTTCGCCGTGGAAATAGACAAATGCTTCTCTTTTGCCAGTCAAGATAAACAACGATTGGATGGTATTTTGTAGTTACCCTAGCCGGCGTATAAGGTCACCTAAATCGTATTCCAGTGATTATAGGGATCAGAAAAGGGCAAAAGCCAGGACACTGGGTCAATCAACGTGTGATCAGTGTTTTCGCGCGGTAAATTGCCAAGCCGAGATAGTTGCACGCTGATGATTTTAAAACTGCATCAACCAACATTCGCCATTAACGAACAGAAGTTTGTCAAAACTGTCAGACGATGCAGTTCTAGGACTTGATCACAGTTTTAATACAATACAGAACTTGTAAACACAATGCATTCACCACGGACCACGTGGAGGTGGTTTTGACTACCAAACACAAACTGAACACACATGCATAAACGTCTATCTTGACATAGGCACATGATGGTCGAGCTTTAGTATTTCTGTCATGAATTACTGACGAGCGATTTAATAATAAACTATGTATTTTTGCGTGAGTCGGTTTATTTGTCTTCACCCTCCTTGTCCGTTGAATCGTCTTTTTTCTTGGAATCTAATGGAGAAAAAACCGATAGGGTTACTTTAAATCACTGGGCAGTTCTATATTATTGCGATAGCGGTACTAGGGTTTGCTGTGCCGAGTGAGCCACAGTTACCCCAAGAGAAAGAAGAAAAACTTTAGAGTAATATATATATATATTAGTGGCACGATCAAATATTCAACCATTACCTCTCTGTTGCGTCGCCTGTCCAATGGCTGCCTTCACAGCCTCGCTATCCGGATCAACATTGGGAAGTGAGCCCAACACAGAGTGAAGAAAATCAGGATCTGCCATTTCTTCGCTGAAATCCTGAATGTCTGCATCCTATAAGTAAATACGCCAGACACAAATAAGACTTGCAGGAATTCAATACATGAACTGTTTGTGACATCAGTGTTGAATAATATACGGTCAATTATTGCATGATTTCAGACACAAAGGGTGATTAGCAGCCACCCCTAGCCCCTCCCCCTTAGGACTTTCTCAAAGCCTCACCATGCTTGTACGTGTGGGGTCGGTCTCCATGGGTGTGGTCTCTCTTGAGGAGTCCATGTTTAGTGTTTCCGCTTCACTTCCCGTCTCGTCTCCTTGAAGGGACATTTTGATTGCGTATGCGATCTGGTCTGCCTCAGACATCATGCTAGAGGAAAATGAACGAAGATGCTGCATGTAAAATTTGTAAAAAGCCTTTTTAGCGCTGGTTAGCTAAAATATGAGCTTGCGGCAAGAGCACATGAATTACATAATTTAAAGAAGGTCTAATATAAATATAATTTGGGATCCAGTGATCCTCCAAGAGAAACGTTGAGGGTTTCTGTCATGTCCTACAGTACCTGACGTCATCTGGAAATGGTGTCGAACCAACAGAAGTGTCTGAGACAGCCCCAGACATTCTCAAAGCTTGTTGTAACAAAGCTTCCTCACTGTCTGGTATCTCTTCAGATGGTGCCGTGCCTTCTGCATCTGTATTCTTGTTCTCCTCCTCCTGGCGTTGACGCTGTTCCTCCAGGGAAACCCGAATGGCCTGTAAAAAAATACTTCTACATTCCAAATTCCATTTTTTCTACTACCCAATACTCGGACAACTTCCTCTAAAACAACGAAGCTTACCAAGGCTAATTCAGGATCATTTGAAGGATCAAAGAGGCCATCACCTCCAGAAGAAGGCGGGGCACCCTCCTCCCCAACAATGATGGCAGATGAAATGAGAGCATCAGCCAGAATTGGGCCAGGAGGTACTGTCACAAGATGACTAGATGTACCATCTTTACCATTTACAGTGTTTATAAAAGTTGTTAAACTTGCTGTGTTCGTCTCCTACAAAAGAGCAACAACCATCTTTCACTTGCTCAATTCTCACATTCATTTCTTATCAAATATTGTTCATCATTAAATTGTGGTTGTTTATATTGTACGCACATAAACAAGGAGGAATTTTGTTTTGAGATAATCAGCATAACTGCTTACGTTTTTCAAGCTAAGCCAATCAGAATGCCTAAAATTTTAATACTTCATGTAAAATGGTAAATCATGTACCCTTTACTGAAAGTAGTCAAAATTTATGCATTCTGATTGGGTTAATGAAAATGTAAACAAACTTGCTGCTTGGTCTAAAACGAAATTCTTTTTATTATGCATATATGACAGGGAATTCCTGTATTTATTCATATTATTATTGAATCTTTGGGTTTAAAGACTGCTGCTCTTATAAATAAGCTATTAAAGACAATTTGAAAGTGAATATAATCTAATTAATAATCTAATCTAATTATAAGTAATAATCTAATTACCTCTTCTCCAAAGTTGACTATGTCAACATTAACCTTTTCTTTTTTCAATTTCTTTGCTAATCTAACAAGCTAAAACATTTAATAACACAATGAAATAAATATGCAAGTTCAATATGCTAATAAACACATTTTTATTATCCTAAACAAAAATATTATCCTTTTGAGAAAATTTTGGCAGTGTGACATGTGATTTACATTGTGCATTCAATTTGCAAACTTTCCAGTCTGGAACAAAGTTATTAGGGACTTTATAGGCTTCACATTTGTGTGCAAGGGTTAACTCAATCTATCCTACTACATTTTTTTCCAAACTTGGTCACTCCATGTTTATGGTGGATTACAGCTTTAAGTATAAAAAACAGTCCCCCTTTTTCCTCTTGTTTGCTTGATGCTTCAAATTTCTCACTTATGGTATTTATATTTTGTGCTGGCAATGTCGCTTTCATATGATGAAACTTCAAATACAATGTAAATGAATTACCTCCTTTTCATCATTAGCTAAAGGACTTCCAACAAATGCTATAATTCTCATTCTGTGATTCTTACTTTGCCGATGCTTCAATGCAAGCTACAAATGTGCAGAAAGGTTATGAATGGTTTTAGGAAATCAAAGATCCCCAGAAAAGCAACCACTATGTGAATGAGATTTTGTACTCACATGTGCAACCCTAATGCCTGTGACAATATTGATGGCACCCTTTGGTTTAACACTGTGCAACGTTGAGAGAACTTTGCCTACATCAGTTGTCAATGTTACCAACACCTCAAGACTATAAAATTTAAAAGCAAAACAGATTGTCTTCTAGGTTCTAACATGAAAAGAGCCCAAAGTAGAATAGCTTTCACCGCAAGGAAAAGTACAAAGAAAGTCTAGATGTGGGTTAAAATTATAGAAATTTCTATCCATGCTCAGGCTAGCTACATATTAAAAGGCTGAGCAAAGATATGTTTGGTACATGTGTTATTTAGTTTATTAGTTATGCAGGACCAATTCAGTGTAGTATAAATGGTGCTTCAGATGCAGGCTGAAGTGTAATATGGTACAGTATTGAGTCTATTGATTAACTCAGCCTGGGCCATGCAGCCATCTAGTCACTAGTGATCCATATTTGACAAACCGGGGGGAGAAGACATCACTAAGTTAATACAACAGGTTACAGATGTATTTATGCATGGGGCTATTTGCCATTGTACAAACTTTATATTAAAATTACGGACGATACTGTCTTCTGAGAATAATTACTACCTTGCCAGAGTCATTAATCCTACATTATTCTCCGGATTCTGTCGAGCTTTTGAGCGACAAACTAAGTTCACAGCATCTTGTTGTGCTTGAATCCTCGTCGGCAAAAAATCGCCATTTCTCATGTACTCGCTGTTGTCTACGCTGGAAAACGAGTTTGGAAAAAGGTTAGATATTACGGAACCACATAAAATGGCCAAAAACGTCAACAAGATGTCAAAAACCTACCAAATCACGGTTGATTCCAACACCATCTTCTATCAAACTTCTAAATTTTGGTAAATTTTCTATTTTTTCTTTCTTGTTCCCAGGTTCCTAATCTCAATCCCTTCTTTATGACGTCATAAATTATAATTTTACTGATATTTATATTAACTGGATAAACATAAGTTTATTGAAAGTATCAATTTATCTATTTAATCTTCCATTCAGAGTAAAATTACTACAGTACTACAAATACGACACTACACGATCTTTTTCCGTATTATTATATAATTTCACAAGTTGCCGTTGTTATATAATTGCAGGAATTTATCTAAATGGATGATAATATATCTAATTTTTTTAAAAATCGAAACGCTCTATCATTTCGTACGAAAGTCAAATTTGTTAAAATCGCGTTTGGTAATCCTTATTCGGTATTCGCTTGCACTATATACGGAAATTATTCGAATATTTGGAGTGAAATTTGGAAATTTTGCTTATGCATCAGTCAATTCCAGCTGCGACCATCCCCCCCCCGGGACACTGTGGGGCATTTGCACACTTTTTTGTCCCCACGGTCGGGCATTTGCAGCTGCATTTTCTCCCGGGGGCCGGGCATTTGTCAACACGGGTTATGACCCCCGGGCATTTGTCGCTCACGGAGAAAAGACTATGATCAACGAGTTTCCTTTGTCGCGTTCCAAAATGGACGGCTTCGTTGGAAAAGACGAGGACTATGTTGAATCTTGGTTGAAGAATGAAGGCTTGGATAAGCTGGTGAATGTATTTAAAGGTAGGCTGTCTTGTTTTTCCAATATTTATAAATATATCTGCATATTAAAAATGTTCCTTCATAAGTTGTAATTAATAAGCTTGTCCTTTATAAGTTGTAATTAATATAGTACGTTCTTTGAAATTTAATATTTTTTTTGGCCCGGGGGTAGGGCATTTTGCGCATTTGTTTTGCTTTTTCGTCCCATGGGTGGGGCATTGTTCCTTCTTTTTTGCCCTACCCCCGGGCATTTGCAGCGAAAAAATAAAAATTTACCAATGCCCGGGGGGTGTCCCGGGGGGGGGATGGTCGCAGCTGGAATTGACTGATGCATTACTCATTACGGTATCTCGACCCAGTCTCCACATTGCGCGGTCAAGAGAAAAAAATACGATCAAGGAAGTGCACATATGAATGATATGATATTTTTTGTCTATTTACAAAAATATTGAGCCAAATAGTTACAAAATATAATGACGTTCGGTAAATGTTAGAAAGAAACTAACAGGGTAATTAATAGTGACTATCGCTGCTGCGTATTCTTTGGTATGCTTTAAATTCCCAAAGGTATGTGTTTTTAGATTGTTGACTTTATCGATCGGCTTTTTTAATGAATACCGACACGCTGGACAATACATGGTCCACGCTAGATTTTAAAGATATTCAATACTGACATTGAGCGAGAGTTGCATTTAACTTAGTTTATTTTTTAAAGTTAAATCAAAATGTACCGGATGAAATTAGAATCTATTTCACTTTTTATTTGAAACGTGAACGTATGCGTCTTGTGGGTAATTTGTTTCGCCGGCGACAGGCCTGGGATTATTTACAGTCGGAGAACGGGGAACAGCCCAGAGTTTGTACGCTAAAGGATCCCAAGTAATTACGATTTGGACCATAAAATTGCGTGTTACTTTCGTAATAAAATAATAAATGTTTTCCCCCCTGCTGAAGGAAACGCAAATATCTAATTATTTATATTGTTTAACCAATGTGCGACTAGAAGCTATGATGAGCTGAACTTAATATGGTATGCTTGCTACAGACTACATCAATATATCATATTTATTTCTACTCATTTATTTCCCACCATGACAACTATATGAGCTATCATTTGAGGCAATTGTCCAAAAAAGCTCTATACCTGGGAACGTCCTAGATATCATATGATTGCAGGGATTATGAACATACACATCCAGGAAACCTACCCCCCAACATTAACAAGATGAAACAATGCCTTCCCTGTCCCCATGTGCTTCTATGCCATATTGCGTAAAGAACATTTGTTTTTCGGTGGTGAACATGGTTGTAATCTGTTACAACATTCCAACCAAATGTGTAATATTAAAGCCAGGCAGATACTTGAAGTAAACAACATTGAAAATGATATTGTATTCTTGATTTGTCTTCTTAATAACAATAACTTTTGTGAAAATTGGTGGTTATGAACTGTCTTTTCAACAACATAAGACAATGGGCTTGGAGCAAATTTAGTAATCCTAATGTCCAATGAGTGTATTCTAAGATGGGTATGTCAGGTGATGTTAGAGTGAAAAGTTCAGTATACTTGACCACTCAGGTAGATGCATCTGGGCATGTAGACAGCAACAAGAGGCATTACCTTAAAAAAATATTCTAATCTGTCTCAATTTATAATTCGGAGGGTTGCATGTTTGGGCAAACCTGCTAAAATTTTTAAACAAAGTCAAGTCTGTCAATTTGTTCATGAAAGTACCAAACAAAGACACTCACTATGAGCCAGATACCAATTTCCGAATACTGTTTCACTGACAAATTAAACTGCCTGTCACTAGACAGTAACCTAAGCTATGTTTACACTACTTGCCCAAGCCTGGCTTTAAAGCAGATTTTCATTAACATACATTAATAAGCCTTTGAATGGAAAAATTGGGCCTTCTGTTCCATTAATGTAGTGTTAATACAGGGGTGGTCCAGCACTTGTGCACTAATTTGCATCACAAAACAAAATGGTTATTTTTAGCAGTTTGCTTGTGTCATGCAAATTAGTGCACTAGTGCTGGATCCACCTCTGTGTCAGCATGCCATAATGCAATACTACAGGCGTGCCCTGAATGATTGCCAAGTACTCTAAAAATAAGTGATTGTGTGGTAACAAACTTCATGAATTTCCTTGTTATGAATGTAGACGAAGAAGCTCATTGAAACTTGTGTGAAAACATGGACGACCCAGTACAACAGCCATACTTTTACGGCAGAATATCACGTGAAGAAGCCGAAGGATATCTTCAACGGGGTGGACGGGAGAACGGTAAATTTCTGTTACGAAAACGTCCGACAGAATCGCAAAGTTTTGCGCTTTCCTTGTGCCACGGACGCGGTGTGATCCACTATCACATCCAGCATCACTCGGACGGAAAGTACGGCATCGAAGATGGTCCTCGTTTTTCGAGTCCTACGGAGCTTATCGACTACCATCGTGCCAACCAGGGTGGCCTTCTCACCAACCTTACCAAACCCTGCAACCGACCGCCAGGCGTGGAACCCAAGGTGTTCACAAACGTGAATTACAGCGAAGTTGCGGCCGTCCAGGAGGCGGCCTTGAGTCAACTCGGGATCCAAGATCGACGGTCGCTTGGTAAGAATCACATTCCGTTCGAGAAGATGTTGGGCATGTTACTCCACGCAAAGCAATCCTGGTTTCATGGCGTCATCTCGCGCGAAGAGGCGGAATCGCGGCTGAAGAAATCCGGCTGCAAGAACGGAATGTTTTTAGTGCGAGAACGGGAGAAAGCCCAGGGGACTTACGCGATCGGACTCTGTCACGAAAACATGGTCTACCATTACCTCCTGAGTGCTGACAGCAGCGGAAGGTTGTCGATTCCATCCGGGCCGAAATTCTTGAATCTGATGGAGTGTGTTGAATACTACCTTAACCGTTCCGATGGGCTCGTTTGCAAGCTCTTAAAACCCTCTCCTATAACACAGTTCAACAAGAAGGCCCCGCTCCCCGTTCCCCCGGGTGCTGCCGGGGAATCCGCCCCTCGCACCGAGACCATCTACGATACGGTTGCCATCAAGAAGTCGCCCGTGTACCTCAACGCGTTCAAAGATATCAAGGCGCTCGACTCTAACAGGCTGGCACTGCAGAACAAACTCGGGCAAGGAAACTTCGGGTCCGTCCTGAAAGGAGTCTATACGCTTTCGAATGGAAAAAAGATTGAGGTCGCCGTCAAGCAGCTCAAGACGGATGCGGCCGCTCAGAAGACGGAGATCGAACACGAGGCGCGTATCATGTTGAAGCTGGATCATCCGTATATCGTTCGAATGATCGGCATGATTCATCAAGCCACCATGATGTTGGTGATGGAATTGGCCATCAATGGTCCACTCCACAAGTTCCTTCGCAAACACAAAGAGGTGACCATTCGACAGATTCTCGTCATGATGCTTCAGGTATCCGAAGGCATGGAGTACCTCGACAGCAAGCATTTCGTCCATCGGGATTTAGCTGCTCGAAACGTGCTCGTGGTCGACGTGAACTTCGTGAAAATCAGCGACTTCGGGATGTCCCGCGCGATGGGCGTCGGAAACGATTACTACAAAGCGGAGGCCGCTGGAAGATGGCCTCTGAAGTGGTACGCGCCGGAATGCATTTACTACTACAAGTTTACAACGAAGAGCGACGTCTGGTCGTACGGAATCACTCTGTGGGAAGCGCTCACCTATGGCGGGAAACCCTACGACGGCTTGCAGGGCCAGCAGGTTATTCAGTATTTGGAGCAAGAAGACAGGTTGACGTGTCCTCTGCATTGTCCAGAGAGCGTGTACAGCCTGATGCGTGCGTGCTGGGAGTTCGAACCAGTTAAGCGACCAGATTTCTCGCTAGTTAAGGAAGCTCTGTCCGACATTATTTTACACTTCATGCAATAGGCGCTTGAGGTGAAACGGCTGGTTCGCACGAGTGTATTACGAACAGATATCATTGAATATACATATAATAAAGTGCGTGGTATCATGCACCTCAAAACTCAGGAAAAATATTTATTAAACACATAACATTATTTATACACGCACTACAGTCAAAATATTATTAACGCGGCAGATTTATGATCATTTGTAACCAGTTTTCTCGATCTGGCACGAAATGTATGTTTTTGGCTTATCCGTCTATCGATGATTTAAATTGGTAGTAAACATCGTGCTGTGAAATACAGTACATTAAAAGCTGGTTGAATTATACTCAAATTTTGCCAGCCTTTGTTGTAGAACTCCGAGGTTATTTTCCAAGTTTTTTTTCATATAACCAGTTATTTATGTCTCTCCCCAGTTCACTCGTGCGAGCCAGACCGAAACAGACAATTAGGTAAAATTAATGCAGTTATTATATATATTTTAATGCAATTTATATCACTGAGCTGGCAGGTATATTTTAGTTGTTTCCTAGTGAAGCATTCGGAAATGCGCGAGTACTTGTTTTAAAATTTCATAATTGTATGATATAAAATGATTTTTACCTTGATCGAGTCAGAAGTAATTCAATTTTCGAAAATTACTTGGGGTCATACGAACTAAAGGACTGTTTACGGAAATTACCATAGGCATAGGTTGTATATATCACATGCAACCTGTTTTAATTTTAGTGGCTTTAGACTTTATACATCATACAATTAAATCCTTGAAAAGAAATGGAGATAGGGAATTGAGGATTTTAGGAAAGAACAGCATAGTACTTTTAGAAAACTTATTCTCCAATCGTGAAATATATAAGATAAATACCTCATGCAGAAGTCACGGCTTTGCTATTTTGCATGTTTCGTCTCCTAATAAAAGTCTGCTCGATTCAACTAAAAGTTGAACCCATGAGCGGGTACACGTATTGAGGAGTCAGGCATACGACATATATACGCTAGCTTGAATATAACAGTGTAATAAAATTTTAAGATTTTTTTATCAAGTATCGTGCATATGGTAGATAATTTTAAGTATAGGCCAGCTGAACGCTTGATCAAACGTCACTAATATTAGTAATATTGTGTAGTTTAGTATTGAATTTAAAACCAATTTAATATTGTATATACATTGAAAGTGTGTGAAACTGATGACTGAAGAACATGACTGGATTACTATAGTTTTTTTATGTTACTTCATTTGACCGATAGTAAATCACTGGTATCTGAAAGGCTGGGAAATCAAACGCGGTTCGGGCACTGGGTTCGGGCGAACCTAATGACTAATGTTATATTAAACTTTAAGTTCATTTGTATTCGATTCGGCACACGAAAGTTCGACGTTTTGAAACGGTTTTGGGTGCAATTTTCTCCTTGTGATAGATGCAAGCGAGTGAATAGTTATAAACGTTCGGATGTTCAAGTTCTCTTTTCCGAACATCGTTAAGTAGTCCACACCTTCACATCTATCAAAAGCGGTAACTCGCACATATAAAATCGCAGTAAAATCGCAAGAATGGTCGGTGTCTTGGTGCGGTTAGATCTTGAAATGTTTTTTACTATTATCATTCTAAGTAAGAGTCTGAGTAATACAAAATTTTATTTCAGTTTCAAGAATCAGGGTCCCAATAATCTATTGTATACTTTGGGCTTGTGTGAATAGACCCAGGTGTTTGCTCTAAGGAAGGGTTCCTGTGTGATAGCAAGAACGTGCAATGGGGTTGTGTAAGGGGCCCCGAACGAGGTCAAAATAGTCGACTTTTTTGGATCATATCGTCTTTGAGCGTCGCTGGATCTAACCGTGTGTTCGTGCGGGTATCTAACATGTTTTAGAGGCGTTTTTGGTCTTGGTTTACCGTACGAGGCAGTGTAGCAAGATCTTGGCGTCTCCGTCATCAGCGAAGGCAGCAAGCCGTCTCCGGAACACTTGTATTTCAAGGCTGGTAGCATTTTCTTCCCGGAAACCTGTGCAGGAGATGAGAAATGCGACTTAGCTTGAGTCAAAATGCTCTGCATGTACACACGTAAGAATCTCTCAGAGTTATTGTCGACAACGAGGGACTGGGTACGAGAAGCGAAGGAGAGAAAAACCTGGTTCCATTTGGTCGCAATTGTCGCGGGCAAGTCATTTTTACCCATGACAAATAGTCCGAAAGTAGGCCTATATCTTTATATCTGTATCCATTCAAAACATTCCTACAATTACTACTTCTACAGCCGCTGCTGATCTGAAAACTACAACTGGATTACGCCTTTTTTATTGAATTCGAAGTCAGAATGTCTTAACATGAATAAGCTTACGTTTTAAGTCCTGTAAATTATTTACAAAAACGAGCTTATATATATAGAAATTATCAAAATTAGCTTAACTATCAATCAAATGTCTTTGCGATGCTGATGTGGGTATAGCAGAACAAATAAACGGTATCCCACATCTCAACGAGAAGGCTTGATTTAGCTCATGAAGGGAGAAAATCTTGAACACAGGTTTAGGAAATGTTTAAAAAGAAAGTTCTTGCATAGTAACTTATTCAGCAAAGTTTCACATTCACAGATTAGGAAGCGAATGCGTATCCACTTGGGTGTGTTATGGGAACACATCCGTGTGCGATAATTGCTAGCTTTGCAAACTCAGAATCCAAAACAATGGATGGGGTCAAAAGGCTACACAGAAAATCGGCAAAAACGGTCTTCCGATATATAAACAATATATTGTCTGCATGTAGAATTCCCACCCTGGCTTTTCCGCATCCAGTCAAGTCACGTTTCACAATGTGTATATATAGGACTGTTGAAATGATGCCAAGTAAGGGTTCCCGGTTGCACAATACTGGATGAGACAAAATCAGCCCACATTAACCATTGCCCATATTGTGATGCAAATTTGCAAACACGTCTTCGACACTACATTCACCACGTCTTTCCCAAGACGAGCAAGTTCCGCGATCTCACAGGCTATCGATCCGCCTAGTTATATATTAACTATAATTAACCCCCGAAGTTCGATGCAAGAAGGAACCTGTCAAACCCTTAAATTACCTCAGAGTCAATATCACTTAATCGTGTGTATCCATGACATAAATCAATAATTCTTTTAGTTTATCAAAAAGAATAAATTTTATTCCATTCCGTAATTAGTAGCTCTGTTGTAGTCCTGGGGAAAATTCTGTTCGCAAATATCAAAGCTTCACAGCCAAACAGCTTCTAACGAGTTTGAACAGCAAGTTATACTTATACCCAACCCTGCAGTGTCGGCATTGCGAATCCTCAAGCAGCAAAACTGTATTGTAAATGTTAGTAACTACAGGCTATCGTATAGAATACTTTCGGTAGTCTGGTAGTCTCACAGTATAAAACTGTCTAACACGAACTCTTGACTATACCAAATCAAACTGGGTAAAGCAAACTGCCTCACGAAATCCACATCCAAGACAGTGTTCCCACATAGCTGAGCTGGCTTCAAAGAAGCTTATGGATCGCTTTCCTTCATTTTTGAAGACTACTAATGCATGGCAGTACCATGATTTGTCAATTTTCAACTTGCTCGAAGGTGAAACCGATCGCCGGCCTACCGGTCGCTAAACAAATCATTGATCGCAAAAACCAGGTCGAAACTAACTTTCTGGGCTGGTTGTATAAAAAGATAGGTAACTCAGTGTATCTACGCTTAGCGAGTGGTCGATAGAAACGTGCATTTCGGAGTTAACAACGATAAGGACTACCTCGAAATGTAGTCGAGACTTCCATACAATCGTCCTTGGTTGGGGGTCTGGGAAATCCGATATCATCACGAACGGCTGACCAAACGTTCCCGATACGTACCTCTGAGCCTTCGCACGCGTTGTCAGCGTAACGATGCATACATTATGCACTTGGATGCTTTACAAAACGACGCACTGAGCAGGCGCAGAAACTTCTGAACAGAAAGATGGAAAAATCACCTTCTTTCTGATAAAATCTATCATTCCTACCACTTCAATCGACTAGGGATACCCCTAACCAACTTTTCAAAGTAAAAATGGTCAGATTTGTGGTGATCGTGCTTAGGAAATTCAGGGGTTAAATACGGGTTTAGAATTCATCGGGGGAGCCTAATTTGCATAGGAAACACTCGACCCACGACTCTAAGGATCCGTGGGTACCACGTTGATAAATACCGAGCAAAAAGAGTGTAAGACGTGCTCGCTTCGGCAGCACATATACTAAAATTGGAACGATACAGAGAAGATTAGCATGGCCCCTGCGCAAGGATGACACGCAAATTCGTGAAGCGTTCCAAATTTTTAAACTTTTCCACCTCGGGAAAGGTTTGCCTCGACGTATGGCCTGCCCAGGACAAGTTGAGAAAGTTCTTTTGAGGTTGTTTTCTTCGGTTATGCGAGCGTTAACGAGATGTTCGAGATCGTTGTGTATGGATGGATCCAAGTCTTCTTCAACAAGATGATCAAGTGTATGGATCTGATAACCCCGGAGCCATGAACAGAGTTACTGAGGACACTAAAACTTAATCGATATATATCTTGAAGCGACAAGAATGGCATCAGAAAGAGCCTTCAACGCTTGTATGCCAGTATGGTCTTCACCCATGGATCGATATAATTCAACATCGACTATGTTGCTCAGGACTCTATACGCTGACAGATCACGTTTAGTTGTACAAAATCTTAGTTTTCGGCTGTTCTGTAACTCAGCATTCTACGAAGCATTCTTCGATTATATCGTTCATTGCGAGGTGCAGTCGAACTGCATGAACACTACCGCCATACATTTTCCAACCTCAACACCTCTGAGTGCCAAAATTAACACCTTGTCAGCCTCGTCAAAACAGACTGTTTTTAAAGAAAATTTGATGGTAAAATTTATATACCTAATAGATATTTATATCGTAAAAAAAACGAGAAAGGCATTAGCTAGAGCCTTTAAGGCTGTTAATGGTCTTCTCCGATGGATCGATGCAGTCGAACTTTAATTGTTGCTAAGTAAGGACTATAGATACGCTGACAGTTCACAGTTCACACCTTTAGTTGTACCAGATCCTCATTTTCTGGCTGTTCCGTATGAGTGTGACCCAGCATTCTACGAAACGTCGATTATATTGTTCACTTCGGCCGTACACTTTCCCACTGCAAAACCTCAAGTGCGAAAATTAACACCTTGTCAGCCTTGTCAAAACAGACTGTTTTGAAAGAATATTTGACAAGACCATGTTGATGAAGTAGCTATCTAGACATCGGACATCGAACGCTTATGCATGTCTATGACCGTAAAGCATCAAGCTTTAAGATTTAAAACAAGAACCATCCAAGACAGTAGACTTTAACTTCAAGGACTTCACATTTCAAGCATAGTTAATATACGTTTCAGGTGGGTTGATACCATGATGTACAGGTATGGCGGTATCTGATATTTTCAAAATCTGAATGTGTCATTTGATGATCAAAGCCATAATAAAGCCAGTCGCTATTAGTGTCAAAGATGCATCCATTCATGGCTGCAGATACTGTTCAACAATAAAGTCGCTCACATTTGTTGAAAAACATTGCATACACCTGAGTGCTATCGAAGAAGGATTAAGACTCAGTCCAATTTACTTTAGTGTAAAACATCTGAATATAAGCAAGAGCCAGTGTGGTATTTGCAGTAATAGGCATTACAACTTGAAGCATTGATTGTAGGCAGTGGCTAAACCATCTTCATTGCACCTTAACTCCCAGATGATTGTAAGAAATATAGATAACCGCAGTACAAAATGTGATAAGAGTTCTCAAATATATATTTAACATTAATAAATGTACCATTGTATGGTAGGATAGCACTGTAAGCAAAATGGAGCACAAACTATACTTGGATTTTTGGGACATCAACTTTCCGACAGGATGACCCAACTCATTCCACAGCTGTCACCACAAGGCAAACACACACAGAAGCACTCAGAAGCCAATGTTTGTCACATATTAGATGAGCCTATTCCTTTCATAATAGATGCTTCACTACACCAGTGGGGCATTCTCAAGTGTTATCTCACTTGATCAATGAGAAAACTATTACAATATACCATTGTAAGGCACAGAAAGAGTAATAAAGTACAACAGGAGAAGAATTTCATCTTAAAATAATCATACATATGGCAATTAGTCGTTAGCCCACATTCTCTAGAAATAGTACAGTGAATTAGAGTCTGAAATAATCAAAAGAGCTTATGTGTATAATTTAGTGACTTCCCAATAGCAATTCTTGATCAATCATCAAACAATTCGGGATAGGTACCGGTACAAAATTTAACAAAAAAATAGAGCAAAGCCCAAAGCACCGCTTTCCATAAAGTTAAGCACAACCGGAGAGGAATTCCAACTCAAAAGACAGTCCACAATAAAGGGAATCAGAGGTTATCCTGGGAACAAATACAATATTTTCAATGGAACAGCTGGGGGGCTCCATCCCTGAGGCAAAATATTGAATATTATTATTCAGTTCTCTCAATATATTTCCATATTATTAAAGCATGCTTTATGCTTCGTTAACCCCAATTGTTTGAGACTTTGAGGATATGAAACAAAGCTCATTTCTTGGTTGTAATATTAAGAATGTGGGAATTTAAATACCATTTAAAACATGTGTAACAAACTGTATTTGCATAACACTACCACGAGGGCACGACCTTTAAATTTAGCAATAAATGCGCATCTGTTTGGACCCCGGGAAGCTTTTATTTATAAAGAAAATAATGATCATACCTTCCGGTGAAATATTTCACTTGAAAAAGCTTTGCTGTGTTCGGTAAAAGTGCCATTTTCGGGCCATTCGGGGCTTTAAATTTCCACAGTCATTTGTGGCGAAATTAACGCAGAATATCAAATTACGTAAAAATACTTCAGGACCGCTACCTTTATGACGTCATAGCGTTATCTCACACTGACCTCTATAACTTTCCGTGAGTTTTCGGTGGGGGCCCTGAGCCGGATCAAACTCATTCCCCGGGACTGTGCCATAACATACTACAACCTGCGTGTAGGCACATAGCTGTTGCCACTACTCAAATATTCATGTGGACCAAACGCACCCTACACACTCGGTGTCCGCCCTTCCCCCACCGTCGGACTCTATAGCAGTGTTTACACTAGAGACCTATACCTGACCTAAGACCTAACTTAAGCAGTTAGTCCTGTAGTGTAAACGCACTAGGACTGACCTAAGACCGACCTAGGACCGACCTAAGACCATGATTTCAGGCCAAGCATTAGAGGTGGCCTGAAAACATGGTATTAGGTAAGTCCTAGGTAAGTCTCAGGTCAGTCTGGCGGTGTAAACACATTTTCATTGACCTAAATGTGATCGAAGCTAATTTCCATGACAACAAACGTAAATTCGAGTCTTTGATGTCAGCATTTAGCTGTCTTGGAATTTCAGCGCGATTTTGCAATAATTAGGGGGAAATTCAGAGTTGATAAATTAGCTACATGGCGAATTTCGGAACTTGCCGATAAATTATATCATATATTTTTTAATTTTGCATGAAATCGTTGTTTGCCAGTAATCCCAGTAATATCACTATTATATACGTCGTAATCTTTTACGAGGCTTTGTAGCTTGTACGAAATAAACAAACAAAGAACTGCAAGCTTATTTTAATATTCTCCTCGGAGTACTTTATGTTGCGTGTATGTATATAAGTCCCGTTAGGTAACTGGTGTAAACACACCCTGTAAAACTTGGTTAGGTACTTCTCAGGTACGGGTAAATGTCAGGTAAATGTCAGCCCCTTCGTGTAAACACGGCTTAAATGGTTCCGCAACGCATTATTGAAATTTAAAACTCATCATCCCATAATTTATCCCACAGCTATCCCATATCCATATATTATCGACGCTGGTTACGCCACTGACTACTATATTGTAAATTGAAGAGGGTGGACCGTGATTAAGGAAGTTCAAGTTATTTGACCTAGGGGGATACATGGTTATTCTCCCAGACTTCCTCCCTTTGCCGCCAAGTAAAATTTCGTATTAGGACGCTATTAAGGATATCGCGCTAATATAAAAGATGCAAGGCAGGCAGAAAATTCGAATACGAGTGCTTTCTAAGAACCCGTGGTATCACTAGGTACAGAAATACGTACATTTTCAAAAAAACTGATTCCATGACTTTGAAATGCATTGCGGTTGTCGTGTCTTGAAAAAGGAAATCCACCTCGGCAAATCTAAAGGAATGATACCAAGATTACAGAAGTCGGTGCATGTTAATGAGCCATCTCCCAATTGAGCAAGGTACTGGGTCTAATCGCAAACCGCAAAGCATCTATGGACTGTTTGGAAGGACAAAAAATGTAAGTCTGAAATCATTTGTCCTTCCAAACAGTCCATAGATGCTTTGCGGTTTGTCGTGGCCACAATCTGTCGCGATAAAGCCTAAAGAGCAGTCCACTCAACGCCAACAAGTACGAACATTCCTATACAATATAATTATAGAATATTCTCCGACTGACCTCGCTAGCTGTGGATGGCAATCCTTTTGGCTGGGAAACAGATGGTAAAGTGTTGGATCGAGGTTTATCCAACTTTTCCGCCCACGGTCTTACGCAAAACTAAAAGCAATACAAGCCCGTAGGAATGATTCATCAGTTTAAACAAAAAATTATACGGTACCTTTACCCCTTTTAAAACGCAGAGAGTCAGAGACATTTCGGTTGCATAGACGTACGGGCCAGGGGGGTGAAGAACTGAATAACTTCATTCATTGGCACACACCTGTCTCATGATGGTGTAACCGAGCTCAATGGTAATCATGTCCCCAATTGTCATATAGTGAACAATTCCAACACTTTTACCGGAACTCTTTAAGCGCCGCATTAAACAATATAACCATGCTTTGGTTATGATGTCAAATATTTTGATATGGATAACCACGCTGTTTTAATGGTCAAATGCTTGTCCTATGTAAAGTTACAAGCATATTTGGTGATGATATACGAACATTAAACAATATAACCATGAGTACCATGCTTTGGTTATGATGTCAAATATTTTGATATGGATAACCACGCTGTTTTATGATTTTCTGATGTGACTGGCTGATGAAAACGCATCAGTCAAAACTTCACAACTGAAAATTATACGAAATGGACAGTAAATAAGAAGACTAGTTTTCTGCTAAACTGCTTGGTTGAGATACCGTTGTATGAGTACACTCGGGCAGATTAACTAATCTTTGGAAAGGCCTAGGTATAAACAGACTGACACATTAAAAAGTTGTAAAGGTCGAATATACCGGAATGTGATAACGGACTAATGATAGACCACTCTAAGGCTCTGGGCCAAGAGGTGATGCAGCATGCGCATAGTGTTATGAATTATGTCACATCAGTCAGTCAAAATGCTGGATCCTCCCCTGGTTGTATAGTACACTCGATCGGGTAACTAGTTTATGGAAAGGTATAAATAGTGAAGGTCGAATATACCGGTAAATATTTTATAAGGTCGAAAGTATACCGAAAACGGACCTCCTATATAGAGGTGCTGCAGTATAGTTTTTTGTCTCATCAATCAGTACTACCTCTGAAGGTAATGCCCGTTCTTAAAATTCATTTGGAAGCGTCATATGCAACAACTTAGGCGCCAGAAAAAGCGAAGGGGCATCAGTGCCGGGCACTCTGAACCCGGCCTTAGACAAAAAATCTTTTTAACTTTTTACGATGTTTATTTGGGAGATGCATGCCGGCAAGTCTGTTGATGGCTTAGTTTACAATAGAGACAAGATCATTCATAGTGGACAAGTGGAAAGTGCAATTCCTTTGACGATATACGTCCATGTATAATCTATGAACTATTGTAAAAAGGCGAATAACCCGAAAAGACGAACAGACGTTTGGACTGACGAGCCTTTCTCAGTGGCCGTACCAGCTCGTCTAGACGGTCGGTCGGTCGGTCTGTCTGTGGTAATCTTGAAATTCTATTTCTCGGGACAGTCAGTACATGCATGATCAGTATACGAATAAAGAGCGCTTTAGCCGTTATGCATTATATATAACAAGGCAGAAAGGCTTGACGAATCAGTTTATGACATTGTCACTCTTAAGCCAGCAAACTACTCGATTGATTCGACTACATAGCCGTGTTTACGCTACGAGCCTACGGGCCTATATATCCTGTTTTCGAACTTGATCTCTGCAGGAGAAAGGCATCGACCATGTAGGCTAGGCCTAAATCAGAACAGGCAATCCTGGTCTCCTGCGCAAGCACTCGCCGTAATGAATTTACACTGTACGTCAATGAAAATGTAGTTCAAACCTGGGTCTATACAACAAGCCCGGCCTTAGTTTGCTGTGTGAACACGGCTTATATTAAGTGTAAACACAGATCATTATATTTCATTAAGAGCAAAGACTATAGTCCATATTCAGACATCAATTGATGTCACAAATTCTCGAAGCAAAAATTCCTACGAACTTACCCAATGTTTGCCAGTCTTAGTCGAGGGCGCAAACTTTCTTCCTTTAGCCATTTCTCTGCAAACACACGAAAAAATATGCTTTCTACTTGGTCAAGAAGTTTGCACGCTTCGTTGGAATTAGTTTGTTGTCATTTTATCTTTTTTGTTTACCGTCGCCATGGCACTTAATTAATATGGACAAGCACGTGCATATTGGAGTAATAATTAATATATATGAGAGAATGAGAGTGTACATGCAAGAACCAGATGCGCAGAACATGACAGAAGCTGTACCTGATGCACGAATCCACCTCAAGCCACCGAAAAAGTTTGTTTGACATTGAAGTGATATAAAAATCCGTTCACACGATCCAATTGAATGTTCTAGAGTCTAGAACATGCGAAGCAAATCAGTTACGAGCGTACTTCTTTTTTAATAGCAAACTGTATCTTACAGACTTACAGGTCTGAACAGAATTGGATCCGACAAAATTGGATCGTGTTAATATGTAGACCTTAAAATGTAAAGTAAAACCTGCCAAAAATGTTTTATTTACGTCACGATGTCCTGACTGAATATAGTGAACTGCAAATATCTCAGCCGTTTGACCATCATAGGAATTACTTAGGTAGAACTTTGGATGTTTTGTAACCTTGATACAAAAAAATATGGTTGAAATATCAGAGACATAGTCAGCAAAGCCTGTTTTAAACGTTGTGCTTCTCATGTCATGTGGTGAACGCAATCAAATTTCACCACAACAGATAGACACATCTTTGGCTGACTTTTTATTGTTTTTTATACGTTCGGGACATAGGAAGTACGACGTTTGAAACAGGCCTAAGCATTTAAGATCGACTATGTGTTCACCAGAGCGTGCTTTTATCATGAACTACATTTGAATAAACTTTCTGGTCGAATTCATTTACTAGAAATGTTCTCAAAACACTGTGGTAGTAGCTACTATTTGGCAAAACCAGAGATATATATATTGGCAAAAGTATTTAGAGAATTAAGCCAGAATAGTAATCGGCCAACCCAATTTGAACCGCTAAATCTTAGACTTTATCAAAAATGGTACGTCTTTTCAACAAACCACAGCTATATAGTTAACATTCACTTACTTCTGGTTTTGGCGAGCAAAGCCTGTTCACAAAGCCCTCAAACAGAACTTAAGTACCTCTTCTTCTCCAGCCAGCTTCTTAAAAGTTTAAAATTACGGTCACGCGGGTGTATTCGGCCAAGCAAATAACACCATTCCCTGACTGGTCAGGTATTTCTAATCGATCATTGTTAGTTTACCATACACAAAAGACTGATTATGATTGGTTCTCCGACACGCGTAATATTATGTTAATTTAGCCGCGACAACGACAATAGCATTAGCATATTCAGCGCAACGGTTCGCGCTGGATATATAGTAGGGGGAATAGGTATATTCACAACAGCGCGTTTAGAAAAATTTGTTTCCACAATAAATTTTGGTTCAAAGCAGAAACGCAAAGCTTATGGGCAACCGGTCGGAAAAATACTCTTGACATTTAAATACAGCTAAGTTAAGTTACAAATCACAAGACAACCTTGTTTAATCTTATTACAAATTTACTACACATGATAAACTGAGCGTTTTTTCTGCGTAAAGACTAGCAGTATATCAGAGGTTATTATAATGATATCTCTGCCTTTTATGACAGAATATTGAGTCAAAGTTATTTTCTGTCTTCCTCGGTTCCTCTTGCATGATGTTATGGCCATAATATTCGTCTTGTGGGCCAGAATACATCTATTTTCCTCCCTCCTTACTAGGTTTATTTCTTGCACCGAAAATTGAGCTGCCAATGCGGACATGGGTGCTGCCCATTTCAATCTAAAGACGCAGAAGATACCAAGTAAATTGTCGGAATGTGCATGCATGGAAATGCCGCGAAAGAAACGGGAAATCCTTTAGAAATTAAACATATATGCTTCCAGTTTATATAATGGCCAGTGAAACGTATGCATATGCTTGATGATGGGTTGAATCCGACAAGAACCTCAGCTTTCACGTTAATATATATATAACACCAATAAAGGTGTTAAAATAGAACTAATTGAAGTAGATATGCATATAGTAGTTAAGGCGTGTAAATTATGTTTGTCACTTGTCCGTTATAAGGAAATTGAAATCATTCGCAATAGATTGGATGCGGGGTGTCAATATTAATTAACGTTAAATTTAACGAGAGCTATACAGGGCTTGTATAAAATACAACCACAGGCACAGGGGGAAATTGGAGTTCATGCCTCGATAATATGCAACAGCTCAATGTTTCCCGTTAATATCACGAACCTTCATAATAGACAATGTCTCAATATTCTTCAAGACCTTTACATATAAGTACTTGATATATAAGACCTTTTGAAACCCTAAACCTTTGTCTTCAGTTGAGAAACTAAAGAATGGGTAACTTCCAATTTTCATTGGTCCTATTGGAAAAAATTCTTATTTCCAAGCTTGTGATAAACATACAATAATATACACGGTATATAACTCTCCAGACGAAGGCACTCAGGTCGAAACGTCGAGAAGTGTTTTGTCGATTTTGGCAGTTGTTATACCTCATTTGATGCTAAGTTGTTTGAAGACGCTGCCACGCTGCTCCTTGGTTATATTGGAACTTAAATATTCATTAGCCTGAATACGATAGTACTTGAATTTTTTGTCGGCAACTTTCTTGAATCACCTGCATTTATATATTCATTCATACTAAGAGCGGCGTCTAATTTGCTGTGAATAAGCCGGGCCGTTTTGTCTGTGATATCAAAGGCTGATAAGATTTCTCGATTTTAAATGTATATTTTCCAATTATAACTGAGACGTTTTAATTAGGCCAAAATAGGAGAGCTCCTAGAAGCGTTAAAACAGAGTATCGCGTCTGAATGTCGTTTCACAATTTATCATTTTAACCAGACATGGTTACATCTTATATAACTCGCAACAAATTCGCCCTCCAGCAGGTCATAATCCAAACTTATGCAGTCTATCTTAGCGTATTTTCCCCATGTCATATATTGAAATATATATATAAAACATAAAATATACATAAAATATTGAACAGGTGCACACGCACCTGTTCAATTGTCCGCGCATTCTAATCTTAACGTGCATGCTAATGAAAAAATAATCAAGCCTTGACAAAGAATCATCGACCGCCTCCTATGCACGGTATGAGCTTTTATATGTAGCTCCAGGATTTTTATTACATTCTCATTACATTGCATGTGAAAAGTCATCGAGAATAGCTGGCGGCAACGAAATGATATTAAAGTAAGTGTATGATAAGACAAACATACATTGCATGGGTTTTAATTAATGTATTTAAATATGAAAGCTCTGCTATATATATGAACAAGCAGTTCCTTGGCGTTTAATGCATGAAAAGCAAGATTATATAGATATTTTAAAAAATTACGAGTGCTAAATCACTATTGCATCATCGCTCTGTGAATAAATCTTCGGTCGGCCTAAGTTTGTTTTCAGCCAGCTGGGGAAACATGGTTTATGTTTCAGGCGAAAAGGGACGCAATACACTCGATTGTATACCTGTGTTTAAGACCATTAGAAAGTACAAGTCCTCCCGGAAAAGTAAAAAAAAATCTATCCAAATTAAGGTTAGCCCCTATCGAACAACGGCAGGCAGTTATAGGTGCTTACATTGTTGGAATAGGATAGAAACACACGGACATATTGAAGGCTTACACTATATTTTCGACCCATGGAATACGTGTTGTTTAATTTTTTTAGACTTGCTGTCGCTGCATATGCGTGCTTTATTTTCACTCCTCTTTTCGGAAACAGTTTCTCGGAATTCAAATTAAATGGTTATCGCAATAAAGCCCTAGAAGATAGACATGCGTGCTTTCAAAACATCACAGAAAGTTCGATGTCGAATTGCTTTCAACATTGCCTTGGCAACTGTTTGTGCACGTCATTTCAAATCTGCGACGGTTCTTGTCAGCTGTGTTCTGAAGACAAGGAGAGACTTGGGATGTTGGGTGATCAAGAAGGATGCTCGTATTTCAATTTCACAGCCAGTGATGAGCAGGTAGTATTACTAGTCGATAATGGAGGCAAGATGGAGAGTTAAAAGAAAATCGAGGGATGAAGGAAGGGTGTGAGGGGAGATTGAAAGGAGTGGATCAAGGAATGAAGGGAAGAAAAATGTTGATAATACGGAGGAATACTGAGAGAAATGTTAGAGTTGGGAAGAATGAGGGATCAAGGAATGAAGGGAAAAAGAGCGGTTGGAAGGTACGGGGGGAAAAGAGAGGAATGGGTAATTATAAGGAAAAAGGGATCAAGGAATAAAGGGAAGGGGATGTGGAAGGGAGGGAGGGATGAAGAGAGGAATGAGAGAATTGTAAGGAGGAGGGATTAAGGAATGAAGTGAAGAAGGTTAGGGAATGAAGCTGAAAGTGGGAAATTGGAAGGAGGGGATGTACGAATGAAGAACGCATAGACGAACGGGGGAGGATTAAAAGGAAACAATCAATTGTGATAAGATATCTATGTACACCAAATCTATTCTAACAACAAGGAGGTAAGATGAAAGAACGTAGCATTAAAAGAAATTCCCTATTCCAGACAGGCGAGCAGCAATGTCACAGCGGTTGTGCAAGAGGCGTCGACTGTTGTCTTACGTCACAACCATGTCTCAACGGGGGCACATGTGTCCCACAATACTCCACCGTCGACAAGAACCGTTTCACCTGCAAATGCACGCACTACCGCGGGGGAGAGCGATGCGAAGATTGTGCCGACGGCTACACAGGTCACCTATGCCAAACAAAAGCGAGATCCTGCAGCGGATACAAGAACAGCAGTCGGGTTGGGAAAATCTTCAAAGTATTTGACAAAAATGATAACTTGTTTTCAGTATTTTGCGACTTCGATGAAGAGCGATCTTGGACATTAATACAGAGCTTTGCATTTCAAGAAAGAAAGAGATTCAAGCCTTCTTTTGTACTGGATAGGATTCGTAACCAGGACGCACCCAACTTTCAAGCTTACAGAATGTCCAAAGCCAGAATGCAGTCGGTTGCAAAGAATTGCACTAAGTGGCGTATCACGTGTGATTTTCGACAAGGAGAGAAAATTTCATACATAGATTATGTGGAAACATCGCTGACGAATCTGGATATTTTAACATTCAACGGAAACAGGTGAGACCTATACACATACCTGGAGCAATGCTCACTAATGTTAAGTGAAGCTTCACGTCTAGTTTTTGGCATGAAATTTTTTAATTCACCATTTCCTGCTAATTCTTATTTTTTTCTGAGGGTTGTTCGAAAGTCGTTTAGCTTAAACGGTGGATAAGCTAGAGTTTAAAAATACTCTTGTGAATAGATCTTGTGAATGGCTGAACCTGCGTTTTATTCATTTAATATGTACTTTCATTGAAAATTAAACTATTTACATCGAAATATTTCAGCTCAGTTGTTCAATTAATAGATATTTTTGTTTTCCATTTTTAACTTATCCACCGTTTAAGCTAAACGCCTTTCGAACAACCGGGCCCAGAACGCCAATGCTAAACATTGTGCTATCATTCTATCGGTGTAGATGTGTTGAGGTCGACTACATCGATATTCGTGGGACGAACTGCACGAACTGTACGGCGTTCGTCTTGCAGTCGCATAACAAGAACGTGAATCCGTACTACATGGGTCTCCATTTCGACTCGTTCCTCGGGCCGTCGTTCTCGTGCGAACACAACGCCAGAAATGGAAGTAAAAAATGTGGAAAATCCGGAGAAGATGATTTCGGATTCTTCGATTGCCGAAGTACAAAACATCGCTGCTCGGCGCACAACGCGTCCTTGACGTCAGCATGGTTAGGAGGGTAGAAAATGAGTAAAAACATCAAAGATGTATTCAGGTACTGTATAGAGATCTGTGGCTAAAGAGAGCGGGCCATGGGTGCGATAGGCTGCCTTAGCTACTGAACTTTATATAGGAGCACATTCGGACCGAAGATTCCGTGGGTAATAATTTCCGTGGGTAATAATTTCCGTGGGTAATAATTTCCGTGGGTAATAATTTCCGTGGGTAATAATTTCCGTGGGTAAGACCGGAGTAGCTATAGAAAATTTGCAAACTTTTCAAGGCTGTATATACCTCGTTTTACAACACTCTGCAACCAATCTTACTACGCTCTTTTCAGCTGTGATCAATTGATTGCATTTTCTCGCATAGATCAAAATGTGGTCTAAAATGCCAAAGGTCTATTCTCACTTACCGCATGTTCATAATCTGAAGACATTCCCATGCTTAGCTGAACATTCTCAACATCGAGTCCAAGTCTTTCACAGATATCTCTTCTGCACGCAAGTAGCAACTAAAGATATCCGCAAATAAATATATGAAAATTAAATAGCAAACTCAAGCTCCAAATTACTTGAGTATACTTGGAGCAGTTTCGAAAATTCCAAACTTATAATTTACAATTATATCACATGAGCTTGAGCCGTATATGGACTGGTAGACAAGGGGGCTGGTAGGCAAGGGGGATCAAGAAGCAGTAAGAATATATTAGTACAGCTTAAAATTGCAATTGCATTGGTAGATTTTTATTTGAAAATATTCTTTTGAAATCCCAATAGCGTTGTTATTAAGGTGCTGCATAATTTATTCTGACTATCCCTATAACTGCCACTGAGATTATCAGCCATATATATATGAGAGTGAATGGTATAATTGTTTTATAATTTAGCCAAAACTTTATGATAATAAAATGTGTGATTTTTTATTAGAGATTTGAAACATTGGAGTATGTATACCTCAAAATCTTCATTTCTTTCCCCTGGTGCATGTTGTACACTACGTGCCAAGGCTCCGATAGTCATAATCCCCGAGAATTCAAGACCAGGACACTTGTCTATAATATGACTAACTAATTCTACTGAATTCCCAGGAGGACATCCTGATTTATCTGTGAATAAAAACAATACAGTCAATACTTGATGTTAAACCTGCCTGCAATAGTATTTTGGTGGCCTTTTTAAAGAATTCACTGGAATTCTCCAAATAATGCTTTCTACTGCACTGATTTCGAACTTAGTCTAATATGGCAGAGAGCAGGGTATACATCATCTTTCAGCCTGATTGCAAGCATTTATCTGCTAGTTAGCCATGCACACATTTACATTTCAATGAATCAAATTGTTAGTGCAAAGCAAGTGAACTATAAATTGCAGACAGTCTTTTTGGACACATGTAGACAGCTTTGTTAATGTTCAGTTAACTTATACCATTTAGTCTCATGTATATATATACCTGCACGTTAACTGTTAACAAAGCTGTCTACATGTGTCCAAAAAGTTTGTGTGCAATTTATAGTTCACTTGCTTTTCACTTACTTTCTTCTCCGCTGGTGTTAACTTGTATCATAACTTTCAATCTGTTGGGTTTGTTTTGCTTCTCCCAAGAGTTGGACAAAGCTGTCGCTAACTTTGGTGTGTCAACCGTTTGTACCATGTGCAAGTTTGGAACAGCTGCATGAAGAAGGAAAACGTTCATCAGTAATTTACTTACTAATGGTTGTACACCATGTGTACCTTGGTGCAAGATCCAATGAATTATTGGGAAATTAATTTAGTTATGAGACAGTACCTGTCAGATTATTACATTTGTTCCTCTGCAGATGACCAATAAAATGCCACTTAATGTCTTGTAAGTTGCTGATCTTTGAAAAAAATCATGATTAGCATGCAGTATGTTTAACTGTACCACAAATTATTGCAAATATATCAGCTGTATTAATAACCAAGCATCTGTTTCAATTCTGAAGTTCAAGGAACTGCATGAATCAACTTCAATTTGTCAACTTGACAAACTTGTACAACAAGCTGTACTTCTATATAGGAACACATCCTGATTCAGTATCCTTTGAAAAAGCATTCCTAAATGTTTGCAGCAGCTTTGGTACCACTTGCATGCTTAATACAAGTATAGCATGTAATTACCTCTGGATTACTCCCTTTTTGCACAATTTCTTGGACCTAAAATGTAAATATAACACATGCAGTTGTGAAGTTCTTTTGTCCCATAGAGCAGGGGTGGATCCAGCACTAGTGCACTAATTTGCATTACAAAAGAAAATGGCTATTTTTAGCAGTTTTCTTGTGTCATGCAAATTAGTGCACTAGTGCTGGATCCACCCCTGCCATAGAGCCATCTTCTATGAGAAGTTAGACTGCTTTACCTTTCTGGTACTATAAAATAATCAACTTACATAATTCTCACCAAAATGTCTTTGTCCACACTTATAAGCTTCTACAATGGACTCTACAGGTTTTGTTTTACTAACTGCAACTAATTGTGGCAAAAAAGAGCCAAATTCCTACAAAAGTAAAACGTTAACAAAATATTAAAAGTTAACCATACCATACTAACTGCAACTAATTGTGGCAAAAAAGAGCCAAGTTCCTACAAAAGTAAAACGTTAACAAAATATTAAAAGTTAACCCTAACATAAAGGCCTCATAGAAGTCAGGACTCAGGAGGTTGATCTGGTTTATAATATCTGGAATGACTTTTCAAACTTGTTTTTTGTTGAAATTCCTAGTAAAAAAGACTTTATATATAATAACTCTATCGAACTGGCCACTGGGTTAGTTGGTTGAAAGAATTTTCACGAACTTACCGGGGGCCTTCTCTGCACAGCATTTTCAATGCGTCCTAAAATCAGTTTCAGCGATGGCCCAAGTGGAGAATCTACCATGACGCGAAACATATGGGGAAAAATACCCCTCTCAATCACCAAATAATAATCAATACATCTTTTCTCACACAATTTAGACAAAAATAGCGAATGAAGATAAAATAAATGTCAGAATTTCTGGAATTGGTGAAACTATCGAATGTTCAGTTACTTCATGTTAATGTTCACTGTAAGTTCCAACTTCCAAGATCTCACGGCAGTGACGGCACTGACCTCAGAAATAGCGAGGTTCAGATTTAGCTTCCACTACCACTACCACTACCTCTCGCTAATCTATTAAGCTCGTGATTGGTTAGTCTGATAGACCTATCGCATTTGATTGGTTTATATTCCCTCAAAGGTTGTGGCAGTCGTAGTGGTAGTCAAATCTGAACATCGCTTAATGCTTATTTTCATTCCATTTCTAAACAACTGTACCCCGTTTATTTGCAAAGAAAGTATCAATGGTTTTGTGCTAACTATAAATTAGTACTAAGACAGAGTTTGGTAGAATTAAAACATATGATATGATAAGATGTATCATTGAAGTTCAAATTATAAAACAACACCCCCCCCCCCCCTATTCCAAGGGCCTGGTCACCTAATTGCCATTCAGGCAAGATTCCCAGAATTTTAATTCCAGTAAACAGCCTTAACCAAGGACAAGTTATTTTTATGAACATGCATTCCACTGGAAGTCTGAAAATATTTGCTTGTCAGTCATTCCTTGCAGTTTCATTGGCATTTGAGCAATTCCCAGCCATCTATAATGCAGGTTTTGAAACACTGGATCTCACATTTCAAATCTGTCATTTCAAATCATCTCAGGGAAATGCACTGCATAGATGGAAAATATTTCTTTATTTTGTCACAAGAAAGGCAAGGCAGTCATCAAATATTTGTCCACTTGTGTCCATTCCACCAAAAACAACTAGAAGCGTTTGTTTGACTGTCCTTTCATCATTATCTGTTAAGGAAACAGAAAAATGGATAGTATAGATGGATGGATATTCTACCCTTTCTAAATCCACTGCTTTCCATGCACAGATGAAAATATATGCTATGGTATATTATGCTATATATATATATATATCAGTTTTCCTACCGTCTGCATTTCTTAAAACAGTCACACAACTCATGGTGTGGTCAAGACGACAATGAGGTGGTGGTCCATCGCATTGGATCTTCCGCCAAACATTGGACTCTATACAAATTTAGTTACATATTCTCAGAGCTGATTTTTTGCAATGTGAAATCCATTTGATTTGCCATTGCTTATGTATTGGAACTAAATGTGTATTATTGGTACCTGTATTGAGGGAATAAAGATCATCCAATGCACCACTCTCATTCATTCCACCAAACAAATACAGTGTACCATCAGCAAAACAACCAGCATGGGCAGCACGTCTGGTTGGCACATCCCCAGTGACTGCCGGTTGAGACCAACTCATTCCTCCATCATCTAAACCAATAGAGTAGTATAAATGAAATGGTCTAACACATTATGTTACCATAAAAAATGGCAAAGTATTATCACTAGAGATGGTTAGAATCAACAGGCATGACATCCAGAAATCATCGTGCTTAATCACACCCATACCTATTGTTAATTTCCAGAGGTCACCAAATATTTCTGTCCCTGCCATCCCACCATGAATATAAATGCTATTTTTGACAGCAATCATGACATGACCATGTCTAACTTTAGGACGGTCACCATTCACATCATGGTGAGACCAATGATTCTCCTCTGAAAGTAAACATTTGCAATGTATAACATTTTCACCTAAATGAGGTTTTATCTTGCAAAAATTTTGCACTGTCAGAAAGTTTTCCTCACTTGCATTATAAACATACAACTTATCATCATGAACAGGCTCTGCCCCTGATTGACACCCACCAAAAATAAACAATCTGTTATCAATGCCTGCTGCTGAGTGACAGGTCCTTCGCGATGGAGCTTCACCTGATGGCACCGACAAACACCATGATTTTGCATCTAAATTAACATAATCATATACAATTAATTATACCACCAGCATACATGATTCTCTTGCGCAGAAATGTGTTTATACCTGTGTCAAAAACTTGAACATCATTTAGGTTGTTATCCATCTGTGCTCCGCCAAATACAATGATTTCACTCGATGCATTCTCTGGTATGAAGGCTGAGTGCTCGTATCTCTTCGGCAAACCCTCACACTCGCATTTGAACCACTTGTTTTGTTCTATTTGGACAAATATGTACTTTGCATTACTAAGTCAATAACACATCAATATCTAACTAAATATTTATAGGTATTAAATTTGTAGTTTACAAATTTGTTTGTGAGATTGCAAAGGTTTAATATATACATTGATTCACAAGCAGATTGGGCAAAACAAATCTTAAAAAAGTTATATATGTGAAATAGATTACGCGATGAGACAAATTAGCAAGACAAGGAACATGCAACATGAGTTTTAGATAAACTTTTATTATATTATTTAATATTATATCATTAAATATTAAAACTGCAGGTAACATTTTTTGGACCTAATAAAACGCACCGAGATTTAGGACAAAAACATCATTAAATGCTCCATCAGGATTAGCTCCACCGATGATCAGCAAACTTTCAGAGTCCTGTTCCTCACCAGAACAGTCCTTCAAAATGCCCGCAGTTTTTCTCAGAACACAACAAGTGTGACCGACTCTTGCAGAAGGTCCTTCGTTTTCTGGAGATAAAACATACCAAAGTCCCGACTTAGCCAGCCCATGTCTGTCAAGAACTGCATTTATTTCCATAGTTTATCGCATGATGCCGTTTGTTTGAAAGACGTTAATAAATATGAAGTATAATGAACGCCTGTTAGGTTTGTAAACAAAAACAACGTGTTTCCATGACTTGTAAATAAATGCTCCACTCTCGAATGTCTCGTTTCCGAAGTCGACGGAATCCGAATATTTCCGAAGTATAATCGCCACTGATCTGTATAGTGTATAGATGAGAACTGTGATCTGATCTGGGAAAAAGTGATGACGTAGCGTTTGCATGAAGACACTTTTACCATGTTTTGATAAAACCGTATAAATCGTTTGTGAAAAAGAATGGAAGAGGAGCTTTTGTTCAGCCTAGGATATTTTATTGTAGCTGTTTGTCTTGTTGTTCCACCCAAGGAGATTGCAAGTCTAGGTCTGACTGTACAGAACCTATTCTCACCTTACCTTGGCGTTGAAGATCTTCATTTTATTCCGTTCCATTTGAAGAGAACATCCGTCACGATACTCGTTCATTCATTGCTACCTCTTGGTGAGTTTGATTGTAGTATGAGTCTGAATACATTACAATAATATCAATAAAGGTGAACACTTGATCACTCAAAAGTATAATACTTCAGTAAATATTAAGGTCAGTTAAAAGTTCCTACTTCAGTCCCTCTACTAGTTGTCTGCCTCGATGGTTTTGACCAGAGATTTAGGGAGATGCAATTACTACCTGCTGAAATACATTAGAGATACATGGCCAATTACGCTCAGGGCATTGAAATATGCCCCCCAGATGCCTAATTTGCTCCCCTAAAAAGTCATATTTCATCTTGAAAAATCCAGATTGTTTCATTGTGTCTTTGTTTTCTTTCTAGGTTATTACATTTTCTTGGGTTTAGCATCGCCTGAGCTTCAATTGTTCAATCTACAGGAGAGACATGGATTAAGACTTATTGCTCCAGTTTTCTTGCTTCTCTCTCTAACTGTGTTTATTTCTGCTGTGTTGATCATTCTATATTGGTCACGAAATAACTGGTAATTTTGAGGTTGAATAGAGATCTCAGTACATATCATCTATCTGGTATGTAATAATTTGCATTTCCTCAATTTTGCTTTACTAAGTTATTCCTCTGTTATATTCCCAGGAAAAATCATCCCTTAGTAAACACCCTTCGTCATCATGGTAGCCCTTGGATTGATGTTGCTGCCAGAATAAACATTGAATTCCGTCGTATTGATAAATTTTCAAGTCACATTGGTGGAACAAGCATCTACATTACTGATGCATGGATTATAAAATGTTCTGCATACAAAGTGGACATTGCTCACAAGCCTGATGTTCATTTGAATATTTTAAAAGCAGAAAACCATGAGATATCGATTGAAACAAACAGTTCTGTGCAGTTCCTTAATATCCAAGTCTCAAGTATAAACTTAGCTGTGAAATCCTTTACCATAAGGCTAAATTCATTGGATTACTCTGAGCTAAAAGAAAAGATTCAGGCGCCTATAGTGAATGCAAGAAATGTTGTCATACGCCAGTCGCTCAGCGATCAGTTTGTGAATGCATTTAAAGAACAAGTTGAACAAAATCAAAGATATCATATTGATCGAAGTACAGAGGTGTGTTGTCTGTGATTGATTCCTTTGGGTGCTCAAGCGGGCTATAATGTTTAACAATATAATTATGAAAGCTAATTACTATTTCTGATCAGATCACCAAAGCTAGTATTCTGTTTAAAATGTGTGTGTAGTCACTGTAGTAAGTCTTCTGTTTTCACAAGTGTTATCTAGTATCTACTAGTATTTTTCACTGGTGTAATTTACGTCTATCATTTTATGGCTTTCTATAGTTTGACCTTGAGACTATGTTTTTAGAACATTAGTTCTAGAGTTACAAAATAGCTGAATGTATGCATTTACCTCTGGAGGAAAATTTTCCCATATTCGAGGAAGGTTCAATGTTAAATGAAAGACATCATTTAGTAGTAGGTATAGACAGAAGCGAAAACAAATTTGTGCAACGAAATCTGGCAAAGCAAGCCAGGGGTGACTGGATAAACATTGGCTAAAACTGAAATACTTAAAAAAGAGTTTTCTAGTTTTCTTTTGGTAGTACGTTAAATAAATGATCAAAAAAGATGTCTAGCGCAATACCATCACATAATATCAAGGAAGGCCATATAGCTTCTGCATATCGCTTTGAATCCTCCCAAAGTTGAACACTTCCAGCAACTCTTTTTTGCTAAAAATCCGAATTTGTTTTGTGTTTCCTAGGTTCCCGAGTCGTGCATCGGGTGTATGCAACGGGAGTCGAACATCAAACTTCAAAAACTGTGCGCATCGTCAGATGTCGGCACTTGCATACAGTGTTTTTGTCGGCCGATGTGGTGTTTAGATTGCATGGGAAAATGGTTTGCAAGTCGCCAAGATCAGAGTACGCCAGGAACCTGGATGTCCAGCACGTCACCTTGCCCCACGTGTAGAGCCACATTTTGTGTTCTCGACGTTAGTTTAATAACTTAGACAAGACTATGACTATGCTCCTACTTTAACACGCCAATGACACTATATTTACACTATACAAAACGGCTCAAGTATGCATCTAAAAGACGAGCATCTATAGACGAACTTAATTGTGCCAGGATAGTCAAAGTAATTTAAATTTGAAATGGTAATTTTTCATTCAGAATAGCAGTGGATGTTGTATGTTTATACTATATTAAATCTGTTTGTGAACGCATATTTGAAGTTGAGAAAAGTAACATATTTCATTTATTTAGCAAGCTGTGTTGTTTGTTTCATATTCTACTTCGTCCCTACGAGGAAAAAACCTGAGACGACTGAGTACGAGGTCCCTTCACTGGGTAGCTTCCAGAGCCGTTGGATAACGCTTTATCAGCGCCAAGAGTCTCACAGCGGCAAAACTAAGCCTACTCCCAAGAATGACCGTTTATTTGAGGCTCAACCTCAGTGGGCTCAACTAAAAATTGTGTTTCGCCATTTCTAACATTTTTACATCCAAGTTTGGTCTAAAACATACTTAAGCGTTAATTGATATGTATATATGCATGCATGTATACATGATGAGGATTTAATCGCGCGATACCTTCAAAATTTAAACTGCATGCAGTATATACCAGTCACGGGAGTTAATTTTAGATTCGTTTGTATACTACTTTATATTCATGCATTTAATAATTGCTTCGCTTGTGATAAGATCATAAAAGATAAATATATACCTTGGCAGATATATTTCGTAATTTCGACTATGACTGTGTGATGGAGAATCACCGATTACTTAATATTCTTACTAATTATACTACCACCAAGGCCTGAAATACCTTAATATATTCTTACTAAATTACCTACAAGCTAAATTACTTATATACGTCTTGTTTCCAAACAAACAAGGAGACCTTTATTATACGGCTAACAAATTTAATTGCTTCTGATAACACGAAAACCTATAGAGTATAGTCCTCGCTTAAAAACAAGAAATTCGGGGTTTTTTGGCCCTGAACTAGGCTCTTTTTCCGTATCATGAACATATATATAGTTGGTGTAAAACTGTACAAGGTTTTCCAGTATGCATGAGTAATTATAACAAGCTTAAAATATCAATCGTTGACATGCAAGATATATAGAATTAGAAATGTTTACTGTTGCTGTTAACGGATTTTATTTTGTGGATTCTTACAAAATTGTGCGAAATACATGCTCGCATAACTATAAGCCTATAACTTAACAAAGTCAAAGTTTTTACTATACCGATAGTCTATACATTAAGTTCTCTTCACTGATTATATAAAGCCTAAGTCTATACAAAGACTCAAAGTTCTCATTAGTGATTATATAAAGCATTAGTCTACAATTGAGAAAGTTCTCATTATTGATTATAAAGTTCCACAGTTTCCTTTTATTTGCGTCGAAATCAATTTTCAAGTGAATTTATCATCTCCTCAACTTGCTCAACATCTTGCTGACCTTTGTTGGATGGACACTCAAGTATGCAAGCGAACCTGAGCGGTGCTTCGCTAAGCTCTTCGCATGTGAGAACTTTGTCGTCGTCTCTGTCGGTCGATTTAAAGGCTTCTTGAATACCCTTGTCATGTGCGTTCAGTTTCTGAGTCTTCACGAACTCTTCGAAGGTAATCTTACCATCGCCATTGAGGTCATAGGCGGCAAACTTGCATGGAAATTCGATTGTATCTTGGAATGTTTGCGATCGTTTTCCAGAATTTTTGCATTCACCAGAACAGTACCAGACCCACTTTCCACAAAATTTATTACAACGGCGACCTGTCCACCAGCCTTTCCAACCACAGCAGTGGTACTCTTTCTTTTGTACGCATGCTTCTGCCATGAAAACTAACCAACCACTGACAAGAATTGTGAAAACCGTCAGGTTTATGTAATTTGCCATGCCCTCTTAAACTCGTTCTAAAGCAAAACGGACAAAATATGACTCGTCTATTAGTGATATCCATTTCCTCGGTATTGCATAGGAATTAATTGCAACTTGATTCGATTCGTTACTTGTTTTTTCATACTTACTGGCACTCGGTCTTGAAATTAAGTCTTGCTGTTTTGATTCAGATGTTTGCTGCTTGGACGTCTGATCGATTGTGTGCTATCGTGCAATGCGATGGCTTTTTTGTATCTAACGTCATCGCCTACATCGACTCTCATTTCATTCCAACATTGACCATGCAGGAAAAGCAATTTGCTGAAACGGAGGTGCATGCATTGCCACTCCACTTAACTCAGGAAGACATAGATAACCTTTCGAGTAATGTGTTATTGACTTTACACTGATTGTTCTCCAAAGAATGTTATTTTGATAATCTCAAAAAATAACAGTAAATTAACTGTCAGTAAATTTGCATTTGGGGGCCTTTTTGCGATTTTGTTATTTTTTCATGCATGTCGACAATTTGCTCTAATTGATTCATACAACAAATCTTTGCAAAGATTTAAACATTTCACGAGTTTATTTTAGTCATGGAGACCGTGATATCTTCCTATATAGCTGCATGAAAACAGGCGAGCATTTTTATACCGGTTAATTTCATATACTTATATACATATATATATATAGTAACAGGTAAAATGCTATTTCCATGATTACGTTGTTGTTGATAGAATATTTTCTTATTATCCATAGAAGTGGCAGTTGACTCACAAGAAAGAAAATATAGTTTGCTAAGACGAAACCAACGGACGCGTAGCTCACATTTGCCTATTAAACAACATCCGTTTCCTAACTTGTCTATTTTTGCTTTCCTGATATATACAAGTCGCGTATTCTTTAAAATATATCAAATATTTCTCTATTAATACCAAAGCGTTTTGATGTTAACTGAGGAGTTTGTTGAACTTTTGTGGTATGATTGTTTGAGTAATATGTTTTAATATGTTTCAGATATTATCGACACTAGAGATCTATATACATGCAGACTATTTAATCATACGTCTTCTTTCTTGCCCTAAAACTTAACAGAATCCACTATCTAATTTCCACAGTTTCACAACAACAGAGGTGGAAATTATAGGTTCCTCTTCATAAACAAAAGTTTGTGAACCATTTATACAATTTGCGCAAAATTGATAAATTATATTGCCATTCAGATACGGGAAGCAACTTCATCTGTTTTATCTAAAATCTCAGTGCTGTTTTTAACTTTGATGATCGAAACTTCCTGGAGAAGAAGGAAATCCAGGGGTTACTTTAACGTGCAGCATTGCACACTAATTCGTATTGAAATTCAAGTGCATGTTCATGCAGAATTGAATGTGAGAAGCACTGATTTTAAATAGATGTTTCAATGGATAGATAGATGCTTTAATAAAATAAAATGAACTATGAACTACAATATGCCACTTCGACACCTCCATTCCTTGCCGTACTAGGAATAAAAGATTTGATAAACGGTCTGTGTTATACCCTTGTGCCGAATCGAATGCAAACTTAGGCTTAACTCATTAACATTAGGTTCGGCACATGAAAAGTTCGACGTCTGAAACAAACCTTAGTTGAATTTGAAGACGCTTAACAATCGCAGAAACGTACAACTACAAGTCTCATGATTGACACTTTGAAAACTTTCCTGTATTTCCCATATTCGTATGTCCGACAACAACAATACCTTTAAGTGCTATGAATGGTTTTTGTAACATCACGTCTCTCAATTAACGCGGAAAGTTTATCTGGACTTCATCAGGCAATTTCATAAATCGAGTGGGGGTTTACTCAAATATCTGCATGGAGGCGTGTGCCATACACAAGCGTTGGCAAATCATTTGAAATGGCGTATAATTCTCTTCTAGAATAAAGTCAATAATTAAGATGAACAACATCTAGACTAACCCTCTCAGATTTATCCCCACTGGAATCTACAACGAAACTGCTAAAACTCCGTACATGCACTGATGCACACCGTACATGGGGGGGGGGGGACAGGAATTAAAACATGATGTAAAAAACGAATATATTTTCTACAGAGCAAAGGACGTATTCACCCCCCATGGCCACCAATCAAAAACTCCATTAGGCACTACAAAGTAGTTGATTAAATCGCTATCTGCATTATTAGCTCTATTATGACAACTGCACATCTTCCATACAATCATGCATGTGCAAAAATTATTGAGACACGGTCATTACACCTAGCATCTACCCCCCTCTCCCCCCAAAACAATGTTGTTTCTATGATACCAAGCCATTTGATTTGCCGAAAATATCACTCTCAACATTGTCAATGGGAGAGGGGGGGGGGAAATAGTCAATAATTAAACGAAATACGTGACAAAATAGTTGTCAAAATGAAAAAAATGTGTTTAAAATACGTAAAGTCTTATAATTTTTGCACATGATTGTAGCTCCTATTATAACTGCGCATCTTTCACAAACATGCAGCAACGAACGTCGTTTGGTCATGCCTTTAAGGGTACTTCACTATTACTTTCAAGATTCTACCCATCGTTTACATAACTAATATTTACTCGAGTGACGAAGCCTGGTGATACAGACCAGACAATTTGAAAGCTATGCCACTGAATTAATTTCTCGATGTTGATGCCCGTTTTCAGGCATCTATAAGCGCCTCCTGACTGATTTTTGAATACTGTTTCTCAGTCCTTTCGCGAAGCTGTGGACTTCTTTGATTAGTGTGAATGTCGATGGTCGGTAAATAATTATTTTTTTCTCAATATTTCTCTCTCACGCGAGATTAGGTGGTCAAAGCCGATTAAATGTTTGTTTGTTCAACCCACTAAGATCTCTTACTCTCTAAGTACAACCTGTAAATTGACCAGGAACACTAATTTCGTCATCGTTGTTGTTGAAAGTACAGCGTTTAATATATTTGCATAGTTTTCGCCGTGCATATAGCCATGCATAAAATGTTTGATATTGTTTACTGTATTTTACGCACATTTGTTGACATTTACAACTTTAAGGATGTTTCGTAGTGAAAAAGAAAAGTTTACGAAGTAAATCAAATATGCTGAAATGCAGGAACACCGGATCCTATACAAGATCGTTGTTTTTCAGAAAGTACGGCGTTTCACATTAGCATTCGCCGTGCATACCTAAAATGTTTGATAGACACCGCAGAAATTGGAGAAGACAAGGCAGATAAATTATCTTCTGGTGCGACAGACAAGGCAGATAGCCATTTTGCTGGTGAATAGGACAGGGCTGACAACTGAGTTAATTTTAGGTAGAAAAACAAAACAAACACCGCAGAAATTGGTGTTTAAGACGTTTCAACCCATTGTTTAAACCCGAAAATCTAATCGCTGGTACGCAATTGTGCATTTCTGTACCGCTATCAAAGAGAAACCTTTTGAATATCTTAAAAATGTCAGTTCAATTTTTCTTCTGAATACGCATTCTGCAATCTTTTGAAAGCTCATCATACACATATGACAGCTGTGAAATGGCCATTTTGAGGCTTAAGGTATACATGCATAACGTTATTAATTCAGACGATTCGTTTTTATCGTGTGCAAGCTTCAAATATTTCTTCTGCCGCGCAAGACATATTTTCTTGAATATTTATAAATCTTTTTTCTCACCAAGTTTGAAGTCTAAGTATTGAGATAATAATTTCCGCGGTGTCCGTTTGATATCTCGTTACTGTATTTTACGCGCATTTGTTGACATTAGTATACAACTTCAACCTGCAGTAGTATTGCACACTTCGTGCAGTATATCTGCGATGGTCCTTGCGATGGTCAGTCACTGATTATTTGGCAATACTGATTTGTATATGTAGCTTCAAAGTAGACAGTCTCACTAGATGTTATTTTTGTTTGATTTGCGTCAGCAACTTATGAAAATGGCATTGAAGAAGAGAAGTGCGCATAGTAATGGTCTATCAATGCTGAGACAGCTTTAGTTGCGACTCGCGAGCAAATTCTACAGGGGCCGGTTGTATACAACAGGGATTATTTTAAGGAAATTTTATCACTGCACAAAAGCGCAAAAAGGATAAAATTTGTAATATTTTCCCCACATTACAGAAAAACTTCTGACTGACCTACTTGTTCTGATTCTTCAACCCATGCATTACACTATATACATGCTAGCAAATGAGCCAAAATCCCAGCTGAGCCTATATCACCATCCTCTATTTTTATAACATTAACAATATTAAATTATTGTTGCTGTACTTTTGAACATTATTTATGAAAAAATATTGGTAATTTGTCGAAAAATACCACATTTATCACTGCACATATTCTCATTTATCACTGCACAAATCTCATTTATCACTGCACAAATTGGTTATCACTGCACACTAAAATAATCCCTGGCTATACAACTATTTAACTACATTGGGCATAGTTAAATCCTAGTTAGCTCAGAAATACACGACTCTGATTGGCCAAGTCTGTCCTTTCTCCTTAACTACAACTGGCCTTATAGAGCTCACCGGGACATTTTTATCGGTCAGTGTCAATGCACGGCGGTCCTGCCACACAGCGGTACATTATAGTGTTATCATGCGCCGATGCTGTTTGTTTACATTTTTAAAATTCAAAATATACAAGTCTGTTGTTAACGTGTAGTATGAACAAAATAGAAGGAAAATACGATAGTTTAGGATATTTTACAAGCTTTTGAGCAACAGTTACGCATATCCAACACATCTGGCGATGAAAGCAATGAAGAATATGACCGATCTAAGATTTCAGAGGAAATATATCGCCTAATATAGTAACCGTAGTTCTTTCGAACGAAGATTTTGTTAGAATTTTGTAAGCAGGGGGTAGTTTATGAACAAATGGAGGAAGAAATTGTCATATCAACTTGGCAACGACCAGATTTCCCAAAAGATGCGGACGACACTTTTTCTAAGACGATGAAACGGAGCTCGAGCAAGGAAAATATTGACATGAACGCGTGGATGTCACAGAATACAAAGTCTGGTGAAGTGGAATCTGAAGACGATCAAGAAGAAATGACACTAGATGATGAATCGCTGTCGAGGCTAATAGAAGGAGATTTAAAACGTGAGTTGCAAAAGGCTTGGTATACTAGTTGAGCATAGAAACATACTGTCAAGTTGTTAAGACAGTGGGGTTAACCTTGTATGGTTTTTACGTACTTTTTATAATGTATATATAATATTAAAAATATAAGACTTGTTCATGCAAGATTAATCCTGTATTTGTGAATCCTAACTGTTTGTACACACATTCTACGCCTTTAATAATGTATGCATGCAATTACTCGGGTAGGTATATAAAAGTGTAAAGGTGTTCCTAACAGTAATTTTTAATATAGTATTTTCTATTGCTTATATTATATTGATTGTTACTTACATCCTTGCCAGCCTTGAAGCATATGTTCAGTCTCCAACCTTACTGCTCACATGCGTTGTGGTCGACCTAGGAACAATTTTTATTGTAATGATTGAATGACTTAACCTTAAGATTATTAAAGAGTGGTTAAACATACTATGTAATCCTATTTTTTCAGGTGATGATGAAAATAATTCTTTGAACAGATCAAGAAAACCTAAACCCAAACCTCGGCATGAAACAAGATTTGCAAATGCAGAAAATCAACGAGCTGATGACAAGGAAAGTAAGTTGTTTTCAGACAGAAAAGACAAGGGCCTATTTGCTGGCAGAGAAGACAAGGCAGATAAATTATTTTCTGGTGCGAAAGACAAGGCAAGTAACCTTTTTGCTGGTGAAAAGGACAGGGCTGACAAGTTATTTTCAGGTGGAAAAACAAAAGAGAAAAGTGATGACATAATCACATCACCCCGGCCAGTTCCCCTTCCTCGTTCAAAACAAAAGGAAGACGATCACGAACGTGAATACCAAAGATTTAACTTTCAGAATAAAACCACAGACTCAAACAAGATAAGTGCTGATAAGCTTTTTGATTCCATGGGAAAAAGCAGTAAAAGCGTTTCCTTTGGTGATTTCAAAGAAAGAAAGAATTCAAGCAAGGATTTGAAAACAGATGAAAAAGTATCTAGCAATGATAGGGATTCTAAGAATGACAGAACTGCACCAAAAAAGGCACCAAGAAGTCCTAGAAATAAGCCAAGTCATAAGGGAGAAAAAACTTCGGAAGAGAGGGATTTAGAACTTCGAAAAACTTCAGAGAGTAAGAAACGTCCACAGCCTCAACCAAGGCATCACGATAGAAAATTGTTTGAAAATGATAGTTATGGTCATAAATCCGGAAATCATTTGGAACAGGATGGAAATGAGTTATTTGAGAGGGGGAATGAGTTATTTGAGAGGAGCAATGATATGTTTACCCAGCATCTAGGAAACTTTGATGAAGAAGTGATTTCAAGAGGTGAGAATGCTAGAGGAGGAAATAGAGATGTTGATGCCGTCTTTGGAAGTCGAGCGAAGGATGGAAGAGCCTTGAGGCAAGATGATGGATCACCAAAACAAGAAAGAAGGACTCCCAGGAGGGATGAAGGTTCTCCAAGACAGGAAAGAAAAACTGTCAGGCAAGATGACCATTCTTCTAGACAGGAAAGGATGAGCCTGGGGAGAGATGAAGGTTTTCCTGGACAGGAGAGAAGAAACCTGGGAAGAGGTGATGGTTCCCCTAGACAGCAGAGAAAAGGCCTGGAAAGAGGTGATGGTTCTCCTAGACAGGAGAGAAGAGACCTGGGAAGAGGTGATGGTCCCTCTAGACAGCAGAGAAAAGGCCTGGAAAGAGGTGATGGTTCTCCTAGACAGGAGAGAAGAGACCTGGGAAGAGGTGATGGTCCCTCTAGACAGGAAAGAAGAAACCTGGGAAGAGGTGATGGTTCTCCTAGACAGGAGAGAAGAGACCTGGGAAGAGGTGATGGTTCTCCTGGGCAGGAGAGAAGGACCTTTGGGAGAGGCGATGGTTCTCCTGGGCAGGAGAGAAGAAAGCTGGGAAGAGGTGATGGTTCTCCTAGACAGGAGAGAAGAACCCTCGGGAGAGATGATAGCTCTCTTGGACAGAAGAGAGGAACTCCCAGACGAGATGAACATGGTTCTCCTGGACAGGAAAGACACCTTAAGCGAGAATCGAGAAAATACGAAAATAGTTTTAACAGGCAAGGCGAGAGGTATTCCAGAGGTAACCACGGCTATGAAAAAGATCGTGGAAAAAACGGAACTGACATGTTTGAAGACCACGTACCGGCGAGCGATGATATTGTCATAGGCGATAGCGATGAAGACAGGGCCAACGAACATGGCTGGCGGCCGCATGGTAGGTCTCTCTCACTATCTAGTCTCTAGTATATAGTTCTGTCGCGCTCTAGCTTTTTTAACCCACTGATTTCTATATAGTAGCTGTTGTCAAAGTTATGTTTGCATTAGGCGATTTATGTGCAATTATCTTCTTTTGATAGATGCAAACGAGTAGTTAATTACGAATGCTCTGATGTGTGCAAGTTCCTATTGGAACATCCGTAACTAATTCACTCGTTCACATCTATCAAAAGAAGACAAATTGCACATAAAATCGCAGCAAAAATTGCAAGTGTAAACTTGGCCTTTTATGTTTTTTCAAGGCAACGAAAACAAATCCCGAACGCCTTTGAAAGCCCACAGAGGTCTGGAGGAAATGGCAAAATCCCCTGATATGTATAATTTCAAGTACGAAAGCAGAGACTCGCCTCTGAACGACAGCTTTGCACGAAGCAAGGGACGTTCGTCTTCGATGACTGATCTGAATGGCTGGAAAAACGGAGAGTTCGAAGGCTATCGTGAGGAAGAGAGTTTGGAGAGCTCGAGATCTGGGTTCAACTCCTCGCGTGGCATCAGAGACGCCGTGTATGCCGATTGGCTGGAGAGGAAGCGGGGAAAGTTGAAGGAAGATGTCCGAAAGAAAGTGGAAGAGAAGAGAAAAGAGGAGGAAAAGCTGAAGGAAAAACAAGAAAAGGAAATAATGGTATAGAAGATTTTATGTGTGATTTTCTTCTTTTGATAGATGTGAACGAGTGATTAGTTACGAATGTTTCTGATGTATAAGGGCTCTTATTTGAACATCAGTAACTGATTGACTCGTTCACATCTATCAAAAGAAGAAAATCAAAAACGCCTTAAAAATATTTTTCAACAGCAAGTGTAAAAATAACTATGTTCTAGTTTCATTTTGGGTCTTGTAGAGATAAAATGTTTTCCTACCTTTGCAAAACAAGTCCTGCCACTGTTATGAATCCGTCTGTGCTCGTATCAAAAGCATTCAGAGTTACACTTTGCATATCTACAAAACACAAAATAAGAAATAGACAATCAAATACCTGATCTTCGCTTGTATTTGCGATGTTTAACTTTAGGCAAAAAAAGCTTTCGAAGCCTGGAGTTCGAAGAAAGAGGAGGTGATAAAAAGCGAGGTGAAAAAGAAGAAAGAAATCAGGGACAAGGATTTGGAAGAGAAGCGAGAGAAAATTGTGAAAAAACAAGACGCTAAGAAGTACTTCGAGTCTTGGAAAAGCAAGAAAGACGAAGTGTTAAAAGAAAGTTATAAAGACAAGAGAAGTAAAGAGCAAGAAGAAAAACAAAAGAAGATCGATGATCACAAAGAAAAGATAGACATTGCAAAGAAAGCTTACGATAAATGGTAATAGTAATGTTTAGGACTAGCTTATTTCAAAGGGCAAACATTATGTTCTAGACTCCTTTTCCGAAAGTAGATAAATCAGAAAAAAATATTTTGCCTGAAGAAATCACTCGAATTTTTTTTTAAAAAGTCCATGTTATGGACATAGTATGGATGCTAGTTTGAAATAGTATGGAAGTATACAATATCAATACTAATTGCAATTTCCACAGTATCGCTTCCTAAGGTAAGCATGCCGGGTTCGAATGGATAACATTTTGTGTCTTTTTCTTTGGAAGGAAATCGCGAAAAGACGAACAACTTAAAGAAGAGGCTCGAAGTTCCAGACAGGCAGATAAGTTGAAAACAAAATATGAAAAGGAAGCTGAATTCGACAAACTAAAAGAGCGCGAAAAAACCTTTCAGGAATTTCTTCGCAAGAAGGGCACAGGCAGAAGACCACCCCCTAGTCCAACCCTTTCACAAAGGTAAGATAGTTGTTTTTTAGTTATGTTACTCTAAGTATAAAAATGTGTTCACAACAAAGTTAAGGACTAAACACTTTATAATTTTTACTCAAACCGATTGTGAAAAGATTTGTTGCACAATGTCATATCATTGTATTCTTAGGGCCTGGTGTCCTGGTGGTTTGACCAAGGGTAGCAATCTAATTCCGGAGAAAGTTCAACCTGTGATTGCGCCGCCAAAATTAAACAGATCTCGATCATTTTCTGGAGTGACGCGAGCTATGGTAAGGTTCATTTGCAAAATTATGTGCAAGCGTTTTAAAATTCACTGCCATAACACAGTCGTATTGTTTCACAGACATCCTTCAATGCAACCAAAAGATCGAGCAGAGGCTGGTAACAAGAGAAAACGGTTTCATCGCGGGCTCTGGTCAGTTCGAGATTGGCGGGTGCTGAACCGTCATGCATCTTCGAATTTCGGAGCCGACAGTTTTCAAATCGCATATGCCATTATGAACCTTTATATATAAAGATGTAAAAACCACTGGTAAAAACTGATATACTGTAATACGTAAGACTTTCGGGGTCACAGTTTTTTGGTGTTAATATTACCATTCAACAAAGCTGAATTATCGTAATTAATATTTACAAAAGAGTTATGTACACAACTGTAAACTACTTTTATGTTTGAAGAAACCTAATTGCTGTAAACACTAACCAAAAAACCATCAAAATATCTGTTTATGGTTGTACCCTACGAGCCGAGGAAGGCTCGATCGTGTAAACTAATTCTTCAAGATTCAAACCAACTAGAAAACAGCGCACAGCAAGTCCTGTTCTGCTGAAAACATCCCAGAGTAAAAGTTTTTTTGCCTTGCTTTTGCCCCAGGTGAATGGAAATTAAGAGGAAAAGCCTGGGTTTCCACAATCTAAGGAAACTTCACTAGAAAATAAGGAAGCCTTAATGCGAGCCGAAGCAACGCTCGAAGCTGGTATTCCCATGAATAAACCGGTCATATTACAACTAATGTTGAAATCTAAATCAGTCTGCTGACGATATTGAAAAGAAAGAAATCGCGCGATTTAAGACATCAGTGAACTTTATCATTATTTCGAGTTCACTGAGAAAGATTTGTAAAATGTACCAGGCCTTCGCTTGCAGACTTAACGCATGCGCAGGATTGCACCCATGAGGCAAGGCATGAAGTTATTTTCGAGAAGTATTTCGAGTGTTTAATTGAAAAATCCTACACAAGGCGTCCACACACAATACGTTTGCCCAGTCATCTTTTACGCCTTTCTGACACCATTTCTTTGTTCATCTTTCTGTATCTGTCCAGCCATTCGTCCATCAATTGGCTTACCAGTGCAGAACTTGGCGTTGCTTTTTGTTCGGCAACCAGTACGCCAGCGTTGGTGATATGACAGTCTAACCACTCACGAAGCAACTGATCTTCATTCCCAAGCTGAATGTAGATTACATGAAGAGGTTAAGAAAACTTTAGTGTTTCCTAATAACCAACTAGTTTGCGCTCTACATATTGGCAAAAATTTTGTTTGAAGCCAGAAAGATTTTACTTGTTCCCAGGCTACTCTTTTTCTATCCGGGAATCCCGTTTTTATAACCTAGTTTGCATGTGTCTAACACGAAGCGATTTTAATGATCGGTAGAATACTGTTGCTCAAAAATAAAGCTTAATTTGCCTAGCTATTGAGCATTGTATTAGACCCACCTCGGTAGCATTCAGAAAGTGGACTGGTAACAACTTGCACTCGTGATCGACCAAAGGTAGATATGTCACGTGACTCTCGTCGCTATTATCCGTATGAGCACCAGCTCCGACTGCGCCATGCTGTTCGGTCTCCATAGCAACGAGTGCTGAGAAATGTCCACGCGTGTAGCCAAGCACGATCGGGCTCTTCCAGCAGAAACCTTTCTCCCACAGCAAAGGCAAATAGACACCTTCCAAAAAGAAGCAAATGTCTTGTCATTTTCACCTTCAAGCTAGCGCACTGTGGTAACTTGACGTGATTTAGGAATGACAATCCCTCGTATGACTCTAGCTATCAACTGAATTTTACGTATAGCCACGTACGTGGACCTTACCTTGAAACCGTGCTAGTCCCAGGGTCTCCCCACGAAAACTCCTCACAAATTTCACTCCATAAATAATGATCGGTCTGCGGATAATATGAGCCAAAGCAAATACGTGCATCTGCTCTAACGAGGCCCCAGGTTGGCTGGCAAGAGAGAGGACTGATGCCCAGTCCTGTTCCCACTGGTCTTCATCCAACGTGAACTGCATGTTTGTGGCTTGCATCTCCTCCCACTCTTTCCAACGAGGGAAAAACCTAATGGACCAAGATTTTGACTGAGATTTCGAGTTTTAAGACCTCAAGAATTATAGTTATAACATTTTAGAACACAAATAAATGCATGGAGATCTTCTGTGTGCTTATCAGTACCCAAGTGTGCCTATCTGTACAGAAGTGTACTCAATTTTCCCTGAATTTTCTGTGGGTACCTAAGTGTACCCAACGGTCTCCTAATGTGCCAATCTCCTAATATGCTCCAATCCATACCTCATTCTGAATGGGATTGTATATCTAGCAGACAAATAATTTTTATCATAACAGTACCTTGAGGCACCTTCACTCAAGCTAACATACAATGCATTTCTTAGAGCATTTTCTCGATCAAAAATACCCCAAGTCGCCTGACATATTGAGTCTAGAAGGCAATCCCCAGCTGATCTGTTCCATAAGGCATACACTCTACTATCCAGCTGGTTGGTGATCTCTACACTCCAATTGATAATCGATTCTAGTTCCAAAACTAAATATAGAACGATACACATTATGATATCTAGCAAAGTTAGCTTGCTATCTAATTCTATATGTAAAGGATAGAGCTTAATAAATAAGACAATACTTTACTTCAAAATGATGCATTAAAACATGTTTTTAAAAAAAATCTTATCACGTAACAAACACCATCTGTTGTTGTTAGTTTGGCACACAAGGATTAGAACACGAGTTCAAAACTGATTAAAAGGTGTGGGCGAGTGTTATCAACATGTGTGGTGGGAGGAAGTCAAATACATCTTTGTTACTGTTTGTAGAGAATAGTTTTGTAGATTTTCTATTCTACGAGTTAACTTGGAGTACCGGTAATACAAACCTCTCTGAGCATTTTGGTCAACAACTTCTTCAAGTGCATATTGCTGAACAGCACCAGGCAGGTCTTGTAACTCTGTGTTAAAGAAACAAGATTGCCCATTACATGTTACCAATGTGTGGGACAAAAGTATTCAAATGGAAAACAATCACTGCACCTACCCCCGGGCAAGGTAAATGTCACTAAATCTGTGTAGAAATAACATGGCCAGTCTCCTTTCCTTTGCCTTAAGCCTTGCATTGCTTGTTTCCGTACGCTTGCTGCAAGATCTGGACTAACATGACATGGCATACGTTTAAATGTCTTTCTTGAAACATGATCATGGGGCAACATGATAGCAAGTAGATCATCTCGATGATAACGTATGGACAAATGCACCAGTGTATCCCCAACCTCGAATACACCTGGGCGATTCAAAACCAAAACTTCGTTCGGAGTCAATTTCCGAGCTGCACTACCACCAGATGATAAAAACAACTTGACAGATGAAGGCTCCCCTTCGACCACTCCAATACAAGCACTAAGCCACATCCAATCAGATTCCTGTAAATTGTTCTTGATTTCATACTGCTTTGAAACAGCGGATATGCTTGTGGCCGAAAGCCCATATATCAATTGTTCCTCGTCCTCACTTGTGATAGGCTGAATAGCAGCTGCAACGGACTTGCCTGCCGAAGGTCTGGATCTCTGACGGCTATTTTTCAAATTTAAAACATTATGTGAATTTTTTGTTTTCAGAATAGCCGATTCATCAGGTTTCCACTTTTGAAATGAACACAAAGAGCACTTCTTGGATTTATTCCAGTTTTCAAAAGTACATTGAGGACATGTCCATTTTGGCTTGCTTTTGGAAATCACTCTGTTCTTTTCATTGTTATTTACAGTAAGATCATCAGCCTGATTTTTTGCCAAGGAGTCAATGGTTGTAGCCTGTGGTAAAAAATCATTTGGCCTTTCGTTCGTACACATAACACATTTCAAAGAGTTTTCCCAATTAAGGTAAGTGCAAGAAAGACAAGCCCAACGGCCTTGGAGCAAATCTGCTTGGTCTGACGTTTCAGAACAGTTATTCTTCTCATCTTCAGGAGCTGCTTCCCCGTCAATACTGTCCATGGAATCTTCATTTAAACAACTATCAACCCGTTTGCTGTTACACAAGGTACATTTTGTAGAAGCAGGAAAATTGTCGTAAGTACAATATTTACACGACCACCTTGCATTCTGTTCAATCTTAGGCATATCCTTGCGGTTACCTTTAAGTCCGTAGGTAAACTATCCGGAGTAGCCGACAAGACAATTGATACTAGGCCTCAAATTGAAAGTGATAAGAAGAAACCATCTTGGAAAACCTTCGTCAAGTTTTACAACAGCAAATATAACAATATATTATAAAAAAATGTCAACACATCAATTTGTATTGTGGCTATTGTTTGTCCTTGTCGTTTCTTTTTAGCCCGATCTTTATACCGGATGACTACCGAATGTTTCATGAACGTAGTCAGGACGATGAAGAACCCAAAGCGGTCATCATTTTCGCAAAAACAAACGGGAAATAAGAAAAGCCAAACGCTTCCCCGTCACCATGATATTTAATATTTTGTTTTTTTTAAGAATGTTCTTTAATATATTCGAGTATGCGCAGAAGGCAGGAGCATTGTGACGTCATATCAGACGACAATATGGCGGCCGTAATCACGGCAGATTATATTAGAAAATATAGAGTAAATTTACCCCTTAAAATCCATCCAGTGTTCCATAAACTGCAAATTCTGTCATATATTCTGTCTATATGTCAAAACTCGACATCGCATTACGAAGAGTTAAGACATACTATGAGTGATGTGAGCCTATAAAAGGAAATATTTTGGCTGTGGGCCATTGTCAGAACAGGGGAGGGAACCGTGGAGAACAAAACCATCACCTGACCACCAGTCACGGAAGCATTTAGAAAGCAGGGGCGGGAACTGACAAAAAAGAGCAGTTTCAAATTTCAAAACAAAAAGAAAAGAAACCATTTATATTTTTCTATTTAATTACATGTTCTTCCTACTACAAGTACCAGTATTAACAATACAACTTTATTGATGTCTGATGAGACTAGAAACGTCCGGATTTTCTATGTATCTGGAGCCTTTCAGTTTAAGAGGACAACTTTGGGCCTTTTCATAACATCAGTGATGTCAAACTTTACAAGTAGAACGTAACGTAATTTCATTCTTTCCTAAGACCTCGTCAACTGAAGCCCCTGCAGTAATCCGTTTCAAATGTCGGTTAAGCGAGAAGCCGAGAACCACATTTAGCTGAACGTCAGTTCATTGAATAATTGAACTAAATTTACGTATACTTTATATGGGACCGTATTGTAGTTGATGCATTCAGTTAAGGTAGAATATTCTAGTTCATGAATGAAAAGAATTCAGACCAATATTTCCCACTTATATCATCCCATAAATAATGAAAGACAAAATGAGCTTCAAACAACCGGCTTAAAAAACGTTATACTGTTCATAAAAGTTGATTGCATTAAAAACTTATAAAAAACTTATTACTGAAAAATTTACTACAAAAAGTGACTAGTTTACTTTGTATTCGCAAGTGAAGATGCAAAACCAAGCCTTTGTTATAAACTGTGATTCCTTAAAAAACGTTTTTAGCACAGCGAATGAACGTCTAAGTTTTGTCCGTTTGAATTTGAAACACTGAACAGGAAATAACAGAAGTCTGTGCATTAAAGTTAAGAAATAAATTCAAAATATTTAGCCTATAAGTATGATGGTGCACTATTTTAAAATGCATGCGTCATTGAAAAACTAAGACTCGTTCGGAATTAGGAAGTTCTACTTTGCAAGTACTATAATATACACAAGTGTAAAATCACCTTCAGTCATACATTTGTGTATGGAACACTTTCTATATTTTTGAACTTAGAACTGCCAGGTACATTAGTTTCCAATGTAAGCACTTTTGTGCAGAAATTGTGAAGTAAACAAAAGGGTCGAAGAAACTTCGATGTCGTTCGCTAACACAGTTTGTAACACGACTATAGCTTCGTAGTATCCACCTCCACTTGCAGTCAAGCTATTTATATTATTAGTCATGCATGCATGATGTAATTCTATCGTAATCTCCTCTCTCTCTATACTTACACCATGCTTAATGAAGATACAATTTCTGTTCCTCTACTCTGATGTTATTCCAACCCATTGCTTCCGAAGCAGGACTGCATCTCCTGCATTCGTCCGCATTTCAATGCTCAATTCTCAAAAGTCGTTTTCGTCGATTGTTCGTGGTTCCAGTCAAGTCCTTGTTTACTTCGGCTCATTTCTCGGCCAAAATATAATTCCGTTTTTGCCCAACGCATTACGTAGGTTTGATGTTGCTACTGTCTATGTTTCGTATGGTTGCTTCGTTGCTTTTAAAGGTAAGCAATGTTCTGACCTAAATTGTTGTTGCATAATTGCTGTTGCTGTTTGTTGTTGTTTTTTGTTGTTGCTGCGAATTGCTCTTCACATCCATGACCACCGTCGTTTCGAGTTAATGTCCTTGTTGAGTTATGTGAGTTGCTTTGATTCAATTCCGCCACACCAATCATCTGCCATCCGAGATTTCTCCTCAATTTTGACAGCGATCCTTCTGTTGTAGCACAGTCAGCGGTGGAACCATCAATTACAGGGATACAAAACACGTGGTATTATCGTACCAACGTGCCAATTCTGTTGTCCAATAGTTCGTCTGATGTAATGTCCTTTGTTTCTTTCTGACAGACTTTGTTGGCCTGTCAAAAGACTCGGGACCGAGGGGGCGTCACTCCCCTTTAACCAAAACATGGTTACCCTGCGGGTGCTGAAATGCGAAACACTGGCCGGTGAAGGCTTAGCTACTTGCCCCTAAGAAAGAAGTTAGAACTCGGGTTTTCTTAGCTTGGCAGTGCACAACAATTAATCCGGCAGACATGCATAAAAACACACGGAAACTGTTTTTTCAAACCATTTTTCTTTTTCTTTTGAAAATCACAGTTACAGCAACGAGGTTGGTTAAAACGCTTTTCTCACAAATCTTACACATGCAAGCTACAATTAAGTTCTATGATTGTTCGTTAAGTTAAAGTTTTTTTTTATCTGTAACTATAAGTCGATATATTCAATTTTAATGCAATCGTTAAGATTGCACGTTCCTTGTAGAAAATCAACAATCTTTCTCCGAAGTTCGTACTCTGCCCGCTCTCTACATTCGGCCTGATTTAAATACATGCACCAGCGACTGCATTTAGTCTATTGTTTAAAGTCAATGTCAATGTCAGTGTCGTTTAATTTAATTCATTCTCCTTTGCTTTAGATGATCAAACAGCGAGTTATGTAGAATAAACTGAACTGCATTTCATTGGCATCAATTTGTGGAGTTTTAAATGCACTTAAAAAGAAACACGCCGGTTTAAACATCAAAACAAAGAAAAATATATTCTTCATATCTAAGTTGTTCTTCTTTTGCATCTTCTTCTCTTTCGTTTTCTTTTTCTTGCCCTCCGTTTCAAGCTGCATTTGGATTTATGTCTTCATATCCCAGTGCAATGCATGCTCTGACATTCATCGCAAAGAAAACATCGAATCTGCTTGCTGCAAGGCAAGACGTAAAATTTCTGGGGCCGTTTTGACAATCCAAACGCACGCTGGAACCGAGTTTAAACAGTCGTTGTACGTCGTGTTGTGTTTATAGTTTTCCAAATAAATGGATGTGAGTCGTTTATATTTGAAGCGGAATAACGCTTCTTTAAAATAATTTCTTTTTGTTTATCATCATTCATCATCATCATTCTTCATCATCATCATTTTCGTCATTTTACTGCGTCGCTGTTCTAACAAATGCTCGTTTCTCCACCATGTTGTACCATTTCTAACTTCTGTCCCCTAGCAACACGGAATATAATCCGCGTGAAATACTTTCATTGCCGATCTTCTGCAAGGAATTGTCGTTTGTTCGTTCGTTGTTTTGTTAGGTTTACAATGTTTGAATGCTACCAAATTCTGGCAACAAAATGCCGGGAATGCCATCATGAATCGACAAATTCAGTGGCCAATTATACGTCGGTTACAGTCGATGTAATTCACAATTTAACTTGCTCAAGTAGTTTCCAGTTTGTAAAATAAACTTGACTAATGTATCAACCTTTTTGCTGCATAGCTATGTTAATTCATCAAATCTTCTATAATCAACAATCGGTATATAAACTGTCATCTTAACATCTCTATCGCTTCTTCGGAGATGCCTCGCACCAACCACTGCGGTAATTTTCTTGCTTTTTCAAGTATATCCCAATCGTTGTTTACAAAGCAGAACGCTTTCTGCCGCCGTTCGTGAGTTACCTACTTCCCCTTTACTAAAGTTGTTTTCGTTTGTTCGTTGTGAAGTTCTTGTTTTTTTTGCCTTTGGCTAAAGTTTGGGCCACGACTTTTTTTTCGAAATTTCAACTAATTCAGTTGGTCGATTTGGTTTCCGTCTTTGTATATCAGTCATAGTTGTTGAATGCATTGCTTAATCAACTTGAAGTAAAGTAGTAAACAATGTAAATCGTGTATTGCTTTCTCATTTCATCGTGCTGTTGTTTTGTACTCCTGAAATGTATACTTTACATCCACAGGCACAGCACTGTTGTCTAAGTTATGTCCTTGTTATTGTCGTTTTCGGTAGAATTACCTATTGCGACCCTCTGCTTTTGCCCACCAGATTCTTCTGGGGGAAACAGTGCACAAAGGAATCCCCTTTTCAAGAAAAGTATATGCCGTTATAAGCATGTTTTACCACGCCATAATGTCGTTGTATATTCGTCTATGTCATGTAAAATCTTGGTTTCTTGACAGACGGTCCCTACCCGTCTGCCATTTGACTCGGGTGCCGAGGGGTCGTCAAGCCCTTTAACCAACACATGGTTACCCTGCGGGATATTTAAGAAAGGGGCTGTGCCTTGAAGGCCAAACTCGTTCTTTAAAGGAGTGCTAACATAATCAGACTAGTTGCATATACAGTTACAGCTGGATCACAGGTTTTCAGATTCTTGGTAATGGAGTATTTCAGGTCAGTTTCTGTGATCATTTAAGGCAGACATCTTCAAACAATGCCTCTGGAATGGTGATGAAGTTTAGCAAGGCAGGTTTCAAGACATGAAGTGGTAGGTGGCCAAACAATGTAGATATGATTCGGGAAGGCACAGAATTTTTTATGTAGAATTGTTCATGGATCTTATATAATCACAACATTTTTTGCAGAGGACTATATGACTGTACTTATTATTATGCTGGGTCTAATGGAACATGGTTGGTCAAATCCCTCTTAGCAAAAGCAACTCTAATACCAGATGAACCATAGCAGCTCTCACTGTTAAGGTCACATAACATATGTTTGCAGAGCATGTCAGAACAATTCAAGTAAGAAATGATGCTGTGGATAAAAGCCAATAGGAGACTGAGACCAAACTTGGTGATATGCATTGAACATGTGACCAATCATGTGACCTAAAATGCACGAAATTGTTTCATAAGACTGGTCCTGGAATTCCCACCAAGAATTAGTGATGGCAAATACAGCACCAAGAATATCGATTCAACTACAATTACGATTACTGTTTGAAAAAAGTATCATGGTATCAATTACTCAAACTACTTATTGCATAATCCTCCCAAAATACATTTGTCACAAAAACTTGAGTTGTGTGCATCATTCTAACAATAACTTTTTTACAAATTTTTTTACGATCATTACAACATATAATTTACTAAATGGCCACATTGTTTTGATTGGTTTTCATTTTGCTAATATTCCGGCCATTTTTACTTTAATAAACTGCGAATGCAAATAGACTGGCACCCTTAAAATAATTTGAAGATTCATAGTGTAATGATGGTAAAAATAAAAAGTATCATCAAAGTGATAAATATGACGCTTTAGTACACCATTATACGTGCTTTATAAAATAACCTTAATGATAAAAAAAGAAATGTAATAAATCTAACAAGTAATCGAAAATATTTTGATACCATTCTGGTATTGATTACTTAATGGCCTGGTAATGAGTAGTATAGATTACTCAGTAATTGGTAGTCACCCATCACCAAGAATTTCCCAAAAGAGAATTTCAACTGTGATTACAGAAACTTTGATAATACAAGCTGCTTGTAAGAACTATCCCATTCTCAAACATGTTGTTGGGTATTAATATAACTAATATTTAAATATATTAGTAATTTTAAGTTTTAAAATTGTTAAAATAAGTAAATACTGAATTAAATACTGAATTAGTATTATTAGAAACCTTAGAAATTTCTCCCAGGGGGATTTATTCTTGCCATAGCCACACATGAACTCTATAGATTTCAAAATTCACAGACACAAAGACACAAATTATGAAGATTTACGGACAAATTCGAAGCTACGAAGATTTAGGGCATAAGAGAAGTTGAAGTGAAAAAACCACACCATACATATAGGATGATAAAATGAACTAAATACCGCTATGTTCCTAAAATATTTTCACTTTGAGATCAACTTTCGTTTTCAAATTGAATCGACAAATTTTCCAGCATATCATCACCGATCGGCATGTGTGAGTTGTCTCAAGGAAATAGAAGTATTAAAATACTTACTTTAGCATGATGGGGCAATCAAATTTGACCTATTCGTCCCTCAAATTTAGTATTTCCTTTCGTAGAACTGTGGTTTTTCTTCGACTATCTTTGCAACATGGCCGAACAATTTTAGAGTTAGACCTGGGACGAAATACGATATAGGGAGAAGTTCTCGCTTGATCAGATGCCGAAAACTTCACAAAACACTCAGAAAAAACAGCTTAAAAGCATAAAAACAATTTCAAAAGCAATACATAAAGCCATACGTATATAGGATTAATCCATTTGAACCCCATTTCCTCGCATTTCCTTGAGTAAACTTTCGATTATATGGATAAAGGAAGTAGCCTAACTTTGGAATGAAGATGTAACTTCCGGTTGTGAGGAAATGCAATATGTTTTTATATAAGTAATTTATTTTTTCCCGTAAAAACGAAAGAAGAAAAAAGATATGGCTGCTGCCGTGCAGGCTTTAGATGAAATAATCAGAGAGTACTTGCTGTTTCGCGGCTTTGCAAACACTTTGAAGATATTCGAGGCTGAACTGAAAAATGACAGAGACAAAAGTTTTCGAGTGAGTACATATAAAGGTCGCGCTAGAATGTGATATGTTTTCACCAAAATCTCAGACGGGATGATTGTTTGGTAGAAAAATTCTATATACGTCGTATACTATAATGATTCATTGTGTTATCTGCTTTAATCTTGTTTGCGAAACGTTTTCCTTGTCCGTTTAGAAAAGTATTATCATTTATGTAAATGTTGTTGCAACTTGCAAAGCCAGCTTTGTTGGCATAGGAAACTAATGAAAGTGATCGTAGTTAGCAGGTCAGGAGATTGGGACATTGTTGACTTAGGATGGAACGTTTCCAGTTCTTCGCCTTTGTTCTCGAATTGAAACATTAATTCTCATTCCAAACTTGTAACAAATTTGAAAGCTGTGATTATTGCATGTTGCTATCTGTACTTACTTGGCTAGACTGATGACTGATCAGTTATTCCATTAAATTACCAATACTAGTTTTTTATTTTGTGTAAGAGAGAGAGAGCAGGTTAACAAGGGAAATTAGCAGTTTTATCATCTGGTCACTGACTATCATACCATTTAATGATTGATATGAAATGATCTGGCAGTAAGGTCTGTTTGTGGATCTGGACTGATTTCATTGGATTCAATTCACTTCTGATGTAGAGGAAGTAGTATGTATTAATAAAAGGAGCACTGCATTTGATTTAGTTTATTTGCTTCCTAAACAGACTACAAATGATTCATCAAAAGTAAATTAAATCTGACAGAAGTAGATCCTGTGAACAGACCTTTCAACAAAAAAAATCTGTATATAACTAAACTATGTGTCATTAATCTTAGTATAACATTTACAACTTACATGCATATAGGCATAGCAAGAGACAAGGGTATGATAGACTACAGTATTAGTATACTCATGGTATATTAATAGACATTTTATATGAGCATGCACTTCATTTTTAGGTGCACAAAATAGTAGAACAATTGACCAGTTTTGTGCAACAATATGATCTTGGTGGCATTCGGGAGTATTGGAGTTATTTAAAGAGACGGTTCTTTTCACGCTTGGATAGTGTTCATCTTCATAATGCTTATAAACTAGAAAAGTGTTTATATCGATTTTATTTGGTGAATGCAGTGCAGACATCGAGACCTGATAAAGTGACTGATTTTTTTGAGAAGATGGCGTCAGAACTCCAAAATCAGGCTGATTGGAAAGAATGGTTTGGTAATGAATTAATTGTTTTTCAGTCACTGAGCCTTATTGTGATGAGTTAGTAACCATAATTGTTTTAAGCAGAAGACAAAACAAAAGAATATCAGGAAATTTAATTAATATATCTTCGAGTTTTAGATAATATTTTCTTATCTACTTTGAATACTTTTATCTTAGTGCTACCATTCCTGAAAAATCCAGAACAAAATCCAAGTTTGGAAATGTATTTCTCACCATTATGGCAAGAGACATTTCCATTGTCATTACACAATTTTCTGAATGCAATTTTTCAAAGTATGCGTATCCTTTTTAAATATGTGTAGACACTTTTATATTTTAGTCAGTGCATAATATTGAGGTAGATAGCTGACTAAAATATTTATTAATCTACTATCAACAAATTATTATTACTTTAGAGAAAGTTGTTCCTTTCATAAGCGTAGAGATCAGATGCATCTAATTCTGTACTAAAGATCTATCGGATTGGCCTTTTCATAATGGCTTACTAATCAGGGATTTTCTAGGGAATCTAGCTGCTGCACCTCAAGTGCTCAAGCAGATTTTATATACCTGCTGAGAAACAGGGTCAAAATTGATGTAGAAAAACGCAAGATAACCACCTCGATTTTTCTTGACAACAACCACAAAGCATTACCTCGCTTGCTTAAATTTGATGCGGAGAGGATTATTTCTGAGAAATTGAAGCGAGATAACAACCATTTGCACGAGAAGATCGTATTATTACAACAGGAGATATCAATACTTCAAGAAAATCAAGAGAAGAAATTCAATGGAACTCTCAAAGAGTTAAACGACTCACTTCCAAAGTACGAATGCATAATTTTTTGTCAGTTTTAGAAATAGTTATTGTATCGTGTTTTGTAAGACGGAGTTTCAGTAGGTCTATCTATAAAGTTTTAGCACCATGTTTAACAGTTTACTGTAAATGGAATTGCCACTGAATTGAAATGCTACCGTGTGGCATTTTTGTACAATTCTGTAATTCAAATCGATTCTTTTGCAGGAAAGTTGTGTTAAAGGAACCGAAAACGAATGGAAAGGAACTGACAACACTTATTCCGAAGCGATTCCGTAAAAACAAGGCGGATAACCAGATGAAACGGAAATCACAGCTTTTGGAACAAGATGCAACATCGCAAACTGAGAACTCGCAATCAAAACCGGCCCTGCAAACGAACAATTTGGAGGAAGAAAATAAAGATTTCGACATGCCACCCGGGAGAACAAAGTCGGAGAGCACTCAGCCTCAAGACTTCGATCCCAATCAGAGTTTTGGAAAAGAAAGTAGCCTTGCTATAAACAAGCAAGACGAAAAAAGCTCACAAAACTCAAAAACTGGCTCGATTCCAGAAGATGATGGCAACCTAACGTTTAAAAACGATAATTATGAGTCGGAAATAGTGATCAAAGACAAGCGAAGTCTCTCGTTGTCAGCAAAGACGACAATGCGACCTGAACCAATAAAGAGGGCCAACAGCAACACACAGTTTAGTAACTACAGTAAGTTACAATGATGAATCTCACAAACGCTGAACCGGTGCGAGTGGAGAGCCTAGTAGGTTTAGCTTTGTAATTGTATGTGACATTAATTCGTTGTAACTTAAAAGGGCTTTAAGCGTCAGCTTATTTTAATGATGACCACTTATTTTTAGACGAAATGTCGCTCTTGGGTCGTAGAAGTGCCACACTCAAAGGTACCATCAATTGTGATTGTATAGCCGACTAATTGATATTTGGATAACCATTTTACCCATTGACTTTTGTTGTTTTTTCGATATGAAAAATGTTTAACAGATATCTGTGCAAATGAAAAAACAAAAGTTGTTGAGTTAAACTCGTCAATTTAACTTTTTAATAGTCATTCAAATTTTTGCTTCTGTTTGACAGAAAGCTCTGAAAATCCTTTCCTTGTTCTTAGCGAGGTAAGGTTTTTCACTACTTAATGGCTTACTTTAGCGTCGTGATTCAAAACGTCGACTTTGTGCTTGTAATCATGATAAATTTATTTAGTTTGCATCATATTTTTAGGAAGTATATTCCGAACATCGTTCGCCTATTGTGCAGTGCGATTTCTCACATAGTGGTAATATGGTGTCAAGTGTTGATCTGGATGGAGTAGTGAAGTATGCTTGATACACACCTATTGTCTATAGCAGGGTCACTCGCCACGCCCCCACCGTCCCACCCCAACAATACATCACCCCCTACCCCATTCTAAGCTCCCCACTTTTTGCACTCCCACTATGGTACCCTTACTCACTATAGAAATTTCGAATTGTCTTCCTGAATCAGTTGAACGTTGATAGATCTATCTGCTGATTGTAGTGAGATCAGTGTAGGGGTGAAGATTGGGGGAGGTAATATTGTCGCAGTTTAAAAAAACCTCACATGAATACTATCATAGGGTGTGGAAACATCGTCCGCTCTCAACAGTGGCAACGATTATGTCAAAGTCAGCAATATTGTGCACAGAATGGGCATCAAAAAATGATAGACTGGTGAGTACGCTCGTTCGCATTTATCAAAAGAAGAAAAATTCACGAAAATGAAGGCAGATATCATAACCATAAGCAGTTAAAGTGATCCGACGGATTGTCTTTGTTTAGTTGTTGTTAGGAACAAGCAATGGGAAGATTCGTTTGTACAATACAGAAACAAAAACCGCTCATAGTGAATTGTCTACGGAGACTCAAAACTCGAGGTATTTCACGTTTATTTGCAACCCATATGCAAGTAAAACGTCACAAGTAACGAAGTAAGGATCCTGCCTGTTTACACATTGCAGAGTTGTCTCCCTGGCTTGCAGTCCATCGTGCACATCATTTGTGTGTTCTGCCACGGTCGAAACGAAACATTCACTGACCATGACTTCTGTGTTAAAACACGCGTTAACCACCGAACCAGATAGACAAACTGACCTTCCAGGTCAAGGAACGCTACTGTTGTGGGACCTAAAGACGATGAAATTAGAAGTATGTTTTGCGTTTTTGCTTGATTCGATTTTTTGCGATCGCAAAATGATGACCAATAGAAATGGTGACTTTGACTTGATGACAATGTTTCCGTTTCTGAAAAACCAGTACACGTGTGCTTTGCATGATTACACCAGTAACAGATACAGTCCTACTCTGATTTTTGCCATGCGCCATGACCTAAATTATCTATTTTGTCGAATAGTTAACGATATCCTTTGATTGTTTTAGCGCCATTTACCACTGGGTATCAATAAAACTCGCGTCAACTGCATAGCTTACAATCACAACGGGACGTTACTGGTCACTGGGGAAGCTGATGGAATGATAAGGGTATATGGTATGTACAAATGGGGAACTTTTCCCATCAGCGAGTCGATTCACTATGTTGATGTAATGGTATTTCACGTTTAGATACCCGGTCATACGATTGTCTCATGAACTGGCGTGCGCATACAAGTCAAGTGAAATCCGTACAATTCAGTGTAGACGAAACATCCGTGTTCAGTTTAGGTCGAGATAATCAAGTGAGTTGAATTATTTTGAATATGAAAAGAAGCTATGGTCTTTACCTAATGCCTGTAATGATATATTTTTACCCGAAAAAAACGCTTTGAATTACGAAGACATGCCGAAAAACAGTATGATGTACATAGAATGCTACAACTGAACTGCGGCGTTTGAGATGTCTTTTCGTGGTAGTTTGCTTAGAATTGAGAACAAAAGCTTGTTGCGTTGCTTGTTGCTGTATAGTGCTGTATACAATTTCTCCTTTGTTAGTTTCTGCAGTGGAGCTTACGGAAAATGGGTCTCATAACAGCGAGCATCGCCGCACACGACGGCATGTGTGGACCACGTGATCATGTAGTGGCGACGTCATCAAAAACCAGGCCAGCGTTGTTTACTCGATTGTTCACGTTCGACTCTAAGGGAGAACATTTGTTAACTTGCGCCCCGACATCAGGGATAATCTACAAGGTATGTAAGCTGATTTCCGGATCAATGCCCATACTACGGACCAGCAGTATCTGCATTTTTTAAATGCAGTTACCGCTAGACTTTTGCATGCACGCGTAAAAATCGTCATGTTGACGCACGTTGTTTGAAACAGAAGTGAGATGCAGCACAACATTGTTCACTCCTGATGCGACAACCTGATCATGCAATTTTTGGCCATAAAAAAAATTTGGCCATAACGGCCTCGTCGCATGAGCCGAAGGAAAGGTCTGGTCTGGTCACTAATGGATATTTCCATTCGTTTTCAGTACAACGAGAATGACAACGTGCTGTCACAAGTATTTTCTATTGGTGAATCGAAATCTCACGTGACCAGCGTTGATTGGAATAACGCGGGGGATTCCTTTACCTGTTGTGTCACGGGTTGCCAGAGTGGCCTCATACGAATGACGACATTGATGAAACGCTAAACTAAATCATTAAACTTAGCAGCTCTGCGTGCGAAGCCTTTTAACGAAATAAGTAATCAGAAAATTATTAATTAAATTATAAAAAGCATTGGCAATTAATTTAATGTTATTTAGTCTTCGTAGGTATTCTAAAAGGAATTGCTACAATTAAGAATATCTCTCTCTTTAGCAGCCAAATGAATCAGTCGAGTAATAGGCCTGTTGCACGCTGGTACTAACCTCGTACCAAGGCTCTTTATTGAAAAACAACTTGTACAGCAGAAGGAGCTTTTAAATTAGAATCGTTTGATAAAAAATACTTAATAACTCCTGAAGCTAGCACACTTTATCTTGTCTCCAAATCGATATCTTATTGCTAAATATAAAACATAACTTTAAAGTAATTTAACCTAATTTGATGAAAGATAACGAAAGATACTAGTGAATAAATGAAGCAAAATAAATTTCTATTTTACTCCTTTAGTTCCAGGTTTCTTCTTCGTACACGGTCAGATCAGCGTGTATCGTTAGATCACATTAGAAAACCCAGTTATTAAACAGCCAAACCGCATTCATTACTAGACGAAGTTGACGAAATTAGAAGTTGCATGACGAAGTTGACGAACGAATTCAAAGTCTGATGTATATTGGTAATTTTTGACGCTAAGCCCATGCACCATATGGAACCAGAATAAGCTACTTATAGTTACAGGAAAGCGCAGGAAGTCTCTGGTTCTTTTTCGGGAATAAAAAGCGCCATTGTAATGCCTACGTACGGCTACGAGTTTATTTCTGCCAAAGATGGTAATAAGATGATTTTCACGATAATTCAATAAAAGAAAATTTAATTAAATATAAAAAGATTTTCAACGTTCACAGAAAAATTTTATGACATGATAAAACCTTAAAAGGGTTATTTATCCGCATCCAAACAAAATCTTAGCTAGAATGATTATTTTATCTATTTATTATAGAATCAAAATACAAAAGTGATTATTTAACCCAGTCCTCCTGTACAAAGCGTTTCCAGCGGAAAAAATCAGAAAAAATTACAAAATGACGGCTAAAAATATCAAATAATATTGGGAAATAATAGATCGCAGGTATAAGTATTTTTCAATTCTTATTTTTGACTTGTTCATAGAACAATCAGTGTATATGAGATATTATTATTTTAATTATTATTTTCAATGATTATTACTCCGGCGTGAGCGACGGAGTTGAAAATTCGCCTTGGTTTTGTTTTGTTTTTTACTTTTTTTCGTCGTCACAAGTGTGTTTTGGCGCGAAATATACTAGTATTGGAAATGTGTATGTGGCCGTATTTATCTACGTCACAGTTTTTTCTCTTAAGAGTTAAGAGTTGTAGTGCACAGCTTTGGCTAATTTTCCGATGCGCGATTTGATTTCGCTCGCATGATACGGCAATTCCTCCAAGAGGAGATTTAGAATAATAGATTTTATTGGGGGCAGAATATATTTAATGCATGTAGATTCTGGTCCTATTTTAATAATTTCGCTGCTATTTCGCCGTTTAACAAGATGTGGTCGTGTATGGACGCGTTGACACGTCGTATAGTTTGCACATGCAGGATTGAAGATTCAGTATAACTATATAAGCGCGAATTCCAAAGGTAAAGTGTAAGACAAAGCGAATGTATCATTTACATTCGGTTTATTTACATTTTTGAACAAACGAGCTTTATATTGAAGACTGGCAATTGCATGGCACGCCGGAGTCTTGTTTATTATATAATGCTTATTTATTATATGATGCTTATTTATTATATAATGCTTACTTAATATATATTGCTTATTTATTATATAATTTTTATTTATTATACAATGCTTATTTAATTATATATAATGTTTATTTATTATATGATGCTTATTTATTATATAATGCTTATTTATTATATAATGCTTATTTATTATATATGTTTATTTATTATATAATGCTTATTTAATTATATATAATGTTTATTTATTATATAATGCTTATTTATTTTATTATAATGCTTATTTAATTATATAATGCTTATTTATTATATAGTGCTTATTTATTATATAATGCTTATTTATTATGCAATGTATCGCTGTGACTCTGTAATTCCCCGTAATGTAAGACTGGTGCTCATTGTTTTCAAAATTGTTATTTTTATAGGAAACAGACACGTCTGATGAGTGATAATCTTTTAAGAAACAACAATCACGATTTTGGTGAGATGTATGCAGCAGTTTTTTTCAATCAAGCCAACTCAGATATACCCGAAGACTCGGAAAAAGAACCCATTTGCCCTCCTGAGGTCCTGCCTCAAACGATTAAAAACTCGCTTACAGTCGAAACTGTTTCACTGAAGGCAATCATCCAAGAGCTATCGCAAGCACGTATACATGTGATAGCACTTCAAAGTTTACCATAAGCAGAAATCACATCTGGGAAGGAACGAAGAGAGAGCTTAACGGAAAAAGTTTTGATCCTCGAAATAAAATATCCGTCGAATTTACAGACAACATTGGCATGTCCGAAGGCGCTGTAGACCTTGGTGGACAGACGAGAGGATTTTTCACGCTTATTTTGGAATGGTTGCTAAGTTCCCGTCTCTTTTTCGGAAACGAAAATTCCAAATTTTTGTCATTAAACGCAAACAGTTTGGAGGAAGGAGAAGGTGGCCCTAGCATCCACTGTCTTGCTGAATCTTGCTATCATGCCTTAATTGAAGGAACCGGATCTCAGAACGTTCATGCCGATTTGAATGACATTCCGTGTTGTTCTGGATATGGCTGGCACATCACAAGTAATGAAAAACACAGATGATATCAAGAGTGTAGTTAAAAAAACGATCGATTAGTATGTTTTAGGCCGAGTTCAGCCGACTTACAACAGTTTTACTGATGGACTTCAGGCGTTCTCGAGTTCTCGAAGCCATGAAGAAGCATCCGAGTACATTCCTTGATGTCTTTTGCTACTCTTCCGAGTTGAGCACAGCTAGCCGTTTTGATGCGCTGTTTGGAAGTATTCGACGCGATTCCGAGGGCTCCAACACACGACTGGTAAAAACCTCGTCCTTTCACATTGGAAGAAGCTATTGCAAGATATTGAAGAAGATCCGACTCCATTTAGCTTCTCCGAAATCCTTTTTTTCACCACCGCTTCCAGGCAAATACCCCCTCTTGGATTGTTGCGTGAACTAGCATTTCTTCATGATCCTGAAGAGAACGGCGAACTTTCTTAGTTTCCCAAGGCAAAGACATACGCCTGCATTCTTTATCTCCCAGTCATTCATAAAGAGTACGAAGATTTCAAAGATGCTATCATATTTGCAATGAAAAACAGTCGTGGTTTCGGAAGTGCTTGACAGATTTGTTATTAAAGCTAATCTGTAGATATCTATCAGTAAGCCATTAGGCCAAATTCAGAAGCACATCGTACTTTAAAAAGTATAGAAGTTCAATTGTTCAAAAATGTAAATAAACCGCATGATACATTCGCTTTGTCTTACACTTTGCCTTTGGAATTCGCGCTTATATAGTTGTATTAAATCTTCAATCCTGTGCAAACTACGACGTGTCAACGCGCCCATACACGACCACACCATCTTGTTAAACGGCGAAATAGCAGAATGTACATGTATCAAATATATTCTTACCCCAATTCAATCTAAACTTAATCGAACAGCATGAAAAGAACGGTTTATTTGTTCCTCTTGGAGGAATTACCGTATCATGCGAGCGAAATCAAATCGCGCATCGGAAAATTAGCCAAAGGCCATAGCTTTGCACCACAAATCGTAACTCTTAAGAGAAAAAACTGTGACGTAGATAATATGGTCACATACATATTTCCAATAGTATATTTCGCGCCATTACAGACTTGCGATGACGAAAAAAAACAAAATAAAAACAAAACAAAACAAAACCGAGGCGAATTTTCAACTCCGTCGCTGGCGCCGGAGTAATTACTATATATACATATTGATTGTTTATTTGTGTATATAATTTTGTTTAAGGAATCTATATTCATTTTTTTTAAGAATCTGAACAGAAATTTACGTCATGTGTTGCGTAAAAACCAACTATATAAAGTGTTACAAAAAATATGTTCCCACCGTTTTTCTCTTTAATACTTTATAATGAAAATTTTGTCAATTAATTGGCTGTTAGTAATGGTTGTTTCACTAAATCAGTGGTATTAATGCTTGCAGCTAGTATAAATCAGTTAATTTTCTTATTGATCGCGTCGCGTAGCGACAGCGATCTATAGTTTCGGCTTGGTTTTTGTTTTTTTTTATTTTCCTCTCGGGTCGACCCCCAGCGTCGCTAGCTGCGGGCCATATCACCCTAATCGGGAACCTGCGCACAGGTAAGTTGCTAGTTATATCACGTGTTGTATTCACTTTGGGCTAGTGATGGACGATACCAGCTTTTTCAAATCGATACGATACCGCTTCGATACCAGACAATTTGTAGTGGTATCGATACCAAATTTCGATACCGATACCAGAAATTTGAGCCGTTTTTTACCGTTTGTAATTTCATATACCATACCATAATGTGCATTTATTCACTCACATTTTTGGTTTTTCCCTTTGTTTTTCGCAAATGAAAAATTGGCAGAAATTATTTTGATTGGTAGCATATAATTAAAGAACTAAAGAACAAAAAAGTGACGAACAAAAGAAAAATAAATAAAAATTTTTATACTTTTTGGTAGAAAACGCTGACCTAAAATACTGTAGGCTCAGTATCGAAATTTTGCGACCACTTGGTCAAGTATCGATATTTAGTGCAAATCATAAATATCGGTGAGTATCGATACTTGGTATCGAAGTATCGCCCATCACTACTTTGGGCATATTTCGTTTCACCTTCGAACTTCGAAGCAGTAAAGTAGAATCCATAAAGCGATCAAAATGCTAGCAAGTGCTATCTTTATCTTTACACTCATTACACATACAACTAACTGCACACGCCGAGCAGAGTAAGCCTGCACTAGAGGATTTCAAGCAGTTTCGAAATGGGCTGTTGTGTGTTTCTCCTGCTTTCAACATGCGACTATAGTTCGGTATATTGTTCATTTTTATTATTAAGAACATTTACGACACAAAATTTGCATAGCTGGGCTGGCTACGCCGCTGTGAACGACGCGATCATATAACGCCTAGTAGGCGTCTTGTTTTATTTGATTCATTGATTAATTTCACTCAGACTGGACGTTTATAAATGACGGCTATTTGGCCGCCATCCTTAATTCACCCCAAATGGACCAGTGACTCTCCCCCCGTCTTAAATGGTAGACTGCACCAGACTAATTGACAGGCAATAGAGGCGCCGACGGCCAACAGCAATTCGTCGTGTTTCTCTTTATTTTGTCTTGCAATTCTTCCACCACGCACGTCGTTTCGTGCGTGTCTAAAAACGTTTTAGCATCTCGCTCGATGTTCCTGCGTGTGAACAGCACCGTGATGATGTCTTTCTGATCGTCGTTGTCGCCCTGATCTATATAATTCTCTGGATCGAGGCTGCATAAGGATTCCTCGAAATCTGACGATTTGAACTTGTACAAAACGTTCTCGGAATCGCAAAAATGTTGCGGGGTATCGCCTTCCTCTCGCGTGATGATTTTGTTGTCGCTTTTTAATCCATCCGCGCTCAGACTCGACCGAGTTTCTTCAAAAAGACAGCGAGGCGTTGCGTTAGAATAAAAAAGGCCATAAATTCCCCACGGGGGTGCCTGCAGTCGCTACTGAAAGGTGGGGAGGATGTTGCACCTCGAAGTATTTTAAAATAGTAGGTTGGTTGAAATGCCTTGGTAAGTACTTGTCAGAAAAACACAGCAACATATTCAAAAGTAAATTCGCTTTTTGCTTACCTGCCGACTCGGGACCAAAAATATAAACACCATTAAAGATTTTAGGTCGTTTTCTCCCACCGGGAATAATTATCCCCCTTTCGGGCGCGTAACGTCCTACCTCCGCATCGAGTTCATCGTCAGATTCGTTCTCCGTTTCGGCGACAAGTTTGCCGACGTAGACCAAGATTTCTTCATGCAACAAGTATTCGCCTATGCAGAAGAGAAAAACGATGTTCAATCATCATATACCGACTTTTTGGTAAAGTCGAATTAAGATAGATTTGCAGTGACTATTTAGGGTTGGAAAAAACAAAACTCATGTGGTTAATCAAACATTACGCACGAATATGGTTATCAAACAGTTTGCGTTAAACTGAGTCGTAATTCGTAAGTCCGACACATAACAACATTGTTCTCAATGCAACCATGTTCATCGTTGTCTAGTTTTTATAAACTGGAAACAGATTATTATTGGCACACATCTAAGAAGGCTTCTTATAAAAGGCTGCTAAAACAGAACCTCACCCAAAGCTTTTCCACTGGCCTCATCACCACCATCAGGAACCGCGCAGACGCCGAGACTTAAATTTCCCTCGAGTCTGATACGGTCTGAAACGCATTCTACGAAACGTTGTCCACTGAAGTGCGGATTCTCGGAATGAAGTTCGATGCGTAATCGCTGAATTAGAATGCCCGAGGGCGGTCGCTGATAACGATATCTTGTGCTAAGGCTGTCCGAGATCCTCACGGCGCTTGCGTTCTTTGCAAAACAAATATGAAAATAGTTTTGTAAAAATGCTAGAAAACATATGAACGCTAGAACTTTGTGTCTTAGAACTGTTTTCCACTTCAAGACACACGTAGAGTAGTATATCATTCTTTCCTAAGCACTCGGATAGAACTTATGACTTTGAAACAAAGGTATACGCTACAGTTCACTACGATACGGTTGAAGTCGAAAACAGACCTTAGGCTTAGGCCCGTTTTAGACGACGAACCTTTCATGTGACGAATCGACTGCAAATAAGCTTAAGGTTTGTTCACACGATCCAATTTTGTCGGATCCAATTCACTTCTGATAGATGTTTTATAGTCTGTTAACTTGAAACGTATATATGGACAGGAAATGAACTATATAAAGCCAATACAGTACTGCTTTATCAATAACAAACTACATTCTATGCATCAGAGGTGCATTGGATCCGATAAAGATGGATCGTGTGATGATAGATCCCTTAAGCAAAGATATTATTAGCTTATTAACATTAGGTTCAGCACATGAAATGCCAGACGTCGTAATCTGGCCCCACGAGCAAATCTTGTTGACAAGGTAAAAATGTTCTCACATGCAGTTTTGAGGTTTCAACGAGTGTTGAACTTTATAGATACTAGATATCTAATGAAGCCTGTTTTATAATCTTACCCGCTGTTCTAACGCTTCGTACATCGTCCTAAGGTTTGCTGTTGGAAGCGTGTAGTGATTCAATGTTTTCTGAATAGGTTCCTAAGAACAGAGAAACAAAATTAATTGAGAATTCAATCGATTAGTGAAGCAATCAAGCAATCGATTTTTGGAGAGTAGGGGAATGATTTCAGTAAATTTACCCGAATTTCGGTAGAATTGGATAAAAAATTGCTAAACTTCTTCAGGAGGATGCATGACAGTCTTAGATTAACATTATATTAACATTAGCACAACCCAATATTATTCCATTCAGCCGTCGTACTCACAATAGTTGTCGAAACAAACGCCAAAGGTATTGAGTCTTCTTCTGCACGAAATATCTCAATGAAATACTATCAAAAAAATACGAAACAAAGTGACAGTGAATGGGACATAAAGTTTGCCTTTATAAATACCTCAAGAAACGTATTATAGATAGCTCAGTCTTACCGATATTGCTTCTAGCTGCAATTTGGCTTGTTCCATTGCAGTAACACTTAGGAAAATTAACTTATCTTTCTCTTCAGCAAAATCCTAACAAACATGGGAAAAACAAAATACAATTAACGTGATACTACATATTGATAAACGCCGACATACAACTCGCGCTCATATTTTAGCAAGAAACAGAAATCTATTCTGCAGTACTTAATCGATTACATCTTTTTCATATTCTTTATGAACCTAGTCGAAATTTTGTGAATATGTTTAGTAATAAGAACTATAGCGCTGACATCAGTGATTTTAAACCGAAATACAGTATATTCACGAGCTAGATATTAAGTTGCTTCATGCCTATCGAGCAATAAAGAACTTTGTCATTTGGAAGTTGTCAATGCACACAGCTATATATGTTACCTCAACGATAGCGAGCCAGAAGTGTCGGAGGACAGCGGCGTAGCAGTCAGGATATAAGTTCGAAGACAACATGTGAAGGGTTTTCCTTGTCGCGTTTAGAACGGGCCGCAGTCGTTTTCGAGCATTGAAACTTCGTAGATTTAACGATAACAAAAGTTGGAGTAATTTTTTGATAACATCATTTGCCTGTGTCAACAAAAACAAAATTTCACCCATCTATAAAAAAACCTTTGCCGCGGCATCGACTGTCCTAATATTCAGGTCGAAATTGTGATAAACAACATAGCGTGTACCAAAGCATACATACCCGGTATGCCATTATCTTAACCAAACCATCTTCAATTTCCTGCAGTTCTTCTAAGGTCCTCTCAATGGAGTTTTTATCGATGACATCAGTTGGCATGGCGTTTAATGAGGCTATGCGTGTAAAACAAGAGTATTCAATATTTACATGCATGCACCCATATTAAACCACATCCTTCAATCATTATTCGACACCCCCCTCCCTTAACATCAAAGCATATTCTGTTGCAACTCTCCAATATAGTCTAGTCTTGCCCCAGGCTGTTCTTTGCGCGTTAATGCGCTATCCAGTTTTAATAGCGATCAGGGCCTGATGAAACACCAAAGGACTAACCTGGCGATGACGGCGGGTTATTTTCGTGGCTCGTGCTCGCAACGCTCGACCATGTGTTTGACATGTCGGAAACAGACATGAGGTTGCATTCTACATCGGGGCTTGAGAAGAGAACATTTTGAACGGCATTTTCAATCAAAGTTGTGAGGAGGTTCTTCATCGTTCGCACATTGTTCAGTCGGACACACATCTGAAATAAGCAAGATTCACAACATTGTTAAAAATTCAGTTAAAAATGAACAGACCGACCAAAGATACACGCTTTCATGAAAAAACTAACCTCTTCGACAACCCTTTCGCTTTGCGATGTGTTATTTTCAATCCGTGACATCGAAACACAAGATGTAGCACAATTTCCTGAAAAATAAACATAGTATAAATAATATTATATTATGGGGCTTCTTCATGCTTCAGAAGTTCAGGTTCCAATTCACTTGATATATTTGTCAATGGAGATACATGTACGTGTATTTCAGTTACTTGAAGCATGTTTTCACTTATTTGTAGGTTTCATGAACATGTCACTGTGGTTGATGGAATAAAGTATAGTTATGTGTGGGTGGTGAGCAATGACCGATTTGAATACAGAAAATCATAAGAAAATCAAGAGCGAATTTACATTAGGACTATTTCACATCGATGAAAGAGACTTGTTCACGACAATCATGACATAACGGAAGGATAAGTGTCCATTTTATCACCTTGCGAATCCGCACTGTTACATCTTTGAAGGCCAGCGGTACGATGACGACAAGGTCTGACGCCAAGGTCTTGAAAAAGAGTAGATGATCTTGTCGAGCAACGCTGTCCGATAATGGGTTCCAGGACTTCTTCATTCATTCCGCAACTTTCACAACTGATGATGTAATAACCGTAGAAAAGCGCAAGCGACTCAATAATCTTAGGGATTAGAAATTATAATTCTAGTCAGAAACGAGTTTACCATATTTGGGAAAACTGGGGCCGGTTGTATCAAGCCCGTTCAGCTTAAACGGTGGATAAGTCAAAATTGAATAACACTTTTACATCTCTCTTGAATGAGTCAACTTGAATATACACGGAATATGTAGTTGTAAACAGTATCTTTGTATTAAGGTTGAAAGCATTTAGTTTGCTTGTTGAATGAAACGATAGACTTGCTTTGCATTTTGAACTTATCTACCGTTTAAGCTAAACGGGCTTCATACAACCGGCCCCAGATCTATAAACTACTGGATGTGTCCTGGTGAACAAAGACTAGTAAGTGTTGCCATTTGGTAATTCTATCGATTGTAGTTCCCTGATTAAACAAGGACTAGATTGGGTAGAGTTAGCATTTGGCAATGGAAAGTTACACACAAGGATAGTTATACATACATCACCCAGCATTTTGACCATGTCAACACGGCCTTGTTCTAATTTTTCGTAAATCTCGTTACCGTCTTCGGGAGACATTCGAAGCGAGTCGCAACGCGTCGACGTCTTCTTAGGACACAACAAATGTAAGAAATGACGTACAACGTCTATCAAACGATTGACACCGCTGAGCGTATCGACGAGAGAACTTGAAATGGGGACAGTAATGTGGCCCAGGTGACTAGTTTCCAGTACTTGTTCATTTTCTTCGTCTTCGTTGCAAGACGTGTAATCTTCGACATCGCTCGTATTGCTTCGGGCATCCGTGTAAACACTGTCGGAAGACAGGGAAGCGTGGCTGCTTGCTAAATACTGCGTACTTTGAACGTATTTTAGAAGATTTGACGTGCTAGACTTGCTGGGAATTTTAGGCCTCGTCGTTTCTGAAGACTCTGTCTTGTTCGTTTCTTTGGGAACCTCAATATCGCTACGGCCCGGTTGGTTGGCGACGTCATCGTTTGCTGTCGATGATTGCTGAACGGCACCAGACGTTGAGGTGTCTCCAATGATAACTTTATTTGTAAACTCTTTTTCAATGGCACTCGCACTTCGGCCAGGGACCTAAAGAGATTTGAAATTGAAGGCGTTTATTGAAATTTTTTAACCGCTAAATAAGTTGCATTGAGATTAACTGCTTTAGCTAAAAACAATACAGTGGTTCTTTTGTCAAAGTAGTTCTTTGTACCTGAACAAAAGCGGAATTGTGGGAAGGTGTGATACCGCGGGAGGGTCCCGTGAGAGGACTGGGTATTTCCCGTGGGCGGCTTCCCTGTTGACTCCGGCGCAAGCTTTGAGAACCCGTTGACTCAGCAGAGACGAAGGTGAAGGAGTCGTCGACATGCAGGCCTGTCCAAGTATCGTCCTGTAATGCTTTGCAGATCAAATTCTGAAGATTTCTGTGGAGAGAACTGATCCAGACGAGAGAATGTTTGAGAAATGCCGGTCGCCATATTTGACCCCTAAAAATGACATAGACGAGAGAGATTTTTGAAAATATTTTCAAGGGATTGAGCGGGAGGAGGTAGGAGAGGGGTCTGCCCCCTGTTCACATGCCAGAGAGGTGGGGAATATGCGAGGAAACAATTGTTTGACTATACTACCATATTGATCTGATCAAATACGAAACTGAAACAAAATTAAGATAAAAATAGATGTTAAACCATCTTACTCGAGTGTCAGATAATGTTCCCACGTCGGATCTTGATCAAACGTAGTTAATCGATAGGCCAATGCAATCATTAGATAATCGATATCTTGATGCTGTTGATTAACAGGGTGAATATCGCATAGTCGAAGAATATCCTCCATTAAAAGGCGGTAAAATACCTCCACCGCTATCTGTACGATGTCAAAATAACTAGCGAAATGAAAACAAAACTCTTTCAAAATACATAATACTACAATAAACATAGGATAACCAGCAACCAATGTTGATTCGTACTGATATCGAAATATCACTGCCATAAACATATGATAAAATTCTATTCGCAAGACGTTTAAAGACGCATCAACGTATAAAGCCTGATCTCCTACCGAGTAAGAAAGGGAGAATAAGGCCGGTTTTCCACAAACCATAATTTATGCGCCAAGCGACATTTTACTTTTACTTCAGAGCTGTTAACCGCAAATTGCCCAAATACAAAAGAATAAAGTCGCTTCGCGCAAAAAATATCGCTAGTGGAAAACTTTTCGCGCTATGCGATAAAAATTTGCGAAAGCTTACTCAATGAACTCTTTTTTGAAGTACATTTTGTAGTTGCGTATATCCTGGCTGATGTCTAAAATTAAACGGTTGACCATACGTGGCGTTAACTGCTGACCAAAAGAAGCCAATCTCAGTTGATAAGCGATAATGATTTTTTGTTTCTCGTAATTCCTCTGCATTTCTTCCTGAAACGAGTTATCAACGAGTTTATAAGATGTCCACAACGGACTACTGAATACGGTTGAATTGTACAATATTACAATACGATATTACAGTACGATATTCACAAATGTGATGAAAATAAGGGAGAATTCACCTCACAATATCTCTTCAGGAATTGTCGCACAGTTACTCCATTATGTTCACCGAATGTATCATCATGATCCACAATTACCAACCATTCCAGTACCCTGATAAGCTCGCTTAACCTTCCCTCCGGCATGTTCCTCTGAAATACTTTGTTGATTCTGCTCAATATGTGTTCTATACGTAACCATGGAGATACGTCATTGCAGTCCTTACAATTTCTATCTGAAAATTGTTTCAGCAGAGTTTGTGAGAGGAGGTTTTAAAGGGTTCATTGGGCATATCTGAGGGCACTACAAAGGCTGTTACATAGAGGTGTGCAAATCCGATCCGAATCTTAGCGTGTCACGTGAGCAATTAAATTTCATTATTTACCACAGGGGGTATAGGAAGGTGACATATTACATGCTTTCACTTGCAACTTATAAGACCCGTTTACAATTGCGAGTTTTGCTGCGATTTTCGTCTTTTGATAGATGTGAACGAGTAATTAGTCACGAATGCTCTGATGTGTACGACTCCTATTTGAACATCTGTAACTAATTCCCTCGTTCGTATCTATCAAAAGAAAAAAATGGCAAATAAAATAGCAAATGTGAACGGGCCTAAACACACACCTCGTCCTTCCTGACAATGCATCCCTCTCTCTTTCCAAATTCCAAGATTGATTCGATGACAGTGATGACGTACCTGCAAAACCATTCTGTACACTCGGTATTCCTGAAAAGTTTAAAAGAAAACTGCCATCAACTTTCTACTGCACAACCGGCCCCAGGTGAACGCGATATCATTTTGGAATCTTGCATCCCATCAAGTTATCCCACCTTGCTATATATTCGAGGAGACAAACTCTTCTGTATAGAAAACCAATTCTGTATCGTTCACCAAACTCGTCAAGAAGTCGTAACGAAACTGCAGAGAGAGGTTGCTTCGGGATGGCTTCTCCCGTGCCGACGTTTATTTTGCATTTCACAGATTCCGCTCTGCGGGAGAAAAAAGCCATCACGCACGTTATAAAAGGAATCCAGAACAAACACCTAAACAATATCTCTTGCTATGTCACCCGGCTCTACTGTACGTCCGCCATTTTTGGTTGCAAAATACTAAGGAATAGTTTCTGGAACACGTGAGATTTCAATAAGAAAATTCGCGATAAAAATGCATGTTTCAATTAATTTGGACGGGTATTTTGCTCAAGTAAATCTTAATGTTTTGTCCAAATGCTCATCACAATTGAAAAGAATAGTTCTTTTGTTTGCATTGGACAGCAAAATACCAAAACCCCGACTTAAACTAACCTGAATAACTTTACTATTAGTTGTTTAAACCACGCATGTTTATCCTTGTTGACGAGCGGGGTTTCGGTTGGATGAAATGGAACCTCAGCTTTCACGTGTTTCTCTCGATCTCTGATGATATTCTCCAGGGTTTCCTTCTCCATTTTCAACCACCTATCGTAATCTTCTCGCCGACGGAACAAATCAACGTTAAAATACGGGTGGCAGTCGCTGTTGAAGATCAACTGGAGTTCTCTCATCTCTTTGACTAACACCTGTACATTGAAAATGGGAATGGATGTAGTACAAGTACTTAACATTGACGCCAGTATGTTTTGTTCGTACATTGGCTGGGTCACCATTGACCATTTTATCCATTTCTCTCAAATAATACTCATGTCTTCTGTGACTAAGACAAAATGCCTGTCTAACCAACTCTATCAGATCTTCGGATTCAATTTCAAACACACTGGATCTCCGAATCTGGTCTTTTCCATAGGACATGCATTCCTTGGATGCTGGACTTAAACTGGAAAAAAACCCAGGAATTATAATAGTTATTATTAGATTCCAACAGCTTTTTACATAGTTCAACGGAAATTGCATTACCTCTCACCGCTGAGATCACTAACTTCACTTGGTCTTCGCGTTGACCGGACGGTGATGTCAAGAGAATCATCAGGGTTCGCCAAGACAGGGTATTGTGCAGCAAATAAGGCACATTCATAAATTTCCAATTCCTGAATAGCAACAAATAAATACCATGACACATTGACACTGTATTGACTGTAACCAGCCCTAATGCTGGAAAATGTCTGGACACATCTGCATCACTTATGGCTAGCAAGTCTGACCATACACAAGATTTTTTTGACAAACAATGTGTGCATTTGGCAACAATAATGTTTTGTAAGAAACATGCAGGGTCTTCTCAGTGAAGACTTGCCTGAGGATGGAGTTGACTGCCTGATTCTTTATTTGTAACTTCCGGTGTTTCACTCCCTAAATTCAGGATGCCATTTTTTTACTGAAACATTTAAGGTTGATCAATACTAATTTTTTAATACCTGAATAAGGTCTTCTATAATCATCTGTAACCTTTAAAAATGAAATATTGCTTCAGATAATCAAGAACTTCTATGGCAAACACTTGACATGGTGCTACTGTAGTAAACCACAAATTTAAGCTAGTTGCTCACACTGTCAATTTTTGCTTAGATTTCAGTGTGATTACATCTATTAAAATTCAAAAGAAAATTCCACTGAAAAGTTTGGCAAAAATCATCTGTGTGAACTGGCCTTAACATTCTTACCACTGTGAAATTATCTGGTTCCATTTGACATGGTTTCACATGCACCAAATATTGCCTAGGACTAAACAAAATTGTGAGATTATGCTTAAAGAATCAGAAACTTTTTATATAAAGGATTTAAAGAGGAGGGGACAAAATTTTTAAAAACATAAACTTACGTCAATTGTTTGAAGCAACTATGAACTTTTTTAATCCCATCTCCATGTCTTGATAAAAGTACAAGTGAAATAATTTCATTATTTATTAATTACAGACAAATTAATAACTATAATTTTGTGAAGGGATACCACTGATTTGTACTCCACAAGGCACAAGCTACCCAATATGATATTTAAATTAGTTTGGCTTGCTATGATTGTATACGGTGCAGTATTTCCATTCATAAGTTGTCAAAACAATGCGACTAAATTTGGATATTCACGTTTTGGTTGACATCATGAAAATGAAGACTAGCTTCTTATATAAAGGATGCCTCATATCACCAATGATCATTAACTTGCGTAAAATCCCTGGCATTTATAGACAGAATAAAATACTAAAAGTAGGGCAACTCTGCAGTTAAGTGGGTTTACCTTCAGAAACTATATTTTTATGATAAATAAGTGATGAAATGATACTACTGATAAAGCACGAATGAATTGTTACATTCAAATATTTACAAATTTGCTACATTGATTATAACAAAAACAATGCTCAACAAACCTCAACAAACAGTTTGCAACTTTGATAAGAAGAGAATCGCCCTCTTCCTCGGGCGACGTGCATGGTCGGCTAGCAGAGCTATCGACTGCCGTGCAGTTTTGCTGAAAATATCTCGTTTCTTGGGCAAAAATATTTCTCAGTAGTTCAGGGTCGATGTCCGTTAACGTTGGCCTAGATACAAAAGGCGCATCGTTCGCCATGCTTGCTATTGGTGTTGGTTTTAATGAAGGAAAACATCAAGTGACACTGCCATAATACCACAACATGTTGTCTTGTGATCTTGTTTTTCTGGAGGGGAATTTCGATTAAAATGTGGATACTGGATCACGTAACGCTGGCGCACAGAGGTCAATTATAGAGGTCAGTGTGTGTCAAAGTGCCATATCAATGGCCAGCCTCGTTCCCAGGGGCTTTAAATAAAAATATAGGAATACTACAGGCTTTTTCATAGATCAGTGGCTAAGCAGAGCGAGCGCGCAGGGAATTTTGGGGGACGAGAGCGACAAGAATTGGTATGCCAGGCCATATTATCCACTCTTTGGGCTAGGTAGCCGCGAGATCTTATTCACAAAAAAAGTATTCAAAGATATTTATTATCAAATTTCAAATTCATAACAAATATCAAAATAAGATAGCCCGATATAATACTGAGTTATTTTTTCACATTTTCCTTTAAATATTATTTCAAACAATATCAAATAACATCTATTCGAACAGAGTTATCGGAATATCAAACAAAGAACCTTTTTTAAGAAGTATTTATATGTGTATATATATTAGGGTCTGGTTCTTAACCAAGGCAGAACCAGGCTTAATTTATGATATAATCATATACCCAAAGAACGATTACATTTATTTACAACTTTTTTACAATTTGCTAATGGGATTTCACTTCGCAGCCGATGCTGGAAAAGGCTTGATCCGTTTTGAATTCATTGGTGTGGAATATAGCTTTCTAATATTGTCCCCAGCTGTTAGGCTTTTCTTAATAACAGGCATAACTGTTGGCGCGTTTTTCTTCGCCTTCTTCGCCGTAGCTGCTCGGATAGGGACGGAAACAGGTTTTTCCAGTTCCGAACTGGACGATGTCCGCCTCGGTTTGGGGGTGAATTGTTTTGAGAGGTCGTCGCACGAAGATTCGCTGGAACTGCCGATAGTTTTTGTACGTCTCTTTCGTTTGAAAGGATTTCGAAAGCTGCCTGTTGATGGTGAGCGACGATGGAAGTTACCAGACGGCGTTGATGGTGTCTGCAAGTTCACGAAATGAAAACTGCGTTAGTTTGATTTAAATCCCGAGGTTGCGAGTTGATGCAAGGTGATGGAGATTGATGCAAATTAGTGCGAGTTGATGCAGGATGATGCAAGTTGTTGGAAGGTGATGGAGACTAATGCGAGTTGATGTAGGGTGATGCGAGTTGATGCAAGGTGATGGAGAATGATGCAAATTGATGCGAGTGGATGTAGGGTGATGCGAGTTGATGCATGGAAATTGATACGAGTTAATGCAAATTGACGCGGGCTGATGCAAGTTGATGTACTACCCCCGAACTGAGTGTCAGATTCAGTGCACCATTAGACTAAATAGATCGGTGGAATTATAGAAAATTATTCTTCCGTACCCACAATTTGAAATATTCCCAAAACATTCAAGTTAACTACATTTCTATTTGTCCTGTAGTCGTATAAAAACTATGATGAGCTGGCAAGTTTTCCCGCCCAAATACGTGGAAAACTGAAGATTACCCACCTGGGCTAGATCCCTTCGTGACAAATCTCCCGTCTTTCTCTGGAAACAACTCTCCTTGCCCGGGGTGATAAATGGCCTGAAATTTCCGGTCGGGCTGTCGCAAAGACTTTCTGTTTCAGTCCGATTTACAGACTGCAGTGGATTACGCAAGCGAGGCGAGAGCCTTTTTGGAGCAGTGAAGGTCGTTTTACGTTCTTCGTCTGTTGACTGGAGCAAAAAAGAAATGACAAGTTATATCGATTGATTAAAATCATCCATCCCCCGGCGCTCGTGACCAATTGAACTATATTGATAATGATGCTGCACTAATCACCTTTTTTGTCTTCGGTTTGAAAGGCGGTGTTCCTGGATACACCTGTGCAAACTAGAAACATAAGCACAGCTTGCATGAGCAAGTAAATCCTGTACCTCAATTCCGGAGAAAAGTTTGAAAACAATTCAAGCCGTTCAGCAGCCTCAGTGCAGTATTAAGGCCGGTTTAAATCCTTTTGGTAGATGCAAACGAGCGAGTAGTTATGAATACTCCGATGTATAAGTGGCTAAGTGCCCTAATAAGAGTATCTTTATCTCATCGACTGGTTCACATCTATCAAAAGAAGAAAAACCCGGAGGAAATCGCACGTTTAAACAGACGTTTGTGCGAATGAAATGAGCGATAATCCTGACCTTATTCCACTTTTTGTTAGTTAAACAATTGTAATGGTTTGCAGAAAGACACGTACTCAGCTGTTGTATTGCAGTCAACAAAGGGGGGCAAGTTAGCTTACCTTTTGAAGGAATTGCCGTTTCATTGGCGTGTCTTCCATGGCTGCCATTTGAGTGTAGAGATCGACCAACGCATCTGCTGTGTTTTTACTCCCTGCAGTGCTGTATAACCTGGCGTCTATTTGTGCACAGAATGGTTTACGAACTACCGCTGTGTCGACATCCTGCATGGAAATATGAACGATTACACACAGCTCAAAGCATGGACCAATGATTGGTCAGTAATGATTAATTGGAACACCCAAATGATTTTCCTAGGAGTCCTGCATGCATGAGAAATGTTAAGGGGCTAACTAAGTTGACTTCCTGCAGGAGTATACAATTAAACTAGCGTCTAGCTATTCAACTAAACTTAACACGAGTCAAAACTCGGCTACACTAACTACACTACAAAACTAAAGTTACGCCATGAGGAAATAGTCCATTTCAGTTTCTTTTGATTTCATTTATAATTCTCATTTACACCTCTTATTCATGATAGTTTAGGCCTGTTTACATGGAGCGAATTATCCCGGGTAGGCGAGGTAAAAAGCCCATCACATCAAAGGTTTAACCTGATTCGTCTTTCCCCATGGTGTAACTTTAGCGGGAGTCTAAAACTATCTTTACCTTGCGGGAAGACGGCGTTGCAGGTTTTATTACCTGAGCTAAATTCTTCGATTTCTGAAGCTCGATTTCTTGCAGGAGGTCGTCCGGTATCAGAAACAAATGTTTCACGTGCTCGATCATGAAGGCCAATGCACCTGTGAACGTCGTGATATCCTCAGGAACTACGCTCAGACAAGACGAGGATTTCTGAAAATTTTAAAGCGAAGCTATTTTATTGGATACGAAGGACACTTGGAGTACCAATGGATACTTGGGATACCTTTGGATACTAGGATAGCGCTGTAAATGCATATCAGTTGAAACCTTGAACATCACAGTACGGTTAATTCTTAAACACGTTTGCCAATTGGCAGTTACTTGGTGTAGTCTATAACAAGTTGTTGGATTGAAGAGAGCAATCTCACTTACGTGTTTGTATTGAATGACACTTGGGGCGAACACGAGAGCGAGGCTGCACGCGCTCATTTTGTTCTCCTTGATGTTCGCGATCTCATGAAGTAACTCCAGCAGCTGCTGGAGAAGATGTCGGTTCGCGGGCGGAATGAGGAGAAATAACAACTGCAATGCTTTGATCTGTTTCTCCTCGTCACCAAGATCTACAGAGGAATGGAATAGAGCCGTTTCTCGTCATGACATTTGATTGGCTACGCAAAAACTAACGAACCAATCATGCTATGGTTAAAAAGTTTCAAAATAGTGTCGAATACGGCCCCGAAATATCCATGCATTGAAAATGACCACTTACTATATGAGCGATATCATATAAAAAAATGACATTTGAGCTTTGCATATTGAGAACATTTTAAAATGGTGCTGCATGTTAGCTGGCTTACCGGCAACTTGCATATGCACTCTCACATGAGCGCTGGTGATGATGGGCTCAGGTAACTCCGCGAGGAAGTACTTCAATATCGAGGCAACATCGTGCTCCGTGAAAGTATCTTTCTCGAAGTTGATCTGCATGTCTTTGTCGAGTAGATGTTTGAGTTCATCCTGTCGTTTTTTGCTGCCAGAAATACGGAAAATTCCTTCGGCGTTTACGTCTGTTGGAAAACGAGAGAAATTCATTGAAAAAGCATTGTTGTTAGAAGACTTTCACCTTGATCAAACGAGATAAATTCATTGGAAAAGCATTGTTTACGGTTTAGAAAACCTTCAACTTGATCAAACAAGAGAAATGCATCCTGGTTCATTCAAAAGATCACGAAAGGAGACATCCATGCAGCAATCAACTTCTCCACGTACGTTTGAGTCAATATCGAGTTTTAGGAATATCGTTTATTAAGAAACTTAGTTCGAATGATACTTACGTTTCTTTAGGTAGTCGATAAGCACGGAGACTCTGTGAACATTGGCCTCGCTCAACGGTTGATTAAAAATCGGCGAAGGTCCTGAAGAAGGAAAACGATAATTGAATTGAGGCAGGCAGTGAGTTTGTTGAAGAATTCGTGAAACTTTGAGATTCACGTAATCTTCAAGGTTTTCGCGACAGAAGCCATGCAGCGATTAACAAGGTCTCCGAGTTTTAGTTACAGCTTACGGGAAAGACCTTTCACTGAATACACTATCACTGAAGAGAACTTATCAAGCATCCTTTGCCAAGCACGTGAAGAAGCTAGCTTTGATTGGTCGCGCAAAACTAACGGGCCAACAAAGCGTTGTGCTATATCAGGCTATTGACGTCATTATATGAGAAAGGTCTGTTACGTGCCATTAACACGTTGTAAAGCACGCTAACTTGGCAGGGGGCCGCGCGCTGATTGTAACTGTCACTCACGTGTGTTTTAATGTCGTACGCAATAAAACTCTTTAACTACATTTTGCATTGTTAAATACTAGTTAACTCAGAAATACACGACTCTGATTGGCTAATTCTGCCCTAAACTACAGTTAAAAGTTAACTAGCTTTTTATACAACTGGCCCCTGAAGTTGTACTTCAATTCATACATGTATATAACAATTATAGCCTAAAAGTAAATCAGACAGAAAAAAATCTCGACGTTTCAACCTGAGGTCCTTTTCGAAAAGTCGAGAATTGTTATTTGTTCTGCCTCGTATCTGACGAGAAGTTACTCGTGTTGAACATGTTTATGACTAGGCAAAACTAACATACCAAGGGGGTATAACAACTGCCTATAAATAGACAAAACACTTCTCGACGTTTCGACCTGAGGGCCTTCGTTTAACTGCCCTGGTTAATTGCGTAGCGTAAAGAAGAGGATAATTTTCAAACTAGATAAGGTTCACCAGTTGTTGACTATAACGGGTTTCGATACAACAAGTTGCAAGATAGCAAATAGGCAAAACTGACATGCCAAGGGCATGGTTTAACTGCCGTATAGTTAATTGCGTAGCGTAAAAAAGAGGCTAATTTTTGAACCCAGACATGAGGTTCAACAGTTGTTTATTTTAACAGGTTTTAATACAACAAGTTGCAAGATAGCAACGGTACAGATAGCAACATTGCTGGAGGCTATAGAATCATACAAAGCTAGGAAACAGTGTTTGCAACGAGTTCGTCAGACACTCGCGATAACATCTTTTTCTTTTAACTGCTTCAAAGAAGGGAACCGCCATCAGCATTTACGCACTACGCATGTGATGTAAAATGAAAATGCACTACCAAAAAATACGTTAAAATGCGTAAACTGCACAATACACGTTCCACTTAAACTGCTGTAAGGTTGCACAAGAAACGTCGCGGTCTCAGTTAGACATCGTATATAGTAAATCTTACTGAAGTTTCTCACGCTAATCGTCCTCCCCCACCCATCAACTACATACTCACTGTAAATGGCTTCATGGACATTTCCAAAGCTATATTTTCCACGAGATTTTCTCCAAACGTTTCTATGCTTGTAAACCGGTTTCCTCGAGTCATCATTGAGGGACAATAGAGAATTTTTGCGACGGCGCTGTGACATGTTGTTACAACGACGGTTATAGAATACTAATTGGCTCCAATAATCGCACGCAGTTTTAAAGAGTGGTAATTTAGAAAAACAATAAAGATGCGACTATACACCATTAAGGTTTGAACAATAGGCCACGCTTTAATGTTTGTCGTTCAGGTTCCTGTAGAAACATGTCCAGGAAGGAAATTCTATGATCTGGAATCACCCTGGTGTTTTTAAATGTTTTGAAATGCATTGTTTCTACTGTTGTCGGATGGGTTATTGTCTGTTTTAGATTTTGGCTAAAAACGTTTATTACTAAGTATTAACGTGGCAAAATTTCGCGGTTCTTTTAAAGAAAATTAGGATCCTAATGTGCCAAGTAGTTTAATACACTGCAGGGGTAAGATCGAAAAAATGGGGCAATCGCTTTAAAATTTACCAAGATGTGATCTTTGTGATGACAGCCATCATGAACTGCTCCATAAAGCTGTATATTGATTTAACAACAACACAAGTCACTTTAAGTTTTGAGTATTAAAATTGAGGTGGTATAAAAGCAAAATACGAACTGGGAGTTTGGCGACAAAAAGGTGATTGCATGTTCATGCCACCCCAAGTTTGAATTCAAACTCTCAATCCTATGAGAAAAATCTGTCACTGGTGTTGATTGAAGGGGCCTAAGTGTTTACAGGTGTCAAAAACATGAGTGGTTGTTTGTAAACTGATACAAACTTGTACAGTACTCTTAAACCAACAGTTTTGCCTTCTGACTGTTGCTGCAAAAAGTGCAAAACACAAAACTTAGTGATTGTGCATTACTTATGTTTACTGTTTCAGATTACGCTGATATAGCTGACAGTAGTGGAGGAATTCAGGTACCATTGATTATCTATTGATTATGTTATAAAACATTTTAATTTCATATAAATTTTAAAAATATTATTTGAATTTTAAAGAGCAAAATGTGCATGAACCCTCCTCACAGGAAAGAGTGTTAAAGAGATCTTTGGACCAACACAATCATTGCCAAGAGTTAAACAATTAGATTTGCATAGAGCGCATGGTTCCACTACAGAAGTCAGTCAAGCGGTCAATAATTATTACTGCACGCGAGCCAACATCACGATAAAACCAAACAAAATATGTCATCTGAATACAAATATGAAATATATGTACAATGTCCAGCCGTTAATATGATGAACTTTTTATGTAGATAAACATTTCAAAATTCAACTGAACAAGGCAACAAAAGACACAAATTGTTGATAATACAATTGACTATAGACACCGACATTAAATATATCTGCCCTCAGTATTGCAATCATGCAATCATTCCGGTGTCAAATTTCCGAATTCTCAAAAGCTGTTGACAGCTCACCTGATTTATGCAAGATTTTGTTGATCTTTTCGCTCGATTTCGAGAAGAAGTTCTTGCCCTTCTTGACGCCAAGATCTCCAGCAATTTCCAGATTTCGTGACACGTTCATCGTCTGTTCGGCACTTTGTAAATCTTCAATCATTCCCAAATCAATGATTTGTAGCAGCCGGCGGATCAACACCACAGCGTTTGGATCCTTAGCCTCTCTTTTGCTCATTTTCAAAGCTTTTCTAACTTTTCGCGGCCTTCAAATTCGAAAATTTCTCCATTTTACGTCGGCCCTTCGCTCTGTTCTTCTATCGCCATTTGTAATATTTTATCCCCCGGGTAAATTCAATTTTCTCATCGACCAATCAGATCAAAGAGAATTCTTCTTCAAATTGAGCGACCAATAGAAACAAAGGACGGCAAGCCACCCCCTCAGCGGGTGACATTTTAAATTTATTTCACCCTTTTCTTTCATTTTTTATCCCCTTTTTGAGATTACCGCCGTTTGAGAAGGAAATTAAAAACTGAATAGCACGAAAAGTTAACTGACAGGAACACACCATAAGTTAGTTCTACGCCGCACTGGCGAAGCGACATTCGTTGTTTATGCTATCCAGTGACCCAAGTTGTACGCAAATGTGTATTTATCATTACAATAAGCCATAGTTCGGCAATTTCAACTATTCTTGCTTTCTTTATAACGATTTTTATTTTAACTTGACAATGTTTAAGGGCCTTCGTCAGGAGAATTAGTGTGTGACAGTGATACCGTCTCCCCTGACGAAGGCCCTTAGGTCGAAACGTCATGAAGTCGAGAACCGAGTGTTTTTGTCTATTTTAGGCAGTTGTTATACCACATTTGAAGCGAAGTTGTTTGAAGACGCTGCGGCAGCCACGTTGGTTCCTGGTTATATTCAGGAACGATTAAAATTTATGATGAAAATCGCATATTCCACTTCTGCAGATTCGGTAAAAAACTCTTGAAATTCAACACTCATTATTATCGGTAGCCTTTGCATAGTTCATTGTTATTCGCATTGTTTAAGAAAAGGAGGCCCTTTTTCTTTTAATTTGTTTAGCTTTAGAACAGACTGTAGAGATATGCGATTTTCACTGAGGATATTTAAACAAACCAGCACGTCTCAGCTAGTTAATTCTCCATTTGGTCCAAAAAACATATCATTCAACAGAGAAAAGCCTGGTCTATCTTAATTTTGCAAAATTGCGCTTGCTAGTCAAGAAACTTTACGCAAAATAGCGCGCTGAAATTAGTTACTTATATTCTAAAATTTGCATATCAATACGAGTTGTATGACATTTGTTATGAAGCTTATTCTTATATATTACATTATACAATGACATTGATCGAGAAAGAAAGAAAAGTCAAAGAAGGTCTCGCCGGTCTCTGCCGATACTGAAGAATATACATGTACAGGGTGTATCAAAAAAAACGCAACCACTTAATATTCTAAAATTCATATTGTTTATAAGCTCAATAGATTTTATGCCCCTGGGATTTTAAAATGGCTTCTAATCGTACAGTTCAACTGCTAATAGTCAAATCAGCTAAACTAATAATGGTGTAGCTAACAACCGAACAACGAGTTTTTATTGTCGTGCATGATAACTTGAATGTTAACTGTCGACCTTGTAAGATAAATTGTAAATAAAATTTTACTCGTTAAATACTTTCAATTCAGCTCGTTGGTTTACGCACCCGACTTTGTTTACCGACGATTGTGCCGCTAGAATATGATCAGTATAAGCTTTCTCGCATTCCAGGGGCCAAACGTCTTTTGTGTTGTAGAACAAAGAAGATATTCATGAATATTAAGTGGTTGCGTTTTTTTTGATACACCCTGTATAAGAACATGTGAAGTACGGTATCTTTCAGGCTTCTTAGTGGAATGGTTATCTATTGTTTCTACTTGTTTACCGACGTTTGGAACTGACAGCCCTGAGCCCCCTTACAAAAGAATTAAAGCCATTGTACTTGGCTTCATCAATCATGCTCATGCAGGCATTTAAAATTTCAAAAGGCTTCACGTCTCACTGTCAATCTTTCCTCACTTCAGGAGAAGAATTAATCATATTATTTAAAATATACGATTTATCCAATCAGAAGCATAGTTGAGCTGTCAGAACAGGCGTGCTTAGCCAATAGCATGGCTTTATTTTCCAAACCGAAGAGCGGGTAAAATGATGCATCTAGCGCTGTCTCAAACTTGAGGCATCATATGAGCGCTGGTCTTCGAAGTATAAGGACAAATTGCTTTTACGCTCGAAAATTTCGTCTGAAATTGCTATCAATGTTCCCGTCCGTCTATATACCTGCAGAAGAGAGCTTCAGTATCTTTTCCGCGCAATCGTTGGTGTCAGAACAGGTAATGATCTTTTGCTTTACGAAGATCTGCTTGCTTTATCAAAATAGTGGGGAAATATTTCCGCTGAACATGCTTCGATTTCACCTCGTGTAAAATGCCCCTTGAAAGGCGTGTTTTGCCTTGTGTTCGCTTTGAAGAATTCCTTATAACATTAACGTTGTCTTTTTATTCATTTTACGTAGAATTCTGACGACGTAAAGCCAAGCCAGGCGATGAAATTTATGAACAAGGGATTAATGATCGATAAATTGTGGCTGACTTTGAATGGCTCGAGATAACTCGCCTTTGAAGAGAGAGCACGACTAGCTTCTTCTCAGAACTTACTGGTGAAATGAAAAAGGTAATAATTGTACGTTACATTGTTCGTGAATTTACAGGCGTTTTAATCGTGCATGGGATTAGTCGACCAATCTAGCCACCTACCAATCTAGCCATCTAGCCAATCTAGCCACCTACATCCTGGCCACCTACCTTCGCTTTTTAGTTTCAAACAAACTAGTAATATCTTCGAATTGATTTCTGAAGCTAGGCCTTAGCAAAACTGACGTTGCCTTTTATGCTTTTCAGGTTGAGTTTAAGAGTCACTGTAAAGCCAAGAGGAAATGCGGTGGTCAGGCATACGCAAGAATTTCACCACCCAAAATTACGAGATTGTGATTCCGCCATGAGATTAATTGTCCGAGATGACTCGCGTTGGGGAGACAGCAAGTCCAAAGCTGCTCTTTCACACTTGTATTGCTTAAATGAACAGGTAATTTATGTCTATAAATAATCGTGTCTGCATGCTTGAGTTGATCGGACTACGTGCTTTCCGCTGAATAATCGCTTCAACGCGAGTTTTCGCATGCTTCTTTTATTGAATAGAACTTTTTAACTCATCGCTATACTCTTCGTTTTATTTCAGGTTGAGATTTAGCGAGTCCAGCAGAAAGCCATTTGACGATAAACCTGTTCATGAATAAAATGTAAGTATCAGGCAATTAAACATCTAAGATAAAGCGATAAAATGGGTAGTTACAACAATAGTAAAATATGCTTAAATACCATGCACTAAAATGAAAAAATTAATAGTCGATAAGTTTATACACGAGGACAAAGTTTATGCATAATCGCATGCAAATTTGTTTGCAAATGCATGCTTCTACTGTGAGACGGAAGAAGTTATATACAACACAGTTGAAATCAGACTACGGTTGAAAATATAGAACTACCTTAAAGGTAGCCCTCAATTCAATTTCACTAAAATTGTATTAACAATTAATGCGGGACGTCTAGAAGTTGGTTTGCAATTATCATAAAGTTATTTTTCATCACGCTGCATTCCTAATTATTAAAATAGGTTCGGCTTAATTTGCATGCTTCGTGTAGGCATTTACGTGTGCGACTATTTAACAAAAAAAATAGTTTGCTTATTTTTATCTTTCATTCTATTTCAGGTTGATGATATATTATAAATCCAATGCTCAGTTAAGCTGTTACCTATGAATCAAAACGACGCCATAAAACGACGCCATAAAACGACGCGATAAAACGACGCCGTAAAGCGACGCCATAAAACGACGCCAAAAACGACGCCAAAAACGACAGCGCTACGACAATGTTCGCCGACATCGTTACAGGTTAGAGTAGCCTGGTGGTCAAAAAATGTGCATGCAGGGCATGGTGTGATTTCACACGAAAAATTGCTTGGTTTTTCAACTGTAGACCTATGAACAATTTTCTAGAATCAGAGTTGTAAGTTCTGGCCACCAGGAACATAGCTAAGCATGATGCATGTATAATGAATTTGTGTGCATGCAAGTATCAAAATTATTCGGTTATAAGATCCGGCTTTGCGTTTAGGGCTGCGCGCTTGCGCGTAGGACGTATTAAAGTTTGGGTTGGTAAAAACAAATTGCATCACTAACTAGGCTTATTAGTCACAACTGTTATACATCATCATTTCATATAAGAAATTGCTAAAAAGCAATGCACATAAGCCTAAAACTGAGCCACAAATGGCAGACATAATCCCATAGGTTTTTCCTTAGTTTCACTCTCGAAACGCTATATAAATCTTGGGCCACTTGCCGCCCTGAATTAGATTGTAATATAAGAAAAATTAACATGTGCATATTATAGATTTATAGTAAATAAGACAAATATGTGCATACATGCAAACAATATGGCCTCAAACGGCTAACATAATCCCATAGGTTCTTCCTCGGTTCCATCTCTCGGAACTCTATTCTTGGGTCACTGCGGCTCTTAATATAGATTAATATAAAATAAACATGCATGGATGTGTACATACATACAAACATTATAGCCTAGAATGGCAAGCATAATCCCATAGGTTCTTTCTTGTTTCTTTCTCTCAGGACTCTACTCTTGGGTCACTACGCCTCTGAATTATGTAATATAAGACAAACATGTATATGTGTACATATGTACAAACACTATAGCCTCGAATGGCAAACATACTGATTCCATATTATAGGTTCTTCCTTGGTTCCATCTCTCGGAACTCTATATTCTTAGGGTCACAGCAGCTCTGAATCTAGATTGTAAAGTACGAGACAAACATGAATGTATTAATACATACAAAAAATACAGCCTCGAATGGCAAACCTTTCCTCTAAGTTCTTTGGTTCCATTTCTTTTTCCTCCTCTCTCTTGTCCTTATTAAACTTGACCTGATCGGGTCCATTGCGGCTTTCGAAATATTAGGTTCGGTTATAAATTTACTAATAATTGTAAAGCCTCGTAGGAAACGTTGATGTAAATATACAATTATCCTTGTTTTCTATATTTTGTGATAAATTAGCGTACATACCATTGTATATGGAAAATACACGTTTTGTAAATAGAAAGAATGTAAATAGCTGAAACTACCGCATTATAAGATATCACCACATGTTATTGCAGTTGCATTACTAAGAGACAAACATACGCAAGTATACACTGATACAAACTATGCAAACAATAGCCTTCAATGGCAGACATGCATAAATCACATAATCCAGTAGGCTTCATATATTTCTATATCTCTTGTTCCTTGCTTTAAGTACGACAAAAATTGGTATTTAAGATTTAACATAATATTTTACTACCTTATTATTATTTCGATCTAAATTACATTCTTTGCACAATATCTATCAAACACACACACGCACACACATCTATATGACTATGCCAGAATCTGTATAACATTTTATATTAATGAAAAAAATCTCTAATACATGCATGTTATCCGGGTGTGATGTCATCCTCATGGCGATATATGCATGATTCTTATATAGTATAAACTAAGACGATCATGGGCAGTGGCATTGTAACTTTATTATTTTTCCAAGGTCTCTGTGAGACTTCCGATCATTTAGCATCGTCGAGCAGTGCTTATGAAAAGAAAGGCGCCACTTTTCGTTTGTACTGTTTGACCTTGCTGGTGGTTCGAAGTGTTAGCAGGTATCTTGGGATATCTAATAACGTTGCAGTGTTATTTTCATTGCTGTTACTATAAGGGCAGCTTGCTTTGGCTATATGCCTTGGCTCTAAAAGTGTTTAATCAGTTTTTCAGAGAAAAAATATTTGTATTCAGTGCTGTTTCTATAAGGGCAGCTTACTTTGGCTATATGCCATATAGAGCAATAAAAGTGCATGAGTCGAGTTTTCAGTGAGAAAAAATTATACGAAGTCGAAGAGCTGAATTTTCGTTATCTGTAGCCTTGTCACTTTGGGTATATAGGCCCTAAAAATTAAAACCGTTTCTTAGGAAAATATTTAATTTTCTACCAATTAAATGCTGTTTTTGTTGGGCTAGCTTGCTCTGGCTATATGCCTTAGCTCAAAAATTGTGCAGCAAAATTTTCAAGCAAAATAGTTTTTACTTTAATGTTCCTTCTCTTAGGGCAGCTGGTTTATAGGCTGTATATTTTTGGAAAAAATCCTGAATTATTTTGAACCAATTCTCGAACTAGCTGCACAGACTAGAAACGAAAAAAAAAACTCTAGAAACACTGCCTGTGATTTGTCAGAATAATTTGTTTTTCGACGAACAGGATGTGTATAAAAATGTCCTGAACTTGGTAACTAGATACTCCAATCGTTTTCAAGACGAAAGCTATTACACTAGCTATTCTCAATATATATATAGTCCTTATAGAAAAAATACACGATACTCGATAGTTCGCATACATAAACATAATATATGCATGGTTTATTGTTACATGTTAATTCTGTACAAAACAAACGTATGAAGAGTTTAAGATTGTCTTGAGCATTTTAAGAAACATTAAGGCATAATACTTATCACACACAAAACACAACAGCCTGTTTTCTCTGTAATTTAAAACCTGTTTACTTTACAACCGTCTTGAATATGCACTTATCATATATGTTTGTTTATCAAATTGATCAAATGTAAATATGTTTATTTTGTAACATATGCGCAGTGAAGTATAATAAAAGTAGGGAAAATAATTATCCGGTTTCATGTCTCTTGATTTCCATAGTTATAAAAACACACGCACGCTTTGTAACACATGAAAAAAACACACACGCTTTGTAATACATGATATATTGTGTTAATAAAATCTAAAACCTTGGTATTTTGTGTTTGATTCCGCGGCTTTCGGCGAGGGTTTTCCTCCAGGAACTCTGGTTTCCCTCGTAATAAAAACAGTGTCCGTGTGTTCGGAACCGCGTTTTATGGTTGGTTTTCCATTTAAAACATTGAACTCTTTCGCAAGCGAAATTATTTCTTCATTAAGATCATGTTAAGCATTGATCTATAGCATCCATACATGAAATCATGTGAAACAAAAGTCTTTATAAGGCGAACTTTATGAAAACCTTACTTGATACAAAGTTAAGTCTTAACTTTAAGAATGTTTTGTATAGTTTAGCATGCATGCATTTCTACCTTGTAGCGTAGACGGCCCTTAAAATGCTTAATGGAATCTAACTGTACACACGGTTACTGGGTTAAATTCCCAGTGCACTGTTATCTTTCGAAACCAGAAGTCGCAGCAGTCGCGTATATTTGTACCAAAAGACGCACATTTGCGTGAAGAACACTTATTATATACGGAGCAGAAACGCATTTTGACAGAGTATTCAATAACCAACAGCAGAGCAAATATTTAATATCTTATTTAATATAAGCATCAGTCATACAAGAGGGTCTCATTGATTGATGAGCGGCAAATGCGTCAATATACGTGGGAGGATGTGGTTTCAAATCTGTTGAAGCATCGCAGTTCCAAAAATATGCCTTTGGATTATCCACAGATTTGTCATAAAAGGATTCATCATTTACACCTAGTTTGAAGCACTAATTAACCTTTTAAATCACAATGACCGGAAAGACGTATTTAAATGAGGTCAGTGGCAGGATCTGGAGGAAGGTCCTTCAAGGAGAAGTGGGTTTCCGAAATGATTCCAGACCAACCTGAATAATCTTAGAGCTAACTGTTTTTCAGTCTTCATTAGCGTGATTTAGCTCAAACGAGAAATGTAAAAACGTAAATCCAAAAAAATACACTAAATAGCGCATTGCCTCCGAAAGGGCAGGTTTTTTTACCGTTTTTATACCGGATGGTAAAAAGACGCTTGATGACGCTTGAAAAGGACAAAAATACATGACGCGGGGTAATTCGACACTTAAAAGAATGGCATAAAAGCGTTTCACTACACCTGAGGCATCATCTAACTTCAGTGGTTCACGATGAAGAATTTTGCGCTAGCATTCGTTTTGACTGTTACATTCGCGGTGTGTAGTTGTGTATCGGCTAATGAAGCTTCTCACTGCGTTTATGGAATTGCCTTGAAAGATCTGCTCAAGATGGCTGGGACAAGAGCTGGAAACGCGCAGTTTTACGCAAAGAAACTTCTGAAACACAATATCGATCAAACGGTGCTCGGTAAACTCACCTTACAGCAACTCGAAGACATAGGAATCGCAGCGCTCGGAGACCGTCTGAAGATCTTCAATTTCTTCTCGAAAGATGGCAACGATTGCTTGAGTTCTAGCTGCCAAAACAGTGGAATCTGTCGAGATGGTTTTCGTTGTTTCTCGTGTGTTTGCGACCCCCAAAGCGGTTACTATGGACCAAGCTGTGGACAGAAATGCCCGTGCCATAACGGTGGTGTTTGCAAGACGAAACCAACTGGCTTCGAGTGCGTCTGCCCACCTGGCTACTCTGGTGACCTGTGCAACACAAAGTATTTGACTGAAGATAGGATCGACAACCTTGAGACACGAACAGATGATGTAAGCATATTTTAGGATGCATGTTTTTCCTTTGATAGTTTGATTCACCATATTCGCTGAAAATTTCCCACCAAAATTTAACGAAATACAAATTTAAATCTTTCAAAACGAGCGCGTTTTTTTTAACCGCGCTAATGCGGATTACTGTATTAAGTTTGGTAGGTTATAAATAGCGTTTTTCTTCACAAGATAAAGGCACAGCTCGATCAAAGCGTCAAGCTGATCAAGGATCTGCAAGATCAGTTGAGAGACCTGCAATCCCGTCCTAGAGGATCGTGGCAACTTCATCGTGCAAATGAGGTACTGTAGAAAAATATACTTTAGGGCCCTTTTAGTGTTTGCAATGAAGGCGTTTAACCAATTTCTTCTGACGTTTGTTACATGTTGATCTGTTATTTGTTTGGTACCTAGTATGGGTGTGGCCATAGGTAGTAATCATTACAAATACCTATACATTTAGTAATCACCAATACCTACTAATTCTATTCAGTACAAATCGTTTTGGCATTGGAAGCAAAATGCCTTTCGTTCTGAGCAAAGAAAGAGGAGGCATTCGCCTTTCTCAGGCGTATTTTAAGCTAGGAATCTACTGCTGTGAAATAACTCCTTATTTTCCTTTATCACAGATTCTTAATCAACTCGAAAAAATCCAGTTGCATCAGCAAACACCAGAGTACACGCAAAGCCTGCCAATTGTCCTTCCCAAGAATACGAAAGCCATTCTTATTTCAATTTATTGTAATTTTTGGAACACCAATGGTCACGCGTATTTGGATTACGTCACCTACCAAAAAGACAACGACAACGCGGCTGCCAAAGCAGAAGGTTACAACACTCATTACAACGTCTACGCCAACACATTCCTGTACGAGCAAATGATTCCTTGGAACACCACTCTTCCCAATGAGTTGATCTTCAGGGTGACAAATTCTTATCGCACTGGTGGAAACAATAACTGGTATCGCGTACGTTTGGTTGGTTACGTAACTTCTCCGTGAAATATATCTAGAACTTTAAATGTTTACAATAAAATAAAACGTCATTTTTTGTTTCGTGCTATGGCTGATACAAAGGCTCTCGCAGAGACGAAAGATTCGAATTCAAATGTGGTGTAATTTTGGATAGTTATAGCTTTACTCGAAGAAACAGTTGGATTAGAAAAAATATTAATTGTTGATATCTTTATACTTAAAGGGAGTTGCAAATTAAAATATAATTACACCCAGGCATGAGATTCTAATGTAGCTACAACACACAGGAAAAAAACCGCTGCTTCATGTTTCTCGATTGGTTAAAAAAGGATTGAACAATCCTATGCTAACACCCAACCTCGTAACCAGACCACAAACACGACCTAATGAGTTAATGAGTGAGGCAGACTGAGTAATTAAAACACTTGAAGTGCCATTAGAGATTTTCTAGCCTAATCCTGACATATCAGCACTGTCTAGTGTCTGAAAATTAACGGGATCACACATCTGGTATTCATAATCTTAGTGTATAGGTGATACAGAGCGCCATTGCAGATGTTTTTAGAAGAGTTTATTGTAATTTCTGGATATAAATTACTCGCTATTTACTTCTTTGCATTTTCCTGTGAATAATAAACGAGGTCACATAAGCATGGTACGGCTGTCCAATATTAATCAAAAGTTAAAACTTGTTCGAAGGGATGTGTAATTTTTTACCGCCCCATGCGGCCAACTGCATTATATGCAAAAACATTGGTTTAGATAAGGACAATTCGGTTTGTATATATAGAATTTGATATAGGAATGAAAAGAAAAATTAGCTCGATCTTCTCAAAGCATGCGTGAACCAGTGTTATACAGATCAGTGGCACCGACATTACATCATGAAGTCGCCATCCTCTAGTCCTCGCTGGAGGATCGTGGGTTTAGGGAACAAGATTGATCTACAGATAGGAAGGAAACTCTTTCGTAGAAACTGGCAATTAAGCACTGAAGAACTTCATAAATTCATAATCATTGCAACTCTTCCTTAGCTTTACGTTGTGTTAGTGTTCACAAAGCCGATACAGAACTCACAGTGCTCACAAGCTTTTCACTGAGAATCGCTCTCTTTGCCTTCTGAAAAGTGCACTCCATACCGGATGTGAAAAACCAGGAAGCACTTGCACCATGACGTTTCTTAGCATAAAAACGTTTTCGATACGGCTAACGCATCATTTCACAGCCGGTTGTCACGATGAAAACACTTGCTTCACTTTTCGTCCTAACTATTACCTTCGCGGTTTGTAACCGTGCTTCGGGTAAAAACGTGTCTCACTGCGTTTATGGAACTACATTAAGAGATCTACTCAAGTTGGCTGGGATTAGACGAGGAAACATTCAGTCACATGCTAGAAAACTTCAACAGCACAATGTTGATCAAAGCGTGCTCTGTAAACTCACCTTACAGCAACTTAAAGACATCGGAATCACAACTCTTGGTGACCGTCTGAAGATGTTCAATTTCTTCTCGAAAGATGGCAACGATTGCTCCAGTTCAAGTTGTCAAAACAACGGCATCTGTCGAGATGGTTTTCGTTGTTTCTCATGTGTCTGCGACCCCCAAAAGGGATACTATGGACCGAGTTGTGGACAGAAATGCCCGTGCCATAACGGTGGTGTTTGCAAGACGAAACCAACTGGCTTCGAGTGCGTCTGCCCACCTGGTTACTCTGGTGACCTGTGTAAAACGAAGTATTTGACCGAAGATAGGATGGCTAACATTGAGACACGAACAAACGAGGTAAGTGCATTCTCGACATGTATTTCATCGAATTTACCGATAATTACATATAAATATAAAGGAAGACGACAAAGAAATAGCCGGCATTGTTGGAATTTAAGTGTTTTAGAGCTTTGCTGAAGCCGCAAGTGCAAAAGACTGAATTAATTAAGTGTCAAAAAAGCCAATACTCAACAGACATAGCGAATCGAGCAACCTTATACACCTTCATTCGCATCCATTCATACTCAACAATATTAGTTTAGGGCGGCGGGGGCAGAGTTTTTAAAAAAGGCACATTCATTTTACCTAAGCAACCACACGAAGAGGAATCTTGCGATTTTGCAAATCCACAGGGGAGAACGCATGCATTTTCAATAATATTATACCGGTTAGTTTTAATGCGAAGAGTAGGCATCATGATTAAATGGTAAATGTATAACATACTATTACATGGTTGTCGCTGACTGTTTACACATGTTTGTTGCGATTAACTTCCTTTGACAAATGCTGTTAGAGACATAAGACCATTAACATTTATGTAAATTTTTTAAATATCTCCATATAAACAGCAAAGCGTGAAATATATTTTTAGTGTGTGTGCAAGTATTTGTGTAATCAAGTTTAGGCTCATTTTAGTTAAAGGGGCAAATGTAAAAGTTCCGTGGTGAACATAATGTTTCGCATCGCAAACGTTCATGAACCATTCTGCTTTTTATTTTTCAGTTTCTAGAACATATAAATTTAATAACGCTTCGTTAGTTTCCTTAATGGAAATAAACGCTCGGTTATCACTTTCGGTATTAAACGTAATTCTGTACGATTAGATCTTTTGCTTCATTTATTTTTCTTCACGGTCAAGGCAAAAAGTTTGCCAGCTCTGGTGGCTTTTGTAGAACAAATTTTCTCCTCTCGTATTCCTTCGGCATATTTTTCTGGCGGATTAACTGTTCGTCTTGTACGCTCGTCTCTTTCGATTTGTTCTTCTATATACTCACTGCAGACATATTCAACTAGACACCCGAAGGACATATCCGGTTCGAAGGTCCATTATGTTCGCCAAGGAACTTTTACATTTGCCCCTTAAACTAAGATGAGCCAAGACTTGATCACACAAATACTTGCACACTCATGCACTAAAAATATATATTTCACGCTTTGCTGCATGTTTATATGGAGATATTTACAAATTTACATAAATGTTAATGATCTTATGTCTCTAACAGATGGAAACGATAGAACAAATGCGTAATGTAAGTAAATATAATACCATTTTTCCAAAAAGCTAAAAGCCAGACTCGATCAAAGCGTCAAGCTGATCAAGAAACTGCAAAATCAGGTAACAGACCTGGAATCCCGTCCTACAGGATCGTGGCAACTTCATCGTTCAAATGAGGTACGGGATAAGAGAGAGAATTCCTAAGACCCTCTTTGTTACACGAAAAAATCGATCAACCGCCACACTCGTTTGAACTTAGATACCGTTAGTTTGCTTCTTTTTTTTTTCAGTATTCAGCAAAGGTGTTCAGTAGTGTCTTACGTCCTTTTTTGTCAAAATCTGCTTAATTTTCGCGCATTTAAAAAACGTCTGCGTTCAGGATCGACCTTTTCTTACGAAAATGGTCACAGTCGACCAGGGGTGGATCCAGCACTAGTGCACTAATTTGCATGACACAAGAAAACTGCTAAAAATAACCACTTTGTTTTGTGGTGCGAATTAGTGCACTAGTGCTGGACCACCCCTGCAGTCGACCACAGGAAATAATAATTTTTGTCCCACTTATCTATTTGCTTTTCAATTTGTTTATGATGTTCAACCTAAAGGTGTTCAAAACGTGTATCAGTTCTTAGTGTATTTTCTAATACGGTCTGTTTATGAAATTTTTCAGCACAGTATATAATAAATGCAAGGCTAAGTAAAGTGACTACAGTTCGTTGACTAGTCCTTCTTACTTTCTCGTCTATTTTTACCATGCAGGTTCTTAATCAACTTGAGAAAATGCAATTACATCGAAAAACACCAACGTACACGCAAAGGCTGCCAATTGTCCTTCCCAAGAACACCAGAGCCATTCTCATTTCGATCTATTGTCATTTCTGGAACGGCAATGGTCACGCATATTTGAATTACGTCGCTTACCAAAAGAACAACGACAACGCCGTCGCCAAAGCGGAAGGTTACAACACTCATTACAACGTCTACGCCAACACATTCCTGTACGAGCAAATGATTCCTTGGAACACCACTCTTCCCAATGAGTTGATCTTCAGGGTGACAAGGTCCTATCTCACTGGTGGAAATAATAACTGGTATCGCGTACGTTTGGTTGGTTACGTAACCTCTCTGTGAAATGGTCTTATTTTAACAGATCTACAACTTTAAATGATTACAATAATAAGAAACGTATAATTAACAGTGTAATTTTGGATCATCATCATCATCATCATCTAGCGGGCCTATTGCGCCAATGAGGCGCACAGGGCCTGGTAATTTTGGATAGTATAGATTTATTTGAAGAAACAGTGTGATTAGAAAATAATTAAGGAAGTTGCAAATAAATATGATTAGACCCCAGGCACATGACTGTAGTGTTAAATTATTCTAATGTACAACACACAGGTAAAAACTGCTCATTGCTGTTTTCGATTGGTGAAAAAAGGATTAAAAATGCTGTGCTATACAACCAGCCTCATAATCAAAGCACAACTACGATTTATTGTTAATGAATGAGGCAGACTCAGCCGTTTGAAGACTTTTCTAGCTTCATCCGGACATTACTTACCAGTGATCTGAAAACTAACGGATCACAAACCTGGTGTTCATAATCTTAGTAAAAAGTGATGCAGAGCGTCATTGCAGATGTTTTAAAAGAGTTTATTGTAATATCTGGATATAAATTAGTCGCTATTTACTTCTTATTTGCTTTGCATTCTCCTGTGAATAATAAACGAGGTCACATGAGCATGGTACGGCTGTCCAATCAAAAGTTAAAACTTGTTCGAAGGGATGTGTAATCTTTTACCGCCCCATGCAGCCAGCTGCATTATTTGCAAAGACATTTGCCTAATTGTAAAGTTAATTTAGATATGGACAATTCGGTTTGTATAGAATTCAATATAGGAATGAAATGACAAATTAGCTCAATCTGCTCAAAGCATGCGTGATCCAGTATTATACAGATCAGTGGCACCGACATTACATCATGAAGTCGCCATACTCTAGTTCCTCGCTGGAGGATCGTAGGTTTAGGGAACAAGATTTATCTACAAAAGGGCAGGAAACTCTTTCGTAGAAACTGGAGGTTAAGCAGTGAGGAACTTCATAGATTTATAATCATTGCAACTCTTCCTTAGCTCTACGTTGTGTTCGATTGTTATAGTGCTCACCAAGCAGCCTAAAGCCGGTACAGAACTCACAGTGCTGACAAGCTTTTCACTGAGGATCGCTCTCTTTGCCGCTCCATACCGGATGTAAAAAAACCAGGAAGAACTTGATGACGAGTGAAGAAACGATGACGTTTCTTAGCATAAAAACGTTTTCCATACGGCTAACGCGTCATTTCACAGCCGGTTGTCACGATGAAAACACTTGCTTCACTTTTCGTCCTAACTATTACCTTCGCGGTTTGTAACCGCGCTTCGGGTAAAAACGTGTCTCACTGCGTTTATGGAACTACATTAAGAGATCTACTCAAGTTGGCTGGGATTAGACGAGGAAACATTCAGTCACACGCTAGAAAACTTCAACAGCACAATGTTGATCAAAGCGTGCTCTGTAAACTCACCCTACAGCAACTCAAAGACATCGGAATCGCACCCATTGGTGACCGTCTGAAGATCTTCAATTTCTTCTCGAAAGATGGCAACGACTGCTCCAGTTCAAGTTGTCAAAACAACGGCATCTGTCGAGATGGTTTTCGCTGTTTCTCATGTGTCTGCGACCCCAAAAAGGGTTACTATGGACCGAGCTGTGGACAGAAATGCCCGTGTCATAACGGTGGTGTTTGCAAGACAAAACCAACTGGCTTCGAGTGCGTCTGCCCACCTGGCAACTCTGGTGACCTGTGTAAAACGAAGTATTTGACCGAAGATAGGATCGTTAACATTGAGACTCGAGCAAACGAGGTAAGTGCATTCTCGAGATACATGTATTCGAACGAGCATGTGACTATTAAATATACATTTGAATGCTTCAAATCTAGAACATACATCAGGATATAATGGTGTATATATACAGTCACAATGCCGCTGCAGGCTAACAGTATTCTTGGGGAATGATTGCCAAAGAAACAGGACCCTCGAAAGACGCTGCGTGGACATATAGCATTTAAAACGTAAAAACGACAAGTAGTTTGGTAATATGCAAACTAAATTTAATTCTTGTTTTTTCATGCACGTTTCATCTGTTGTGAGTTAATTACATACACGTATAAAGGGACACGACAAAGAGATGGATACGGGGTGCCCCGGAGATAAAAAAAATTATTGCAATAACATACTGTTGGAATTTAAGTGCTTTGCTGAAGCCATAAGTGCAAAATGCAGAATTAAGCAAATTAAGATGTAATTACGTTCAAGGAAGTCACTCATGTTGTCAAAAAGTATGTTTCATAATCACAGAAAGCTTTTGCCATCTGGAGGCAACGATGAACAACAGCATATTCGGTTTACACAGACGCGAGTGTGCTGCGATTTTCTACTTTTGACAGATGCAGACAAGTGAATAGTTCTGAACTGATGGTCTGGGTACATGTGGCTTTATATGAACATCCTATAATCCATGCATGTCCTCTATCTTTTGTCTCAGCTTGCGTTTATCGACTTCCCTTGCGTTTAGCCCACGTACAGCTATAGTACTCCCCCAACCACCTTCGACCACCAGCTACCTTATAGGGGGCGGTCCACAAAAATACGCGACTCTTTGAGGGGTTAGGGGAGAGTGTTTGGGAGCGTGTCACGGTGAGCGAGAAGGTGTCACTTGGGTGACTTCGCGTAATCTGAGATGACAATCTGCTGATGACAAAGAAAACACTTTAAATTATGGAAGGTGTATATGGTTCAGGGTTATGTAATTTTTGGGAAGGTATATTGGTAACACAACATCACAGACAGGGGGTGCGGGGTATAAAGAAATGGGCGAAAGGGTGTCGCGTCGTATTTTTTGAACGGTGCCGCACTGGCTGGTTAAAAAAATACTGCTTAATATCAGTATTTGGGTTATCAATATGTCATGTAAGTAACTAAATATATACCATTTTTTTTTCCAAAAAGCTAAAAGCCAGACTCGATCAATGCGAACAGCTGATCAATAATCTGCAAAATCAGGTAACAGACCTGCAATCCCGTCCTACAGGATCCTGGCAACTCTATCGTGCAAATGAGGTACGGTATACGAGCGAGAAGACTTAACACCCTTCAATAAAAGGGCCAGCCCGTTCAGTAGAAGGACAGTTTGTTCGCTATTATGTTTGGTACTTTGCGAATGTGCTTAATAGTTAGTAACTCACTACCTGCATTTCCCCCTTTTCCACAAGACGGACTTCAATTCAACACAAATAGTATTTTTTATTCTGTTCAAATGTTCAGCCCACAATATGATATAATATACACATTATAGGCTTAACGACTACAGCTTTATTCCTGGTCATTAATTCCTTGCGTTTTTCTTTTTACCAGGTTCTTAATAAACTTGAGAAAATAGATCAATCGCATCAACAACCAGCAACATACACGCAAACGATACCAATAACCCTTCCCAACAACACAAGGGCCATTATTATTTCGATATTTTGTAACTACCAGAACCATAATGGTGACGCAGCTTTGTTTTACGTCACTTACCAAAAAGGCAACGACAACGCGACCGCCAAAGCAGAAGGCAAGGAAAGACATTGGAATGTCCACGCCAACGCATTCGTGTACGAGCAAATGATTCCTTGGAACCCCACTCTTCCCAATGAGTTGATCTTCAAGGTGATATGGTCCAAATTTAGAGGTGGAATATATAACTGGTATCGCGTGCGTTTGGTTGGTTACATAACTTCTCCGTGAAATGAATATTTAAAATTTCATGAAACGTATATTACTTACTTATTCGAATATAATCATAATATACTTAGATTTCAGCGACCATAAAGTGAAGAAAAGTATATAAGAAGTAATGCAAACTGGGATAACATAATAAACATATAATCATTAATTGTTTAATCGTTGTAGATTTTAAAATACGTTAATAGTTAATATCGAGTGATATTGCAAGGGAAGTACCTAATAAACTTAAAAATAAATCGAGTCAGTCGCTTCAGTTGTCTTTTGTGTCGAACTAATCTAAAATACACACGGATAAAAATAGCCTGAGTAGTTTCTGGTTGACGAGGACAGGATTTGTGCAGAAGTAAACAAGTTGTGCCCAAGTAGCCCAACCACGGACTTGTATATATAATAGTAACAAATACAGGTCAGTGGCTGCATATATATAGTTGTTATCTACATTCGCCTGAATTGTTATAAATTGTACTATTATTGCACTAATGAAGGCTCGGGTTAACAGAGTGAGAGCTTTGCAGGAATACACGTATCCATGCAGGCTCTGGTAGTCTTGAAATTATATTTGTTTTGTTTTTTATAATCCCCTGTCCAGTTTTTACGAATCAGAATTAAATTCGTTTTCATCCATTTAGATGTTCGTATTCCAGAGCATATAGCATAGATCAGTGCCACGTCATCAGGTTATATATAACGCGATCTGACGCAACTCACCATTCATTTTACGCTAATCGCGATGGAGAAAAGTTCAACCTTATTATTTCTTACCTTAACCCTGGCAGCTGTGCAAATCTGCGCGTCGGCTAGTCGGCGTTCTAATTGCATTTATGGGGTTACTGTGAAAGATCTTCTCTACCTGGCCAGAATCAGCCGATCAAACGTGGGCTATTATGCCGCAAAGTTGAAGGAAAACAAGATCGACCAAACTGCGCTCGGCGTTCTTTCGACACGACAGCTTCAATTCGCAGGAATTACAGCGTTCAGAGATCGTCAAAAGATCTTGAGTTTGTTCTCGAGAGACCCGGACGACTGCAGCAGTTCAAGATGTCAGAACAAAGGCACGTGTCGAGATGGATATCGTTGTTTTTCGTGCGCTTGCGACCCTAAGAGTGGATATTATGGCCCGAGTTGTGAGCTTAAGTGCCCCTGTCTCAACAGTGGTGTTTGCAAGACAACTCAGTCCGGCGGTTACGAGTGCGTCTGCCCACCAGGCTACTCCGGTGATAAATGTCATAATAAGTATCTAACGGAAGAAAGACTCTTAGAAATTGAGAAAACTTTGCAACAGGTAAACAGATGGTCACACATTAACGCGGCCTTTTCTTGCATAGGGACTTGTTTGGACAAATATGCATTCCAAGATCACGATCATCTCCTTGAGAAAAATTGATGAGTAACGTCATATTACTTAGGAATCTGGTTTTCGAGTTTTTTTTCCGGAATGTTTCATTGACGATTTTGAAAAACAAGTAGAACTTAAAGAAGCTTTGTGAACAAAGAAGGCCAAAGAACACAAGCTTCGCGATGAAACAAAATATATTTTTACATTTTTAAAACCCTTTCTTGCATTCCGGTCGTATTTAGTCTGTTTGGAAAAACAATTGCGCGTTCAAGCGATCACGCAATGGGAAATCAAAAACACATATTTTTAATAATTGCGTTGCATGGAATATAGCTAACCCGATTAGTCCCATAAAAGGTCTCCAATATCTTCATTCTTTAAATTCACCTGGGCCACTTTCCAATATGTACCATATTAACTGTCCGAGCACGTCAAAAATCACCCACTTTAGGTACAAGATTAGATCCTCTAAACGCCGCCAAAACTGGAAAATCGATTGTTTTTGTGGGCGAAAAAAACACCCTGATGTATAGAACGATTCACAATCGTGGTCTTGTGATCTCTCGCATGAATACGGCATTATTAGAATAGTAAAGGAAACATGATCAACTGAATTCAACCTCATCTTTCACCAGGACTAACACAAATTTTCTTCAATTAAGTTTGCTTCATGAGAAAACTACACGCTGGAATTCATTCCCAGAAGATCCCAAGACTAGCTCTGATATAAATAAATACATTTGGTGAAATCTAGGAATGTTATAATTCGTTTTTATCCACTTATCTTAAACATGTACTTTCTATTCTTCGTAGCATATAATCTTTGTGAATGAGTAGGATTTCCGTGTTTTACATAATTCACAAGTTCGTTTAGTAAACGGATCAGATAATTTAATGATTGAGGACGGATAAGAAAGCTATTTTAAGGTCGCGTAGTTTAAATTACCCCAGGATCAGTTAAACCAGCGAAAATAAAGCAATTCTAAAGCATGAATTGTCGACTTGAACAAGAAAGATTGGCGCACTGTCACAAGCGTTAAGGTTCTCTGATCTCTTAAAGGTCACAACAAGGCTGGAAGAGAGCGAACAGCAAGTCAAGAGTCAGGATGCTCTGATAAAAAATCTGCAATCGCGACCTACAGGAACTTGGCAATTTCATCGCGTAAATGAGGTATGATAATTTCTATATCTCTGATTACTAAATCCTGATCTCATGTACTGTAAATTGTAAGGGCGAATTTCTTCGCAACCTACACAGAACTAGGATGGGGCTACGGTGATAGTCCATGACAGAATATGGTTCAATAGGTATACTTTTAAACAATATTTCTCTTAGCGTCTTGAGTTCTTTATCTGGGCTACTGACAGATTTTGACCTCGAGCACTTACGAGAGATGACGAATACATGTCTAAATAAACGACATACCAACACTTTCTGCATGCGGGCAAGTTGTTTTTAAAAGCGTTTCAAAGGCTGTAAAACCAGCAAGCCATGGTGCCCATGGCGAACGACAGCGAATGTTACTGAATGGCAAGCCGTGGTGCTATTGTTCCGCCTGCGCATGCACCTATATCTGTCATCGCTTGCGAGGGCACTTTTAGCATTGAACTTTACCTTGAGGGCTCAATCTAGATTAACTAATAACAGTGATATATGCAGGTCAGTGGTGCAAACTATGTGTGCTTGGCAATATGTTCATAGCCAATAGGAATACTTGCTTCTATGACGTGTTTATGTTTTGCCTTTTCGTGAAATTTAGTTAAGTTAAAAACTCTCGTCAACAGTAAAATTGGGCAAATTTTTATCGAATTCTCATGCGTCGGGTACATAGTTTTTGCTGAAATCATTCGTCTGCATGTGCTGCCAAAACATAACCATGTATACTTAGCGCGCAAGGCTATGCTCTCGTCAGCACATGGCAAATATTCAGAGCTAAGGTAAATTCCACGCATTCTATCTATTTAGTTTATCTGAGGTTTATTTTGCCTTTTATTTTGCAGATTCTAAACCAATTGGAACAGATTCAAATAAGTAGACAGGCACCCACGTACTCACAAAGGGTGCCAATCGCCCTTCCCAAGGACACCAAGGCCATTCTTATTTCGATATTTTGCCATTTCTACAACCACCAGGGTCATGCATATTTGAATTATCTCGCTTACCAGAGAGACAACGACAACGCAGGTGGCAAAGCAGAAGGTTACAACACTCATTACGATGTCCACGCCAACACATTCTATTACGAGCAAATGATACCTTGGAACACCGCTCTTCCCAATGAGTTGGTCTTCAGGGTGACGTATTCGTACCTCACTGGTGGCAGACGTAACTGGTATCGCGTGCGTTTGGTTGGTTACATAACTTCGCCGTGAAATGAAACAAATATTTGACGACTAAATTGCAAGTTTATGGAGTTGATGATTTAGGATTAATTAAAGCTCACTAGAGACTTTATAGAACAATTTTAAGAACTTGAATGTTTTAAATCTTCAGTATAAACGATATCTAGGATGGACTTTTCAGTCAAGAGATTACATAACATGTACCTAATGAAAAATTTGAATGTTTGAAATGATTTGTGAATAAATGACAGAGTCATAAATGGCAGAGTCCGCAGATTTTCACTTGTGGTAACCAGTGTCCTTTTATTAGAAACGAACCGTTTATGTACGAAAAATTATCAAGATTTCTGATATTTAAGACAATTCCAGGATAGTACAACCTGTTCAGGATGCTCAACTAGTTAGCCAGTGATGGTGAGATGGTCTACACATGCAAGGTTATTTTTAGTGATTTAGTCATCATAGCCATCATAATATCCCAAAAAGAAACGAATGTTTTTGTATTGTTACTCTAGAGTATTATTATTCATTCTGGGAGACGTCATCAAGCACGTCAGCAGGCAGTATATATAACGTGTTCTGACGTAACTCTCCTCTCATTTTACGCTCATCGCGATGGAGAAATGTTCGGTTGTATTAGTCGTGTTGTCACTCAGGTTTCTCTCTACATTTATGGAGTCAAAGTGAAAGATCTTCTCAAGTTAGCCAGGAATAACGAACAAGCGCACAATCTTATCCCGCAAAGTTGAAACAACACAAAATCGACCAAACTGCACATGTGCTCAGCAGTCTGACATTACAACAGCTTCAAGACATAGGAATTACAGCGCTTGGAGATCGTCTGAAGATCTTCATTTCTTCTCGAAAGACCCTGAGGATTGCGGCAGTTCAAGATTTTAGAACAAGGGCATCTGTCGAGATGGATATCGTTGTTTTTCGTGCGTTTGCGATCCTAAAACTGGATATTATGTTCTGAGTTGCGAGTTCAAGTATCCTTGTCTCAACCGCGGTGTCTGCAAAACCACACAAACTGACTGTGAGTGCGTCTGCCCGCCAGGATACTCCGGTGATTTATGTAAAACGACGTATTTAACGGAAAAACCGAGGAAACATTTCAACAAATAAACAAGCGATCAAATGTTGAGGCAAATTTTCCTTGCATAAGACAGGTTTGGACAAATCATTTCACGCCACGATTATCCAATTTGGGAGAAAGCCTCAGATCATTTAACAATCTCGTTTTTTGGGGATTAATTTTTACTGATTGTCTCAGTAACGATTAAGGAAAAAAAGAGATGTAGAAAGTAATTGCTTAAATTCATGTGGTAGCTACGACGTGCGGAGCGAGAATTACGGAATATAATAGTGTTGTAAGTTTCAAATGTGGTAAAACAACTGCCTAGAATAGACAAAACACTTCTCGACGTTTCGACCCGAGGGCCTTGCATGTTTACATCAAATAAGTAAATTAGCTTGTAGGTACACCACGTAAGTATTTATTACTGCATGATGAAGGCCCGGATTGACGGACCAAAAGCTTTGCAGTATTTTACTCGAAGAGGATTAGGAGCAATAAAAAAACTATGGCCAAAGGCATTCACTAAAAGCTCTGGGACGGTTCACCCGGTTGTATGAATGCCGGATAGCGCTGTCCACCGGATAGTCGTTTTTCAACCGTTCTAAAAATGCTCGAAAAGCGGATAAAATTTGATCTTTGGGACCAACAATTATCAAAGATGATCCTCGATTTAGGAATACTAAGATTTAATCAAAGTTATACCAAACAACGGGTGATTTTAAAGCGATTATAAAAAAACACTCCGGTGGATAGCGCTATCCGGCTTTCATACCACCGGCCCCTGGTGGCCTCGCGGTCTTTCAGTTGGTAAGTTGTAGGTTCCAATTCGGGCAAGGAAGAAACGATTCAATTTTTCCCACCGAATTATTACTTTAGTGAAATAAACAACAATAGCCGAATTTCAGCAAATGATGTTGTGCTGAAGGATAAATTAAATTAAATAACCATAGCCTTTCAAGATCTTGTGGTCTATTGGTACAGGCAGTGGTCTCGCAAGTGGTTGGTCGATGGTTCGAATCCAAGCGTGTCCGTTTTTCATTATGACCTTCGAAAAAAGGAAAAAGTAAATTAAAGAGCAAGTTCAGCCGTTGAGGAGAAGATTTTGTTGTCATTTCAGTGTAGACAATAGTCTTCCAACAGCAAATCGATGGGTTCGAATCTAAGCATCGCTATTTTCACTATGTTCTTTCGAGAAAAGGATAAAGCAAATAAAATAACCATCACCGTTACGCACAAGAGCTCGTAGTCTAGTGGTGAAGACTATTGTCTTCCAAGTCACGGTCAATGGTTCGAATCCAAGCATGACTGTTTTTCATTATAATCTTCGAGAAAAGGATAAAGTAAATTAAATAGCCATAGCCGTTCAGCACAAGATCTGGTAGTCTAATGGTAAAGTCAATCGTCGCCCAAGTGGTAAATCGGTGGTTCGAATCCTACCAGAACCCTTTTTCATTATGAACTTCGTGAAAAGGATAAAGTAAATTAAATAACCATAACCGTTCAGCACAAGATCTCGTAGTCTAATGGTAAAGTCAATCGTCTCCCATGTGGTAAATCGGTGGTTCGAATCCTAGCAGAACCCTTTTTCATTATGAACTTCGTGAAAAGGATAAAGTAAATTAAATAACCATGAACGTTCAGCTCAAGAACTTGAAGTCTAGTGGTCAAGATGTTAGTCTCATGTGTCGACAATCGAAGGTTCGAAACTCGTTTTAGATGAAAATTTTCGTTATTAATAATACATGTTAAGGTTATGATAAAGAAGTTGGTGTGGGTTTCCAACAATCACCAGTTAGCCTTGTGGTAAAGTCGTGGACTATCAAGTGCAAGACCGAGGTATCAAGAACAGTATGGGACGTTCCTCATGGCGGTAGCAAAAAAAAGGTAGGTATGTTACTCGGGAGAGGTTTGTATTCAGTTAATCTTTAAGAATGAAAGCTAATCTTTAGGGAAATCAGGGGATAGTTAGGGTGAATGAGGGGTATATGAGTACAAAAAGACTTAGTAATTGGGCAGCCTCGGCTCCCGGGGCAAGGGGGAGGCATAGGTGAGAAAACAGTATATAAATAGTTTAAGTCTTTTTGTACTCATTTAAACCTCTTTACCTCTATTTATCCTTCTATTTACTCCTATCTATCCTTACTTTTTCCTATCCTCACATACCCCCAACGATCCCCCAACACAATTAAATGTTTGAAGAAAGCTTGCTTTGAAAGTCAGGAAAGCCGGGGGAAAGAGAACCCCCCTCAGTCTACTCCTCGCCCAAGGCGAGGGCATATTCGCCCTCTCGCACTACTCCTCTCACACTCACAAATTCTCACATTATTACCTTGTTCTTTTTCGGTTTATCCAGGGCTTGAACCATCGACTGTATACTTGGCAGATCATCGACTTCACCACTACACCACCAGTTCTTGTGGTGAAAGCCTACACTTTTTTATTTTACTTAATCCTTTTTGGAAGGATCTTTGATGAAATAGAAGAAAAAACATTCCCATCTGGGGCTCGAACCTTCGCCTTTAAACTCCGAGAGCACTGCCTTCACCAGTAGACCGCACGATCTTGCGATGAAAGGCTGTACATTTTTATATTACCGAATACATTATGGGTAGATTCTCAAATGAAATAACAATTTAAAGGAGTTCTTTTTAATGTTCATGATTTATTTTATCGTCTAAAACACGCACAAAGTTGTATCTTATGCGTAGCTTGTAACCTAATAGTAGCCATTTGTGTTCTCACTAAAATATCACATACAGGTATCAAGCGCCTTAAAGCAATATGTTCTATAAGTTAGTTGTTATATGCGGCCCAAGTGAAGCTAATGGTTACGGTGCGATTGTTTTGTATTTTTAATGAGTGAAGTCAAAGTACAAGAATTAAGAATAGCCGAATACACATCTTACTGTGACTGGAAAGTTGATAGCCGTAAAAACCTGTCTGAATGTGAATGTGAATTGGGATATGGAAAATTTATACGTGTGATGCATGGTTCGGGTAATGCGTAATCATTACGATAATAATTGTGTTTATTTTCCGTAGCCTTGTTCCGTCCTTGACCGTGCTGATATTTCTGAAACTTGTCTGATTTACTGATCCGTCTAAATGCGGATTTAAGACAAGTTTCTCTTCCAGACGGGATTCCCGTCTAACTTACCCGTCTCTTAATTTAGACAGGAAAATTGGGACGAGAAACCCGTCTGTGGGGTTCACGAGCTCAACAACATTACGCCAACGATTCATAATTATTTCATTTAAAAAGTTCTTCGAAGAAACGATTAAGCCAACTGATAAAGAACAATAGCTTATCGACAAACGATGTGGTCGTCAAGCAGTTAAGACGTTGGTCTCTTGAGTCCAAAGCTTCAAGTATTAGATTGGCGTATTTTATAATCGACGAAGCGGCTAGAACAACTAGTATTTTGACTTTTTATACAACAAAGTCTTGAAATACATAGTCAATTGCTTCATTTGCGATTTCAGATGTAATGCTTGTTGCCTCATGACTATACCGTTATATACATTATACGTTATATACGAATTCATGACGGAAAACTCGTTTTAGACAGAAAACTCATAGAAGACAGGAAACTCATCGAAAACGGCCGAAAACCCATCGAAGACGGGAACTCGTCTGACGTGAATCACAGACGGGTCTCTCGTCCCGTCTAACTTTGCCATCTTAACAGAACAAGGCTAAGCGAAAATAAACAACATTATTATCGTAATGATTACTTATATACCCGACCCATCATATACGTATAAATTTATCCCTATCCCAATTCATATTCAGACGGGTTTTTACCTCATCTTTTCTAAGATGAGTTTCCCAACCCTAGTATGAATTCTGCTACTCTTAATTCTTGTACTTTTTTTTCTTTTAACCTATTTTGAAATGCATTGTTAATTCCAGTACTTACTTTGACTTCACTTCATTAAAAATACAAAACAATCGCACCGTAACCATTAGCTTCACTTGGGCTGCATATAACAACTAACTTATAAAACATATTGTTTTAAGGCACTTGATACTTGTATTTTAGTAAGAAAACAAATGGCTACTATTAAGTTACAAGTTACGCATAAGATACAATTGTGTGCGTGTTTTAGAAGAGAAAGTAAATCATGAACATTAAAAGGAATTCCTTTAAATTGTTATTTCATTTGAGAATCTACCCATAAGGTATTCGGTAATATAAAAAAGTATAGCCTTTCATTGCAAGATCGTGCGGTCTACTGGTGAAGGCACTGCTCTCTGAGTTTAAAGGCGAAGGTTCGAGCCCCAGATGGGAATTTTTTTTCTTCTATTTCATCAAAGATCCTTCCAAAAAGGATTAAGTAAAATAAAAAACTGTAGGCTTTCACCACAAGAACTGGTGGTGTAGTGGTGAAGACGATGATCTGCCAAGTATACAGTCGATGGTTCAAGCCCTGGATAAACCGAAAAAGAACAAGGTAATAAAGTGAGAATTTGTGAGTGTGAGAGGAGTAGTGCGAGAGGGCGAATATGCCCTCGCCTTGGGCGAGGAGTAGAGTGAGGGGGGTTCTCTTTCCCCCGGCTTTCCTGACTTTCAAAGCAAGCTTTCTTCAAACATTTAATTGTGTTGGGGGATCGTTGGGGGTATGTGAGGATAGGAAAAAGTAGGGATAGATAGGAGTAAATAGAAGGATAAATAGGGGTAAAGAGGTTTAAATGAGTACAAAAAGACTTAAACTATTTATATTCTGTTTTCTCACCTATACCTCCCACTTGCCCCGGGAGCCGAGGCCACCTCCCACTTGCCCCGGGAGCCGAGGCCGCCCAATTACTAAGTCTTTTTGTACTCATATACCCCTCATTCACCCTAACTATCCCCTGATTTCCCTAAAGATTAGCTTTCATTCTTAAAGATTAACTGAATACAAACCTCTCCCGAGTAACATACCTACCTTTTTTTTGCTACCGCCATGAGGAACGTCCCATACTGTTCTTGATACCTCGGTCTTGCACTTGATAGTCCACGACTTTACCACAAGGCTAACTGGTGATTGTTGGAAACCCACACCAACTTCTTCATCATAAGCTTAACATGTATTATTAAATAACGAAAATTTTCATCTAAAACGAGTTTCGAACCTTCGATTGTCGACACATGAGACTAACATCTTGACCACTAGACTTCAAGTTCTTGAGCTGAACGTTTATGGTTATTTAATTCACTTTATCCTTTTCACGAAGTTCATAATGAAAAAGGGTTATGGTATGATTCGAACCGCCGATTTACCACTTGGGAGACGATTGACTTCACCATTAGACTACCAGATCTTGTGCTGAACGGTTATGGTTATTTAATTTACTTTATCATTTTCTCGAAGGTCATAATGAAAAACACTCATGCTTGGATTCGAACCATCGACCGTGCACTGGGGGACAATTGTCTTCGCCACTAGACCACGAGATCTTGGACTGAAAGGCTATGGTTATTTAATTTACTTTGGTTATTTAATTTACTTTATCCTTTTATCGAAGGTCATAATCAAAAACAGTTATGCCTGGATTTGAACCATGGACTTACCACTTAGGAGTACATTGTCTTCACTACTAGACTACGAGATGTTGGACTGAAAGGCTATGGTAATTTAATTTAGTTTATCCTTTTCTCGAAGTTCATAATCAAAAATAGTCATGCTTGGATTCGAACCATGGACTTACCACTTGGCAGACCATTGTACTCACCACTTGACCACGAGATCTTGAACGGAAAGGCTATTGTAATTTAATTTAGTTTATCCTTTTCTCGAAGTTCATAATAAAAAACAGTCATGCTTGGATTCGAACCACGGACTTTCCACTTGGCAGACCATTGTCTTCACCACTTGACCACGAGATCTTGTGCTGAACGGCTATGGTTATTTAATTTACTTTTTCTTTTCTCAAAGGTCATAATCAAAACAGTTACCATTCCTGGATTCGACCATCTACTCACCACTTAGAAGACCACGGTCTTCACCACTAGACTACGAGATCTTGTGCTAAACAGCTATGATTATTTAATTTACTTTATCCTTTTCTCGAAGGTCATAAGGTCATCATACCCTCTCTAAGCTCTCTCATATCTCTAAGCTGTAGGTTGGGAACACGCGATATATAAGCACAGAAAATGGGGAAAAGAAAACAGAAAAATCAAGATTTTCAATTAGAGCACCTCAAAAATCAGAACGGCGGACAGAGATAAAGAAAACAAGCCTTTCACATATAGATTATTCCAATTATAACTTGCAATTCTTAAATTCTGATCGAATCTTTGTATTTACATAAAAAGAAGGAAAAATAAGACAACAACATGATCCCATATAATGACTAATGTATTTCCTAAATTTTCAGTAATTTTACTAGGCAGACGGCGCGCGCTGCAGTTGAGCCAATGTCTCGCTCATTCTTTCAAACATCCTGGGTAAAAGTTCACGATGAGAATCACAACATTGGTCAACACAAGTGTTCATCTCCTCTTGTAGTTTCCCAGCCTCTGATTGCGTGGTTTTAATGCTTACTTTATCTTGAATTGTATCCTGACATGACTTAGCACAACGTGATAGACGATCCTGTGAAATAGAAGCCAAATGGTAACGCGTGCTATAGAACTGGTCTAACACCAGGGGGAGGGGAGAAATTTAGAAATGGTTCTCTTATGTCCATCAGCTTAGAATTTGAATGCATAGGTAATCTCATTTGCGTTATAATATGTTATAATACGTAAATGGTTACATGTATGACCCAATATAAACAGCATGTCAGCATCTCCTAACAATTTTGCATCAAATGTGGTATAATAACAGCCTAAAATACACAAAAGCACTTCTTGAAGTGTTGATTCAAAGGCCCTCGTCAGGTGATACCAACTCTTCTGACAAAGGCCCATCAAGAAGCATTTTTGTCAAGGAATTCCAAGTGCAACAAGAATCACTAGCATGATATGTTATGTTTATGGTTGCAGGCCTTGTGGGTTGCTTTGTAACTTTTTGTAACCGAAACAGATTTACAGTCACATTGCCTTGCCAAAAAACTCCAATTTTATGTACCTGAAAATTATTCACTTCTTGATTGATATACTCCTGGGTTCTTTGCGGAGGAAGGAAACATTTTGAGATGCAGTTTTGTATGTTATGAGTTCCTGAGATTTGATCTTCACAACATTGTGCGGCACATAAATGGGCATCCCTCTAAATAATAACTAGTGGTTACTGATTAGGTAATAGACCATGCCAAATTTGAAAAATAATGGTGTGGAATGAAGTGACATATATCCCCTTGTTCTATTAGTTATGCTCTCCCCCTTCCTGTGAAGAGCTTTCTTTCACATTTTTTAGATTAAAATTTTTCACTGTTAAAATTTCGTATCTACTGTCTAGTATTATAGTATATGATTTGGATAATCTTCATGGGTGATGGGTCTAGCCTACATGCAGTGGTCTAGGGAGAAGCTTATTTCAGTTAATTGGATATATATACATCCGATTATTCGTCTTATGCCCGACTGATTTCTTTTGAAAGCGATTATTTGTATAGTATATAAACATGAAATTACGAATATACATCCCATGGTCTAGCCACGGGTCTAGCTTAGTCTATCTTTGTACCACAAGTGAAGTGCCCTACGGTATAAATGACAGTGACACGCTTGGCGCCTTGAGCTATTTTATTCTTTCCCCGGAACGTTAAAGAGTAAAATTGAAATTTACGATATAAACTTTACCGGGAAGAGTTTTCTTTACCTGCATCGGTCTGACCTTCCCTTTCTCTAAAGAGGTGAGCATATTTTCCGCTTCGCTCTGAACCATAGATTGTGCCTTGGAAGCCGCCATTTTGATTTCTTTCGTATCTGGTCAGCAGTGCAGGCTTGAAACAGCATATACGTCATGTGAAATGCTATATTTTGTGCACACCCTTATATAATGTGCGCCCCTGCTTACCAGTGTTACTGCCATAGTACTGCTTGAGATTTGAAAGTGAAATTGTCTAATCAACCAGGTTTATAAGCCAGCTTTTTCGTTCGAGATATTGATAGCTACATTTATTTTCGTCGGATATATTGAATACTGACCCATACTAATGAACGAGGCTGAGCACGAATGAACTGAAATCATGAGCTGGATGTGACAAGATGTCCACACCGCTGCTCACGTCGTATTGTGATTTTGGCCCTTGCTCTAATGCCTAAATTCGTTCTTTATCAGATTGTTATGGGTTAATTAAAACAGGGCAGAACAATGTAGATAGAAATGTTTTAGATTCCATGGGAGGAAATCGACTTCACCAGTGGTAACATTTATACAGATAGCACGCTAGTTATGGGGACAAAGTTTTGGATTGTAAAAAACACTTGTGTTTATGTTCTATGGTCGATAAGGTTTCTATTATAGCAGCAGTCTGAATAGTTTTTAAAAATGTATAAAAAATTCACATGTTCACAATTGAATGTTTACAACGATTTGCAATATGAATATACATACTGTCCCAAACCTTAGATATCTGATATACTAATAAACAAATTACTTAAATATACTAATATACAAATTACTTAGATATACTAATATACAAATTACTTAGATATACTAATAAAATTATACAAATTAGATAGTTTGCTTAAATGTAGCTATGATATGTGTATTTTACAAAAAAAAACGTGCAAAACCGTGCAACAGTTTGTATAATAGCCTATATATAGCTATTACGTAATGATATAGAAGTAATATATACTTAATAATATTTGTTGGTAATGCATGTGGCATATATATTGATGTATATTGACTATATATGCATGTATAATATATAAAAAAAAGACTATAAACAAAAGGCTTCCTGAAGACCGTATATAGATTCTGTGTTATATATATACCAGGTACGCATTTTGTCCTGGACGTTCCAGCATCAAAAAGATGATACCGAAATATTACTTTTATATAAAATTTCAAAAAACGCCTAAATTTAAAAATAGTCTGTCTACTTGCAATAACTGTCAACTTTAAATTTCTGTTCAAACTAGTGTTTTTTATGTTCGGCAATTACAAAGTCTTTCAACCCTCATAATGATACTTCTTCCGTTAAGTATATGTTAATAGTTGAACAACGGTCAAGTTTCCGTGTAATACCAGAACGTTAATTCAGCAGTAGTTTTTTTGTCATCCCTACGTGCTATCCACACGCGGGTCGCTGATCTTGCTTCATTGCCTCTAGAGAGGGATTGAATAACTCGCACACATTCGTTCATCTGCGGCTCAATAGCCTTATTATAAGTTGTTTTAAAAGGATTACGAGAAGACTGATTGTCACTTTTTCCTTCAACGGCATCATGTTGCCCTTGGGAAAGGAGTGTAACAATATGTGTCCGGGTGATTTGGGGGCACCTAAACGCACCTTGGATTTCCTCCAGTAGCTGTTCGTAGGTCACTCGAGATACATCGGCAGCCTCGTCCCTGGCGAGGCTGAAGGATCTCGCGAGAGAAACAAGAGAAGAGAAGCTGGGTGAAATCATATTTAAAATCCCCACACGTACTGGTGCTAAACAAACACGAAACGTTAACGTAGACATTGGTTTGTAGCTCATAATTTGCTGTTCATCCAGAGTTTGTTGTTCGACAGCCATTAGTACTGACGGATTGTCATTCGTTTTTTCATTTTTGGCATCTAAATCGATAAATGGAGCTTTATTTTCATAGCCCAGTAGACGAGGTAACACGTGTCTTGCAGAGTGGTCTATTTCTAACTCAACAGACATTAAGTTACAGAGCAGCTGTAATCTCGTATGTAATCTTGCAAGGACCAGTGAATAAACTCGTTGTTGTGCCTTCACATTTTCAAGTATTGTTAATGACGACTCAAACGAAGATGGGAACAACTGTAAGCTTTTCAGCATATTTTCAGTCATAAGTTTATATACTCGTTTATTATAATCTGTTTGACGAAGTAACTCGAGTGTTAAATATCGATAAATCTGCGACTCGACTGAATTGCTACAAGCTTTTCCAATCAGAGTGGCAGGTACTGAAGACTGAAATTCAACATCTCGCTCGTCTTGTATCACTAACATGTCGGTATCAAAGAACCGTTGGTACAGGATTTTAGACAACAAAGTTGCGAGCAATTGTAGCTCTTTAAATTGCATTTCGTATTGATTCATAAAAAATAATTCCAATTCCATTTTACGTAATTTCATTTCCATTTCCATTTCAGCAAGTGAGCAAACTGCAAGAAACGTAAACAATATTATAAACTTAAGGTTCGACTGGTTCTAAATGCACATCTTAAACTATAATAAGTTAAGATCCCAAACAGAGCAGATACTAACTTATGTATATCACATTATATTTAAATTCTGCACGCAGTACCCCACTTCATTTGTATACATTCCCATAATCCTCTTCGAAAACTGACGTTGTTTAGCTCACTGTGAATTAGGCGCTCACTTTGAAATGGCTCTTTATATAGTACTAAAGCCAATCGTCGCTTTTTTTCCGTCAAACAATCATCATTTTGAACAATCACCGCTAGCGGCTCCATGGAGTTATTGCTCGAATGTAATACTAGCATAAAGTAGTGTCGATGGCGTGAATGGAGCACCCAAATCCTGACTTGATTCTTTGATGGTATCTCGGGACAGAGAGGATGACGTTCCTGAATCAAAGTCGTCAAGTATCTTTCCGGCGGATAACGTATTGTCGAAACGTAACGAGTTTAATCTTGAGTGACTTTGTTTTAGGATCTTTACAATTTTTGCTGATGAAATAAAGAAAATGAAATAAAAAAAATCGAAAATGAAAAGGCGACATGGTGGGTAATAGTTAGTGTTGAATCTCAACTGAAACTCTTTCACAGAATCCAAACAGGATTTTCGCCAAGGTTTTTAATCGAGCTCGTATTTGCTCATTTTCTATGCTACTACCTTTTCTTTTCTTTAGCTTTTCCACCAACTCCTCCTGAAATATCCCCCGCGGTGAGCCACGCGTCCAACAATCGTCATTTTTAACAGTCTCCGCTGATTTTCTTTCTGTTTTCGGACTCTTTTTGTTTTTGTTCATGCCCTCACTTACTTCTCGTGGCATCCATCCGAGGGTACCTTCAGTATCTGTTTCAGTATCTGGCAATTTCATGCGACCTTCGTCATTAATCAGAACGTTTGATGGTTTTAGATCTCTATGCAATTTTCCTCTAGTAAGTCCGAAAATAACTTCCTCGTTGATTATTCGTTGACTTGCGACTTGTAGATGCCCAAAACAGCAAACACCCATCGAGATTTCCCGACAATCATCAACAATAGGATCAATAACAGTCTTGTCAAGGTGAAAATGTCGATAGTTTTCTTTTTTTAATCGATTTATGAATTCCTTTCTCTTTTCAGTTGCCTTATCCTCACTTTGTCCCAAAATTCTCATATCCGCAAATTCATTTCCATCCTCCATGACACCAACACCCTAAAAGATGCTACCGACTGTTATAGCAATGTTAGTAAGTATCACGGACACGCCCACATCGGAATTAATACTATTCTAAAAATAGCAATTTTTGTATAGTGGTTGTTGAAAAGAAGCCGGAGCGAAAGGAGTATTAAAATATATATCTATGCGGTCATTTGGAGAACATTATAACAGTCTATATACAAATGCTAAAAAATCTGAATTAAAACACCCTTATACTATTACCTTTTCTAAGTGTTTGCAATTCATTCCTATCATCATCTGGTTTACTGTGACTTTCAATTCCCTATCATCATTAGATTGATCTAAGCCAATTTCAGTAAGAAGTGGTTTCAACGATGTGGATGAAGCACCCAATTCCTGACTCGACTCTTTGATGGTATCTTGGGACAGAAAGGTGATGATGATGATGATGATGATGATGATGATGATGATGATGATGATGATGATGATGATGATGATGATGATGATGATGATGATGATGATGATGATGATGATGATGATGATGATGATGATGATGATGATGATGATGATGATGATGGTTTTCCGTGCAAGATTGCGTGATACTGCACTTGGGAAATTGCTCGACTTTCGGAAAGCGTGAAAAAGCACGAGCCGTATTATAAAATAACTACAATGAAACGACGGTCAAATTTCCCGCGCAAAACGGCATTGTAAACTTTCCGTGCAGGATTGTCTCAAACTGCACGCCAACGAACCAATCAAATTGCGTGTTTCATTGCAGTTATTATATAATATTCATTACATTCACCTTCAGAGTCGCAATGATCCTTATTGTGATTTGTACAAGAATCATTATCTGATCCGGAGTCAGAAACGGAACCTAGGTATAGAAAATTGTGTTAAATATGTCCAGATCTGCCTTTAGTTAAACAAAGCTTAGAATAATTAGGTGTCCATAGGCCAATTATATAGTTCAAAAGGCCCTGGCTGGATCTAGAAAAAACTTGGTAAAGGTAGAAAAAGTTTTTTATTTCAAGAATGGGAAAGACGCAAATGTCCCTGAACAAGAGGAATGAGGACTATATAATTTTTCAACATTTAAAAACCTTTCTCTAAGGAACTTTAAAATTTTAGCAATTTTGTGATGCTCGTTTCAGGTTTAAAAAAATGTTTTCTCTAATTAAGAAGGAATAGGTAATAACACACAAACCGTGTTTTAACAGCGCGTTTTAATACTTATACATCCCGAAAACTAATTCTCTTTAGTATAAATTTCGAGGTGACTATTGATTCTCTTGCATTCCGATTGATCAAACTTCACTGCGTGTCCCTGAATTTCGCCTAAAATTAATATTCTGAATGCCTCAGAGCCACTTAAGGGCATAGTTTCTATCATCAATTGATAAGCGCGATGGTGCAAACTCCAT